TCCAAAGGGGTACAATCACAGATTTCGGTAGATTTTCCCGAAATGACATTTTCTTTCAATTCTAGAGGCTGCAAACCACGGAATCAAGTTGATTCTATTCTCCACTGATAATGAAGTCTATTGATACTATTTTCTACGGATGATAAGTCCATTAAGCACCGATTTGGGTCAATTTATTTTTGGATGACATTTTCGTAATTTTTTGGGCGACGAAAGGCCATTTTCTTTGGATTTTGAAGGCTACAGATCACAGATTCAGCCTGAGGCTATTATTCAACGATGATTAAGTCCATTAAGCGCCGATTTGGGCGGATTTATTCCGGGTCAATTTTTGGCAGATTACAAAGGGGTACCACTACAGATTTCGGGCGATTTTATCGAAATGTAATTTTCTTTCGATTCTGGAGGCTGCTTATCCCGGAATCAGGCAGAGGCTATTTTCCACCGATAATGAAGTCTATTAATCCTATTCTCCATGGATGATAAGTCCATTAAGCACCGATTTGGGCCAATTTATTTTGGGATGGAATTTTAGTAATTTTTTGGGCGACGAAATGTCATTTTCTTTTGATTTTGAAGGCTACAGATCACGGATACGGGCAGAGGCTATTCTTCAACGATGATTAAGTCCATTAAGCGCAGATTTGGGCAGATTTATTCCGGGTCAATTTTTGACAGATTCCAAAGGGTACCATCACAGATTTCGGTAGATTTTTTCGAAATGTCATTTTCTTTCGATAATAGAGGCTGCAAATCACGGAATCAAGTTGATGCTATTCTCCACCGATAATGAAGTCTATTGATCCTATTCTCCACGGATGATAAGTCCATTAAGCACCGATTTGGGTCGATTTATTTTCGGATGGCATTTTCGTAATTTTTTGGTCGACGAAAGGCCTTTTTTTTTTTGGATTTTGAAGGCTACAGATTACATATCCAGCCTGAGGCTATTCTTCAACGATGATTAAGTCCATTAATCGCCGATTTGGGCGGATTTATTCCGGGTCAATTTTCGGCTGATTCTAAAGGGGTACCATCACAGATTTCTAGCGATTTTACCGAAATGTCATTTACTTTCGATTCTGGAGGATGCAAATTACGGTATCAAACAGAGGTTATTTTCCACCGATAATGAAGTCTATTGATCCTATTCTCCACGGATGATAACTCCATTAAGCACCAATTTCCGTCAATTTATTTTCGGAAGGCATTTTCGTAATTTTTTGTGCGACGAAAGGCCATTTTCTTTTGATTTTGAAGGATACAGATCACGTATTCGGCCTGAGGCTATTCTTCAATGATGATTAAGTCCATTAAGCGCCGATTTGGGCGGATTTCTTCCGGGCCAATTTTTGGCAGATTCCAAAGGGGTACCATTACAGATTTCAGTAGATTTTTCCTAAATGTCATTTACTATCGATTCTGGAGGATGCAAATGACGGAATGAAACTGAGGCTATTATCCACCGATAATGAAGTCAATTGATCCTATTCTCCATGGATGATAAGTATATTAAGCACCGATTTGGGCCAATTTATTTTCTGATGGCATTTTTTATATTTTTTGGGCGACGAAAGGTCATTTTCATGGGACGGATTCGGCCTGAGGCTATTCTTCAACGATAATTAACTCCATTAAGCACCAATTTGGGTGGATTTATTCCGTGTCTATTTTTGGTAGATTCCAAAGGGGTACCATCACAGATTTCGGTAGATTTTCGCGAAATGACATTTTCTTTCGATTCTAGAGGCTGCAAACCACGAAATCAAGTCAATGCTATTCTCCACTGATAATGAAGTCTATTGATCCTATTCTCTACGGATGATAAGTCCATTAAGCATCGATTTGGGTCAATTTATTTTCGGATGACGATATTCGTAATTTTTTTGGCGACGAAAGGCCATTTACTTTGGATTTTGAAGGCTACATATCACAAATTCAGCCTGAGGCTATTCTTCAACGATGATTAAGTCCATTAAGCGCCGATTTGGGCGGATTTATTCCGGGTCAATTTTTGGCAGATTCCAAAGGGGTACCACCATAGATTTCGGGCGATTTTATCTAAATGTAATTTTCTTTCGATTTTGGAGGCTGCAGATCACAGAATCATGCAGAGGCTATTTTCCACCGATAATGAAGTCTATTAAACCTATTCTCCATGGATGATATGTCCATTAAGCACCGATTTGGGCCAATTTATTTTCGTATGGAAATTTAATAATTTTTTGGGCGACGAAATGCCATTTTCTTTGGATTTTGAAGGCTACAGATCACGGATTCTGGCTGAGGCTATTCTTCAACGATGATTAAGTCCATTTAGAGCCAATTTGGGCGGATTTATGCCGAGTCAATTTTTGGCATATATCAAAGGGGTACCATCACAGATTTTGGTAGATTTTTCCGAAATGTCATTTTCTTTCGATTCTGGAGTATGTAAATCACGAAATCAAACCGAAGCTATTCTACCATGATAATGAATTCTATTGATCATTTTATCCACGCATGATAAGTCAATTAAGCACCGATTTGGGCCAATTTATTCTCGGATGGCATTTTTCGATATTTTTTGGGCGACGAAAGGCCATTTTCTTGCGATTTTTAAGGCTACAAATCACGGAGTCAGCCTGAGGCTATTTTTAATCTATGATTAAGTCCAATAAGCGCCAATCTGGGCGGTTTTATTCCGGGTCAATTTTTGGCAGATTCCAAAGGGGTACCATCACAGATTTCGGGAGATTTCTCCGAAATGTTGTTTTCTTTCGATTCTGGAGGCTGCATATCACGGAATCATGCCTAGGCTATTCTCATCCGATAATAAAGTTTATTGATTCTATTCTCCCCGGATGATATAGACATTAAGCACCGATTTTGGTCAATTTATTTTCGGATGGCATTTTTCATTTTTGTAATTTTTTGGCCTACGAAAGACCATTTTCTTTGGATTTTGAAAGCTACAGATCACTGATTCGGCCTGAGGCAATTCTTCAACGATAATTAAGTCTATTAAGTGCCGATTTGGGCAAATTTATTCCGAGTCAATTTTTGGCAGATTCCAAAGGTGTACCATCACAGATTTCGGGCGATTTTTCCGAAATACCATTTTCATTCGATTTTGGAGGTTGCAGATCACGAAATCAGGCCGAGGATATTTTTCACCGATAATGAATTCTATTGATCCTATTCTCCACGGATGATAAGTCCATTAAGCACCGATTTGGGTCAATTTATTTTCGGATGGAATTTTTGTAATTTTTTGGGCGACGAAAGACTATTTTCTTTGGATTTTGAAGGTTACAGATCACGGATTTGGCCTGAGGCTATTCTTCAACGATGATTAAGTCCATTAAGTGCCGATTTGGGCGGATTTATTCTGGGTCAATTTTTGCCAGATTCCAAAGGGGTACCATCACAGATTTCGGGTGATTTTACAGAAATGTCATTTACTTTCGATTCTGGAGGATGCAAATGACGGAATCAAACAGAGGCTATTTTCCACCGATAATGAAGTCTACTGATCCTATTCTCCACGGATGATAAGTCCATTGCATCAATTTATTTTCGGATGGCATTTTCGTAAGTTTTTGTGCGACGAAAGGCCATTTTTTGGATTTTGAAGGCTACTGATCATGGATTCGGCCTGAGGCTATTCTTCAACGATAATTAATTCCATTAAGCGCCGATTTGGGCGGATTTATTCCGGGTCAATTTTTGGCATATTCCAATGGTGTACCATCATAGATTTCGGTAGATTTTTCAGAAATGCCATTGTCTTTCGATTCTGGAGGATGAAAATCAGGGAATCAAGCCGAGTCTATTCTCCACCTATAATGAAGTCTATTGATCCTATTCTCCACGGATGATAAGTCCATTAAGCACCGATTTGGGCCAATTTATTTTCGGATTACATTTTCTATATTTTTTGGGAGATGAAAGGCCATTTTCTTGGGATTTTGATGGCTAAAGATCACGGATTCGGCCTGAGGCTATTTTTCAATGATGATTAAGTCCATTAAACGCCGATTTGGTCGGATTTATTTCGGGTCATTTTTTGGGAGATACCAAAGGGGTACCACCACAGATTTCGGGCGATTTTTTCGAAATGTCATTTTCTTTCGATTCTGGAGGCTGCAGATCACGGAATCAAGCCGAGGCTATTCTCATCCGATAATGAAGTCTATTGATCCTATTCTCCACGGATGATAAGTCCATTAAGCACCGATTTGGGCCAACTTATTTTTGGATGGAATTTTCGTAATTTTTTGGGCGACGAAAGGCCATTTTCTTTGGATTATGAAGGCTACAGATCACTGATTCGGCCTGAGGCTATTCTTCAACGATAATTAAGTCCATTAAGCGCCGATTTGGGCGAATTTATTCTGGGTCAATTTTTGGCAGATTCCAAAGGGGTACCATCACAGATTTCGGGCGATTTTTCCTAAATACCATTTTCATTCGATTTTGGAGGTTGCAGATCACGGAATCAGGCCGAGGCTATTTTCCACCGATAATGAAGTCTATAGATCCTGTTCTATACAGATGATAAGTCTATTAAGCACCGATTTCGGCCAATTAACTTTCGGATGGCATTTACGTAATTGTTTGGGCGATTAAAGACCATTTTCTTTGGATTTTGAAGGCTACAGATCACGGATTCGGCCTGAGGCTATTCTTCAACGATGATTAAGTCCATTTAGCGTTAATTTGGGCGGATTTATTCCGGGACAATTTTTGGCAGATTCCAAAGGGGTGTCATCAAAGATTTCGGGCCATTTTCCGAAATGCCATTTTCTTTCAATTCTGGAGGCTGCAGATCACAGAATCAGACCGAGGGTATTCTCCACTGATAGTGAAGTCTATTGATCCTATTCTATATGGATGATAAGTCAATTAAGCACCAATTAGGCCAAATTATTTTCGGATGGCATTTTCGTAATTTTTTGGGCGATGAAAGGCCATTTTCTTTTGGTTTTGAAGGCTACAGTTCACAGATTCTCTCTGATGCTATTCTTTAACGATTATTAAATCCATTAAGCACCGATTTGGGCGGATTTATTCCTGGTCAATTTTTGGCAGATTCCAAAGGGGTACCATTACAGATTTCGGGTGATTTTTCCGAAATGTCATTTTCTTTCGATTCAGCAGGCTACAGATAACGGAATCAGGTCGAGGCTATTCTCCACCAATAATGAAGTCTATTGATCATATTCTCCACGAATGATAAGTGCATTAAGCACCGGTTTGGGCCAATTTATTTTTCGGATTGCATTTTCGTAATTTTTTGGGCGACAAAAGGCCATTTCTTTTGATTTTGAAGGCTATGGGTTATGGATTCGGCATGAGCTATTGCTCAACGATGATTAAGTTCATTTAGTACCGATTTGGGTGGATTTATTCCGGGTAAATTTTTGGCAGATTCCAAAGGGTACCCATCACAGATTTCGGGCAATTTTTTCGAAATGTCATTTTCTTTCGATTCTAGAGGGTACAGATCACAGAATAAGGTCGAGACTATTCTCCACCAATAATGAAGTCTATTGATCCTATTCTCCACTAATGATAAGTGCATTAAACACCGGTTTGTGCGAATTTATTTTCGGATGGCATTTTCGTAATATTTTGGTTTACGAAATGCCATTTTCTTTGAATTTTGAAGGCTACGTGTCACGGATTCGGTCTGAGGCTATTATTCAATGATGATTAAGTCCATTAATCACCGATTTGGGTGGATTTATTCCGGGTCGATTTTTGGCAGATTCCTACTCACCTGCGAAGGCCAACTCTATGATGAACTCGCCCAGGCCAAGTTCATCATCAACGTTACTTGAGAGGGTGCACAAGTTGTGTTTGATGTGGTTGGTACATATGTAGATGTGGAGAAGACGTACAAGGTGTCCGTTGCGGCGGAGACGGAGAAGAGGAAGGACATTGCATGTCCGGGGATCGAGACAACCAGGATATGGTGCATCACTTGGATTATGGAGAATGGTTCTTCATTCTCATCCAACGGCCCACAAAAGTGTTCTTTTAAACTAAAGGCTCGGATCTATTAGAGTAATAGATAGTGGATTATGGGACCCACGACTTGAAAAAGTAGTTGACATGTTGGCCATTTATTTTTAACAAAATATAACTTATACATACTATTTACAAGTGGTATATGTATATTCTTTTGAACAAAAATCATACATGTATTGAACAAAATACATATTTGTACTGAGCAAAAGTTATATTTGTATTGAACAAATATATACATTAGAAAAACATATTCATATTAAACAAAAAATGATATTTGCATTGAATAGAAAACATATTCCATATGTGTGATTTCTATATTCGTAATTTTCATAACTTTTATTCAAAATAATATACCACGCATTAAAAACCATACTCTTACTAAATAAAAAACATATTGCTACTGATCACAAAACATATTTGTAGAAAACAGAAATCATATTCAGCATTTTCAAAGAACTTGTATTCCCTACTCTCTCTCTTCTATCACCTCATTTTTCAGTCCGCGGGCCCAAAACCAGCTTTTTGTCAGTTGCTTTTCAGTATGCCGGACTCACAATCCACCACCACTTTCCCTAACAAATAGGAACCATTTATTAAATGAACCATTTTTATTAACCGTTGGATTGGAGATGGAGAACCGTTCTCCAATATCCAAATGGTGGACGATATCCGAATTCGGATCGAGAGGCATCCCCTGGCAAACGGCCCAGGGTAGGGGCTTCAGACTGTGCTGAAGGAGGTTGATGTCAGTCCTCCTGAGTCCTGTGACTACTCCCAGAGTCTTCGTTTGACTTTTTAGTCCAGGGTACAACTCATGAAGCTTGTACTATGTTGAGCTTTTGCATCTTTTCGAACTTCATCGGACTCTGACGAATGTAGTAGAGCGCAATAAGAATGTATCATGTTCTTCTAGTTACACTTTGGATCTGAACAAGGCAAAACTAGTGAGGCTGCGGCCGCGTTTGAACGATATAGATGTCTTCTCCAACCATGCACCCTTCAACATCCTGTGGTCCACCGAACTTGCCCTCGAGGAACCACCCGATCGCACCGAGCCGCTGACCGATCCGGTTCCGGAACACCGAGTCGACCGTCAATGCCTTCTTGCTATAGTCCACCGTCAGGTGAACCACTTCACCATCTGCAGGGGTTGAAGCACCACCACCGCCGACCACCATTTCATCGCTGAAATTCGCAAATGCCAAGGTCTTCACAGAGCCATCCAACTTGCCACAACACATCCGCCAAGGAGTTCCCCTCGTGCCGGACGCCAAGGTCTCGCCGAGCCCTGAAGCGATCTCGGCCTCGACCGAGTCGCTGTCGTTGTCGGTAGGACTGAGCGTGTGGAGCACGAAGGAGAGCTCCGGCGAGAGCATCTCTTGTACCAGGACGGCCATGGTGGCGTCTTTTTGAGGCACACCGGCTGCTCTGCGGCTGAGAATGGCTCTCCTGGTGTACAAGGAAGCCCACACTCGACTGACTGCACCGCGGAAGACAGCTGGGTTCGATGGACTGACGTTGGGAATGGAATCATAGAGTCCGGCGGCTGACATTCCGGCCAAGTCCTCGACGTTGGCGCTTGAACGTACGATCAGTCGGGTGGTTCCAGGGAATGTTTGGCTGATGGCATCCATGACTTCATGTGGGAGCTGCAGGGAACTAATCAGTTCCTGGAGTTGGGTGCAGAGTCTGTCAAGTTCGCCACCTTCGAGGTTAGCTTCTTCAACCTGTTGCACAAGCGACTTGAACGCTTCGATCAAACCGGATTGGTCCAACGCTGATTCCATCGAACCGAAAGGGATGACTACGCCCTTGGGGACTTGGAATGAAGCTGATACTCCTTGGTCATTGGAGACTGCCAAATGTTGAGGAGTTAATATGGTGAACATGATTGTCCAGTGAAATGATAATGAACCCGGAGAGAAAGAAGAAGAAGCTCACCCTCGCTTGAAACGGCAGCTAAAGAAGCTAAACGACCACATGAAGCTGCCTTTGCACCTGAAGTCGATGGGTCCGCGTCCGCGAGCAATATAACACCTCCAGCAGATGCACCCTTGATGAAAGTATCATGTGTCAGACCTCTGAAAACTAAGATTTATGCAGCAACATTAAGAAAAATAAGCTGAATGTATACCTGGCTTGTTGAAGGGGCTTTGAAAGTAGGGTCTTGAAGCTCTGTTTTGTTAACTGTAGATGTACCATTGCCTGCAATATCTTCAGCAGGAAAACTGTAGGTGATCTTATCTGATGAGGTCTGAGTTAGAGTTACGCCACTTGAAGATGCTTCCAGCCTGCATATCGCAATCATTATGAACACCAACAACCAAAGTACCAGAAATAACCATAAGGTTATTGAATAAGAACACAAGGAACCACCACAGCCTAACTTCGAACCTTGGGGCCAACAATCAATCAACCAAAAAAAGAAAAAAGAACACAAGCTAGAAACTTGGATCAAGATACCTCACAAGTTTCCCAATGAGTTTTTGTTTATCGGCAAGTCTGTCATCATCTTCGCATGTTACAAAAGCAACTTTTTCCTGGTCGAAAAAATAAAAGCAGATTTCTCACATTCGGGTAGCATAATTCAGCAGCACAATATAACTTGTGATGGTAGTTTCAGAGAAAAGATGGAAGACCTGGCGGGCTCTAACACCAAGATGAGATAAGTGAGGCAACTCTTGCAGAAGCACAACTCCTACTATGTTGCTTCCAGCAGCTGTGACCTGTGAAATGCAAACGACCTTCAGTCTAGTATGTTTCCGTAAAAGATATGGGTTCCAACTGGCCATTAACAAGATGAGTAACTGAGAAGGCAGAGTATGATGTTACGATATTCAAACCTCTTCATCCCCATCAGCCTTGTTGACCACAAGAATTATGGGACCTTTTGCACTTGGCGGCAATGATCCTGGTACAATGCTTTCGACCTGTACCATTGCAAGCATGGGTTAGTAGGTCACTCATGCACTTGGCGGCACTAAAATGTTGCAGCTTTGTGGAGTGAAGACTAAACCATTAATTAACATTCCCAAAAGCTTACTTATTAACTTTGACACATTTTTACATCTCAACTTTGCCAGAAAAAGAAAGAAACAGAAAAAGTTTCTACACTTCTCTGCCGGAATGTACCACATGATTCAAACCACATGATATTGATCTTAATTTACAGAGACAGTTCGAGTAAATAATGTTTGGAAGATTAAAACTGATGCAGTATTACCTGAACTAATGTGCCAACAGCAACCCCAGGAACAAGAACATCCCAACCCTGGGACCCAAGAGTATTTCTGGCTGCTTTCAAAAGCACTGTACAGATTTTTGATACTTGGAACACTACCCTAAAGACAGTATTTACCAGTCAGAACCCATAGTCAAGTCAGGAAGGCAGCACGGGTCCAGCACACAAATCAACATACCCAGCTCGAATCTCAGCTTCAGTGTATGTCCTCACACTATTGTCTGGTATTCCAAGTGCTTTGCCTAAAATCTGAAAAATCAGCTAACCTTAACATCACCACTAGAAATTGGTTCATGAATTATTCACCTCCTGTCCATCACTTTAATGAAGAAGGCTATGATCTGCAAAGTATTCCTCAATCCTCAGTCAAACACAACATGATACCTGCACTTTTGGCGGGAAAATCTGGAGAAGTGCTTCCGAGTATTCCTCAGTCAATCTTCTTGCTCTATCAAGAGTTGCTTTGAGCCTCAGTGCCCAAATCATCTTGCCATCTTCAACTCCTTTTATGGTAACAGAAAGAATCATAATATTAACAATTCAGAGTACTTCTTCTTCATCAATTTTGGCATATGTTAAGTAGATCCAGAAAAGATTAAGACCAAAAGTCACCTTCCTTCTCAGAGAGACCTCTCTCTTGCCATGCAAGGAGTTCATTTTCAATGGCTGTACATTCTTTTGACTTCCAACCAGATAAGGCCAGTTGATGAACACCAATAATCAGGGAAGAAAGTGGGTCATTCCAAGAGCTGACATTCTTTGATTCTGCATTTTCGGTAAGCCACTTATCCCCTCCCTTTGCTTCAAGTTCATTGAGGAATCTAGAAGAACAATGAACGTCACTCAGTAATAGAATAAGATGGACGGAAGTTCAGAAACATACAACATAATAAGCATCCACAATAAATAAATAAAAGTGTTGCAAAATCAAGAAAATTTAACCAACGAACAAGAAACAACATCAGCACAATCATGATCGGCATAAGTAATGTGTTTCTGTGGGGTGCAACCCCATTATCATATAACCAAAAGCATTTTGTAGGAATTATCCTTCTTTCTATCTCATCATCATTTTACTAAGGACATACTAGTAAGTAAGTAAGTAAGTTATTTGAGTATAGAGTCTATCAAGAGCGGCACATACCTGCTCAACATTACAAAAGAGTAGTCTTCTAGACCAATTTCACAAAGACGCCACTGCAATTAAGAATACCCAGACAAAGATCAAGAGAAAACTCTTGTCAACGGCAAAGAATGTCAAATTCAACCTTCAGTCTGAGAAGACAGCGCTAGACTGCATGCTACATAATAATAGTTAAATGATCTCACCTTTTGACGCATAGCTATAGCAGCATCAGAGGCATCATTCCTGAGACCACTTTCAAGACCTTTTCCAATTAAACCTCTAAGACCATTCAGAGACTGCATGGTCTCAATCAATTCGTTAATGTTGGCTGACCTTTTAGAAGCATCCAAGTTCTGAAAATATACAGATTTTTCTTCATCATTTATCCATTGGAAGAAATAACATAGAAAACTAGATTACTTTAGTGAAAGTAAATCTTGAATGTACTACAATATCATTTAAATCGTGCGAGTGATGCAGAAATGAGAAACACGATTCAAAGAGCATAACAAACCTTTTTGCGATCCAAAAACAATGTCAGAGCAGAAAGACTGTTGTCATCAAAGCTCTCTCTAATTGAGTCAAGCTGCTCGGTAAGACTGCACACATAGTGTAAGTGGATACACATGAGGAAATCAGAAGTAAACATATGGTCCGCTCATGCCAAACACAATGCTTAAATGTGAATATTAAGCTAAACTTGGATTTATGTGTAGAATTTGTTTAGGATATAGATAATCAGCCACAAGCGTAGCAAAATATGATGTAACTTTAACTCCATGCATGTGTTCAACCACAGAGAAATCAGAACCAACGTATTCATTTCCATAATTTAAGCAATGAAGGAAAAGGGTTTGCAATCAAATGTTCCCGGTCCTAGTTTTACTTGATTTTTTCTTTGAGACATATCCTTGGAAGGACAAGTTCCGGATTCCAAATGCCAAGTGTAGCTTTCAAAAGAAATATAGATAAATATCAAACCTTCCAGCATTGAAGAAATCCTTAAGCTCCTGATGGAAAATCTTGAACTGTTCCACGAATGCCCCATTGTACTCTCCAGGATTCTTGGTGATTCGTGCAAGCATTGCCTCCGTAGCAACTAGATCTTCTGGCCCGGCATTCCTATGAAGTTTGTTTTGAATCGTGTGTTTGATTTCTTGCTGACAGTTGAAATAACTAGATTATTGAATTGATCAGGTCATAGAATAAAGCAATCACAACTACTCAAGAGCCTTGTTACGCATACCTTAAGGTCATGAGGGATGTCATTCCGATGAGCAATATCCCTAATGCGAGTTAGAGGAACTGATGCTGTAAATTCTGCCTTAAATGACGGCAAACATGGATGGATCTTCCGAATAACAAGCACTTGCTAAACATCAACAGTAGAATGTTGCAAAGATGAGCAAAAACTTGATAGGGGATAGAATGCAAAGCAAAGCAACAACAGGTAACAAAGAAAGCAAGCCTAGATCGAACTGTCAATAAGACATACATGATTATGTCATGTTTTCATGATTAATCAATTAAAGCTCTAGTAAATAGAAGACAAAACATCAACACCATCAGAAAAACTCTCCAGTTCCTGGAGGAGGTTTCATCCTTCTGTTCATCACAAATGAAACACCAAGCGCATACTAATAGCTCAGCCTTGTCACTCAAATAGTCAAATTACATTTTCACCTGACTGAAAGACCTAAAGACCATACTATTATTGCACATGTAACTTCAAATTTGTAACCAGTGAGCAAGCTGACCACAAACACTCCCGAAATAAAGGAACTGGAAAGAACCATACCCAAAAAGATAGGGAAAACTAAGTTCCTTCTCATCTAAGCAACCTTTAACATAAACAACAAAACCAGCAATGGAACACTGCCTAGGTGAAACAAGGTTGGAGAGAAGGCCATCAAATTCAAAATACCAGTCAAGCAAAAAGATAGAGCACCTGTGGAGAAGTATCCTTTCTACTAGATATCCTTTCCAACTCCCGAAATATAATCCTAGAGATTTCAGCATGGCGATTTGGCCTGTGATGACCTCCACCTTCAAAGCATGGAATTTGTCCAGTATTGATCCACTGCACAGGAAAAGTATTTAAGAGAAGCACTGAAAGGGAAACATCAAGAAAAAGTAAGAACACAGACAGCTAAGAACCTTAAGATAGATAGCAGAGTAAATGAGAGCATCCATGCGATCCCCACTTTCGAGACTTCCAACTATCAGCTCCCGGACAACTTCAAGCTGTTGAAACCAAAAGGAAAACTATGTCAACAGAAAGCAGAGATCAATGAGAACTGTGGAAATCATACTACAGGCGAAAGAAAGGGAAATTGTAGTTTTTAGCTAGCAGAACAATGAGGATTTTTTCTTTAAGTTCTGCAGAAAACTCACGCAAATTCATATAGTAAGACGGAGCATCTGAGCGAAATACCTTCATCCACCAATTCCTCGCACTTCGATCACCTTCGACTAACTTCAGAGACAATCCTTCGAGACCAGACGTATCCCATTTCCTATCTTCTTCTCTGTCCCTATGTTCATTGGACCTCATAAATGACGCAGCCTTTCCCTGCCACTGTCCAACAAAAGGGCTCGGCTCACCATCATGAGTGGGAGGAGCACTACTAGGTCCATCAAGGTCTATTTTCTCAGTTCTCTCCTGTTTCCGCTCTGAACCAGTAGGCAACAGATCAATACCTTCCCCAGTTGCATTCCACCGACACACCATCTCATAACTCCCCTCATTCGGCAATTTCAGTGTCCGATTATCGCCACCTTCCCACGAAGTACGTTTGTCCTTGTCCACAACAACAAACTTATACTCAATAGACTGACCACCGTTGAACTCCAAATTACACACCCATCCACCTTCCGTCCATTTCAATGGCACCTTCTTTTTCCACGAACCCAACTCTTTGGCTGATCCCAAAATGACTACATTCTCACCAAATTCAACTTGGTGATCTAGACGAATGTTGAGCTGCACTTTCCCCGCTCTTTGTTTCGAATTGGATTTGTTCATCCTCTCTTCATCTCTGCCATAAACACCAGCCTTATAATCCAATTTGTAGAAAAGAACGCATTTCTAAAAAACTTACTCGAATCAACGATTCTGAAAATGTTAACCATCATGTAATCCACATTTTGGATCAAATATCCATTCATAACCCTATCAATCTAGACACACAACCTCACAGGAAGAAGCTCAAACTATCCAGGCCGAATGATTGTTATCTCCTAGTTAAAACAAGCTACTTGCCAAGAATGAATTCAGTAGTGAAGCATTCATGTCAGAGTTCCCTAAATAAAGCGACGAATGAATGGAGGTGGAGAGCGATAGAGAGAAGAAACCTGGTTTCAGGAGGGGAAAAGCGGCAAGCGATTCTCGGGAGAAGGACATGTCGGTGGTGGCGGAGGGGGAATGAGATCCTGGGAGTGCGGAAGGGCAAATGAGCGTCCGGAGAATGACGACCGCGGCGGTGGAGAGATTTGGAACGGTGATCGGCCAGGTGGAGTCCGGGCGATGCAGGGGTGCAGCAGCGGTGGTGGTGGTGCAATCCACGCAAGGGATCCATTGTTGGAGTGAGGGGAGCGAGTGAGAAGAAGATCGAAGAAGAAAAGGGAGGGAGGAGAAGATGAAGATGAAGGATTGGGTGGAAAGAGACACGTGGTGTTGGCTTCTTCTAATTACGCTTAAGAATTAAAGAATAAATATCTGACAAAAATAATATCCGCGCCAAATTCCAAACCTCGATCGGCGGGGGAGCGTCGCCGGCGACGGCGGGATATGCTGTGTATCGGGCAATCGGAGTTCGGGTACGGGTGCGAAGCTCATATTTTGAGTTAATAGCTGTTTTGCCCCTATATTGTGTCTTTACCTCAAACGAATCCCTCAACTAATGTTTCAAACCAATTCCATAACCATCTCAATGACAATGACTAATGTAGAAATATGATACTTTGTTAATGCAAAATGTACATGTATAAGTGTATAACTATAATTTTAAATTAATTTAGAATAATACAAAATGCAGTTGTTTCTTTCCAAACTTTAACGGTGTTAGAAGTATCTTTAACATTTTATCAGTCATGCTAACGACATGTTAATGACTGATGTGGACGCTATGTCACTTCCGAATCCTCACTTCATGCCACTCGTCAGTCACATCCAATTTAAAAATATAATTGTATAGCCAAACCGTTAATGATTAATATACATATTTTAGCATAATGACAAATATAGTCATTTTATCTAATAAAAGCGTTACATTTACAGAAGTATTGAAATTGAGGGTTGCATCTTGGTTGTCGCCATAGATTTGGTAGCCATGGGGGTTTAGGGAGATGAGCGGTGGTCGGGCTGGATTGGTTGTTGTCGGAGGGACATGATAATGAATTATATGAATCCTCCATTAGACGATTTGTTTTTGTTTTTATACCAGATATCGTTATTATATACATCAATTATAAGACTTGTGTTAAACTTAACGGCTTTATTGAACGAAATGGTTGTCATTAGTATTAAAGTTTTGGCAATATGTATGTGCTTTTTAAATATGGTGTGGCTAACAGGTGGTATGACGTGATGATTTGGAGCCGACGTGGCGTCTACATCAACATATTATTTAACCAACGACGTCTCTAATGACATTAAAAGATTTTAACTGGCTATATTTGTCCAACGAGCATTCTAAATCTAAATATATTTGTGACTTTTACAAAAGTTGACAATTTATTGTCACAAATAACTAGTATAATTTATTTTTAAGTTTGCATTCCTAATTAGAATTATAAGTCTGTGACAGTTTAAAGATTGAATATTTGATTCTTTACTTAAAAGGGTAGGATTCCTCTGTTTTCCCCTGTTCTGTGCTCTGTTTTCCTGAAGCTGGTGGTTTTTATTTTTTAACCTTCCTTTTCTTACTGTTGGATCGCCCGGGAAAGGACAACAGCTCTGACTGCAAATTCGACCTCCTAAAAGCACCAAAAACTAGAATTCAAGTGGAGGAAGAAACAAAAATGGCCACTAGCTAGACCACAAAAATCGAAGCACAAGAACAAGAGAGATGGGCAGAATACGCAAAACTACTCCGTTGTGGCTCATCGGATTTGCTTATGTATCTACTCATCCTTGTCTCTCCCTCTCTACCATTATAAAAAGCGAAGTTCACAAATCACAACTCTTCATCTACTCCATTTTCAGTTTCCCCCCTGAATCTGAACGAACAGAGAAGCTGTCACCAAATTACAAAGGCGGGAAAATGGCGGCAGTGAAGAGGATTAAGTTGGGTTCGCAAGGTCTCGAGGTGTCGGCACAGGGGCTCGGTTGCATGGGAATGTCTGCCTTCTACGGCCCTGCCAAGCCCGATTCCGACATGATCGCTCTAATCCACCATGCTATCAACAGCGGCGTCACTTTCTTCGATACCTCTGATATCTACGGCCCTCGCACCAACGAAATCCTTCTCGGCAAGGTATGAATTCCTCTGTTTTCTCCCCTGTTTTCTGTGCTCTGTTTTTTCTTCCCCTGCAGCTGCTGATTGTTTTGACCTTTTGTTGGGTTGATTGTCAATTAGGCTTTCAAGGAAGGTGTTAGGGAGAAAGTAGAGCTGGCTACCAAATTCGGATCCGTCTTTGAAGAAGGAAAGAGAGGGTACAGGGGAGATCCTGCTTATGTAAGAGCTGCCTGCGAGGCCAGCTTGAAGAGGCTCGAAGTCGACTGCATTGATCTCTATTACCAACATCGCGTTGACACCACAGTACCAATTGAAGCCACGGTTTGTCCTTCTTCCAACTTCCTCTCTTCTGGGTTCTCCCAAAGTTCGAAACTTTTTGCTTAGCTCTAATCCCTTTTGCATTCAATTGCCATTAAAAAGGTTGGCGAGATGAAGAAGCTAGTTGAAGAGGGCAAAATCAAGTACATTGGTCTCTCCGAAGCCTCCGCGGCGACGATCAGGAGAGCTCATGCTGTTCATCCCATAACAGCAGTGCAGTTGGAGTGGTCCTTGTGGTCAAGAGATGTGGAGGAAGAGATCATCCCTACTTGCAGGTAATCTATAACTAAAATGTCTTTCTGACTTCTGAGTTGCTCCTTTTGTAAGGCTAATGAAAAAGCTTGATGTTCATGTGTTTTGTGCAGAGAACTTGGGATTGGGATTGTTGTCTACAGTCCCCTTGGCAGAGGGTTCTTTGCCTCGGGGCCTAAACTTCTCGACAGCCTCGAAGATGGAGACTTTCGAAAGGTTACCTCCTTATGCATCTCTTCCATATCAATTTCTTGTTCTCGAAGTTCCTAGCACTGATGCGAACCATTCGAAATCGCTTATGTCGTAGATGCAACCGAGGTTCCAAGGCGAAAATCTGGATCACAACACGACCCTCTTCGAGAAGGTTAATGCAATGGCGAATCGAAAAGGATGCACACCATCACAACTGGCGCTTGCATGGGTGCACCACCAGGGAGACGATGTGTGTCCCATACCAGGAACCACCAAGATCGAAAACTTTGACCAGAATGTTGGAGCTTTGTCTGTGAAGCTCGCACCAGAGGAAATGTCTGAACTAGAAGCCATGGCTTCAGATGATGCTGTGAAGGGTGATAGGTACATGGAGGGCATAGCCACATTCAAGGGTGCTGATACTCCACCTTTCTCTTCATGGGAAAGTGCTTAAACTGAAATGGCTCGTTCAATCATGCTAGGGTTTCCTTTTTATGGTTTCAGTAAGGGTGTATGGTTTGGCACTCCATTTTACAAGTAAGGATTTGAAGTTAAGAGTTTCGTTTTGAGTTTCATAACTGAGGTTATCTCATGCCCTCATAATATTTGCTTGTAACACTTTGGATTAACTGAACGAGCTTGGTCATCTATACTTTTTGTGGCATGATCACTAGCAAATCATATTCATTCAGACCAAAATTTCGATGATAGAGAATCGTGATAAACGATTTTAGTTTTTCTCTTTGTATACGTCGAGTTTCTCTCAATTTCCAAAAATTATGTGTCGACAAACACAACTAGTAATCAGGAATCAACCCAGACTATCATTGTCTTAATGAATAATGACGATGATTGAAAATGAAAACCTTTTGAGGCTACGACTAAAGAAATAAGACTAAACTAACAAAAAATTCAAAAGTAGAACTTATTAAAAAGTCGATATTGCACTTGGCAAGAGCTGCGCCGAAGTGTAGTGTTTTAATCAGAGTTTGATTAAGTATTTTTTTTTTTTACGAATATTTGATTAAGTAGTTTGAACCTAATTTTACTCAATAGTATGTACTAAGATCGGTCTCCTATGATTCATAGCATCATTGATCAGTGAGTGCAAATTCTTATGAAGTTCTCCAATTAAAAAATTGCGATTTTTTTCAACGTTTTATTCGATGGTGGTGTAATATAAAATAGAAAGTCATTTAAAAACAATTAATTAGTTTAACCGAAAAGTCGATATTTTTTAGCCAAACATCGATTAAAATTTATCACTAAACCGTTGAATTTTCCAGATTCCCTACCACGATGATTTCTTAATCCCTGAAGGCTAGAATTGTTGAAGTGCAGGACAGTGGGAAATGTGGCCACTAGAAAACATCAAAACAGAGATGCAGAAGAAGACATGCTTTGAGAGTTGAGACTGAAGAACTCAAAACTCTTTTGGACAAGCAATTATCCTGTTTTCACCCTCAAAAGAATTCTCTCTTCCTTTTCGGTCCAATTCTGTCATTCTGAACACGACAATCAATTGATTCATTGCGTAAGTCCTGACGTGGTGGAGGGTCGGTAGTGGGGGGTTGGTGAAGTCTACTGTCTACTTCGCTACCTTACTCCGCCATTATAAAATCGAAACTCCACCGCTCATCATTTTCTCCAACCCACTTCCAGTTTTCCCGAGCGAAAGAAAGAGCTGCCCGGAATCTTCGAGGGTCAAAAATGGCGTCAGTGAAGAGAATTAAGCTGGGTTCTCAAGGTCTTGAAGTCTCAGCTCAAGGCCTTGGTTGCATGGGTATGTCCGCCTTCTATGGCCCTCCAAAGCCTGATTCAGACATGATCGCCCTAATCCACCATGCCATCAACAGCGGCGTCACTCTCCTTGATACATCCGACATATACGGACCTCGCACCAACGAGATCCTTCTCGGAAAGGTATGGGTTTTTTCTGTTTCCTCTGTTCATTGCTCTGTTTTCTTGTAAGCTCCTGATTTTTTGGGCGTTTTTTTACTGGGTGATTGGTGATTAGGCTTTGAAAGGAGGGTTTAGGGAGAAGGTTGAGCTTGCTTCCAAATTTGCGATCGTTTATGAGGAGGGGAAGAGAGGAGTTCGTGGAGATCCTGCCTATGTAAGAACTGCCTGCGAGGCCAGCTTGAAGAGGCTTGAAGTTGACTGTATTGACCTTTATTACCAGCATCGCGTTGACACCACCGTTCCAATTGAAGTCACGGTTTGTCCTCTCTATTTCTGGAGATCCTCTCTTCTGGGTTCTTCGGAAGTTTGAAACTTTTGCTTGCCTTTGCAAATTGCAATACCCATTATGATTTACTAGGTTATACATTATCCCTTTTGAGTTTGGATTGACTTAAAGGTCATTCTGCCAGTGTGGAGCTGACTTAGGTTGTGATGTTTAATTTGCTGCCAGTGTGGATTGTTGCAAACTCTCCAATGAATTTGCTGTTTTATTTTGTGGGATTTGCTTATGTGAAGAAGTTTGTTTTGGAACTCCTTCCAATACGTTTACTTGATTGTTGTAAAAGGTTGGGGAGCTGAAGAAACTGGTTGAAGAGGGTAAAATCAAGTATATTGGTCTGTCTGAGGCCTCGGCCGCGACGATCAGAAGGGCTCATGCAGTTCATCCTATAACTGCAGTGCAGTTGGAGTGGTCCTTGTGGTCAAGGGATGTGGAGGAAGAGATTATCCCTACTTGCAGGTAACTAGGCTGCTTCGCAGAAGAACTAAATAAAAAAGAAAGCAACTGAATGAATGTTCTTTGAGTTACTTGTGTGGCCTGTTGACTCATGATTTCACCCTTCTGCAGAGAACTAGGGATTGGGATTGTCGCCTACAGTCCCCTTGGCCGGGGATTCTTCGCTTCAGGGCCTAAACTTCTTGACAGCCTTGCGGAAGGAGACTTCCGAAGGGTACTCCCTATCTAACTATGCATCTATTCCTTATCTATCGCCTGTTCTTAACCTTGCTAGTATTCGTCTGCCATTGTCTGCTTTAAGGTGTAGGTATAGAGCATTGTTTAGTGACTTATAATGCTTACCATTCTCATCTTACATCATAGATGCAACCAAGGTTCCAAGGCGAAAACTGGGATCACAACCAGACCCTCTTCGAGAGGGTTTCTGAAATCGCAAACCGAAAAGGATGCACACCGTCACAACTGGCGCTTGCATGGGTGCACCACCAGGGAGATGATGTATGCCCCATTCCAGGAACCACCAAGATTGAGAACTTCAACCAGAACATTGGAGCTCTATCTGTCAAACTAACACCAGAAGAGATGTCTGAACTAGAAGCGATCGCATCTACTGATGCTGTGAAAGGTGACAGATACATGGCAGGCATGTCCACTTTCAAAGGTGCTGACACTCCACCTCTGTCTTCCTGGAAAAGCCAATAGAAAGTGCTGTTCTTTAATTGCTTTGAGTGAGTAATGGTTTGGCAATAAAATGAGCTTTCTGAGTTCAATTTGAAGTTCTGCAATTTTCCATAACGAGGGTATTCTCATGCAGTCATTGCCTCCCTGCCCCTGGTGTCGATATGTAACACTTTGTATTGACAGAGCTTTGTACTGTACCGATTATTGATGAATAGATGAATCGATATCTTCCCTTTGACACATTCGAACTTCCTCATGCCCACTATTGTTTTTCTGTTCCTGTTTTGTAGAGTTCTGTTGAACTCACTTCCGTACACTTTCAGCTTAGACGTTGCTATAGAAGCTGCTGCCTTCCATTATTATCTAGTGTTCTTGCATTGCTTGTTATTGATGGTTATTGGAAGAGAGAATTCATAAATCGCTGAGTTTTGAATGCTGAGCGAAAGAAAAAGATGCCGGAATCTTGGAGGCAAGGAGGGCAAAAATGAAACCCCACCAGTACAAAAACGTGGTGGAGGGTTGGTGGCGTCTACCATAGTACCATGACCATCTACTTCGCTACCTCGCTCCACAATTATAAAAGCGAAACTCCACCAACATTTTCTCCCCTCACTTCCAGTTTTCCCCTGAAGCTGAGCGGAAGAGAAAAGCTGCCGTAATCTTCAAGGTAAGGAGGGCAAAAAAATGGAGTCAGTGAAGAGAATGAAGCTGGGTACTCAAGGTCTGGAAGTCTCAGCTCAAGGGCTCGGTTGCATGGGAATGTCAGCCTTCTGTGGCTCTCCAAAGCCAGACTCGGACATGATCGCTCTGATCCCCCACGCCATAAACAGCGGCATCACTCACCTCGATACATCCGACTTGTACGGCCCTCGCACCAACGAGATCCTTCTCGGCAAGGTATGGATTTTATGTTTCCCCTGTTCGGTGCTCTGTTTTGTTGTAAGCTGCTGGTTTTGGGGGTTATGGTATTCTTTTTGGGTGATTTGGTAATCAGGCTTTGAAGGGAGGGTTTAGGGAGAAAGTTGAGCTGGCTTCCAAATTTGGATTTGTTATTGAAGAGGGGAAGAGCGGAATTCGTGGAGATCCTGCCTATGTAAGGACTGCATGCGAGGCTAGCTTGAAGAGGCTTGAAGTTGACTGTATTGACCTTTACTACCAACATCGCATTGACACCACCGTTCCAATTGAAGTCACGGTTTGTCCTCTTTACTTCTTCTCCTCAATGTTATTCTGAAGATACGCTTCTGGGTTCTTCCAAAGCTTGAAACTTTGCAGTACCCATTGTGATTTATTACATTATCCCTTTTGAGTTTTGATTGACATTTGACTCAAATGTCTTTCTGCCAAGTGTGGAGATCCATGACTTGCAAGCTAACTTATGTTTGATCGACCTTGATCTTGATAAACTGTGTTGTAAGCATTGTTGGAAATCTTGGATTGGATTCATGGCATTTACTTGTGTGATGATGATGAAATTTGTTTTGGAACTCCTTCCAATTTGTCTCCTTGATTGTTGTCAAAAGGTTGGGGAGCTGAAGAAACTGGTTGAAGAGGGTAAAATCAAGTACATTGGTCTGTCCGAGGCCTCAGCTGCAACGATCAGAAGGGCTCATGCAGTTCATCCTATAACTGCAGTGCAGTTGGAGTGGTCCTTGTGGTCAAGGGACGTGGAGGAAGAGATTATCCCCACTTGCAGGTAATTAGGCTGCTTCCCAGAAGAACCAAAGAAAAGGGAAGAAAAAAGAAAGCAACTGAATGAATTTTCTTTTGAGTTATATGTCTAGACTGTTGACTCATGTTTTCACCCTTATGCAGAGAACTAGGGATTGGGATTGTTGCCTACAGTCCCCTTGGCTGAGGATTCTTAGCTTCAGGACCTAAACTTCTAGACAGCCTTGCCGATGGAGACTTCCGAAGGGTGTGTATGCCTCTATTCTGTGTCCTTTGTCTGTTCTTAACCCTTTAAGGTTTAGAAGTAGCATTGTTTAGTGACTTATAATCCTTGCTTACCATTTTCACCTTACATCACAGACGCAACCAAGGTTCCAAGGCGAAAACTGGGATCACAACAAAACCCTCTTCGAGAGGGTTTCTGAAATGGCAAACCGGAAAGGATGCACACCATCACAACTGGCACTTGCATGGGTGCACCACCAGGGAGATGATGTATGCCCTATTCCAGGAACCACCAAGATCGAGAACTTCAACCAGAATGTTGGAGCTCTATCTGTCAAACTAACACCTGAAGAAATGTCCGAACTAGAAGCCATCGCATCTACTGATGCTGTGAAAGGTGATAGATACATGGCAGGCATGTCCACTTTCAAAGGTGCCGACACTCCACCTCTGTCTACCTGGAAAAGCGAATAGGAAGTGCTGTTCTTTAATGCAGTGAGTGAGTAATGGTTTTGCAATAAAATGAGGTTTCTGAGGTTCAAGTTGAAGTTCTGCAATTTTTCCATAATGAAGGTATCTCACGTAGTCATGCCTCCCTGGTAACGATATGTAACACTTCGTATTGGCAGAGCTTAGTTCTGCACATTATACAATCTAAAACATTGGGAAGGTCTCTGCTACGACCATTATGCTCTATGCTGAGTGTTGCTAACTGGATCCATGGAGATTAGAGTTCCCATATGGACAAATGCCTGAAATTCCTGGGGAAGCCCTCGAATGCAGACGTCCTCAAACCCTCCACTAACCTGATCATAAACCACCAGACAGTTGCTTCTGTAAAGAAACAGAACCTTGCCATCCTTAAACTCCCACAAAACTTTGAATGACCTCCCTTTGATCCCATTCTTCTTCCTCCTAGTTGGAGGCGCCCCACCACGCATACTATAACTCCGAGGGACATGGCTCGGCATGGCAAACTCTTTGCTCCAAGATTCCTTCACACAGTACCTTCTCATCACCCACACTCCAACCGATCCATCGCTGCTCAACTGGACAGCAGAGAGATGACCTCTCAAATTCACCAGATGATCAAAGCTGCTGCAATCTTTCGGTCCAGGCACGGCCTGGAACTCCTCAGCTTCCAAGTCAAACGACACGACACCTTCAGCTTCCGGGTTCCAGCTCTTCCAGTGAAGCCTGCCATTCACCGTTGCCTCCGATGCTGGACCAGCAAGAACGTACGGGATTCGCCCCAGTCGTCTCCACTCATCATCATCATTATCTGCCCCCAGAGTTAGCACAAAGGCTTCAGGGTTTCCTCCAGAGAAGTCGTACTCCGATTGCTTGTAGTACACGACTTTCACTACCTTGTACTGCTTTGTCCGCCAATGGAATCCGAAGCCAAACACCACCCTGCCGATTGTGTCAGTGTCATGTACCGTGAGCTTGGGGAGCTCCTTGCAATGTGCAGAGCTGGAGAAAGGGTTGTAGATGTAGAGTGGATCGTCGGAGACGGTGCTGTACAGACAGAGGATTCCATTGCAAGAACCCACCAGATCAAAGTCAGGTAACATTGATCCATCCAACTGGGTGGTGATCTTCACTGTTTTGGCTGTGTCCTCCTCCATGGCGCCAAGTTCTGCGAGCTGCAGCATGGGTTTCGGCCAGTCTGAGAAGGCCAAGAGAAAGAGTGTGGATTCAGATTCAGCTGCAGCAGAAAAGTGGAGGTTATGGAAAGCTGGATCGTTGATTGAGGCGAGCCAGGATCGTGATACGAGTTTGCATTCCAGGAGAGTTTGTATGGGTTGCCTGGAAAGTATGTCGTGGAAGATTGCTTTGGGGAGCTTCTGAATTGATGATTCTTCCATGGTTGTAAGAGACTGAGAAGGATGATATGCAAGAAATGTGAACTTCTCTTAGCTTCTTCACTTTGGTTTTAAAGTCAGGTTAGAGGGCAGGTTGGCATTACTAGTGATGGGATCAAGAAAAGCTATTGGAGCGAAGATTTCAAACAAGACCGTCATTTTGTTTTTACGAAGTAATTCTTGTCGTTTGGAAACGCAATATCGAAATTGTTAAATCATCGATGATGTTAGTATGATTGTTCTAAATTAGTGTTTGTGAATAGTTGAAGTATACAGTGTGATTCAATCTAAGACCTATATGAGCCCTCTGAAATTTGGTTATACCACGGTTTCGTCAAATAAGAGATCATATAGATCTCCTCTTGCGAATGATAATTAAAATATAATCAAATGGTCAACCAGTATCTGAAAATATGCATGAGATATTGGTTTTGGTTTAAACCAAAACGAATTGATAAGAATCTTATAAGTTCAAATTCTTTATCTCAGATCGGTTTGTACCTTATTGATTTCTGTTTAAACCAAAAAAATCGGCTAAACCAAAAACCCAAAAGGAAAGTATTATGTGAGAAGTGCAGAGCGTTTCGGTTTTTTGATTGGGGTGAGGGTTTCGTTATCGGTTTGTTCTAAGCGAAACCGAAAACATTAACGACTTGTCAGTTACTTTGGTCTCAGTTTTGAATGGTTTCAATTCGGTTAACCAAACCGAACCAAGAAAGCAAAATACCCCCTAACAAGAAATGGAAGTGCCAACAAGGCAAGGGGAAGAAAGTGACAAGTGTCACACTGGGAGAATATGATTGGCTGAGGACGACTAGAGCCTGATCCTAAATCTTTATATGGTTAGATAAGGTGATAAGGCTACGTGCCACCATTTCCAATCACCTCCCCATTTCTTCCTCTCCCTCTACTCCAACCTTCTTCTTCTTCTTCTCTTCAATCTCTCCATCACCAAAACATTTCCACCATATCCAATCCTTCACAATGAGCTTGGCATCTCCCACCACCACCACCACGCTCCTTTCCCCAACTCCCCTCTCCCCCTCCAAGCCCAAACTCCAACCGCTCTCCGCCGCCCTCCAACCACACGCGCCGCCGCAACAATCCCTCACTCGCCGCCACTTGCTATCCTCTGTTTCCGCCGCCGTATGGCTGGTGGCCGCGATCTCCCCGCGGGCAGCGGTGGCGGCGTCGGACGAGGAGTACGTGAAGGACACGGAGGAGGTGATCGGGAAGGTGAGGACGACGATCACGCTGGACAGGAACGCGCCGAACGTGGCCGACGCGGTGGCGGAGCTGAGGGAGACGTCCAACTCGTGGGTGGCCAAGTACAGGAAGGAGAAGGCCCTGCTGGCGCGTGCGTCGTTTAGGGACATGTATTCGGCGCTGAATGCTGTCTCCGGTCACTACATTAGCTTCGGCCCCACGGCGCCGCTGCCGGCGAAGCGGAGGGCCAGGATTCTGGAGGAGATGGATACCGCCGAGAAGGCGTTGCTGAGGGGCAGATAAACAGAGACCACTCTGTTTTTTCCCCTGTTTTTTCCATCCTTGAGTTTGTAAGTTTGAGAAGATTAAGAAGCATAAAATTTGTTGAGGCTGGGTCTTGAAATTAAGCTTAATGCTATACGAGAACGTCCATAATGCAATATGTATGTGTATTCTTGCTTAGTTGCTTTCATAATGTAAACCAACTACGTACGAGATACTCATACTAGCATCTATGATAAAAAGATGCCACATTCGATGAAAAATAGGTCAAATTTCTCTGTCAAATTCGTGTCAACCCAGAAATCCCATCTGACCACCAAACCCAAGCTCATCCCGCCAATCAATTTCTTTATTTCCCACCTTTTCCATCCGGCAGAACGAGTCTCCCTGCCGGCTCAGTCATACTCATTACCTCGCCTTTTGCTCTCTGAAACAATCTCTGCCGGCCGGAAAACTGCTTGAGAGAATTTTGATTGACCATGGCGGGAACGGTACCGGTGAGGAGAATAAAGCTGGGATCACAGGGACTCGAAGTATCAGCTCAGGGACTCGGATGCATGAGCATGTCGCCTCTCTTCAGCCCGTCTAAACCCGAACCCGAAATGATCGATCTCATCCACCACGCCATCAACTCCGGCGTCACTTTCCTTGATACCTCAGATGTCTACGGCCCTCACAGAAACGAAATCTTTCTGGGAAAGGTTTCAATTTTCAGCTACCCAATTCAATTCTTCATTCTGGGTCTGCCTTTGACTTCTTTTTTCCCCCCAGCTCTTTTGGGGAGTGGTTGATTTCGATTTCTTGGCTGTTTACAGGCTTTCAAAGGAGGGTTCAGGGAAAAGGTTGAATTGGGTACTAAATTTGGTCGGCTAATTGTGGATGGGAAGATGGCGATTCGTGGAGATCCCGCTTATGTAAGAAGTGCTTGTGAGGCGAGCTTGAAGAGGCTGGAGATTGATTGTATTGACCTTTATTATCAGCACAGAGCTGATATCACAGTGCCAATTGAAGCCACGGTTCGTTAATCTTAAAGGAATTTCTCATTTACCTTTTAGGATATCACTTTTGGGTTCTTTGAATTTGTCCATTCTGCCTCCTGATTGTTCATATCTGTTTTTGGGGGGGAAGAAGATGGGGGAATTGAAGAAACTGGTTGAGGAAGGTAAGATTAAGTACATAGGTCTTTCTGAGGCATCTGCTTCAACAATCAGGAGGGCTCATGCTGTTCATCCCATAACGGCAGTGCAGTTGGAGTGGTCGTTGTGGTGTAGGGATGTGGAGGAAGAGATTGTCCCTACTTGCAGGTGATCAGCCATTGATGATCACCCTTAACTTGAAAAAGAGTTTACTTTTCTCATGTATAGTAACTATGTTCTTGTGTTTGCTAGAGAACTTGGAATTGGGATTGTTGCATACAGCCCTTTAGGCCGTGGATTTCTTTCATCTGGGCCCAAGGTGGCTGAAAAATTTGAGGGCAACTTTCTGAAGGTTTGGAAACTTCTTTGGCTATACAGTAAATCTCTGCTTCTATAGAAGCTAGCCTTTAAATCTTGTTCTTCAACAATGGCAGTACCTCCCGAGGTTTCAGCCTGATAATATGCAGCACAACAAAGCCATATTCGAGAGGGTCCAAGAAATCGCGAGGAGGAAAGGATGCACTCCTTCGCAGTTGGCACTCGCTTGGCTTCATCACCAGGGAGATGATGTGTGTCCGATCCCAGGAACGACCAAGGTCGAGAACTTCAACCAGAACATTGGAGCTTTGTCTGTGGAGCTGACAGCAGAAGAGATGGCTGAACTGGAATCCATTGCTGCAGCTGGTGCTGTGAAGGGTGATAGGTATGGTGAAGGTGTATTGACATTCAAGGATTTCAACACTCCGCCTCTTTCGTCGTGGAAAGCCACTGGTGTATGATTTGAAGGATGGAATTATTTTGTAATGTTTGCTCTTCAATGTGAAGTACAATTATTTTGTAATGTTTACATTGTATGATTTTTGAAGAATCTGGGGATAAAAAATTTAATCTTTAATGTGAAGTACCATTTTCTAGGTATAGAATTAGAAGGATGGAATTGTGCAATCCTATCCTTCACATATATGAAATTCTGACTTCAACAAGTGTTGGATATAAATTTCGTTCCTTTGTTGATATGCCGATCGTCTATAATTAATATTTCATTAACAACATACGCTATTGTCGTTATAAAATTATAAAAGTGCCACATTGTATGAAAATAGATCGAATCCCTCAATAAATCCTTATCACAAATGACAATTGATTTACTAAGATTACTATTTAAACACATAAACAAGGCTCATTTGTTTCCTTTCCTTACTCACGTTTTCGAGGTATAAGATACAAATTTCAGATACTGAGACTCCGACAATGTTATGAGAATTTCAAATCATGTTAAACAAACAATATCAGTTTTTTATATATTTTCCAGATATGCTTCTCTGACAATAGCTCAATTTAAACCATGTTTCATGAGTTTCCCTCTCATGAGAATAGAGTAATTACTAATTAGTTAGGATTTTTATGCTTAAATGCATTATCTTAAAATATAAAAAAAAAATGAAAAGTAAAATTCTAATGCCCGCCCACTAAACATGGGCCCAAGCCCAGCCCGCCAATCAAATTCCCTTATTTATTTCCCACCTTCTATCCGCATTCCGCGGACTGCGTATCTTTGCCGGCTTAGTTAGACATAGACATATATTTGATACTTCCCTGCTGTTCTCTGAAAGAATCATTCGCCGGCCAGCGAAACTGACCAGATTGACCATGGCGGGAACGGCATCGATGAAGAGGATAAAGTTGGGATCACAGGGGCTCGAAGTATCAGCTCAAGGACTTGGATGCATGAGCATGTCGGCGATCTACGGCCCTCCCAAGCCCGACCTTGAAATGATCGCTGTCATCCACCACGCCATCAACTCCGGCGTCACTTTCCTCGATACCGCCGACGCTTATGGCCCTCACATAAACGAAATCCTTCTGGGAAAGGTTGGGTTTTTTCAGTCTTTCTAATCCAATTCTGCTGCTTCTGGGTCTGCTTTGATTCGTTTCAGGAGGGGTTGATTTGATTGTTTTTTTCGCAGGCTCTAAAAGGAGGGGTTAGGGAAAGAGTTGAACTGGGTACTAAATTCGGTGGTGTATTTGAGGATGGGAAAAGGGAAATCCGTGGAGATCCTGCTTATGTAAGAATTGCTTGTGAGGCGAGCTTGAAGAGGCTGGAGATTGATTGTATTGATCTTTATTATCAGCACAGAGTTGATATTAGAGTTCCTATTGAAGCCACGGTTTGTCTGGGTTCACCAATTCTGCTTTAGTTAAACATGGGTCTTAGCTTTAGATTGTCTAACTTTGGTTATCTTTTTTCTGGGAGAAAAGATGGGGGAGTTGAAGAAACTGGTTGAGGAGGGTAAGATCAAGTACATAGGTCTTTCTGAGGCGTCTGCTTCAACGATCAGGAGAGCTCATGCTGTTCATCCCATATCGGCGGTACAGTTGGAGTGGTCGTTGTGGTCTAGGGATGTGGAGGAAGAGATTGTCCCAACTTGCAGGTCAGCCATTGATGAGGACGACTTGTTTTTTCAACTTGAAAAAAGTTTGAACTTTTTCATAGTTTGTTCTTGTGCTTGCCAGAGAACTTGGAATTGGGATTGTTGCATACAGCCCTCTAGGCCGTGGATTCTTTTCATCGGGGCCTAAGGTTGCTGAAAGTTTTACTGAGGGTGATTTTCGGAAGGTTGGCAACACTTGCATCATCAGATTTCTGTTTAGTACTGAATCTTTAGTCATTACAATTATCTCCATTTCATAGAGAAGCCTTAAATCTTGTTCTCCACATTTGGCAGTATCTCCCGAGGTTTCAGCCTGAGAATTTGGAGCACAACAAAGCCATATTCGAGAGGGTCAACGACATTGCAACAAGGAAAGGGTGCACTCCATCTCAGTTGGCACTTGCTTGGGTGCATCACCAGGGAGATGATGTGTGCCCGATTCCAGGAACAACCAAGATTGAAAACTTCAATCAGAACATTGGAGCTTTGTCCGTGGAACTGACACCAGAAGAAATGACCGAACTCGAATCCATTGCTGCATCAGATGCTGTGAAGGGTGATAGATATGGGGAAGGTATATTGACATTTAAGGATTCCGACACTCCACCTCTTTCGTCGTGGAAACCCAATGTCGAGTAATTTCCCAAGGCAATGTGTAGTTCTACACTTGTTTGTTCACTTGAATCGTCTTCTTTGTTCTGCTCTGTGATCCTGAGGATGTGAAAAGTCCTGGAAGGATTTGTGTAGAGTGGTTAATATTGTATGTTGATTGTAGGCCACAGCCGCTGGACCGGTTGTATTCCTATGAGCGAGTTGAATATTGTACTCATTTGGATTTTGGGTCTTTGTTTATCTTTTGACCAACTTTATACAAGGAAAAGTAATCAATGAAACTGACAAGCAGCCAGCCAGGTTGGATTACCAGTTGGAAAGGTGCCTTGTAAAGAAAGTTCCAAACAACAGCCACTTGGAAACTTGGTTATTGCCAACCTGCAGTAGATTGACTTGTCTTCTTTAGGTTCAATCCTCTTTCAGTATATCCGCACCTTCTGCTTATATAGTACATAGTGATAGAAACACTATTTCTGAAACTCAAATCGTGCAGAATTACCACAGTTTTTTTAGCAGGGAATCATGGCAACAACGGTGAAGAGGATCAAGCTGGGCTCGCAGGGTCTTGAAATCTCTGCTCAGGAACTCGGTTGCATGAGCATGTCTATCTTCTAAGGTCCTGCAAAGCCAGAGCCTGATACGATTACAGTGACTCGAAGGGGCATGGGGGGCTCCAGGAAGCTCGCTAATTTCCTTCGCCATGGTGGAGTCTTGTTCAACAAACGCTGGTGGTCTTGTTCAGTTTCTAAAAATGGGTTCCAAACTCTCTGCCGTTGTTCCAGTGCTTGACGAGGTTCTGGATCGAAGCTTGTAGGGAATCAAGGGAGATGCTGGAGCTGGTGTGGGCAGGAAACTGATGCTTGGTAACTTGTATGCTGATGCTGGTGGAACCATCCTGTACAGCTTGGTTCATTGCGGTCCCTTCTTTAGGCTATTGGGTGGAATTGCCCATGTTGATGCAATAGTCCATGGGGCTCAAATCCAGAATTTATTAGACATATTCGAGTCATTTGGTCACTTCATCAATACAGAGTTTTGATCTAGAAAGTGACAAACAAGTCACCTGAATCCATCTCGAGTCATTGACTCATTTTCATTTACTCAGGTTGTTTTCATGGCAGCAGGAGAACCTAGTGGTCAGGTAATCGAATCTCATCGACTACCAACGAATGTATTACCATTTAGCGTCAAAATACGACTACCTTGCATCGCGTACAGAAGTACGTAGCAAAGAAGAAACGATTCTTTACAGTAGGGGAGGCAACAGCCAACAGATGACAGAGATATAGATGAAGATAAAGTACACAGAATCACCACTTCCATAGCTCCATTCCAACCCAAGTTATATGACTCATCGCGCATTCGACTCGTGACAGTATTTTTATGTAGTTATATGGTATCATCTATACAAGAAGGTCTAACAACCAGACGGACCCAGAAGTTCAATTATTCTCACCTTTTTTTTAAGTCACCATCTCTCACTTTTACCACATTCCTCAACCAAAATCCCCCCTAGCAACACCACCTTCTAAATTATAAGGACCTCCAACCACTGAAGAATTACAAAACAAACAAGAAATCAAAACATCTCATCCCTTGAACCCTTCCCTAGGTCCTTTCCCTTCCAACTACAGGCAACCCCCCTTATTCTAACATCATCACAAGCAGGAATCCAGATACCCGTAGCTATGCCGTCTGTTATACTGTAGCAAGCTCGCATATGTCCGGTCCCATATTCCTATGTATAACGACTCGTCGTCTGGGCTGAGTGCTACTCCTGATATCTCGCCGAAGAAGTCCACCTCTTGCCTTCTCTCGTAGTTTTGTTTCGTGCTATATACGTGCACGAAATCGGCGGGCTCTGCCACCACCATGAACTGGCCGTCCGATGAGAATCGGATTGACCGTACTGCTCCTAGGTTGCCCTTCAGGGTTGCCACGGGGGACGACAAGTTCCTAATGTCCCACACGCGACATGTCTTATCCTGATTCCCTGTTGCAAAAACGAGGCCATTGGGATGCCATGCCGAGGCGAAAGAGTAATCTAGATGGCCTGCCATCGTGGATACCGTCTGCATAAGAAACGAATTATGATTCAGACATCAGTTCCTTACTTCACATCCAAGTAACCAAGACTCAAAGCAAAACTTTGGTCTGTTTCTCCAACTTTCCAAAATTATAGGATAACAGGTACAAGTATTTCACAGCTAAATCCCATAATCTTAATTTTTTTGAGCTGGCACCAAGACAGTAATCACCCTTTCCAGAAAAGGAATGAAACAGGTACGACTTTAGAGAAACAAAAACTACACACAAACAAAATGTTCGAAAAGAGGTCAACTCCCTGTACCTTTCCATTTTGGGAATCAACCAGCAGTCCATCCAAGTTATCGCCAACAACAGTAACCAGTCTTTTGTCAGGGCTAATTGATGTATGCTGCATAATGTTAAGCATGCATCAGCCATCACGTCAGCTTCTTACAAACAGACTAAGCAAACTAAACAAATTAACCAGTCCACAGCCACTTTGTTGGCCAAAAGGACTCACATTCACTGGCCAAGGGAACAGGAAATGATTCAGGAGCTGAAACCTCTCCATATCATATTCCCTCACACCACAATCGTTGTTGGCTGCCATGAAGTGAATTCCACCACTGTATAAAAACCAAGAAGATTCCCAGATAAACTCGTATTCGCCCTGAACAAAGTGAAAACACATAAATTCATCGAAGCGATCAGCCTACCTCAAGCCATCGTATATTTCAATGGAGTTTGTAATGGCATTATCGTCATAGGTAGTGCGGGTGCAAAAGCTAACTCCTTGTTTACCTAAACGCTGCACCAGATTAAACCAGCAATCTTATTAGTCCAGAGTTTCTAAACAGCAAAAAGGTTCATACACGCTGAAGAAAGAAAACAGCACGAAGAATATCCTGGGAAAACAAATAATGTAGCTATAGAGACAGAAAATACAAATCAACTGACCTTGCAAGTAAGCTCTCCCTGGAAGCCCCCTGCAACTAAGAAATTATCTTTAACAGCTAAAGTGCTTATTTGAGTTTGTGTGAAACCTTCCAGCAAGCTTCCTGAATGTTTCTGTTTTGCCAAACAATCAACAGGAAGTAATACTCAGGATCAAAGCCACACAATGTTGACAACTAGGAAAAAGAACTCATTTTTCCACCGATTGTCAGAAATTATAGAGTAAGAAGAGGTACCTCATCAGGGGCTACATGCCCTGCAAAATTAATGACCTCAGATAAGTTGCAAGACAATGATGACCAGTGCATGACGGAGTAGTTAGACATCAGATACACATCATGTTTTGAAGTAGCCCAAACCAAGTTCCTTAGCTGCAGAACCATGCATCAAGGAATTAGTCAAATGGCAAATACAATTCTGGGGACATCAAAACCCATCTAATCCAAATGCAGGAACAAGAAGGCACATCACACAATTATATCCGCGATTAAGAAAATGAGAAATGTCAGTCAACATCAACATTCATCTATGATAACCTGCGTAGAGAAAATCGACCACATTCCAATAAAATAATGTCTAATCTGGAACTTTTACATCAACACAGTAGCAAAACCAAATTGAAATAAACAGGATGAAATGATACCCATAGAATCAGAGAGAACCTTGATGTCAAATAATTGAGTCTTATCATCTAGACCATAATTTAAGAAACAGATCCCTCCTTCAAATTGGAGAGCTAAATAAACTAAAATGAATTACCTAGTCTTACCTTTTTGTCCCCTACAACATGAACAGGAAAACTTGGCAGTACTTTACTTGCCTATTTGTGGAGTAGCACCATATTTAGGAGAATGATTAACATTAAGTAAAAAAAAATGGCATTCAAGCAGCAATAAGCTAACTATCCTTGAATTAAGCACAACATTGAAAATTGCAGGCATCCACACTACATAGCCAGCAATAGCTAACAAATGGAACAGTACAAAACAATAAGTCTTGGATTCACATTCAGATATGTTTAGAAATTGAAAAGGAGACACTAAGCTGCTTCTTTTCCACAGTGAACAGAGGCTACTCAGAGCAACAAAATGAACAACTCATCACAAGAGGTTTCCCAAAACGAGCAGCGTGTGTTGAACGCGACAACAAACCTGGAAATGAAGAATTGTGGGTTTGACCAATCGAGTATTGTAGAAGAATTCATAGAAGTTGGCCCCCTTATCTGTTGGTTTACAAGCCTACAAGCAATAGACAAGACAGATCAGACAACCTTATTATCTATATACTCCATATTACTTCAACAAAAACAGCAGAACTAAACCTTATCGACAAATTCCCCAGACAAAGGGATGTTTTCGTAGTTCTTATACTGTTCAAGCCTTGTCAATCTGTACTTCTCTCTGGTTATGTTCAATCTTTCCCACGGAATACCCTGTATATCTTTGCCCATCCTAGCTTGGGCAGAAGATGTGTCGGTCACCTTGGTAAGCTACAGACAAAATTCAAACGTAAGGAATCAAAAAGCTTGTCACTTGGGGTACAACATCTAGCTAACTGGATGATGAACCAAGGGAAGAAAGAAAGGAAAGCAAACCATGTCATATTCATCAGCCTCCATTTCCACATCAACTCCACCTCCAGCCGCCGCAGCCCCATAGTTGTCTTCATCAATTTCATCAACGAAATCAGCCATTTCAGCCTCTTCTGCCATGTAATTCAACTCACCCGATTGGTGTCTCTCGTGGGACATGGCCGATTCCTGCGTTTATCAAAGCAACAACCCCTCATTTAGAAACAATAAAGCTAAGTGCTTTGCAAATACCCACTGATCAAATTTGCAACAACCATAACCCCAAACCAATTAAACAACATCAGGCAAAAAGTTCACAAAAGGTATCATTCCCAAAATTCAGAAACCCTAGCCAAAAAAAAAACCTAAAACAAGGAAAGAACAATACATCCTCTCCCGCTAAGGAATCCAGCCAACTAGAAGAAAAAGTAGCAGATGAAAATCAATTGGAATTGACTTTCTAAGCAGGGAACGAATTGAGAATCTACGAAACTTGATTCTAGAAGTTGGAATACCGGCAACCCAATGAGAACCACAGAGAAAAAGGAAGGGAGAAGAAGCCCCTGGCCAAGTAATGTAAAATTTTGCAAGGTAAAGGAAGATCTAGAGGGGAGGAAGGGACGATAAGGTGTTACCTTCTGAATCTTACTTGCCAATACAGTTCGTTGGATTAAATCGGCGAGGAAGACGAATGAGGAGAGAAGAGATAGACACAATTGATGATTTGATGGCGATGGCGATGAACTAAACGGGAGAGAGAGAGAGAGAGAGAGAGAGAGAGAGAGAGAGAGAGAAAGGACGGTTCTTGGGATTTTGTTAGCCTTTGCCTGGTAAATGGTAAAAAATGAAACAGGGAGGGAGGAAGGAAATGGAGGAATTCTGAGGGGTAGGGGAAAATTGATGCTTTAGGACTTTTGGCAGCTTGGGTTTTGTTGTTGTTTGGGAGGTTTAATAATGTTTTTAAATATTTATCAAAATACTTTAAACAAATATTAGCAATTAATTATCAAATATTGTTGTAATTAAGCATGAAAAAATGTTATAGTCTATTATCAAAGCTTCTATAAATTCTCAAATTATAAAGAATATGATTGAACTTATGCAAATCATTTACGAGATTCAATTATCTACAAATGGATTTGATTCAATTAGTTGGTTGATGTTGGTGGTTGTGCTTGATCAATCATTTTTTAATTTAAAATTCTATCTATAAGTGAAAACTAATATGATATTACTTTATTATATTTTCTAGATTTCGAAATAAGTGAAACCTCAAAATTTGTGAAGTTATTTTAGCGATTCAACTTTGCAGTGGCCTTAACTTGGTAAACAAATCGAATCCCTAATAGGTCATGAAGTCTTACAGCATAGAGATATTCCATGATCGACTTGGTAATGAAATAAGCACAAAGTGACAATGAGATTTATCACTAAGCATACAAACGCGACAATTGGTGACAACTTTGCAACCCAACCAAAAATATTATCTGGAATGACAAATCGATCATAAATAGTAATCCAAACTAAAAAATTTATTAACAGAACCTCATCTACACAACTGTATATCTTCGAGTACCAATCTCCGCACTTCCTAAGAAAGCTAATTGGCAATCACTTTGCGAATCCTATAGCTTTTATTGTTTGCAAGTGCAAACTCACAACCAGGCTCCAAATCCCATTAATCAAGCTTAACCTGGAGAACTCGACGGGAAGGGTTTGATCGCCCATCGAACTTCAACATGCCAAGCGTGAGGAAACATGATAGTGGTAGATCTTCCTGCATAGCTACAACAAAAAACAACGGTCTAGAATAAGCAACACATAAAAGAAGAGGACGATCCACTGTTTATAGTCCATGACTAGACAAGTAACAATGATCATCAACACACACTCTTTCCTCATTCCTTAACCTTCTAGTACCATGTCAAGAACTCGATTTCTCTCAACATTATAAAACTTGAGAATTGACCCTTTTTTACCAACAAGATTGTTCACCCATGAACTTTTTCTTTCTAAAAGCTGTTCCATTTGTTGCCTAGTAATCCTTCCTATCCCATACCATGAAAACCCAAAAGGGAATCTACAATTTGGGGGAAGTGGCCCTTTTTGCATGAATTGGAATGTGTGATATTCTTCTTAGTGTTTAGGGCTGAGAAAAGGAGAACTGAACAAGCAGACAAGAAGATGAATGTGAATATGTGACTGTCATGTGAGGGCAAAGAACAGATAAGGGAAGAGGGAGACAACATGATCGGTTTGCCAAAGTAAAGAGTGCTTCCCCACCACCACCACCTACTCCTATCATATCATTTTAGCATCGTAATAATACAGAGCATGTAATTGCAGTGTTGAACAGAGAGCTAACCAAACATCTTATCATGCCACTATACTCGAGCGGTAATGGTTGTCGTTTGTAACAATTGTATGTAAGAATCGTTATTCAGTTCTAAGAACGTGTTGTTTACTATTACAAATTATCGTCATAATTGATACTAGTTGTTATACTATGTGCTATTTTTAGATTTGGGTGATGCTTTGATTTACTTAAGAGCACGTAAACTTGGTAATAAAGTGTTGTTGTCATATCGGGTATTTTCTGCCTTCATTCATTTTGTTTACTCTCTTGGGAAACAATGACTCGTCCGTGCAATACTTTCTAAACACGGGTGGTAAATTATGACGGCATTTTCTTTTTAGGCTTATGAATGGAAATTGGTTATGAAGGTGAATTACCTTGTTCATCTTTCACCTAAAGCAGAACTCGTACAAAATCTATTTTTTTATGTCGAAAAAAAATGAAACTGAACACGATGTGATAAATAAGAGGCTTGTGGGCACATTTTCACGTATTGATTGTGAGCATTATAGTCGAATTGGATATTTGTATTCTGAGTGTTTTCTTTTGTTGTTATGTGTGAAAGATGCTCTGTTTCTTTCTAAAGCATTATGATAAACGAAACAATGGCCCAACAGCACATCATTATGATTCGAAAACCAAAACACTCCCCTCCCAAATGACCAACATAATAAGTAATAATTGTTTCTTTGCCCTTTGTTGCTGTATGTTGTAGGCAATATTTACCTCCTCTCCTTCATTAGAGGTCTTCCATTTTTCCTTTACCAATATATATATAAGATAAAGGTAGATCACGACTGACGTATGATATACCCCTAGTGTTTATACTATAATATGAGTTAATATCATGTCTAAATTTTTGCAATTCATGGTTTAAATAGCAAAACTAGAAAGTTCATCGACTCCAATGCCAATAATTTTGCTTGGTTCTTATGTTTCTCTCTCACGAACCAAACTTAAAAAAACTGACCGAACCTAAATCAATTTGATAACGTAAAAAGATCGTTGTGTGAGGCAAATAAACTATCAAAAGTATACACAAATAATTTTGGATCCACTAGAACCTCTATTACAACAACCGATCCGAAAAATCTCAAAAACCATTCATAATTTCTTTCATTCGTTTTTATGTATGTCGATGTCATTTATTATTATTAAACAGTAGAAGAATTATATCTTTTATTGGGATGGTGTTGCATGCTAGCATTAATCCATTGATATTGAGGGTCCTTTTGTATTTTAACCTTACAGCAAGCTTCATGCATATAAAGAAAACTTGTACCTAAAGATAATACCATCATTCACATCACCATCAAATTAATCATGCCCCTCTCTACCCCACCCCACCTCTCCATTCACATTCACATATTTTCAAGACACATTTTGTTGTTTTATGTGTTATAATGATGCCTCTATCACACTAAAAATAACAATTTTACTTAGCTTCCTACGATATACTCAATCCTTTCAACAAGAGAAAATCATCGTATTTTTCTTAATCCAACTCGAGCAATGTAACGCCGCTTAAGTTGGCAACAAGTTCCTAGATTAAACAGAAACGAATAATGCCTTTCGATAGTCCTCAACAAGGGAAAGCTAATCATAGCATATTATTAGTCATTTAAAAAAAAAAGTTGAGGAACACGAACAAAACTTGACTCATAGATTCAACTGCCAATTTTCGTCACAAAGATCTCATATTTAAATCTCGAAATGAACTTACCCTCTCCAAACATCTCCTTCAATAACATGTAAATTCGCAGACTATAGTCACCATGGTGTGACATATATATCTCTATCCAGATCGCTATCCCTGATATAAGATTTAGTGAATTAATGGCAATATATACATTAATAACAAGTACTGGTACCCAACTAAAATCCTCGGCCTGCAAGGAAGTGAATGGGGATGAGCACAAGAAAACAAGGAGCTGGTTAAGTTGGATGCAAATCAAATTATGTTATCCACAGGACCACAGACAACAACAAGAAAGGTAAGGCCCGCCAACACAACTAACTAGTCCTTGACCAACCTCATCTCATCTCAATCCACAAAGATTAAAAACTTCAAACTCTCCACAAGAGAGAGAAGACAACAACTTTTGGTGATATGATATATGTCGTCAAATTACTGATACGTCGGCCTGTACAACAGGGTTTAGAACCCGTATTAGACAAATACCGGTTGGAAGACCAGCGAGATTATCGAACCATTAGTCAATTACAAACAATTTTATGCCCTTCCAAGTAGGCTTCAGGTTATATGTACTTTATTACAATTAAACCATAATCACAATTGACCACGAATTATGTAACACCACAAAATATTATAAAAAGAACATATACAAGTATCACAAAATCAATTCCATTTAATCATCTACCTATACGCATCAGCAATTCAGCCTATCAAATAAGTCTCCAAAATACTGCCAAGAAAGAGTCTCAAAGTCAGTAGACATACACTGGCCCCAATAGGAGGGCTGAATTGAGATCCCCCAACAGCAGAGGGAACAGTTTTCATTAATTTCTCCCCAATCCCCATGTGCACACCCTTCCATTTTTTTTCCATCTAAGGGAGCCCGATCATATCATCCGGCTCCCGACTAAGCGAGGGTAAACATAACGACATACTTACGCGTTATCAGCCGTCCGATTCATACACCTAAAATACAAACTCAACAATCTGCTTCTCAATCGGACGGCTGAACGAGGTAAGCACAGAGACATGCTTACGCGGTCTCAGCCATCCGATTCTTGCATCCCGAATGCGACTCATCAGTCTGATTCTCAATCGGACGGCTAAGAAGGTACAATCCCCCCAACTTTCCACGTTGTTTACTAAAACAAAGTAAAGGGGCACAGGGCAGTTAGGTCTGTCCCCCTATTTTCTTATGTTACATCCGAACCCCAATCGAATTAGTCAAGTGACAACAACAACACAGCAGCACCATATTCCTTTCGCAGAAAGGAAAGCAACGAACTTAGCTACTGACAGCTGTTCTTCCTTTGCTCCACAAATAGCTACATTTCATTATAACATGAAACGACAAGATAACGAGGAATGCACGAATGAGAAGCTTACCCGTCAACCAGCAGCAATGAATGGACTTTGATTGCGCCATGGCTACGTGGATAGGGGCACGGGGCTTACTTTGCAGACTTCTGCATTGAATCCCAAGTCCATTAGCAAGAGCAGCCATGCTCGCTGCTGTTCAGAAAGAATGTCTCGAGGGCCTTTCACCTCGACGAGCTTCACTTCTCCTCTGTAGTTGTCATGGAAGCGCCAGAGCAGTAAGTCCGGCATCCCACTAGACCAGCTTCGATAATCTTGGGCCAGATGGCGGCAGAGGGAAGCCAAACAACGGCCACCTGTGCAGGTCACCACAGCACGAAGTTCGGACAGGGAATGGCGCTCCCAGTTTACGCCTCTGCAGGCTGTTCCTGAATTCAGCTCCCATGAGGTTATGAGGATCTCCTCGGCCATGCCATCGTGGACTTTCTGCAGTTGCGATTCTATTGCGCTCTTTCTTGCTGCGTAGAAGCCGTCGGTATCCAAATCCAGGGGAGCAGTCTGCATGGGAAAGAATGTTGTTTTTCTTAGACATCTCAAGTGAAGTCGAAACAAATTAATCCACTTGACAGACGGAACAGTAAACCAATGATACCATTCTCCTAGCTTGCCACAAGGCCTCAAACCACTAGGTTCGATACATACACATGGATAAGGGCCATAAGGGGTGTGCAACGATTCAGTTCGCTCCAGACTATATTCAAATTTGAACAAAATCTGACTAGATTGAACATAGTATGATTCAATTTGGTTCTACAGATCCTCTTAAAAGCAAAGAAAAAGCCAGACCCAATTAGAAGTGGTCTGACTGGATGCACTTTTGATCTGGCTTTGAAACTCTTTTCTTTTTATATTTGATCCATTTTTCGACCAAATTGGACCATCCTCACTCCTGCATATAAGCATCACAATCAATCATCCCAAGATCTTGACCGATAAACTAAGAACGTATACCTGAAATTTATTGTAGAAGACATTTGGCACATCAGAGAACATCACATCCCACATAAGAAGCCCAAAAATGGTCAACCATATACCAGACTCTGTATGAACACCCTGCCATCCACCACCTTCCCCAGCATAGTACTGCAGAGCAAGTTGTTCAACTCCACACTGATCGCCATCTTCTCCGTAGAACCTGCTCTTCACTCCAGTCTCAGAATTCAAAGGCCTCCCAAGAATATGGACCTATATAAACAATTTAGGGACAATAATTGAATAGCTGTGACTTCATTGCAAACTGTAAAGGATGGCTTTGACCAACAGTAAGAAACGTCTACTAATAGTAATACATAAAAAAGATGCACTCACCTCTCTGATCTTTCTCTTGAAAGAATCTGCAAAACTAGGAGGTTTCCAGCGCCTTGGTGGTTTTGCCAGGCGGATGACTCTCCTTTGTAAAGCCATTTTTGAACCAGCACGTACCCACGGATCCAGTAACCCATTTTCAGCAGTTGTTAAACTCTCATTTGGACAACTGATGTGTTCTAAATCAATGGACAATCTTAAGGTCCAATATCCTCTTCTTCCATCACAAGTAAAACAACTGAGCAACAGCTTCAGCAAACTGATTGCTTCATTGTACCTGCACAAATGAAGGCTCAAGGCTTATTTATTACTTAGGGTGAAATTCTGTCACTGTATCTAAAAGTGAGAGTAAAGAGTATTTTCATCCAAGCTTATAGGATATCATGCTCACAAGGAAAATAAACTACCAAGTTAACTTGACAGCAATGCAATTTGTATTTACCATTGACTAGCCGTTAGAATCCTTTTTATACTATATTAAAACTTCATCAATAAAGAATCTAAAATGCTAGGAAGTCATCCTTATAGGACTGGCAAAAAGGAAGCAACTTCCGAAATAAAAACAAAATTTGGTCATTCAAGTTTTTAAATAAACTTATTTTTATTCAGTAAAACACTGAATTTTGTTTTCTTATCCAGTACAGTCTAGGAAAAAAGGTCTAGTTCGACTCCATTCTTTGTTCAGAAATTGAAATAGAACAAGAGGCTACTGCTTTCCCAAGATTAGTTGCCAATGTACGGAGAAATTTGGCATTGGAGTAATGTGTAGGAAAAATTGTTACAACATAAGACAAATTCAACCTCAGACATCCTCCTATGGCTCTAAACATCAAATTTACACAGTTCACATGACATCGGAAAGACGAAAACGATATATGGAACAGTTCAGATTCTGCTACCAGCAAGAGATGTCCTAGAAAAAAGTTGTGGCTGCTGAAGTAATCCTTCCCAGAGAAGCACTAAATGGCAATAGAAGGAATTTTTTTCTATTGCCATTTAGTTGAAAGGCAAAAAAGAAAGAATCACAAAATACAGAAAGATTTGAACTAAACTAAAAAGCTGCATACCTGCGCTTGCTCTCAAGAAAAGAAATCCCAAGAGTGCCAATCTTGGAATATACCCACGATGCAGAAAAACAAGAAAATGTTTTAGCCCGTGTTTCATAAGGTATGGCTTGAATATCTTTTGAGCATGAGCTAGATAAACGTGATTGAGCTATGGTTATGCATGTTAGCACCAACTCGCTGTTACTTTCATCCAACGATTCATCCATAAGTTGTGCGACTTCAATTGCCTGGGATAAATGACCAGACATAAGAGAAAAGGAGAAGAAAAAAAACCACAATAAGGATGAGACGATGATAATGATATGAATATTACTTCAAATACAAAATACCATACCTCTTCATAAGCAAGTAGTTCACTTCTAATTGTGAATATTTGTTCAGATATTACGCAATTATAATTCGGGTATTTGACTACTCCCAAATCAACCAGTAGAAAAGCTCTCAAATCCTGCTCCCCATTCAGGAAGAAAAGTCTCTGCATATTTCAACCAAGAACTAATCAAAACATGTCACCAGAGTTAGAATCCCCTCATCAATATATACTGTGTATCAATGAAAAAACAGAGAAGATAATCGGACCTCAGCACGCCAGATAAGGGACTCGGCTTTGGCATCTATCTTGACACATTTTCCAGTCCTATCCATAACTGCTATTGGTAGTTTTGGACTGAGCATTAAAAATGGACAGAAAGCATAACTCAAAACATTGTGGTGGCACATTAAGATATCCACAGCATGCATCAAGGGTATAACCATTTAGTACCATACTCCATCCTTGCATAGTGAGCAAAGCTCTGCTACAATATCCTGCTTCCTGGTACTGAGAGGACCGTTCTGAAGCCTCAAACAAAGAAATAAATAAAATCAGTGACTTCCTCGTAAGATATTAAAATTCTTGGCAACTTGCCTGTCATTACACTCCGTTGCACTTAGATAATGTGAGATATATTCTAAAGAATGTCAAGAGATGTATGAAATAAAGCCGAGCAACACTGTTCCTTAAGATTGTATGTGTAAGAAAAAAACAAAGAAGCTAAAATCTTGACGGTTGCTAATAAATGGTCTATAATACAAGCAAGAGGACATATGCAAAACAAGGTACGGCTTTGGAGCTGAGAAACCCTAGTTAGCAACTGTATCCAGAAGGCAATAGTACATAAAATCTAATAGAAACTGGGCATGATAGTTTATTATGAACATAAATGAACCAACAAATGCAACATTAAAAATTTGGACCTCTTTGATTTGTCTTTGCCCACAAAGGAGATCTTAAGTGGGTAGTCTTCAAATAGCAAAAGTTGGATTTCAGTGCAGAACTAGGGACACAATCTAAGCTACAACATATTCACCCAATACATTCCATCATACAAGCAAAAAAAAAAACACATGCAGAAAAGACACGACTTTGTAGATAAGAAGCCCTATTCAGTTAGTAACCGCATCCATCAAAACAATGAATAGAACACAAGATTTGGAAATGTTTGACCCGTATCTGTCCACACAGGATATCTTATACTGTGTAGTCATCAGAAGCCAAGGTTGTTTTAGGAGCAAAACTAGGGACACATTCAAAGCTAGAAAGGATCCACCCAAAATGCTCCATATAACTCAACTCTTAACACATGACAGCAACCATAGAATTACCAGCCACACTCAAATTCTACCTTCAGAAGCCTAACCCACGGGGTATATAGAGAGCTCAGATTGGAAAGTGTCAGACATCCAGACCCATATTTGAAGCACTTGTACATTGCAAGACTCCCCCAAAACATGGGGTATAAGGATGCAATTATCCAATAAAAAATACCAGATAAACAAAATCCAAGCAATTTTTTCTTTATATTATACATGGCTCTAGAATTGTTACCAGAAGATGTTCTCATTCTTTCATTCTTTGGCTCTACTTTCTTTATTCTGTATAATATGCATATTTAACAACAACCAAAAAGGTGGTTCACAGACCTTTTTAAGCATGCTGCTGATTTCTCGTAGCTCAGATACAGTTAGTAAACTCAGAATTTCCTCCATGTTGCTATTTTTAAGTTCATTTGCGTGCCCAATGGAACACATGTAACCCTTTGCTGCAATAAGAAAACAGTAGAAATTTTTTACTTCAAGCCCATGCTTCCATATTGAGTGTACAAGGTAGAGCAAACTTCATCAAGGATTTGAAATTACCAGAGAGCTCATTGCTGGCTTCCTTCAGATTCAAAATTTCAGGGTAGGAAACATTGGACATGCGGAACCAAGGGCCTGGAACAAGCAAACAACGATGATTTACAAACACTATGCAAAACCTTGAAATTCATTAGATCATCAGAAAACCAAAAGGGCTTGAAGAAGCTGTTCGTAGATGTGGCATTAGATGCTTTGTAAAGCTTCTTAGTTCGAGTTTCATGCTTAAAGGCATGCATTCAGCAGCAACTAGTATAGTAGTATCCTCCAGTTTAGTTCCCGGACAGAACAATATATGAGTGGACTTACAAGCCACATCACCTAAAACTATATATGTAATAAACGTGTTGATGACTGTTGTTCATGTTTAGGCATATTCATAACAAGTTAGGGCAGCAGATCCAATAGGCAGTGTGTGTTTTTTAGTTTCATGCTTGATGGTGCACATCCATCACGTAAATAACAATTCAATTTCCAGAGTTGTGGGGGAGTATTTATCATATATGCATGTGGTTCAACTGCAGTGGAAAGGTGATTCATGGGGAAAATGAAAATTCAGCAGGTGTCTGTATTGCGAATGACTCACCTTTCCGTAAATAGAGCCGAACAAAAAGCCTCTGACTGTCATCAGAGAGAGAGAAAAACAATTCTGCCAACAGTTAACACCAGACATTGTCATAATCTGTCAAAAAAGGAAGTATAAGAGACAAGCAAAACATCAAAACCAGGTATTGGAATTAGTACCCAAGAAATTTCTCTCTTCATCAGTAAAGAGGTGAGAATTAGTTCGTAAAACTTCTTGGACTAATATAATGAAGTTCTGTTGATACTTTGCCGCACTGGGTGAATTACTCTTCATAGATTCAACCACATGAAGAACGTTCTTCCAAGAAGTTGTGAGGTCCTTCACTTCGTTTTCATCAGTGGAACTACTTGTTAGGGTATCCTTGCTCCTGATTTGAATGGGAACAACATCAAGAGGGTTATCTGGAATAGAAGTTATGAACCCCTGCAAGAAACCATGAACATCACTAATATTAAATCCACTGAACTGGTAAAATCTGCTAACAATTAACTATTAAAAATGCCAAATTCCTCTCGTCTAGCAGATTCAGATGCAAATACTTCAAAATGAAGAAAGTTCAGAAAGGAAATAAACTAAAATGTCCTAGGATAATTATTTGCATATTGGAAACGGGAGCTATAAAAATAAATTCAATCCAATTGCACTAATTATTATCCTAAGTATAAGATTTTTGCAATTTAAAAATATTGTCACTGCATCTTTTGTCAATCATGCTTGCACATCCTTTGAAGATAGAAAAAATAACACTTGCATAGAATCAGAGTTAGCCTCAACTTTAAGTGATTGTTTTCCCAGCTTCAGACAAAACTACACACAACATACCTAAACAAACGTATACCTCAAAAATGACACCATGCTTCTCAATCAAAGGAGACAAATAGCGAGCCAGCTCACGTGGTAGAAAACCGAGCACCCTGCAAGATGCAGAATCTCCTAAAAGAACCTTTATTGCGTTGGGATCCTTAGCATTCTCTGGGTCCTGCAACAGAGTGATGCTAGCTCCACAATTTAACTCTTTTTCATCACTAAACTTACGTCCAACTATAAAAGTCTCGAGAGTCTCGAGAGTCATCTGGAGCTTGTCGGTTACAGAAGAAGAACCAACTTGGCCAACGCTCTCATCATTTTCACAAATTTGTTCAACAGCTTGGCTATCATTACTGCTAGCAACAACTGAAGGTGGTTTGGCAGTATCAATATCCTTCCCCTCATCTGAATTTGGCTTCTGTAAACCAAAGACTCTCCTCAGTAAATGTTTGTTTTCAAAAGGTCCTGAAGAAACCACACTGCTGTTTAACTTTCCTGACTCGCTGGATCCAATTTCCGAACCTGACTTCGACCGAAAATCCAACTGTAGTAGTGTTCGCTGGGTCAGTTTCCGCTTCTTCCCTTGAACTAGACATACATCTACAAGCAGATACATGATTGTCACAAACAGGATTGACAATAATGCGAATAAATTAGCATGACAAAGTAAGATGGGAAAAGGCATGATGGTTTGTGTATTCAACTCCAACTCGACACTTATCAGGTGCGCCACAATCATCATGGTTTTGTAACAGTCCCTACAACATCTGACAGCCATTCCCAGAACTACGAAGCCGAGGCAAAGAGCAACAATACCTAAATGTGAGTTCATCATGTAGTCTCCCCCACAAACTTTAGTACCACAAACAGGACAACTGACCCATTCAGTTTCGGCAACTGAAGTTTCGCCCGAACGCTGTTCAACTTCCCCAGCTTTCATCTCTTCCATTCCACCCACCGGCGACCGATCCCCATCATCATCCAAACGCGAGTCCTGACAACCACACCGTGTGTGAAACTTAAATACGACCTCGAGTTAAAGCAAGAGCTTGCAGCAGCTACTTGACTTGACTAACATTTCGTCCCTTTAACAACGCAGCAAATGGGGTCAATCAGGGAAAATGAAAAGAAACCTGGATAGCGGCGGCGGAAAGGAGGAGGGAGTGACGATTGGGGAGGAACCGCCGCCGCTTTCCGACCAATCGGATCAAGCTCTCCCGCCCAGTTAGCATCTCCTCGGTGACGGCAGCGCTCAGCGAGTACCAGGTTCAGGTGGGAAGGTTGACGGCGACAACCCTTGCCCGAATTACTGAGGAATTTTTTTGCGCCCCATTGCCGAATCTGTATTTATTTCCCGCCAAGCGGATTCCTTACTCGGTGGGTTGCGTCCGTGGGAAGCCGTTTGATCGAGGGCGCCCCCGTCGACAGGTCAAAGAGACAGCCGAGGCAAGGTGTGTGGGCCTGATCAATGAGAGGTCATTTCAGCCCATATGGAAAAGGGGTAACGTAACTGGGCCAACTTAGCCCAATCAAATTGATGGATCGGGTATTCGGTAAATGGGAAAATTACAATAAATATTACAGGTCGTTGTAAAACCATGATAATAACCTTCACAGTTCCTTATATCAAAGAAGTGAAGGACACAAAGCATGTTACTCACCACAATTAAATATATAAATACTAGCGAACGTTTATTAGTTTGAGTAGCACTCAAATAGATATAATTAATTGTTGATATATAACATTGTGTTTGTTATATAATTAATCGGGATATGCAAACGCTTATTAGTTTCAGTAGCACTTAAATAGATATAAATAATTGTGGATATATAATATAACAATGTGTTTGTTATTAATAATTAATCGGGATATGTAACATTGTGAAGATTCTCCTCTACAATGGGTCCCTTGTTTGCTTGCCACTATTACCGGACGACATACGCATAACTATGTTGTCCCGAGCCACATGATTGCCATGTGGTTATGTGACACAACATAAGCTGTCTGTTGAGGTTGGTGCAGTAGTTGTCTGTCTGTTGAGCCACATGGTACGCATAACTGTAGTTGGACGGCCAAAATCCATTAATGGTGAAGTCGATTGGATATGGGTTGCAGCATGGTGGCGAATATGGATCTCTGCACTTGGTGTATAAGATCTATGCCTTACTGAAATAATCATATATTTTGTTTATAAAATTTTGTGTATGTGAGAACCGTTGACCAAGTGGCTGACTTGTTTACCAAAGCTTTGAGCAAGTTTTGTATTAAGCAATTGATTGACAAGCATGAAGCAAATGTTATTTATTCATTTCAATTGTAAAAGGAATGTTGTCTTATAAAGCAGCAATTTGTCATTTGTTTATTTTTTTCTATAAGCGAACACTGTTGTTTGCGAATACCACTAATTAAAGATATACACATAACATAAGAATACATTCTCTGACATGATTGACACATGGTTATGCGACACGGAATAGGATGCCCTATTTATTTCAATTATAAAAGGAACGTTGTCTTATAAAGCAGCGGTTAGTCGTTTGCTTATTTGTTTATATAAACAAACACCTTTTTTGCGACTACCACTAATTAATGATATACACATAAGTATACATTCCTCCACATGATTGACACGTGGTTATGTGATACGTAATAGGCTGTCTGTTGAGGTTGGTACAGTAGCGGATCTCAAATAGGAAAACGGCTCCATTTGGATCAATCCAACATACGATGTTGGGTTTCAAGTTGGTCGCTCCCCCTGCATAGTATTGGATCATTGCTACGCTATACTAGTACTAGTTTTCTGAAACAACGCCTCCATATGCAAGGAGATTCTTCACGTTGAGGTACCGAAATAACTTATTTTCCCTTCTGAAGTAATCGTCTGGTTGTAGCCCTGAAGCACTACCATGTTTTTTCCATTCATAGACCCAGAATTCAGGGTGGGGGTCCGTTTGTCCTCTCTCCTGCAAGTGGGGCCATGTCGTGTAAAGGTTATGAATCGTTGTCGCACTCAACATATGCTTTTGATCCAAGCAAAAAAAAAGGACATGTGAGAATCAGTTACGAACAAGAAGAAGAAGAAATCATAAGAAATATGAATCCAGCTGTTAGATGTTACGTACCTTGAGAGTGTGATGAGTGTAAAGCGAGAGTGTCTGTAGAATGACAGCCCCGCGACCAAAACCCATGAATGGTTAAGTCGGCAGGATATGGGTTGTAGCATGGTGGCGAACATGGATATCTGCACTTGGTGTATACGCTATTTGCCCCTACTGAAGTAATCTTGTCTTTTGTTTAGCAACTCGAACCATGTCACAGCTTACTAACCATTGCATAACTCAACTTTGCTAATTGCTCCAAGCAAACAACAATAAGGACATACGAGAATATGAGCATCATGAAGAAGAAGAAGAAGAAGAAGAAGTTATATGATCCGAGTATGCTCCTTGTTAAGGAAAAAACCAAAGAAAAATGACACTATTGCGAATGATTGAGATTGGTTTCAAGGAATGGTGTACTGATCACAAAATGTAAGCACAAAGGAGATGTTGGTATTTGATGTTTTGTTTGTACCTTTGGAGTCCATTAACGCCATCTATATATTGGACAACTGAAAACCTAACCAAGTGTTAGGTGACTGTTTACACCAAAATATTTTTCATTGATTATTGCTTGTATGAACAACTTGGCCAATTTAAGTAGTTGGGCCATGTGTACATGGTTGGTCCATGTCCAATTTATCAAGTCTAGCCGTAGGGTTGTTGGATGGTAGCTCGGGCATGGATACCATCCAAATCCAATAATGGATGGTAGTGTTCAATAACATGGATAACATCATATGAGGGTTGCCACAAATTCTCCTCAATATGGAGGTGGTGACCACATGAAAAAAAACCAATGTCGCCAAAGCTGACATAACTCAGTATAATCCTCCATGTAAAGGGTCCTCAAAGACTCCACTGAGTGGACAGGCAGGCAAGCTCGATCAAACCCGACATGGAGTTGCCACACCAGTGCTATTTGGGAACAAGTCTGCCATGAATGGTGGACATGAGGGTAAGACCAATTCCCACACACGTGTTGGTGCAGCTCGCAAACCTCGATGCTCACACTCTCAATGCCAGGAGAGTGTGAAGGCGACAAAAAACAACCATTGTGGGCAAGTGATGCCACATGGTCGATTTGGCCAGACAAAGGTGCCAAAAAACATGAAAATCCTATCTAGATCCAAGAACGCTTATGGTTTTCACGAGGCTAAGATGAGACCAAATCAGACTTGTAGAGTTTTGAACAAAGTTGTTCGAGCTAGACGAAATGGAGAGTTGCAAGCCAACAATGGCTACAAAACATCAAAACCAACATGTGTGAAGCTAGCTATGACGAGTCATGGCATTCACGGTTGGTATGCTTGGTTTGATATGTGGAGTTGGTAATGGGTATGGACCTTCGACATGATTGTCTATGCCAAAGTCTAGCTTATTATTTAAATAAATAAAGTGTGGCTAAATTAGGCCATGTTATATGTTAATAAAAGAAATAATATTTAAAAATTTTAAAAAAAATTTGGCGACGTTATTAAAAAGAAGCCACAACGTTGTTGAAAATGGTTCAAGATGACAAGCACATTGCCTCACGTGATGTGTTGGAGAATATCAATCTTGGCATGGAGGAAAATCTTCGTCCAACTTTTATAAGTGTCAACTTACCAGAGTTTGATATTAATGGCAAGTACTTTATGCCATATGTACCGTCCTTTTGGGACATTAAGGAGTGTTAGTAAGTTAGATGTCGACCAAGTGCAGACGAATACCTAGTTGAAGTTGACATGGTTTCTAAGATGTGCAACATTGTCGAGGAATGAATGGCCATATCAAATCTTTGCAAGTTGGCCATAATAGACGTTTTGTTTTCTAGCTCACAAGCAGAGGCATTGAGCCATATGGTATGACTCCAAATCGTAATTTGGATGGTACCATCCCAATTCCAATAGGGCTACCATCCTTCCTAATGGTCGTCCACCTTCTGGATTTACCATCCTTGTTACAAGAGGCCTGGGATGGTTGGCCTTAAGCGATTTGTAACTTGGTTTGTTTAAATTGTTACATTGATAGTGTTGTCCAAGCAAAAGGATGGCATCCATGTTGTATATGGAATTATGGATAGTGATTGAGTTTGGTCGAGTAACCATCCATGACAGAGAGGAAGAGTACCTGGGTTTGGTGACTTGAGGCCGAACAGTAGCAATAGTCTTGTCGTGGGGAAGCATCGCACAGCTTTGGAGGTACGATGATATTTTTTTAATTGTAAATTATAGTGAATGGGAGCATCAATTTATAGAGAAAAAAATTAGTTGTGCCCTTCTAGGAATGAGTTTCCTTTTGCTAGTAGGGTCTGAGTTAAGAGGTGTGTCCTACATGAAAAAGAAGTTGGGTTCCTTATCAAAAAAGGAAAAGGTAGGCCACGTTATTTGACTAAAGATTGTATTATTAGTCGAGTTGGAGAGGGACACCCTCTTGGTGTGTTTCGTTTACATGGCCAGGAAGGAATTACATTTCTTATATTATATGATTTGGAAACATGGCTATATAAAGCCAACATCTGCTTCAAGTGGTTGCGCATTTAGTACAGTCGGTGTCAACAACTTAGTTCATAAGAATTAGTTCTTATAAACTAAGTTGTGGGGGGCATTTGTTTACACCAAAATATTTTTCATTGATTATTGCTTGTATGAACAACTTGGCCAATTTAAGTAGCTGGGCCATGTGTACATGGGACTAGATACTATAACAACACCCCTTGTGTTGTTATTGTAACAACACTAGTCTCCAACCAATAGCAAACTAGGGTTGTGATTACTTTTTATTAGATGAGTTGACCTAGTGTAAAATCAAAACAGGAGTATAATTGTCATTATGAAAAATATGTTTAAATAATAAAATAAAATAAAAAATTTTATTTTCGGTCCAAAATTTTGGTCGCCGGAATTCGGCCACCGGTTGCCGGAATCTAGTCGCGGTCACCGGAATATGCTATTTTGTCGCAGGAATATGCTCAATGTCGCCGGAATATGCTCACCGTTGCTGGAATATGCTCACCGGCTCAGAATCTAGTCATCGGGGCCGGAACATGCCTATCGGCGTCAGAATCTGCTCACTGACGGTCATCGGAGTTCGTTCAACGAACTTCGATGACTCATGATTAATGGTTTATCATTATACAACTATTTTTTAATCGTTAATGGAACTATTCAGATGTAAATAACAACGTAGTTAGGTTGAAGAAGCATTTAAGTTATTCCATTGGACCATATTTTACGTTTAATAATTTTCTAATAAAAACTATCTCGATTTTAAGCAATTACATATAGTAAAAAATTGATTTTTTTTTGTTTGATCTAATTCGACACAAATATTGAGTCGGTACGATATGGATCGAATTACCTTTCAAAATTTAATGTAAAAATTAGACATGCTAATTTGAAAATTAAAAAAATTTAAAACAATATAAATTGATTGTATTTTGCCAAGATTTCCCGTCTTTCTTCCTCTTCATGTTTGCCGAAATCACTATGAAATGAAGTTTCTAAAACTTTTGAAGGTTGATGCTTGGTTTATCTGTTTAACATAAAACCCTAATGCGAAAAAACCTATTCCGAAGGAACCTCTTCCTAAACATCCACGCCACAACGATATATCATCTTTATCATCTCAAAATCCAATTCGCAAGCATTATCTCATTTAGGAGTTAAACAACTTTAGATAGCCTCTGTTTTTTCCTTAACCACACGAAATAAATCTACACAGAGCAAAATTCAAATAATTATTATGTAGCATTTACCTTAAAACAAATCTTCTTTTTCCTTAATCCTAATCGCATTTACTAAAAAGAAAACCAAAAGTCCAATAATAATGAGTGACCCTTGAGTGTTTGAAAATTGTCAAAATTACCCTTCCACCAAATAAAGAGAACCAATCAAAGTACAAGGTGGCAACAATTAAACGTCGCACAATCCATATCTATCTTCTGCTCGCTAACAAACTGCAGCTGCAATGGCCGGAATCAGCGGCGGCGGCGTTTCCCTGACGGAGGATTTAATGGAGAGCATCCTTCTAAGGCTGCCAACAGCTTCCTGTATCGCTAGATTCCGCTGCGTTTGCAGATCCTGGCGTGTTCTCCTCTCAGATCCTCAATTCATTCTCAAGATCCTCTTTTCCCCCAATAATTCCGACGATGAATCCTCCCTCCAGATCCTAATCACCGCCGGCGGAGACGCCGCCACGCCATACGAAATCCGCCGCCACCGTTACTCCTTGCTCTCCTACGAGACCCTCCGCCCCATCTCTGCCCCAAATGCAGAGGGGGATTTGCCCTCCGACCGGCTACCCTGCCCCTCTGCAATCGTCGCCGGGTGTTGCGATGGCATATTCTGTATCGTCGAGTTCGACCCCTATATGAAGGGCGGCCCCGGCGTCATTCTGTGGAATCCGGCCACCTCAGAGACCAAAGTACTCCCCGCTTCCACCGCCGTCCCACAGCGCACCCTCTTCCCTCATCAGCATATCACCGGTTTCGGGTTCGATCCCCAAACCAACGACTACAAGGTCGCTAGAATGTTGTATTTCGGCGATGCGTGTGATGATGTGGATGATGACGGTCTTCCCGCCGAGACTTTAACCACGCTTATTTATGCGGAGGTAATAGGATTTTCTGCTTCTTCGTTCTGGGGTCGTTTGGATGATCAAGAGGTAATCATTCATAGTTGTACACTTTTTGATTCCTGGGTTGGTTGGTTATTCAGGTGTTTAGCTTGAGGAATGGATCATGGAAGAGTCTAACCATCAATGGTGATCTGATCCCGTACCTCGGGTATGGCGGCAGCTATGTTCATCCACAGCAGCAGCCGGACAATCACAATAATTCTCAAAACCAGAGGAGACGCGACTGCTACTGGTTTTATGCAGAGTCGGGAGTTTGCTTTACTCTTCGGTTCGACATGACTGAAGAAGGATTTGAATCCACCTTCATAACCCTCCCTCCTCCCCTCCGCGGCAAAGGATTGGCTTCGATCGGGTGTTTTGTGATGAAGGATTCACTTCACACCATGTTTCACGATTGTAGCGGGGATTGCGAGAATTACTCCGTATGGTGCATGCTGAAACAGGAAGTTGCTGAGTCTTGGATCAGATTGTATACCTTCACGTCGCACGCGTGGTTTGTGGAGATCTTACAAGTTTGGAAGGAGGATCGGTACATCGGAAGTGTGAGCTCGCAGCCTCACGAAGCAGGAGAAAAGGACGGAGTCTACATTTTCTCCCCGTCGACGGGGAAAAACGGCGATCGTGTTGAAGTTCAGGGCAGAACGCATCCGTTCCAAGCGCACATTTTTACTCCGACCCAGGTTTCACTTTCTGATTTCGTATAGTAGTTGCAGTAGTACTGATCGTTGTGTACCATGTCAATCATCTTTCATGTACGTTCCCGCCTCAATAAGGCCATCGATGAACGCACAAGTAGTGTGGTAGGCAGTAGTTTATGACATGGCCATTGTTCATGATTGGATGGCACATGCTATCAGACTATGAACCTGATAGCTAAGTTACCACCGCAGGTTGTGCGATAACAAATGGAAGTAAAGTGAGAAGCCAGATAAATCTTGCAATGGTAAATGGTTAAGCTGGAAATAACTCACAATACAAATGGAAATCAAACGCAGTTGTTCACAGCAGACAACAAAAGAGTAAATTTCCAAGCATTAAACAGAACACAAAAGATGTTTGATAGTTGCCTAGGGCTCTAGCAAAATTTCGAACTATAGAGAAGACGGCACGAAAGGTTCGCATGTTCAAGACTAAAAGACCCACAAATTAAACCCTGAAACCCCTGCTGTTTCTCCTTCCTCTAGCCTTCTCAAACTTCCTTCCCTTCGACCTAACATACGGCTTGCTATGGCTGTGAGGCACACCGGGAGCTGGGCCAAAGTGTTTCACTGCCTCACGAGCGTTCTTCGGGCCTCGGAGGAGAACCTGCAGACGGACAACAGAAATCCGTCTCAGGATTTAACATCTGGGTAGCTATTTACATTGGCAGAATGTATCTAAGTAGTAATTAGCAATTATGACCATCAGAGAAGGAAGTTGTATCCATCAAATAGACCTCATTAGAATCTTAGAATCACAGAAACAAAAGATTGGAGTACTATTGATGAACTCAGTCGCTTAAGATGTGCATTGGTCATTGGAGATTTGTAGCATGATGAAAGTTTCATCAATGTGCATCACAATTCACCAATCTTTCATTTTCCAGTCAAAACATAAAGAGGCTTTCAACCATTCAAACCAGCCATTCACTAATCTATTGCAGAAGTAGCTAATAAACTAAAAGGCGAAATTTGGAGAAAGGGAGAAGCAAAACATACAGTGTTCTGGCCAAGAGGAGCTCTCAGGGCAAGCTGGTCGAACGTCAAACATTCTCCACCAGCTTTCTCAATTCTGGCCCTGGCAGTCTCAGTGAACCTCAAGGCAGTAACCTTCAAAGCTGGAACCTCGTAGGTCCTAATGTCATCGGTGATTGTTCCCACGATAACAGCAATTTTGTCCTCCTGCCCAAATCAAACAGCACGAAATCTCAGCACCAAAGCAAAAAGAACCCAACTTCCAGGCTGAGAAACAAAAAAACACAAAGACAGGTGATCAAACCTTCCCCTTGGTGAAGCGGATAAGCCTGGACAGAGAGAGTGGCGGCTTGTTGATCTTGCTCATAAACAGCCTCTTCAATACCACTTTATTGAAGCTGCTCCCAGTCCTCCTCACCAGAAACCGGTACAGCTGATGCAGCATCAACCCATATGAAATCAGGCAAAAGGGTTCAATCGAAATGGTTCAACTTCAGGGAAACGAAATATGCATGGATATCAGAATCCCAGTACCTTGACGAGAAGCTTGAGGTAGATATCATTGGACTTCGGCGCGGTGCGCTTCGTCTTCTTGCTTTTACCTCCTGCCTTCAAATCGATACCCTGCACAAAACGAGACACAACGGATATTGTTATATTACGACGCGGAGACGACGGCAAACGGGAAACAGAGAGAGACACTTGAGAGGAACGCAGATGCCTACCATGGCTGCCGGCGGGTGAAAGGCTTAGTTTAGAGTTTGTGACAGAGACGATCGAGTTTATTCAAAATGGGAGCTAGGGTTTTCTTAGCCGGGCTTTTGGGCTTTCTTCTCAATCTTTTCACTGTGTAGATATCGGGGGCTCCCGGGCATATTGTGGCCTGCAGTTGTAACTAGATTGGGCTCGAAAACAAATATGACTGGGCTACATGAAGTGGGCTCTTAGCGGCTTGCTGAGGCTTAAAGGCCGAATATCGGTGAATCGAACCAAAACCATGAGACCTACGGTCAATATAAAAGAAAAACTAGTGTGGGCCCCGGCCATTTGGCCGGAGGAAGGTAGGATGGCAATGGGTCGGGTTGGGTCGGATTTTGCCAAATTCAAATCCAAATTTATGGGTTTATTCGTGAAAAAAATTCGGGCTAAAATCCACTGGGTTTGAAAAACTCAAACCCAACTCAACCCCCTGGGTATCCGCGGGTTCATGGGTACCCACAGGTTTTTGTCTTAAAAAATTTACAATAACAAGTTGCTATCAAAATTAAAGTCAAATATCAATCTCTCAATACAAATTATCCATATATAAAATACCATTCTAGAAAATCCAAGCAAATAACAAATTATCCATAAATAACATGATTAATTGAAAGCTTCTTCCTTTCAATTAAGTTTCTTCACTCTCCACTCGATAACATCAACTTCATTCTACACAATTAGAAAGAAAAAATTAGACATGTCTCCACAAACATAAATAAGATAAGTTGTTTAGAATATTAAATATATCGAGAAAATTAATTATATGGGTGTGGGCGGGCACCCATGGGTCGGGTTTACCTAAACCCAAACCCAACCCAACCCGATGAATATTGAACGGGTTTAAACCCAAACCCGGCCCAAAACCCGTCAACACGGATTTTACCCGCGTTGACCGAGTTGGGTAGGGTGGGTACCCGTGGGTTCGGATTTTGTTTTCATCCCTAGAGGAAGGTGAGGTATGAAATTTGATAATGTAATGGGGTGTATAACTTATTGTTGTATAGTTTTTTTTTTTTGGGAAACACGTGATAAAAATAGTGAATTTTAGCAGGAAAGAGACATTAATGATGCAACAAATCAAAAATCGGCCTTATGAACCAAAATCAAGTACCTGTTACCTTGTGAAACAATATTGTTTCTGGTAATATGATGAGGTGAAGTAAGTTTTATAGAAACTGAATTCCAGAAAATCGAATAAAAAATCGCCCATCCCGTCGGTTTTTGGGAAATGAGCATCTCACAATCGTTGCTAGCTTTTACTCAGCCTGTTGGCCGATTAATTTGGTTTATAAAACTTTCATCTTGTCGTCATTGTGCTTTCTGGTTTTTTCAGGCTATGATAAAATCTAAGGAAATAAAGAACGAACAACACGATTTGGGATAGGAACCGTCGTTGTCGTATCCCTAGAAAATGGTGGTAAACACGGACTCACCTGCCAAACTGGTTTGGATTGAGATTTTTATCGGGTATCAGGGAACCATGTGATTATAAATTAGACTTGATCAAAAGGGGCCAAAACTTGAAATGCAGCCTGTTTGACCGACCCATGCCAAATTCTAATTATTCTTTACTTTTAAAGTTTTTATTTGAAAATAAAAAATAGTGAAAGAAAAGAGATGACTGCCATTTGCACATCACTTATTCGGGAATAAAACCATAGAAATTCAAAAGGAACTGAAAATGTTAGGATCGTTTTAATGTTTAAAATAACCAAATAGATCTTTCTGTTTAGTTTTTTACTAACAAATACCAAACGATTCCCTATAAAATACACTATGATTTGATCATTATGATATCAAATAATTATATAATATATATTTGAAATGATAAAAATTGGACTAATTGGGTTGGTCGAGGTTGAACCATTGAATAACTTTAAAATACATTATATTTTAGCCACTAAGATATAAAATAATAGCATAATATATTATGTCAGAGAAAATAGCTTGTTTTAGAATGTCAAACCAATGATGTTCATTTGTTTTACTTGATGGCCAAATCCCGTGTAGGTCAAACCAATTCAACTCTTTTATTTTATGGTTAGCGGTTAGCCCATTAGATACCATGCATTAGTTTATTGTTAAATTTTTTATTTTTAGCAATAAAAAGAAGTATTGTTTTTGCCTCTTCATATATATTTTATCACCACGGAGAAATAAAAGGGCTTAATGAAAAAATTGACACTCTTGAACCCGTTTAAATCCGCATGTGTACGGTAAGTTGGCCCGTTCCACAGAGGAAAGAGGAAAAAAATGACACTCCCTATTCTATCATTCCTACAAACGCTCCTGGAGCAGGAAATTTGAAATGGGGGAAGGGTTTTTTCCTCTCTGCTATTATATCTTTTTAATTTAAAAAGATGCAACAAATGTACTTAGTGTGATTGGTTATTATCCTTACTTTTTCTTAAAATGGTCATGGTTCGAATCCCACTACGTGTCTTTTTAATGAATTAAAAAAAGTAAGTGTGAAGACCAAAATGTCCTTCCTACTTTCACTATCGTTGCAGGAAATTTGAAATGGGGCTCCCGTTTTTCCCTTCGGTGTATTATATTATGTGTAGATTGGAATCAAAGACAAGATCGTCATTTTATTCGGTTAGATTTAACTTTCTACATATATCAATTTGGTTTAATTTTTCTTCTGTATTTATAAAAATCATGGAACCAAAAAAAATCAGACGACATTATATTTAGTTTGATATAGGCTTGTCAAAATAGTTATTTGACCTTATGTACTAAGATTCATATTGTAGGTTCTTGTATATGTTACTTTTAATTGCGTTGCTATATAAAGTGAGACTTTATACATAATTTTTTTTTTATGTCTGACTAGTATATTTAATGTGATCTGCAAACTTCTGACATTTATTATGAAAACTAAATTTGTTAGATTCAGATATATTTTTTTCGATTTAACATTTTCGGACACTAATGCTATTTTAGATGAAACACAATACAAAGAACAACTCGAATAATACAAACGATTATCCTTTATTATTTTTATCACGAAACAAACCAAAGTGGGAAACTAAGGCCATATTGTCTAGTTTGGTCCTGTTGTAGTTTTTGCAGAAGCAGCTTCTGGCTGGAGCTTTTAGATAAGTATTTTTCAACAAAAAAAAAAAACAGTTGAGTGTTTGACGGTAAAACTATTATAAGTGTTTTTTAATATGAGAGGTTGTGTAAAATGAATATAAAGGACTTATAATATAAAATATGAATAAAAATTATAACCAATAAAAAGTAGTCAAAATGGATCTTGTTAGATTTCTTTTATATTAAGTAATATGATTTTATATTTTATTTTATTTTTAGAATGATATAAATGAAGAAAAATTATGTTTTCTGAAACAAAATTAAAATACGGTAATGATAATCTTGTATTCTCAAAACAGTTTTTTCGCAAAAGCTCCAAATCGGAGCTTCTGCTTTTAAGTTATACAAAATCGTTTTTCGACTTTTCAAAAACCGAACTTTTAGATGTGTTTGGAATCTGCTTCAGCTTTTGAAAACAAAAATTATTTCTAAAATCAGGCCATTTCTAAAATCAGGACCAAACATAGAATACACGGTGAAATCCGGTTATCACCTTCTTTCTGATGATCGGGCTGGGATCTTCAATACTCTGCCGCCTCACCTAGATACACGATTCTGGAAGGTTCTCTGGAGTCTGCCAGTGCCGCCAAAATTACGTGTTTTCCTTTGGCGGGCTGTGCGTGGATTCCTCCCTTGCATGTCTATTCTCCAAGCTAAGTCTCTTAGTGATACCAATGAATGTCCAGTCTGTTCGGCAGCTTCGGAAACTATCTCCCATTGCTTTTTTGATTGCAGGGTGGCAAGGGAAGTATGGGATCTGGTGGGCAAATCCCCTCTCCGTGTGCGCTAGCGGCACTTCCGGTTGATGTGGCTTGGGCCCGGGTGTTGACTTCGATGCAGCTGAGTAAAGTAGAAATTGCCGAGCTAGTGTTCCTCTCTTGGCGCATCTGGAAATCTCGCTGCTGGGCATGTTATGATCGGGTCCAATACATGGCTGGCCCCCTTGTTAGACAATTTCGGCAGCAGGTACAGGAGTGGGTGGCTGCCACCGCCTCTCCGACGCGTCCTGGACAGCCCCTTCACCGCCATACTCCGGGGGTGGTCGTCGCTTCTTGTCCCCAGGGTGGATTGCTGCTGCGTTTTGATGGCGCCACACGCCAAGGTATGGGAGGCAGTATTGGGTTTGTCGGATTCTCTCCGTCTGGGTCAATAGCGTGTGCATACGGTAAGTTCTACGGTGGTCTTTCGGATCCCTTTATTTTGGAACTTCTAGCCCTAAGGGATGCGATGGATTGGTGTTTAACTCGTGGTATTTTTTCTGTTTGCTTCTGTGGGGACTCTCAATTGGTGATTCGACGAGCCTCGGAGGGGTCACTGGATCATAACCGTGGCGGGGCGATTCTTGAAGAAATCAAATTGATGAAAGCTTCTTTCGCGTTTGTTAGTTTTGTTTTTTCTCCCCGTAGAACTAACAGGGCTGCCCATTGCGTGGCAAAAACAGCTCTTGCATCGGCTAATCAACATTTGGCTGATTTCCGCTATCTTTTGTTTAACTCTCTGTAATTCCCTATCTAATACATCCTACCTTAGCCAAAAAAAAAAAAAAAATTCAATAGCAATATACATTCTATGTTTAATGATTAAACCTAGGACTAATGTAGCACATATTGTTAATTCGAAGTTCTTCTAAAGTCGTATCGGAGCTGCTATTAGTTCGTAATCCTCCACTCAACTCATACCCAGAGCCAGAAGCGACATTGGGACAGTAATAGGCCTGTAATGGATACTTCATAACAATGCTAACATTTTCCTTCTCCGACATATCGATTCCTCCACTCCCTGACGCCGCCGTCCACTCGAATCTCCAAATCAAATTGGCCAAAAAGTACTCCAGATGAAGCAGCGCCAGAGCATAGCCAGGACACATCCTTCTCCCAGCGCCAAACGGCACCATCTCGATCCCCTTCCTCCCCGTGATGTCAAATCCACATCGGCCCAAAAACCTCTCCGGCCGAAACGACATCGGATCCTCCCACACCTCCGGATCCCACCCGATCTCCGCCATCAGAACGGTCACCATCCCCTTCTTCGGCACCGAGAACCCATGAATTCTTCCCCCACCAACGACCGCCGCCTCCTCCGTCGCCGCGTGCGGCAGCAGAATCGCACCCTGCGGGTGCCGTCGGAGCCCTTCCAGCACCGTCGCCTGCAAGTACGGCAGCTTCTCCAGATCCCCTTCCTCGACAATCCCGCCCTCCCCAATCACTTCCCTCATCTCGTCAATCAACTTCCGCTGCACGTCGGGACGGTCAATTACGTTCGCTAAGATCCATTCCAGCGCCGTCGTCGTCGTGTCCGTACCGGCCATCAGAAATTCGCTGCACAGGCTCACGATTTCCTCCTCTCCCAGCTTCCTCTCTTCACCATTTCCCCCTTCTACGAGATCCAGATCGAACAGAGTGTCGACGTAGGCCAAATCGCGGCCGCCGCCGCAGCCCGACGACTTCCTGGCCTGTATCAGAGGGAGCAGCGCGTCCCTCCGCTGCCGGAGAACCGACTCCAGCTCGGCCCATTGGGCCCGGAATAAGATCTTGCTGAATCGGGCCGCGCAGAAGTTGAGGATATTGAACGGGCTCATCACGTATGCAAGCAGCCGGCGCATGGCCAGCCCAATCTCGTCGATCTGCTTGTCGTCGTGGACCGAGCCGAAGCACATGGAGCCGAGCAAGCGGAACATCGTCGATCGGAAGAGTCCGGCCACGGGTCGTGGTCGTGACGCGCGGTCGGCGAGGCGGGTGAGGAGGAGGAGGAGGGCCTGGCGTCGGGCTACGGTGTATGACTTCACGCGCGAAGATTGGAGGATTTGGGACGTGAGGTTGCGGCGGAGAGTGCGCCACGTGGGCCCGTAATGTGAAGAGGTGATGGTGCGACTGTTACAAGTCACGATGCGGCGAACCAGTGGGGAATTGGGCCGGTCGGAGAAAACGGCGCCTTGCTGGACTAGGACCTGGTGGGCCAGAATACGGTCGGCGATGAGGACCATGGGCCGCGGGCCCAAGTGGAGGGTGAAGGCTGGGCCCAGTTTTGCGTAGAGGGAGCGGCCGGCGGCGCGGAGTTCGAGTGGCGACATTAGCAACCGCAGCCATCGGAAGCTGCCGACGATGGGGAGGACGCGGGGTCCCGGCGGGAGATTGGCCGCCGGCGATTTGAAAACTCTGCCGGATTGGAGTTTGTGGAAGATGGCGGCTAGGGAGAGGGAGATCAGTACAAGGAATAGCCAGTGTTCGGTTCCCATTGCTGATCTGCGTGGGGAGGAGGAGCTTCTCTTCTCGTTCAAGATATAGGAGTGGTGGATTTTCTATCTCTTCACATTGCCTTTTTGTTGTGGTTTTATAGGGGTGTGCAACGGTTGTTCTGTCAAAAATCATAATCCACAATTCTCCTCAACCTAATTATTCTGCTAACGGCATAAGTTGTTACTATATTAACAATGTTATTAATTAACAAACTTAAAAGCATTATCATAACCATAACCATAACCAACATATGATTAGCTCAACTAACAGATCGTAAGATGAAGGCTTCTTCATCTTCTGAGAGCTGTGCCAGAGGGTCTGGACACCCATTAGCCGGCCGTTGATCTCTCCCATCATCATCTGTATAATATTTATAAGGTTTTTCTTTTTTCCATGTAGTATTTTATGGGAATTGATAAACGTCGTCCTTAAAATTACTATTGATCGTCCTAAAAAATAACAAAGTTACACTTTTAACCTTTTGTCATCTTTAGCAAACAAACATCATTTTAACTAAAAAAAATGAAAAACACTCAATTTCCCACACTCTCGAATTCATCGTTGATATTCTCGAGTCGTAATCGTTGGGAATACGTCCGAATCATGAGTAGCGACTCCGACGAGGTAAAAATCCGAATTTTTTTCAAAAAAACCCAAAAGGCCAAAACCCCTCAACCGAAGCCAATTTTCGGTTGTACCATGGACCAACCGAAAATCACCTTCGGTTGCACCATGGTACAACCGAAAATTGGCTTCGTTGAGGGGTTTCGGAATTTTTTTGGATTTGTTTGGTTTACATCAATAATTTTCTATTCTTTTACTACGATTTATGATTCGGTCCATAAGATAATTTGTTGGATTTTGGTTTATATTTTTTTTTAGATTTATGGAAGGGGAGGGGTTGTTTGTTTTGTGTTTGATTTTGAAATTCAAAATGGACAATTCGGTAAATTACATATTAAGTTAAGACGATGGTTAGTAATTTTTAGGACGACCTTTAACCATTCAGTATTTTATTTGGAGTATAGTTGATTTTTATGTGAGAAAACAAGGAAGAGAGAATCTTCATATTTTATATACAATTATGGGGCTTATCTGTTTGTTGCTGAATGCTGATGATGTAATTGGTTTTCTAATTTATGGTCAATCTGAGTTGCTGAATGCAGGGACGGCAACATTTACGAGGATAGGTGGGTTTTCTTATATATATATATCATTTTTCGAATTACGATTTTAATGTAATCATCGTATCGACTTTGTTGTAGAGTTTGGTTTGCAACTTCTGTTTGTTCTTTTGTGTAGTGTTAGTTGTCTGTTTTAGTTTTTGGGGGTTTCCTCTGCCTCTGTTGGTGGTGGTATGTTTGTTTGACAAATGGCTCCTTGTAACTTCTTTAATCAACGATTCTAAACACGATTTACATCTCTCTACATAGAGTTCGAACGAGGGTGTTTGATAATTTTTTATGGCTGATAAAACTAAGTTAAATTAGTCTATTCCTATTGAAATTTAGTGAGAGCTCCCGAAACTAAAAATAACTACGACTACATTGCAGAGAAATGATAGAATTTAACATGTGTTGTGACTAGCACGAGTATCCGAGTCTGGAAACAAGACAACAAACAATGCTATGGAAAAGCATTCGTCAAAAGATTCATTGTCTTTGTCCGAAGCAACGAAAACCACTTCGAAAACCGGCTTTACTCGTCGCGAGCTCTTCATAGGCTTCCAGCAAAGAGTAAGGTGAATCCGTCACTAGGTTTGCACCCAGAGGCAGAGAAGTACAATCCCAAGGGCTTACCAGCCAAACTACTAATTTTTCAGTTTCCAAACAAAAAAATTGAAAAACTTTACATTTCTACTTTCTATTACTATTATTGTAAGAAACATGACCATTGCAGTCATTATTCATTATACACCCAAAAATTGTAGAACAGTATTCTTTACGTTTACAATGGTGATCACAAAAATTCTTTTACCCTATGAATGAATTTCTCCCAACGAGAAATGATGCTGGTAATGGTTGTGTGTGGACCTCCAGCCATAAACGTGAAGGTCAAGCAATCAGAGCGCTGACGATGGGGGCGTATATGAATGGCGTAGATCGAGTGGCAGCAGTTTGAACCAGTAGCAACAGCTGCAGCCAGAGTCTTTGCCCTGAGGACGACGGAAGCAACCCACGTATTCGGTACTACACAGGTAGGTCAAGTAGTTGGACGTGTCATTGTAGTTAAACCGCGCCCTCCTGCTGGCATTGGTATCCCGAATCCATCTTCTTCCGTTTCTTCCTCTACCAAAGACGCTGCACAAAAAGCATCAACAGAATATCATTGAAACGCCTTGCAAAGGAAAGAAATACACCACTGTTTCGTGTATAATGGCTTCGGAACTCTTGAAGGACCTCAAAATCTAGCATAGGAGCTTACCGGTCGCATCCTCCCTAGCCTGAGCACCAGCAACCCCGATGCACGAGTAGAGAGAATCTTCGTCCACTTTCAACTGCTCGTAGGCAACATATATGTCTTCAATGGTTGCAGCTTCGTAGAGCCAAATGAGATCTTTTATGCATGAAATATCCTGAAGGCAAAGCGAACAGAAGCAGAGTGTTACTCGTGGCCCAGCCAAACACGTTTTCTTTAGTAAGAATTGAACCACGCACTAAATAGTAACAAGTGATGGCTTGATCTGGATTAGTTGCAATTCGAGATGGTCGGTATTACCTTCCTAGGGACCGAAGAAGCTTGCAAATGGGCCATCAATCCAAGCCAATAGGCATTGGACTTTATCTCGGCTTCATGTCTCATAAGGAGGGTGCGCTTCGCCTGCCAAAACCACCAAATAGTTTCCATCAAACCCTACCTTCAACAGAAACTACCAATTGAAGTAAGAATCCTGATAAACGAAGACGAACCCTGTCCAACTCCCTCGGAGCTATTTTGTTGCTATGCAATCCTCTGAGAACGCTTTTGCACGCTTCAACAGCTTTGTGTACCTGGTTTGTTAATGAAATCAAGTTGATAATTCATTTGGAGAACATCACAACAATAAACAGCATCCCACAGGAAAGTTTTAGAAACCAAGAACCCCACCTTGCTTGGAGTTGAAGTGACAGATACCACGTACCAACCGAGGTTAAGCCTATCAAATAGGCTTAACTCGAATGAAACGTCATATGTCAATCCCAGGGAGTCCCGAACTGTGGTAAATAGCCTGCCACAGAGTAAATCCAACATTGGTTTCAACAGTTAATTTGAATAGTTAATATTTCTTTTATCTGCATCAGTTACCAAAGATGTGATCTTGTTCATTTTGAAACATTAGTCAATTTCTCAAATATGAGAAATTTGTGTTTTTAAATGAAGTCAGCAATTACTGTAGGATAGTTTAGAGCACCAAGATTCAGATTCCCTATGTTAATCAGATCTTAACTAGATCATGTGTCTGCAGAGGTATGCCTAATACTGTAATACATGATTTTACTGAAAACACCAGCTAAACAAGAAAATAAAAAGCAAATTACCAACCACCACTTCAGGTTGCAAAAAAATAGAAGAGCAACAAGTGCAATATCAGCATCAATTACCTTGAATTTATAATCTCAGCCAGCAGGCCCATTGTTATGCCGAAAAATAAGGGGTGGCTGCGTAATTTCATTTGTAATTCCTTATGGGCATCCTTCCATTCCGTAGATTGTTCCTCTACAATAATATAGTAAATTGCAAAACCATGAACCAGCTATGAGAAACAATGATGACAAGTATAGATAATTTACACAACCAAATTAGCCACTAGCTAAGACAAGAAATGACAAGGAGACAAGAAACATGTGGCTTGAATAAGTCATGCAAGACCACAGGCATCAACTGAGAAATGAATTGTGATAACGGTAGATGGAGACATTCATCACACATCTCATTTAAAACTTGGGCCAGCATTCACTACATGAAGAAAAAAAACAGTCACTTTGTCGAGTAGATACTCGATGCTTCATCATCCCAACAAAGTACGTTGCTCCTTCAAAATTATTATAGCATATATAATTTGGAAAATTCTTCATATTTTTCCGCATGTAAAGAAGTAATAAGAAAACCAAAAATGCTTACTAATATCACATGGAGAACAGGCAGAAACTGACCTGATGAGACGCTTGTATCATTGATTGACTGAAACAGGTCTTCTCCATCTACAGTTAGACCCCAACGGTTAGGCGCAGGACCGGCAATATATGCGCAAGCCCTCTCATCTGTGTCCTTCAGGAACACCTGTTTCAGTATGAAATATTTCTTGGTCATATGTAGGAAGTGTGTTAATCTTAAAGACAACCAAACCAAGCTTCTCCACTTTCTAGCTGCTGGTAATGAAATTCAAATCTCAAGCTAGCATCTGGCACGATCAGAAAATTGCCAAGGCTGGTTAATGTTGTTAAAATCCCATAACAAACAGTAGCACTTAAAATCTAGTCAGATGCCAACACAGACCTCAAATAAAGAACATAAGATAATGGCATAGCTCTCCAGCATACAGGGTCCATTTGAAAATGTAAGGAGACTAAAAGTATAATCAAATTGTGGACGCCACTCTCAAAACTTCTTGAGGCTTGGACCCAATTTTTATATAAACCCTCCTCCAAAGACGTTAACTTCCATAAGATGCTTTTTCTCATTCGCATCAGAGTTGAAAGTTGAAACAACTCATGATACCTACTTTCACCAATATATAAATGCAAGACCCATTTGATACAGCTTGAAATGGATTAAAATTAGATAAGAGTAGCAGGGGCCATCATCAGCCAACAACAAACAGCTAGAGGAAAACATAAACATTGTGCTCCAAAGAATTATAAACACAAGTCACAAACTACAGTATCAACAAACACAAGCTTAACTAAACGAATTTCAGTTCTCACTTGTTGCGACTGCAGGTTGGGAGCCGAGGGTCGAAACAAGACTGGAGTAGTTTCTTTCTGACTGCTAGAACTCCCCGTTACTCTAACTGTCCCCAGGAAATCAATTATGGAAGATTCAATCTCCTCCTCGGTAAAATCTCCCACAATACTTACCTGAAAGATATCAAGGGCATAAAGTTCAAAGAACAGGATGCATCTATAAGTAACCAATGAGAAAAGGCAAAGTTAACCACCCACCTCCATGTTATCACCAACAAACTGATTCATCACAGCATCTTTCACAGAATCCAAATTCAAGTTCTGTAGTGATTGTGGAGATGGCTCAACGAATCTCTCATCCCCATTTAACATTGCTGTCATGAGTTTGTGAGCGGTTGCCCGTTCCAAGCTTTTGGGAATTGAACGGTAGTAGGACAGATACAACTGCCTTGCTCTATCAAAGGCATCATCCAACCAAACACTATGCTGCAGTTCCACAATAAAAATGAGCAATTGAGAAAACGTAGGTCAGCTATTTAGAATCCAATCAGAGCAGTAAATCCAATCAAATTATATAGCAATCCAGGAACCATCAAGAAAAAGAAAGTAGAATAAATGCTAAGGCATAGATGCAGCGGGAAATGGCAAGCACACCTCAATCACCATGTGAAGTAACTCAAATGCTGCTCGCATCCCATTGTCTCGTAGTGTAAACCGGAACTCCATACAAATGAACTCTTCAGTCGACTCCAGAGAGCAGTTTATTAGGTGATTCACACAAAAAAGTTCTACCTGTTGCAGCAAATATGAGTAATGCATCCAATTAAGCTATTATATGGAGGAAAACCCTACCACAGAAGCACAAGCTGAAAAGGCAAGTCTGACCCCTAGACTTCAACAAGTGATGAATATAAAAGTGCTTGCAGTCAATGATTTAACACAGTGACATAAAAAACAAGTAATTATTTCAGAAACGAAGCTAGCAACCCAGAATGGTTAATACTTACAACTAGCACTCTGGCAGCAAGTTCAACCACTACAACTTAGATTCCATGTGACAAGTAGATACCTCCAGAAATAAAATGTTACACATACAAGTAGATGAACTATATAATCCAGCACCTATATGCTTTCATAAATTCTTGCTTGAAAAAGCTGTACTTTTAGTGAAACTACGATACAGAGTCATCCAAGCTATTTTCCTTATGCTCTCACATTTCATATGATTATGCACAATTGGAAAAAAGGTAGTTGTTAGAAGATGATAGATTCAATGCATGCGTGGCAAAAGATTGTTTTAGGATCTTCTAACTTCCTAATAACAAGGATTCTTGCCATATGGACCCCTCAGAGTTTAAACGAAAGATAAATCTTCCTCCATCAGATTATAACTCACCAGAGGGTACCTGGTCTAATTTCTGACACAGTTCCTGACAGGAATGAGGAAACAGAGCCATAAGACTCAAACATGCATTTTCCTAAGTCATTCTGGAATAAGACTCGGACATTTCATTTATGTATTACCGATATTTAAATAATAGAGGACTAAAACAGCTAGGATATGGAATAATTAATACTAATGAAGTATAATCATCGTTTGAGTGGAAAGGGTTGTGAAGGATAGACTGAAAGAAATTATCGTAATATAGTTCACCTACTTGTTCTCTTGAGTAGTTTCCAACACGACCTCCCTCACTAAGAGTTCGAACACCGACGATCACAGATCCTTTTGAATCCAAACCTTCTTCTGCTCGCCCTCCACCAACAATCAGTCTCATTACACCGCCACGAGATTCAGATTTGGAGATCTGTATAACATTTTGAACAAAGAATTTGGCAGCTTAGATTTAGATAACTAAATGCCTGGAACATTACTCTGCGCAGACATATATTTAGAACCGCAAACACATCAAACAGGAATGAAAAGGAAACTGGTCCCGTGAAGTTCTTATGTTTTGAGCTGACTTGAAAAAACCAAATAGACTAAAACAAGTACCTTGTAGTTGACAGCCATTCCATTTGACAGGCGGCACTGAGTGATCCCTGTTTCAGGGTCATGCAATTTGGTGACATTTAGTTTTGGATCTAAAGGAATGAAGGAAGGACTGTGTTGTAATCTCAGCTCCTCTAACTGTGATGAAGATATCAGCTCCTTCGGTACTTCAAGCTGCATACACAAGTATTTATTCCCAAATTTTCGTTATGAACAATTAATGGCGTCAAATCGACCATCATAATATTGTCCATGGGAGAGTTTGATATTATAAAGGGCTACTGTGGATCTTGATGGCCAATGTTTGACAACTCATATCAGCAGGAAGCAATCTTTCAATGCAGGTAGCTATCTTTCAATAAAGAAAGTTGTGACTTCTAAGGATCACGTGCTGAACACTATGGGCAATTTAGAGTTATTGTGCTAACATTTGATATGTTACATGGAGAGAGAGTTAAAAGAAAAAGAGTACCTCTGGTTCAGCCTCTATGGGTTGCTCCAACCCAAACTTTATGGCTTCTGTAATTTCGACAGGAGATATCTTGAACTCAGTTTCCCCCACTCCTTCAATGTGCACTTTCTTAGGTACACATGCAACAATAGCTGCAGGAACAGGTGCACTAGGCTTTCCGTGATCAGAGATAAATTCCAGTACCTCAGCGCCAACAGCATTAACCTACAGGACCAACAAAGTAGAGGGCTATTAATTTATAATAGCAAGCAACCCGGTGAAAAGACCACTTAACAGTATAAGCAATAGATCTGATCCAGAAGCTACATGACAAAAGAAATGTTGATAACAGCAGATGATAATTGATATGTATGATGAAGACTATCCATATAAGTTCTTATAATGACTAGATGGAAGATGCCAGATTCCCATAAGTCGGCAACTAAGCATTCATGATTCTTGTATCCCCTAAATGATCAATAATTCAATATGCTGTTATTAATTAACAAACTGCAATTGTCATGTCATGGACAAAATCATTGTCAAGAGTAAAGTCACATGCATTATTGTTGGCATAAGATGGTTCATGTAAATTACTTCTTCAAGAGTAACGGTCCCAGCAACAGCAACCAAACTTGCATGGCCTTGTTTCTGGTCCATTACAGTGTGCCCCAGAGCATCACTCTCCATAATGAACTCCAAATTATCAACTGATGACACGTTATCTATCATGGCAGCTAGATGTTCACTGTCCTTCAGAAGGGCATCCATGTAGCGAGTTAATTCACCTTTGGTAACGCCAAACTCTTTCAGCCTTCGGACCTGCATCGAAATAAAAGGTTGAGCATGTCACTAAGAAGTCCATAGCAACACATTAATAGAACATGGTTCTACAAGATAATATTCATGAAGCAGAAGCAGAAAACAGATGCACTAGTCTCACAAGGAACTCGGCACGCCGACACTTCCAAATGAAAAGCATAAATTACCTATGCAGATATTGTATCATATACAATAAAACCATCATATTAGCAATCTAACGAGTTAAGCTACCTATGGAAAGGAAAACAGGGTAAATAACGACTGCAAACCTCTTGGACAGCAACTCTTATTGCACTTTGCCAATTATTGGGTTCTGCGGTAACTGTTAGAGTTGTAACAGTACAACCTTCCCTTCCAGAATCACTGTGATCCAGTTCTATTGAAGTAAACGGCGGATTCGAACTCTGGAAATCATGTCGGTCAGTTAAAAAAGGAGACAAACACAAAATCCAGCCAAATAATTATAAAAAAAGGCAGAAGCCACTAGCCGAACAGACCTTGTATCTTGTGTTAATCCTAAAATGAAGTGCAGATAGAAAAATCCTTTTCATCAAAACATTACGCAAATCACCATAAGTTTGAACTTTGTTCACCGGAATCTGCAACAAGAAACAAGTATCACAAGTCACATATAGTTTCTCTTGAAAAATGCTCTTGTTAACATAGTGGCAAAAGGAAGGCATCAGTAGTACGTCATTGCTGTCCTTCATTTTAAATACAGAATGTGAAGAACCAGCACCTTGGTGCATTGTGTTCTAGAAACAATTACCCTAGAAATATATTAATTGACCCGTTTTTCTTTTCTTTTCTGATTCCTCTCAATTAAATTTGCCATGTTGCACTAGTTATCTCTTATTATGACATTTCATTCAGCTAACCAAATTCTCAATAACTCTACCTATTGAAGATAGTCTACGAATTTAATTTGGTTCAACAAAATTAACATTAACCTTTCCCGATCAAAATGCCAAAACAGAAGTGGAGAGTAGTCCTTCAAAGGTGGAGAAAAGTGTTAGTTCCATACCTTGCAGAACAAATTAATTGAGAAATTTTGTAGCAACTCATGTTGAAATATTTGAGGGGGCTTCAAATATGCCTTGATACCAGGAAAGGACCAGTTATGCTTCACAGGAGGCCGAGATGAATGCCTTTCTCTTTTTACATTACTGGATTGATCTACCGAAGTAGATGATTGGGGTTGGCTTCCAGGCATCCCAACTGAGAGCTTTGGAACAAGGAAACTAGCCACTGCTTCAAATGCATTAGGTGCAGGTGTGGGAGCTGCCTCATTTTCACCAGCTTGCTCAAAGACAGTCTGCATTAAGATAACCAATTACAACTGATACAACGTATTTAATAACATTACAACCGTTGCCGGACAAATATTAAGTTAACCAACCATCTTCTTATCCATTTCACATACCTCAATCTGATCGATGGTCATTGATACATTATCAATGTCACCAACAATATATAGGGTTGCATTAGCAGGATAGTACCAACGTTCATGAAATTTCCTAATCTTGTCAGCATCCCACTTCTTAATCTGCTCCTCCAATCCAATCGGGAACCTTTTGCTCAGCTTGTTTTCGGAATGCAGATGCTGCAATAGCTGCAAAGCATACCATAGAAACATCAGGTATTGATAAGAAATACTACATTGCTAACCACATAAACTTAGTAAAAGAACTTGATACCTGACAATCAACACGATATTCAATTGTGTTCATCATTTGTAGTTCTGAAAGTATAGCACGCCGCTCTTTTTCCACTCGAGCAGCAAGGAATTTTGGTTGGAAGGCAATCTTTCCACACAGAAAGAGTGAACATGTTTACTACAATAATTCTCCAAACCATGCCATAAAGCTCAAACATATCACAAGATTCCTTATGCCCCTACCTCATTCAAAGCATCCAGAACAGATGGTAGTAGATCTCCATCAGCGCCCTGCAATACATGATCATTCAATAATGGATACTAGCTGCGAAGTACTCCATGTGATCACAAGTGCAGATTACACACAAAGGAATAACATGCAAATTCAGAGGAAGCTAGAATAAGATGGTAGTAGATCTCCATCAGCGCCCTGCAATACATGATCATTCAATAATGGATACTAGCTGCGAAGTACTCCATGTGATCACAAGTGCAGATTACACACAAAGGAATAACATGCAAATTCAGAGGAAGCTAGAATAAGACGGACTCGAGACAGAAATAGATGAGTAATTGGATTAGCCACTTCATTACCACCTTACTACACGTGTGCTCTCATTCAAAAAATTTCCAAGCAGACATAAAAAAATGGATCAAGCTGAGAAGCTAAGAACATATGCATCAGAGTTAGATACAGCACTGAACTGAGAAAATATGCAATCATAGGAAAAGCACGCAATGCTTAATAGCTTCTCATTGGAGGGAGGGGAAATAAGATGGTGGACCTTATTAGTTGTTGGTGAATGGATGTGGAACACTGTGTGGTGGAAATCAGTATAAGCATTGGATCGAGCACCAGTTCCAAGAAGTTTTTCACGTTTCTTACTACCAAGGAATGCAACATGTTCAATCATATGCGCAATTCCCTGCTCATCTTCTTCCTCGTCTATAGATCCTGCATGAACTTCCATATGTGCTTCAAACCTAAATGTCAACAAATTTAATGGGTGTTAGAGAGAAAGAGAGAGCAAAACTATAGCACTAGTGTTCTATAAGCACAAGAAACATCTTTACATTACGAGACAATGATAACAGAAGGTTCAGGAACTGCAAAACTTCCCATCTTCCCTCATGTAGACATGAAACAGGTAAAGCTTGCTTGCTCTTGTTTATGAACAAATGCCTAAAGCTTGTGAGATAAGAATACGCTACTGTAGAAGAAAAATCCATTGGGTAAGAATCTACTTAACACAACTGTGGCTTTCAAAAAAAGTAAGAGCAGTTCTTTGCCTAAGAGAATTCCTGGCAGAATTAGTAAGAACCCTTATACTCTCTCTAACAACAAACTAGTGCCAATTAAAGTTGCTTTATGAAAGACAAGCAAATTAGCAAAAGCTTATTATTTAGTAAACAATGGTTGAAGCATTTACACCTAGAATTTCAGAGGACGTACCTGTTTGGCGGAACCTTATTTGGTAAGATAAGATAGCGGAGCCCGTTTTTCAACTGCCCTCGGTATAATTTTGGATGAGAAGGCAGTTCGGAACCTAAGAACTCAGTCAGACCCATCCTTTCTAATTCAGAGAATGGTATATCTGAATCTTGCCTCTCCAGTAAGCCATCTGGACAGGCTGTGCTTGCAGCATGTGGCTCATTGGGGCCCACGGAAGCACATGGTACATGGAGGCGCTTCATATGGAAATGGAGTAAGCAATTATCAGCTTACATTCATACGTAAGACAGTATTCAACAGCACAAAGGAAAGCCTGTGATGCAGCAGGATACTGCCATCACAAATTGCAGCATATTTGTTCTCATGCTTTCTAGTCTAACTTTGGAAGAGCTCAATGAAGATAGAAATGCATACTCTTATGCTTATCAAATGAACAGAAATCAAAATTTAATGCCATACTCAATCATGCTTGGAGAAATAATTAACCCATTCACAAACTTCTTTATTGATTGGTCAAATTCTATGTTAGCAATTCAGTAAAATCTCCGTCCTTATACAACACTGTCAATGAATACCTAAACATCCCCTTGCAAGTGGCACACAACCAAACCACATACTTTTTGTACAATCAGTCAGAAGCAAGTCACTCACTGAAGCAGCATTGAGCGAGTGACCAGGAAAACGGAAAGTAGACTTGTCACTGAAGGCTCCAGGTAGGTACTTTTTCAATGTGTAACGGCTTCGTCGATATCTCATCGAACAGGATGCGCACTTGGATAATTTGGAAAAAGAACCTTCGGCCATCTGTTCCCCAAGAAATGAACTATATTGTCTGTGAGCCTTATTCTTCTTTCTACAAGAACTGCCACCCCCATTAACGGCACCATTTGACCACCTTCAAAATACCATCTCGAACACCGTAAATTAAGTGCATAACAGGTGATCACTAACGTCATACCAGCTATTGCTTATGAGATGTTCGATGCAAAGAGACAGACGAGACCAATATCCTCCAGAACAGAAAGGTAGTTATTAAGCATCCTCAGTTAAGAAGGAACCACGTAAGAGAATACGCTACTCATCAACAGTCAGAAAACTGCTAGAAATAACGAATTCAGCGTTCTGGTCAAGAGGACGAGAGTTCTTCGAGCTAGAAACATGAGTCCTAAGTTCAGAGAAGATAAACTACAACAAGAATCGTCGAATTCAACATACCTTCTAGGAGAAAAGATGGAGTGAGACGTAGCATGGAATCGAGTCAACGGTGTGCAACGAAGCCTTGGCAACGGTTGAGGCTGCACGGAGTTGAAGCTCTTGTTAACCCTCGGGAAACTGCTTCCATCCTTCTTGGCACTGATGCGAGGACTGGTCGTCATCGGCAGGAAAGCCGAAGCAGCCGTTGAACTTGCAGAAGCCATTGCTGCGGCTCCCTAACTGCGGCAAACAGAGCAAACGACTCGATATTCGGATACGGAAAGAAATAGCAAGGAAACGACCTCCGTCGCCAAAACACCCAACCAACGGCAACTGAGCCGAGACGAAGCTAGAACAGAATTGGAATGGAAACGAATGATTGACAAGAACACGATGGAAGAAATGCGAAATGAAGGTTGAAGACGTACTTGCGGATTTCAGTTGACGGTTACTGGTTCGCTCCGATTAGGAATTAGGTTTTTGATTGGTGTGGCATGGAGAGAGGAGATTGATTGTGACGAAGTAATTATGGAAACCAGAAGTTGGGACACTTGTTCTTCTTTGCCTCTGTGCTGTGCTTTGTTTCTTTCTTCTATCTCCTTCCCTCCCCGCCCCAAGATTTTTTTCTTTTTCTCTTTTGTAATAAAATTTTATGTGCTTGCGGTTGCGGGCTAACGTCGTAACGAACGACCATTTGCCTGCGACCGGGCTTGATGCCTGATCCATCCAAGGCCCAAGATATCGAGGACAGGTAATTATCCGAAATGGTGCCTTAACTATAGTCGCTTATACAAAATTATTTCAAAAATTATATTTTGTACAAAATTATCACATCATCGAACTTGTAAGTTGTAACTTGTGAGTAGGGCTAATAAGCGGTTTGGTTACGGTTTAACCTAACCGTTGGGTCATTTAGACGAGATCGATAAAAGGCTGAAACTCCAACCAAAATCGACACCGATGTGAATGTCGGTTAGTTGAAACTAATGCAGTCGAAAACGCGATTCTATCCGATAGCGATTGGGTGACCTAAAAGCGTAAAACCATAAGTTTTTAAGTTTTAAAGTGTAGATTTTGACTACATTTGTAAGGGAAAATCAAGAATCCACGTAGAAGCGTTTTGGTGACCTAAAAGATAAAAGCATAAACTTTTAAATTTTAAAACACAATTTTGACTGCATTGCTGAAAATGACATCGACTGGTCCAGTTCAGTTAGTCATAATCGAGGAATTCCCCTCTGCATTCTCATGGTGGACTAGAAATTTTTGTCCCATGTTTTGCCTATCACAAGCGGATAAAACTATCCCGGTTCTTGTCATCAAACATCTATAAAATAGAAACTTCAAATTATATCATAAGATCATTAATGAACTCACGAGCTCAATTCATCTTAAAACTACTAGCTTTCTTCCCGGCCGATGGCCGGGGCAACTTTTATTTTTATCATAAATTAATTTAAATTTTTTTTAATGTAATTATTTTAATATAAATTTGTGTTTCTAGTATGAAAATCACTTTAAATTCATCAAATTATTTTTCCAATATCAATTTCATCATAAAGTGAAAAGATAAAAAAATATTATAAAATATAATACTTATGAAAATACTAATATTATAGTAACCTTGTTATAAATATCATCAATTATTTTATAAGAATTGTGATTAATGTAGTAAAATTGAGAAAAGAGATGTTAGAACTAAGGAGTGGCTTATCGTTGGATTCATTCATTTAATCTTGTCAAATATCAATTCGGTTCATTTTGTAATATTTATAATTATAATATTAATACGATTAAGAATGCGACCACAATATGTTCCACCGGTACAATCTGGTAATTGTCCGGTGTTGTACGATACAGACCAAACCATTGCACATTCACACACACACACACACACACATATAGTCTAGGCTAGCGTACGTTCTGGAGTACGCTAATCTACCGTACGCTCCATTCAGTTTTGCTATTTAGATAATGAATTAATCGGAGTTTGGGACATGATGCTATACCTTAACTTATAATGGTTGACCCCAATTCTTAATTGTCTAACCCAAATCATGAGGTTCGTTTAATCTTAAAATGAAAATTATTGATAATTTCGACGAATCAAATTCGTTGATTTCAAAAGTTTTTATTTTACATGCACTTAGAATATATAACATTTCTGCATTAAAAAATTGATGTATATTGTAGATAACTAAATACTAATGTAAGAGTATATTAAACATCAGGGTATAAAGAATTGGTTAAAAAAATTTCAAATGTCGAAAACTAATTAAAATCCACACATTTCCTAAAAATCTGTATTTGAACGTAGCCAAATAACTAACGAAAAACCTTTCCGTTTTTTATGCCTAATTTAATAAATTTAAACATAAAACCGCAGCAAGAAAACACGGAGAATAAAAAAAAGCAAAAAGGAAACTTAATTCCGAAAATTGCGGGGAGGGCTACTAAGCTTACGTGGATGGGATCTTTTTCTTAAACTGCTTTAATATATTTTAAGATTTTAAGATAAATGATTGAACTCTTTACATAAACTATAAAATAATTTATTACATGCGATAATTGTAATGATGAGAAAAAACCAATGATAGTAAATTTGTTATTACTAATTGATCTCACACTTATATACTAGTATCATATTTAGTTTATAAATTCTAACTAATTCATATATTTTATTTAACAACAACTTTTATCTATACAACATATAATAAATAATTATCTTTCAAATTATAAATGAGACATATTTGATCAGGCATTCAAAGTCTTAAACCATCTTATTTTATGAAATGTATAATTTAGCGAACCTATACACTATCAACAAACAATTATAAGCTATATATTAATTTGCTAATAAGCGTCTACCCTAACTGCATCGTTAACAGGTTGTCGAACCAACGGATAAGTTGAACTCTACAAGCCATAGAGTTGAGCTGACTCGTGAGCCTCTAGGGATGGCAATTTGAACTTGTCCCGCCGAGTATTACCGAACTAACCCATGATGGGGCGGGTATTAACCGACCCGCAGTAGCGTGGGGCGAGACATGGGTATCTACCTCAATTACTTATCGTATCTATTCATATTTCTCCTATTTTGACTTTCATTCAACTAGTTTACTTGATATTTCAACTAGTTAAGCTCAACTACGCATCTATTATCACTATTTTCATTCATAAAGTATGTTCCTTTGTTTTATTGTAGAAAGTAAAATTTTCCGTGTATTTTTCCAAATAAATGTAAGCGCGGGTATTACCCGCCCGCCCCGTACCCGCGCGAGTATTGCCCGCCCCAACCCGTAGTAACGTGAGGCGGGACATGGGTATTAAAGTACCCGCCCCGTCCCGCTCCATTGTCATCATTACGAACCTCACAAGCTAAGAAATACTTAACACAACTCGACTTGTTAATAAATGAGTTGAGTTTATAAGGATCAGGCCTAGAGGTAATAACTCAATCTCAGCCCTAGAGCATCTGGTCCGTTGAAGCAAACATTAATGGAAAACAACAAAAGGATCAGGCCCGTTGAATCAATCGGCCCACAGCAGACGTGACAGATGCAGCCCATCGAATCATCCACCGTCCACCGCTCCAGATCCAAGTCCAACAACTCAGTTGACTACTGCATTCTCCCTCCCTCTATTCCCGAAATTCGAATTTCCAGAAAACGCCGTTCTCTGTCTCTCCCTCTCCAGCCTCGATAACGGCTAGATTGCTCCTGGCTTCCTTCTTGTCCGTTCGGCTTTTCCCAAACCCTCCCTCCTCTTTTCTCGCCACCTTGCCTGAAATTCTCTGCCTCTCTTCCCTCTCCGGCTGCAGAACTTCTGGATTCACTCCTCTCCGGCGGCGGCGTGACTATCAAGAACCAGAGATGAAGCATTTCATGCTTCCCAGGAACCCGGTCTTGCGGGAAGCTACTAGCAACGAGGCTCCCACTCCTCCTCCTCCGCCGGCTTCTCTGAAATCGAAGCCTCTTTCAGCTTCTCCTTCACCGTCAATTCCTCCTCGGCGCCACAAGCTACTCAAGGAGAATGCTCCGCCGCCGCCGCCGCCGCCGTCAGATCTCAATTCCGATCTCAAGCAGCAGCCGTCTCCTTCTCCCTCTCCGGCTTCTAAGATCAGGAGTCCCCTCCCTCCCAAGCCTCCTTCCTCTAACCCGTTGAAACGGAAGCTGATCATGGACGGGGCTCAGGATCCCTCGCCTTCCGATTCTGGTGTTCAGGTCACTCCTCGTTCGCCCTTGTAAACCTGATTTCAGGAACTCAATCAATGTTTGGTTTTCAATTTATTCGATCCCTTCACAATTCCAGTGTCCAATTGGTTGCTAAAATTTGGTCTCGAATTGAAGTGTTGTAGTCTGTATTCTAGGTCCTAGAAGCTTTGATTTCAACTTAACCCGATTTCACTGTCTCCAATCTCAACTCAAAATGGAATTGGGGTTTAAGTTTTATCTGTGGACATGACCTAACCATCTGCATCTCTTATGACTCTTTTAGATGGCATTCTTGGATGCTTTAGTTTAGTTGTGAATTGTGATCCTTCTGTACTGTTTTCCATGTGCATCTATGGATGTTGTCTTCTGCCTTACTTGCTGATATCCCCATGTTCTATATCAGGTGATTGTTAGAATGCGTCCATTAAGTAAGGACGAGGAAGGAGAATCGACAGTCCAGAAAATTTCCCATGAATCCCTCAGCATCAACGGACACAATTTCACCTTCGATTCTGTTGCTGATATAGAGGCAACACAGGTATACCTTCCTTCAATAAGCTATCTGCGATTTCAAAATTTTTGGGGTCCTGCACTCAAACCTTTCTTTCCTTCGTTGTAAGTTGTAACTATGATCATCTTGTTTCCACAGCAAGACATTTTCAAGCTTATAGGAGCCCCTCTCGTCGAGAATTGTCTAGCTGGATTTAACAGTTCAGTATTCGCCTACGGACAGGTATCTATGTCTTTGTATCTACTTTGCTTTGCTTTGTTCTCCAAATAGTTATACAACTGCAATGTCATATTGTCATATATCACAATCATTATTCTCTTGCATGACAATTGCTCAGACTGGGAGTGGAAAGACATACACTATCTGGGGTCCTTCTAACGTCTTGTCAGAAGTTGGCTCCTCAAGTGATCAACAAGGCTTAACTCCTCGTGTCTTCGAACGGCTCTTTGCCCGCATAAACGAGGCAAGTCATTCTTGTCGCTCGATGTTGTTGCTATTTTCTGCAAATAATTTTCACTGTTGTAACCTCAGTATTTCCACTGCAGGAGCAAATCAAGCATGTTGACAGGCAACTCAAGTATCAGTGCCGGTGCTCTTTTCTAGAGGTTCAATGCTTACACCATTTGTGTCTTCTAACTGATTTGTTGAGCATCCTTGTTGGCCCTGCTTGATGCTCCATTTCCATGTCGCAGATTTACAATGAACAAATTACTGACTTGTTGGACCCAACTCAAAGAAACCTCCAGGTAAATTGAGCAAAGCCTCTGTAGCTGTTTCGTCAGTGTTTCAATGAACACATACATAGCTCCTGCATATTCTTATAAATTTCTTTCTTTCCAGATACGAGAAGATGTGAAGTCTGGTTTATATGTTGAAAATCTGACAGAGGAGCACGTTTTCACATTGAGAGATGTAACCCGGCTACTGATAAAGGTATGGACTTCTGATATGTAAATTGTGCATGGTTAGCTTTGTCTATGAGCGATCTAGATGCTGAAGTACATGGTCAATGATGTGCTTGAAACTTTGTAATTGATAAAAACACATCCTTAGCATACATGAACAACAGCAATAAGATGTTTTTTCATTTAACGCGTTGCATGTTTGATTATATTGTAATCCATTTCCAACAGCTTTTCCATGCAGAGAATTTCTTAAATTGGCTCTTGGAAGAAACTCAACTAGCTCGAGAATTTTTATTAATAAGTGAGCACAAGAACTTGTGTAACATCTTCATCTATTGTCCATAAAAGCAAATACCGAAAGAAAGCACCCATGCACGCGATAGTTGCTCAGTTTAACAACCTAGTCTGGATAACATCTTGGTCATAGGAAAATTGAAAGTTAACTCCCCACGGCGGAGATTTATATTGGTTTTCATTTCTGTATCTGTAGTTAATTTCTCATTTAGTGTCAATGTCTTATCTGCGCACGGCTCCTTCAATAGTTCTTTAACTTTGATCACTAAGCTTGTTGTTACTAAATGACTTACAGGGATTATCCAATAGGAGAACTGGTGCAACCAGTGTTAATGCAGAAAGTTCCCGCTCACACAGTGTCTTTACCTGCATTGTTGAATCAAGATGCAAGGTAACCTTGTTAACTTTAGTTATTGATATGTTTGGGAGGGAAATGTTTGGTATAAGCCTTCTCTTGCCTACTGCTTGTCCCTAGATCACATATTAAACTTGAATTCTCACATGAAGGTTATGTTTTATAGAGCATGGCCGATGGCAAAAGCAGCTTAAAAACAAGTAGAATAAATCTTGTTGATCTTGCTGGGTCAGAGAGGCAGAAATTGACTGGGGCTGCTGGGGACAGACTGAAGGAAGCTGGAAATATTAATCGATCTCTCTCACAGCTTGGGTATGGTTTGACTTTGCAATAAAGAGTAGCGTTGGTCCCAAAAGTAATATCATGCTCTAAATTTCTCTATGCAAAGACACTTGATCTTGGTCACGGACATTTTCTGTTAGCACTTAGAGCTGTAGTCTGACTATATCATTCTGCAATTGCGAATGTTAAGTAGCAAGAACTATAGGTGCTAGTTATGTTTTCGCATTCTCACTCCACAAAAGTTAGTTTTTGACATCTGCTACAGGAAAATGTTTGCCCCTTGCGCTTCTGAGGTCATTCTGTTAGATTGTTAATTGAAGGACAGTCAAATAGTACGGGATTGTTCCCATAGTTTGCATTGATTTTTTCCCTGAGACTGATTGCACACTGTAATGGGGAATCCATAGCAATGATATTCTATATGACACGTGGAATCTGTTGTGTACCTATTTGCAGAAACTTGATAAATATACTAGCTGAAGTGTCACAGACAGGAAAACAGAGGCATATACCTTACAGAGACTCCAAGTTGACTTTCCTGTTGCAGGAATCACTTGGAGGCAATGCAAAATTAGCAATGGTTTGTGCTGTTTCACCTGCTCAAAGGTTAGAAAAGCATGCTAGTTCATTTCCAAGCAATTCCATTTCCCTAATTTTGCATCTCTCATGATTGAAATTTATCAACAATGCAGCTGTAAGAGTGAGACTTTTAGCACATTGAGATTTGCACAGCGTGCAAAGGCAATAAAGAACAAAGCGGTTGTCAATGAAGAAATGGAGGATGATGTGAATAATTTGAGAGAAGTGATACGACAGCTAAGGGTAAAATTCCTCACTAAAAAGTTGTTTACTATTTCCAGAACTGGATTTTTTGTGTAACTCCTACCAATTGATGTATCAGGATGAGCTCCACCGGGTGAAGGCAAACAATACCAACCAAACAGGTTGGGATCCCCACAAAAGCCTAAATATATTAAAAAGCCTCATGCATCCACGCTCCCTGCTACCTAAAATGGACGAGGATGGTGACGAGGAAATGGAAATCGATGAAGAAGCTGTTGAAATGTTATGTGCAGCAGTGTCTGAATATCAGCCTATCTGTAACAGCAGATGTGAAGTAGAAGATGTTGATATGGAAGAAGGCACATCTGAACAAGTTGACGATGGGAGTATTTCTGTTGGAGGCTGCACTGATCCTGCTGCTAGTACAACTCCAGGTTTATGCACTGTTCACTTGCACACTCACTGCTTGGGTTTTGCTGAACTATCAAAAATAGGTTTGCTTATTGGCTTGTTTGTGTACTTGATGCAGATACAAATGATAAGGCAGCCGACCACACTTCAAGTGAAGCCATGGAGCATGGTGCATTGACTGCCACCTCTGATTCTCAACTCGGAGTCTCAACTGGAGCTATGCTGCCGGTTCTCAAGTCACCTACTCCAAGTGTTTCTCCCAAAATCACTGGCAGCAGGAAGAGTCTGAAGACTTCATGCATGTTGACTGCTTCTCAGAAAGCATCTATTGATGGTCGAGAGTCAGACCAGGAGAAGTCATTGGCTCTTGCAAAACCCAAATTAAGCTCTTCAGCTCTGGCTACAAGCAGAAGCGTTTTCACATCGACTGACCAGTTAGCAGCGAGCATCCATCGGGGAATGGAAATTATAGACAGCCATCCAAGAAGTTCAGCTCTCAGGCGGTCGGCTTTTAGATTTTCGTACAAACCTGCTGCCGAAACTCAGCCAATCCCCATCGTCGAAAAGTTTGATGTTGGAGTCCAGACAATGTCTCATGACAATGATCAGGTGGAGTACATATGCAAGATATGCAAGGGAAAAGCAGAACAGGAGGTAAGTGGCATTGATGACTGCTGCTCAAACCTTCAGTTGGTGCCTGTAGAGGGCTCAGGCTCTCCCGAAAGGTCCAAAATGCTAGTCCCCAAAGTAAGTAGACCTGCCTGTTGTCAGTTATTGTATTAGTCTCTATTGGATGCTAAACGTACTTCATATTAAATATACTCAGGTGGTAAGTGGCATTGATGACTGCTACTCAAACCATCAATTGGTACCTGTTGAGGGTTCAGGCTCCGCCGAAAAGTCCAAAATGCTAGTTCCCAAAGTAGGTAGACCTGCAAGTTGTCGATTATTGTATTAGTCTCAATTGGATGCTAAACGTTTTTCGTAATTAAACAAACTCACTAACTCAGGCAGTGGAGAAGGTTTTAGCTGGAGCTATCAGAAGAGAGATGGCTCTTGAAGAGTACTGTGCAAAACAGAATTCAGAAATTAGGCAGCTTAACCGTCTGGTAGGTTATTCTCGGTGGGGACTAGCCAATGGCTTTTCACAATCTCTGAACCTGCTTGATTTACCTTTTGGAACTTTTTTCACAGGTGCAACAATACAAGCATGAGAGGGAATGCAATGCTATCATTAGTCAGACAAAGGAGGACAAAATTCTGCGTCTTGAGAGCCTTATGGATGGTGTCCTACCTACAGAGGAATTCGTGGAGGAAGAGTTTGCATCACTCATGCACGAGCACAAGGTGGCTATGGTTTCTAATATTATCTTTGGTAGACAAATAATTTACATTTCACCTTTATCTCACATGATGTTTTGTCTCCAGCTTCTCAAGGACAAGTGTGACAACCATCCTGAAGTCTCGAGGCTGAACATTGAGCTGAAAAGAGCTCAGGAAGAGCTGCAAAACTACCGGAATTTCTGTGATCTAGGTGAAAGAGAAGTGCTTTTGGAGGAACTTCAAGACTTGAGAAGCCAGCTACAGTTTTACGTAGACTCCTCGTCAGCATCTGCTCTTAACAGGAGATCTGTATTACAGCTCACATATCTCAATGAACAACAGCCCAATCTTGGCATAATCCTAGAGTCTACAGAGGATGGTGCTGAAGAGAAGCCCGAGTCTAGTGAAGATGGTGCAGAAGAAAATCTCGAACAAGAGAGAGCTCGCTGGACTGAAGCTGAGAGCAAGTGGATCTCCCTTGCTGAAGAGCTGAGGGCAGAACTCGATGCCAGCAGGACTCTATCCGAGAAACAGAAGATCGAGCTGGACATCGAGAAGAAGTGCACTGAGGAGCTTAAGGAAGCCATGCAAATGGCCATGGAAGGGCATGCTCGGATGCTTGAGCAATATGCAGACCTCGAGGAGAAACATATTTTACTTCTTGCAAGGCACCGGGACATCCGGAATGGAATTGAGAACGTCAAGAAAGCAGCAGCTAGAGCTGGGGTGAAGGGTGCCGAGTCTAAGTTCATCAACTCACTCGCTGCAGAAATTTCAGCATTGAGAGTGGAAAGAGAGAAAGAGCGTAAATACTACAGAGAAGAAATCAAAGGGCTTCAGGCTCAATTGAGAGACACGGCCACTGCTGTACAAGCCGCTGGGGAGTTGCTGGTGCGACTCAGAGAAGCTGAAGAAGCTGTCGCTGTTGCTCAGGTGATCATTACTATTTGTTTTTTCTTCTTAGTTCATACTCTTAAGCTGGCCTATCTGAACGAAGAAGAGGATTTACATTCACATCTCAATGTAGTCAAGTAAACATGATTGAGTGATCAACAGTGGGAAAATAACTTGTACTGCACGTTTTCTTCTCCCCCTGACAGGAACGTGCTATAGGGGCAGAGCTGGAAGCTGCAAATGCGGCCAAAAAGATCAAGAAGTTGAAGACCAAACACGAAGAAGAGATCGGATCCTGGAAGATGCTTCTGGCCGAGTCACATCTATCAAAAGAGGCCATACCACCACCAGACTTGCCAGAGTGCTCTCCTTCCGCGGCTAAATACGATGAAGGTGGAGAATGGAGAGAGGCCATACCACCGCCAGACTTGCCGGAGTGCTCTCCTTCCGCGGCTAAATACGATGAAGGTGAGGAATGGAGAGAGGTGTTTGAGCCATCGTCGTGGTTCTCGGGGTACGATCGTTGCAACATATGAATAAGGAGAGAAGCAGAGATCAAAACTATTTTGCAGCAATGTTCAAAGGGGGTCAGTCCAGTGTGTATATTGTGTAGTAGAATAGATAATGTATCAGTCTTGCCGTGTATGTTTGTTGTTTACTTAGTTAATAGTCGTTGTTATTGGTTGCTGGTGGTGGTTACTTCTCCTCACCATTCTGTGAGGATTTTGTGACCGACCAACTACAGAAGAACATTGTCACTCTTACTGTATTGCAAGTTCCAAACAAGATTCTCTCTGATAATGCACATACTTTTACAATTTACAAACAAGATTCTATCTGTAACTATTTTTCCTGATTTTCTTGCTAGAAAGATCACAACTCTTCTTTCGGCATGCACCCTTTCGCTATCAAAATTTAGCATACTATTTTATCAAAAATTTCGTCAAATGACAACCATGGAAAGAAGATACCCATACAACCAGCAGAAATGGCGGCTTAAGTTATGTACAAAGAAAAGGGACAATCTATGCTTTACCCTATCACAAAACCAGGACCTTTCAACAATCAACACATTCCAACAATGAAAACACACAAACAAGGGCTAGCTCCCATCATTTTCTTCCCTCATCTCTTAAAACTCTGAAAAGCTCATCTTAGGATCAACTTTCTTGCCAGCACCTCCCCTTCCTCTCCCTCCCCTACGCCACGACCCGCCTCTTCCCCTTGCGCCCCCACTTCGCTTGAAGAACGACTTCCCATGCTTCACCTCCACGAGCGAGTGAAGCAGTTCGTCGCACAGGATGCAACCCCTGTGCAACGTCGCACCACCCTCCAATGGTGTCGAGTTCTTGTTGAAGTCCACCTCAATGATCTTCGACTCGCAGTCACTGCACCGCTCACTTGTGGTGCTGATCCTGTGTGCCCCTTGTGGGAGCAACACCATGCAGTTGCACATGTTGCAGTACAGCCTCCACTTGGGAGCGCTCACTGGGTCCAGGACCAGCGTCCCGCTGCATTCAGGGCAAGCACACACTCCTTGGGATATTACCGAGTGGCGACATGTAGGGTGTGGACAGAGGAAGCATGGCATCCCTGCCCCCTTCCCTAACTTCCCGCCACTCGCGGCACCAGCAGCCTTAGTGCCAGTGCCAAAAAGCGTGTCAATGCCTTCGAAAGGAGGATTGTTGTAACAGTATGGACAAAGAGGGAAGGACTTGCCCTCTGGACCAGCCATGGAGAATATCAGCAGCTCGAAGTTGTCCAGTGGGCATGTTAGCTCCTTGTACAGCTATGATAATGGTTTTTAGGCAAAATAAACACACCCATTATTTTCAGGAGAACAAGACACAACTGGACCGTAATTACTTGTTGCAAATATTGCTGGGATTTTTACCTTGATTGTACCCTTCTGTGGAACATAGTATACCTCCTCGCATGTGCCACAGTATAACCGGGATGGCTGGCTAGCAATGTACTTCATGTACCTTAAGCATTTACCACATTTACTGAGTGCTCGTCCCGAATCAGCAAGGGGAGAGAACTGTGCTTCGAACAATGCATCCATGTTATCTATCTGCATTCCATGAAAGGAAAACTAAGTTATAAACGTTGAGATATACCTGACAAGGCATTATAATTAGCTCACAGAGAATTTGCAAGTGTAGACTCAAATTAGTAAGCAATATAGATTCACCCAAGCATCTGACTGACCTGCTTAACAAAGTATGCAAACTTCTGCTTGAATTGTTGCAGTACATGCAAAACAATGCGGGAATGATCTGCTTGACCCTTGGCCACGAGCATAATCTGCTGCTCAATGAAACTCCGAATGTCAGGCAAACAGAGATCTGGATCAATGCATTGGTATCCTCTAATTAAGGTGATCCCCAAGGGAGTTGGGACTAGCTTCCTGCCAGATTGCACCTGCAATTTTTAAGAAGTAAAACCATATCCAAACAAAGTTGAATGTCATGGGTTGCAAATTATTAAAAAACAGTTACTAGTTATGATGCTCCAATGGTTTGAACTCATGTATGCAAACGGTAACAAAGAAAATGAAAAAAATACCTGTACATAGTTCCTTTCACAGATGTTGTTAATATGGACTGGAATTGATGCATCTGTACCTATACCATGCTTCTCCATCAATGAAATCAGCTCGCTCTCGCTAAGATAATCTGGCGGAGCAGTTTTCCCCTACACATTCTGAAAGCTAATTAACATGCGAGTGCAACAAAACTATTGCTAACGAATTTAATTTTCTTGTACCTAACCTAGCTTTATTTTCAGAAACACAAGTACACAACAGCCCACATTGGCTAAACAAGAGCACAGTGATTCAAACAGTACCTCAAACAACTCCACTTTTGACATTGCGATTTTCTCCCCTCTAGCAAACCGTGGAAGATTTTTCTCGCTTACTGCCAACCAAGGCATGATAGCAGTAAACCCCTCAACTCTAACATGCTTTCCAACACAATGGAAGGATTCTCCCCCAGATGAGAATTGTATCTTTGTCCTGGAATGGAGATAACATATGCTCAAGATGTGATCATAGAAGATAGTATCCTAGGAAAAGCAATGACAGCATTATCACATCACATTAGACAAGTGAAAATCACCAGCTAGGTACTTCTAAACAATTAATTTTTCTTGAGCAACCATATTGCAAGACTCTGTACTATACCGCAATAGAGCAACTATCACCAAACTGAAAAAAGATATAAAAGAGGAGGGAGGGGCTATGCCCTGGCTGTGCAACACAGTAAAACTTGTAGCCTAGGAAAGTGGAAGACAATCATGATGCGCATCTTTCATCACCATGGTCACGAGAAGCCATCAAGTCGGAACAGTAAGAATGAATAAAGTACTCGAGATTTTACCTTACAAACTTGCAGTCAGGTGAAACAGTCCCTAGGAAATGTTGGCAGATATACTGATATAGTCTCCAAGCATCATTACCAATCAGGTCCTCACTGGCTGCTCGCATTGGGGTAATAGGAGGATGATCACCGACATCAGTCCCAGATTTTGGCTTCTGATACCCTCCAGAAAGTAGGTTGTGCACATATTCAGCCCAAATAGGGACTTTTGCTAGTTCTCCTAGTGTGCTTCTGAAGTCGAAGGAGGAAGGGAAGGCTGTGCTCTCTGTACGAGGGTAACTGGACAATGAACATGTTCTTGAGTGATATGAGAGGATTTGGGACAACAAATTGATAATTTTGATGGCAGACAATGCTTATGTTCATGCATCTTAGCATTTGCAACCATTTCCAAATCAGAAGAAGCTCCTCCACCCACAATTAAACAGAAACAAATAAATAATAAGTGCAACCATTTGTGGCCACCTACTACAAGAATGTAACCATCCGTCCACGTACAACAATAGGAGTGAATCCAGATGAAGAAAAACCACCTATATTTTGTTCAACTTCCTCAAGAATTCCAATTTTAAAGACACCTATATTTTGTTTCACTTACTCAAAGAATCCAAATTTACAGTCTGATTCATCGGGTCAGCATATAGACAGAAGCAAAATCTAAGCTCATACGCTAAAGGGTCTTCTGTCTGATGTGGGAATGGTGATTCAAGAATATCGACAATCGAAGGAAACAAAAAGGTGAAATCTAGTTCCACTTCTAGTGTGAAAAATAGACGACAATGAGAGTCAGGAATTACAAGAAAGAAAATGGTGTAGGGAGTGCAAGAGACCTGATGAATCCTTGAGTGTATAAGCGTTCAGCTAATTGCATTGCATGGTGAGGCCCAAAACCTAATGCACTTGATGAAACCTGACAATTGAAAGCAAAGTTATGACTTTAAACAATCTTTGTGGTGTTCTCATTTAAAGGCAGCAACATTTCTACTTCTTATCAACTTATATTTTTGCTTTCTACAAAAGCATATATCTCCCCATATAAAAAATGCAACAGGTCTAGACTCCTGATGATCTGCGCTTGCTAACCTTTAGAAGGTTAACTGTGTTTAGACCCTGAGGACGGCCTTTAGTTTCCTGTTCTTCTGATATCCCAGTAACTAGTAATACTCCATCCTGAAGTACAAGTTTTTGAAACATTGCAGCAACCTGGAACATGTGAAGCAGTGATTAAGAATTCGCTAATAAAGATAAGCTTATAAAGTCTGATTCCAAAAAGCCAATGTCTCACATCAAAGTCAAACAATCTATGGCGCTCCCAATCCAGCAGCAGCTCATACCCATCCATCACAATGTAAGGGTGCAAGGCCCAGTACTTTTCTGGCTTAAAGGTTGTAATTTGCAGATATCGCTGCACGCAAAATCCTAGGGTAGGGGTTTGACATGGTCCATAACTGTAAGAATAAACACCAAATAACTCAAACAGCTGCTCAAGGTACAAATAAAATGACTGGGACTCAATAGATGAGAAGTAGAGGAAAAGAAAAGCAGGTACAAAGTCCAAAATTATGCACCTTGGTATGAAGCCATAAGAAAATGAAATAAGAAAGAACAAAAGAAATCTTAAAAAGGCAAGCGAAGTCTCAAGAAACACTAATACTAAAAAAGCAGGCAGTATAATGCATCACTGGTCTAAAAGTAGGCACATCAAATAGGACTAACAATATACCAAGACAGCATATTGAATAATATTATCCCCAAGATCAATGTAAGCATCAGTAGGAAAGATTATACAGCACCCACGAGATAACTCTGGAATCAAGATTTCCATATTTTCCTTGGAAATAACCGGTTTGGAATCGTGTAAATGCAACTCCAACTTTCAAATCTATCTCTTGTCGAGCATCTACAGCCAATGCCTCATCTTTGTTCGGTTCAACAAGGCTATCCATTGCTTTTGAAATATCTTTCTCGGTGACAGAAGAAAACCGTGCACGATGAATCCTTCTTTTACCATCATTTATATGAAAGCCAGAGCACTCGATAACTGCAAAGGGAATTGACATCCAGTAATAAGCAAGAAAGTTCTGGAATCCGGCAGCACATGAAACTCATAAACTAGAACCTCTGTATGTTAGCAAAGACACCCAATTGAGATATTCATAGTGAAGTAAAGATGTTCATTTAACAGCCGGAAATAATTGACATTTATTAATCCTAACACCTTAACTAAAGATTTTTTCTCTGGAATCCTCGTTTGCATGTTTCCACTGGCTAATCCATGAAGCTGTACAAGCACTAAAGCTTGTCTCTACTTGCTTCATGCATGAGTAATAAAATTTTATCATGAAATCACATTCAAAACTACAAAGGTTTCTAACATGGTTATGTTTTATAGCCCATCTGCCTATATGCCTATTAAAGACTTATTAGTAACAATCAACAGTGGTTGGATCGATAGTCGTAAGAATAATGCTAACCTTCAAAGCATATATTCTCTCCTTCGCGATCACAGTCTAACCACAGTACCAGATGAGTGCACCCACGAGCCTCTTGACTTAAGTGCCTTCGAATATGAGCCTTCACACAGAAAGAACATAAAGAACTTAGCACTGAAAGAAGCAACCAACACAATGGCTAAATCACCACATTATGCATGTGCTTGATGCATGTCCAACAATAGAAAAATGCAGTTAGTTTCTTCCACTAAACAGAGGACCGGAAACCACATACGTTATAGAGGCAAAAATCAATTTGTCAGCCAATGTTGAACACGTCCAAGTTTCAATTCTATTCTATAGAATAATTGAAGAGAACAAGGCATTACACCGCGAAGAGAGGCAGCTTAGGTATACCTTAGGATTTGATTCTGCCTTCCTCACTGGAGCTTGGAAGAGATCTAAAGGATCAGTAGCAGACCAATTCTGGTATTTCTCAGGGAAATCTACACTATACATGCATAAGAAGAATAACAAATTCAAACAAATTAGGGGAAGCAGTAAGAGAAGACAGAAACAAGGAAGAACAAGAACAAGAGGGATACCTGAAAACGTGGCCAATGACTGAAGTGACCTTGTAGTAGGCAGGAAAGCCAAGGAAAGTGCCGTCGAATTCATGAACCTCTGTACTGCCTTTCCTAGTAGACATCTGTAGAAATGCAGCGGCAGCAATTAGAAAGGCAGCACAAAGAGCAAATGAACTGAAACTGATGACCCTTAAGGGCGCAAAAAGAACTTGACTCTCTACCCTACAGAAAATCAAATTAGACCTACTTTGCCACGGGAGAGCACAGAAGCGATGGAGGAAGCGATGCTGGGTTTCTCTGCAACCTGAGGAGGGACAAGAAACCCAACGAACCCATGTTACAGAATGAGTAAAATGTTTCAGTATGAGCGACGAAGATGGAATTACTTACCATTAGAACTCCTGGAGGAGCCATGGCTAGTCTAGGAGAATGAGAGAGAGCTAGCAACAGGTTTGAAGCGGGGTCTTCAGTGAAGGCGAGGCGGAATCCTGCAAGTTTTTGATTGAATTTGTTTTCCTTTTACACGGAGAGAGAGAAGAAGAAGAAGAGAAAGAAGAAGACGAGACAATGCGGGAATTAGTGGGCCGACAGAAATGGGCTGTGTAGCCGAGTTGTATGGGTCAGGCCAAATAGCTATTGTTGATTATTACTGGTATGTGGGCTGAGCTTTCGAAGCAAGGACATGGACGAGACCCAAGGTTGAAGCCTTCGATCCTTTGGGCCAATAAAAATCCGAGGAATAAGATAGATAAATTGAGCCAATTCGCTATGTTAATGCATGGTGTACTATTACCATCGACAACAATAACTAACATCCTATTACCGTTGAATATTAGGGCTGCAAATGAGCCGATTCGAGTTTTACCCCAACTTGACCTCGAGCTAGCTTGTTTATTAAAATATTGACTTTTATTTAGTACTTCATTTTGTATATCATGATACATATGATTTATTTTGTTAGCTAATCTCATATTATACTTTGTTTTGTTGGTATCATATATTATTTAGTTAATAAATTTTAACTACTCCAAATCATGTTATTTCATAGTATCGAAGCAATCTATGATGCATAATTTCTTTTTAAAGTAGAAAATAAGATATATCTGATCACATACTCAACGTGTTAAACTTTATATATGGTGAGATATATAATTTAACAACCATATGAATTAAAATCATAAGATATAGATTGATTCGTCCATAAGTTGGTAATCGAGTTGGCTCTCTAGCCACATGTTAAGACATATCATGAGCTCTAAACGAGTAAGCTCACGATTTTAGCTCAACAAGCCGCCGAGTCGAGCTAGATCGCTAGCTTCACGAGCTGAACAAAAGTTAGATCGTGTTCGGCTCGTTTATTAACGAGCCGAGTTTCGAACGAGCTTTTCTCGAGTCGAACGTCGAGCAGCTCGGCTCATTTGCAGCCCTACCGATGATTGCACAAAGTGGTAAATGAGTGGTCACAATCATAATTTCATTGGGTAGTATTTTAAACAACTTTTGGTACATTTCCCCGAAATCATTAATGGATTTGTTATCCTTGTCAATCACCCTTAATAGCCCGGAAAATTTACAAGGATAGATAGATAGGTTCATTTTCTGTTCGTCGGCTTGGATGCTTCAATGAAAAATTGAATAGGAACTCAATAAATTCGAACACAAGATAATGATATATTATTCTAACGACTGAATGAGTACATTAAGCATCCCAACTGCCTCCTCTATGACATTACCATCCAAAGCCGAAAAATAAAAGTTAATGTCAACTGGTTACCTAGAAGAACTTTCGCATAACTGACATTTGGGACATGAACTCTTCAAATGAAAACTTGTGTTGTACTATCCATTGTAACATCTATTGCTTCGTAACACAATGCATTAACGAATTTCGTTAACATTTAATCCACACACCAGAATTTTCAACCAAAATCATCCCCGAAGCTAGTCTACACATCAATTACAAATGTCATCAAAACACCAACCCTGGTGTTAAAATGTCAAAGCCAACTATAGGTAGTAGTTGGTTGCAAAGTGGAGACTTGGAATCAAAGAAAATTTGACGTTGTCCTCCGCTCCACGGATCCGTTTTGCAACTTCCGCCGAAACAGACAAAGAAAACGGGCCTTGGCCCGTAGCGCACCATCGACCACCGAAGAATATGCCGGCCGCCTGACCGGCCGGAGGGCCAACAAGGCGACGATCTACCAAACAGTATTAGATTATTAGTGATAGAAGTAGAAGAAAAATGACAAAGAAAAGATACTAGACACCAAAATGAGCCAATTTATAAATTGATCTCTCAACTCTCACCCAACGGAGGATGAACGGTACAATTCTTGTAATCTAACGACAGTTCCCTTCTGTTACCTCTCCTTCTTCTTCGTTCTTCCTATTTTTTGTTTTTATGCATATATATAAGTAGTGGTGGTGAAAGAGACGCGCCAAACGGGGCTGTGTTATAGGATTTATCCGATTCCTTCGTCTCCCCCTTCACTGTCTTTCTTTCGGCCGGCCTTCCGCGGTGGACATACTGTGACAGTACTTCCTTCTCCACCCAATTCCCATTTCCCAACTGACAGCAACCAACCATCACCAATAGAAAGAAACAGCTACTGAGAACAAAGAGGTAAGTGACGCCAATTTCGCTACTTTGCTGTTTCACCTGTCATTAGTGTCTGCATAGCTCCCACTTAGAAAAAAGGAGCTAACTTTGATGATGGGTTCTGATTTGAATTGCTGGGTTTGGATGGATTTCCATTGAGGCAGAAGTAAATAGTAATGTCAGTTTGGTTTTGCGTTGTTTAATTTTCAAGACAGGTTTTTGAATTGCCTGATCGGGGTTTTCTGTGGCTGCTGGCGGTTCCCTTGATATAGTGTTCAAATAGAGAATATGAGTACTATATATGGGAGCAGCGCCATGGCAAGCATCTCCTCCCTCAACTTGAGTTGTGTGGACAACAAAGCTGCTGCTGGGCTTGGGTTCAGAGGCAGTGAATCAATGGGCAACTCTCTCAAATTCCATTCCGTTAATCTTGCTGCCACCAGATACAGGCACCATTATTCTGCTCCCTTGAAGGTGCTTGTATGACATAATTCTGGGTTTTCGTAGCTGTTCATTTCTAGTATCCTTCAGTTGACACTTTGCTTGTTATCATTGCAGGTAGTGTGCGTTGACTATCCAAGACCAGACCTTGACAGCACTGCCAATTTCTTGGAAGCTGCTTATTTCTCTGCCTCCTTCCGTTCTTCCCCTCCCCCACCCAAGCCCTTGAAGGTTGTCATTGCTGGTGCAGGTAAAAGGATTGAGCTGTGGAACATTGTGGTTTGGAAACACCTTGCCTTATAATTCTGTTAGTTCAGGACGGGACTTCACGTTACTGCTCTAATATACGCTTGTTTTCACATTATCCAATAGTTGTGCCCTAAAAGGCACCAAATGATAGCTAGAAACAGGAAGTATATTTGTTCAATGATTGTGTAGCAAGGATTTGAATTATGGCAACTTGATCATCTTCGTTGCAGTCAATTGCTTTGTTTCAAATGTGAATGATTCTCCTATGAATGCATTTCTTGTTTCATTCGCTGGAGCTTTTCTTTTCAGATTGGTGATATCATTTCACAAACTGATGCAGGTTTAGCTGGTTTAGCAACAGCAAAGTATTTGGCAGATGCAGGCCACAAGCCTATATTACTAGAAGCCAGAGATGTTCTGGGAGGAAAGGTTAGTCGGCATCTCTCATTGCCTTTTTATTGTTTCAGTTGCAATAAACCAGTAATGTGGTCACTCATCGTATATCCCATCTTCACTTCATCTTGGTAGTTCTTCAGACTCATTTCTGCTTTTATGTCCTATCCAAGTCCATTAACTGTAGAGCATAGATAAGTCTAAAAATCATCATATTAGCCGCTTCTGACTTCTAGATAACGTGTGTTGCCTCCTCATTACCCATATGCTAGTAATAGACTGTATGCATTCTTGGTGTGTGAAAAGGATGGTTGAGGCCGAGAGGCTAGAACTCTGATTCAGATCGTTTAATTTTCTCTTGCTTTAGTGCTGTATACCACAAACTTAGACCCTTCCTATATCTTCTTTTTATATGTTTCTTGGTCTGTAAGGTTTGCCTTCTCCTCAACAGGTGGCTGCTTGGAAAGATGATGATGGTGACTGGTACGAGACTGGCCTGCACATTTTCTGTAAGTTTTAGTATTTAAATACTCTTGGATGTCTCGTAAGATGCACTTGTTTTTATAACTTCTCCTATTGGCCTTCGTATTGCCTTATCTAACTCTTCTCTACTTTGAAAGTCGGGGCATACCCAAATGTACAGAACCTATTTGGAGAACTTGGCATTAATGATAGATTGCAATGGAAGGAGCATTCTATGATATTTGCTATGCCAAACAAGCCGGGAGAGTTTAGCAGATTCGACTTTCCTGAAGTTCTCCCTGCTCCATTAAATGGTCAGCAATTTACTATTCAACTGCATGATTGATACACGCATATTCTTCAATCATGTCAATTTTTGCTATGAGAACTTTCAGATCGACCCTTGGTTTCTTTGTGTGGATTTAATGTACAGGGATATTAGCCATCCTAAAGAATAATGAAATGCTCACTTGGCCCGAGAAAATCAAGTTTGCCATTGGCCTCCTGCCAGCAATGCTTGGTGGGCAGGCTTATGTCGAAGCTCAAGATGGTCTTACTGTTCAGGATTGGATGAGAAAGCAGGTAACATCATAGAGCCACTACGAGAGCAATAAACTGTTGGCATGTGACTGCTAAGATTATGATTTATAACCAGTGGGAGTTTCCCATTATACATGGTGGGTAGTGTTCTGTATAAAATTAAGGAAGTCTACGTTGGAATCCTGAAAATTTCATATTCGCCCTAGAATGACACAAATATCTGGCTGTCGGTTGTTGTATGTCTCGTAGTTGATCTAAGGTATCTAGAAACTGTGAAGACTGAAAAGAGCTTTCCTTACATTGTGACAGGGGGTACCTGATCGGGTGACTAATGAAGTGTTCATTGCCATGTCCAAGGCGCTAAACTTTATTAATCCAGATGAACTCTCAATGCAGTGTATACTAATAGCTTTGAACCGATTTCTTCAGGTATACTGGCTTTTCTTACCACTATTGTTCTCGCCAGATGCATAAGCTTTCCATCCCAAGTTCCATAGAAATTGTGTAGTAATAATGCCATGTTAATGTTAACTTACTACATTTCGGAGAATCATGGTACAGATTGTTGTTGTTTGTTGATCATCTATAATCTTAAATACATGGAATTGAATTATCCTTGAATGCACACACAATTGTATCAACAGGAGAAGCATGGGTCAAAGATGGCCTTTTTAGATGGTAATCCCCCAGAAAGGCTATGCAAGCCCATGGCTGACCATATTGAGTCATTGGGTGGGGAAGTCCGTACTAACTCACGGATAAAGAAAATTGAGCTCAACAATGATGGAACAGTGAAGAGCTTTTTATTGACCAATGGAAGTGTGATTGAAGGAGATGCTTATGTGTTTGCCACGCCAGGTATATGCTGAACTGGAACATGAGCATTGATCTGTGTCATTAATATTATCTTAATGCTGGGCCCTCTAATTCCTTCCCTATCTTGACCAGTTGATATCCTGAAGCTTCTTCTACCTGATAATTGGAAGGAGATGCCATACTTCACGAAACTGGAGAAATTAGTTGGAGTACCTGTCATTAACGTTCACATATGGTCAGTCCTACCTTCTCATTCTCTTATTCAATGGATTCAGAATGCTCTCCAATGCTTCGGGGCATGGTTTACAAATCTTGCTACCTGCCACCTCATGTTGATGCTTTCTTCCTCTGAATTCGATGAGTTGGAGACTTAAAAGGACTCGACTCATTCAACTGGATATTTATCATTTAATGGAAAAGTCTGGCTCTAATTCATTTTTTGTTGAAAAGAAGAGAGAAATCTGGATAGTCACTAATGGAACGTGAATAAGTTTTGCCAAACGGGTTTTTACTCCTCTAATATTCTTTCCTTAATGACATGGCTCTTGGATGAACTTTTCTCATAGTAAATTTCATTTCTTGCCACAGTTGCACTGATTGTTTTATTTGTATAAGCACCTTGTCCATCTGAACTTTGAAAATTCTCATCACAGGTTTGACAGGAAGCTGAAGAATGTATCTGATCACCTACTCTTCAGCAGGTGCGCTCCTATTTCTTGCAAGTTCAAATATACAAAAAATAATAGTTTTTTGTTGTTGTTTCAAGCGATCTCCCATACTTAACTCCAGAAAAATCCTGATTCTACTCTTTCAGAATGGTGAACTCTTATCTTACTTTCCCATGTTTAGAGATCTTTGTTATGTGTACAGTTCCGGTGGAGAACACCAAAGATTCTAAAAACCCTACACTGTCTATTTTAGTCTCTTTGACCTCAAAAAAGTTTGACTTCACTTGCACTATGATTCTCCACTATCACATGCCATTGTCTTCAAAAAGTATTCATTTCTTCAAAATGAAGTTGTTTAATGCTTTGATCCATGCCTTATTCTGTTGTTCACCCTGGTTTTGGCAGGAGTCCGCTTCTTAGTGTATACGCTGACATGTCTGTAACCTGTAAGGTTAGTTTGAATTTAGACCTACTGAAGAATACTCATTGAGAAACAACCTCTAAATAGTGGTTTTATTTATTCATATATTGTTTAACACAGGAATATTATGACCCCAATAAATCCATGCTAGAGTTGGTGTTCGCACCTGCGGAGGAATGGATAACACGCAGTGACTTGGAGATCATCGATGCTACAATGAATGAACTTGCAAAGCTCTTCCCAGATGAAATATCTGCAGATCAGAGCAAGGCGAAAATCCTGAAGTATCACGTTGTGAAAACTCCAAGGTTTGACCCAGTAGATTGTCCGAGTTAAATGTTACTTATTAGCATTTCTTTCTGTTGTTCATGGAAATACCCCCCTGTATCTTTGATTTGACACTGCCTTCTGTGTCACGGAATTTGTTGCAGGTCTGTATACAAGACTGTCCCAGATTGTGAACCTGCCCGTCCATTGCAGAGATCTCCAGTTGAGGGTTTCTATTTGTCTGGTGACTACACTAAACAGAAATATTTGGCATCCATGGAAGGTGCTGTCCTTTCTGGGAAGCTTTGCGCGCAGGCCATTGTCCAGGCATGTACTTCAATGAACCAAAAAAAGACCCTGTGGAATATGGAAATCTACGTGGTAACTAGTTCTAACGATGCTTTCATGTCGACTATGCAGGATTACGAGTTGCTTGCTGCTAGGGGACAGTGGGCTCTGACTGAGGCTACTGTGAGTTTATGATGATGATGATTGAAGCCTGCAGCATTTGGGGAAGGTAGGAAATGATTCAGTAACAAGAAGTAGTAAAATGTATGTAAGTTCAATACCCGGTTGTTAGGGAGTGAATCAGAGTTTGTTTGTTGTCAGCAAGGAAGGGCTCAGAGCCAAATATTCTCTCAACAATTTGTGTACAGACAAATACTCTGATATTGAAACCTCAAGTGAATCACTTGCAATGAGTGAAGAAAAAAGTATGTTTGTCTCTCTTCTTCTTTGACACAATTAAGAGCTTTTCTTTTCTGTTGTGCATGCAAACATGGTGTCTATCGTCGACAACAATGACTAAACCTTCTCGTCGTAAGCTGTTACAGAAAGCACCTAGTGCTCTTATCACATTGGAGATAAGACAAGAGCTCTACAAAAAGGGATTAATCTCAATCCATTGGGGACCTGAAATCGTGGGTGGGAATCACGAGTTTGCTCCCTGCATGTACCATGCATCTCCGACATTAACGTTGGGATATAGATTCCATGGCTGGCATTGCATTCATCACACTACATTAAAAAGAATGTTTCCCCCCTTTTTTTCTTTTTCCGATTTGATACATCTTCTTCTTCCTGGATTGCTTCCTTCCTGATCCCAAGCCAATGCACGTGCAAACTGGAATTTGTCCGTATCTGAATCTTTAATTCTGTAACAGCTTTCCATGCATCAATCCATCCTTCTGTCTCAGTCTCTCTCTCTCGTCAATCTTAATGCATCTCCAACTTCCAATCCCCATTAGCCAAGTGTCCTAGTTATAAGGATTGCTTCTACTCAACCATTGACCTCTGCAGTATCGATCCAGCTTGGTCGATGAAAGGGTAGGCGTTAGTTCGTGCATATGTCTTCTGCAAAATCGAACCGGGTTGGTCGATGAACTGTCATAAACATGTGTTCACAGCTAGTTATAACTCGGTAAGATAAGGCAAATTCTTTCTTATCATACACAAAACTTGGATTGTCCTACCTGGTTTAGCTTCAGTTATACACAGGAGACAAAACTACTTGGTAATGAAGGCGACCATGTTCATTCCCTCACTTGAAAAACAAGTCAACTCCTAGATCTTTCCTGGAAAATGCACCTCTTTTTCATGGAAAATTTGTAATCTACCTAAATTCCAACTTCCAAGGTTCACTACCCTAACTCACCATGCACTCTATCCTCCATAAATATCCACCTCCATTCCACCTTCCATCTCCCAACAACACCAGTTTGAAGCACTTCTTCTTCTTGTTCATCTTCCTTTTTTTCACCCTCCTTAGGGGTTTGATTTGTTCCTTTCTTCCTATAATTCATTCTATACACAGTTACTCTTGTTAAGTCACTGAACACACTACAAATCACGAAGTACGAAAATGGCTGAGATCACGGTTTACACCAGGAATGCTGCATCTGCTAATGGCCTCTCTGCTGCACCAACCAAGAAGGGAAGCAAGATCACCAGGAAATGTGCATCCTTGATCAAGGAGCAACGAGCTAAGATGTACGTCCTCCGCCGCTGCGCCACCATGCTCCTCTGCTGGTACATTCAGGGAGATGACTAAACTAATCTCCATCCTCCATCAGCAATAACCCCAACCTGCAACATTTTTTTGTTCCTTTCCCTTCATTTTCAAATTTTCTTCTTCTATTTTGTTTCCCCCCTCGTCTTTTTGTGGGTTTCATGTTGTGGTCATCCTCAACAGCTCAGAACACGCAGACTCGCGTACAACTCGGTTAGCAGTGCTGTGTCTTCTTGCCGCCGCCTTCTGATCAGTGGAGGAGTTCCAATGGCTTTCTGCTTTTTACCTCTTTGGCTTTCAACACAGCCAATGAGGTTTTTTTGCCATTGTGGGTTTCCTTTGCTGGAGATGGAGAGGTGTAAGCCTCTCAGTACCCTGGCTGGCCTGGAGCATTATGCACAGTTGTGGAGCTGAACAAGTTTGAGAAGTTGTTGATGATGATCATGATGTGTTTTTCTGCAATCTCAGATGATGAATTTGGCCATAGAACGGCCACTGCTCTATTCCTCCTTTGCGCTATAAAGGAGTTGTAAAACTTCCAACCACTGTCCCTGTTGAAAGCAGTCATCAATACAAATGAACTCTACTACTACCTCAACTGCTTTGCTAAAATAATGACGGAGACAGAATAAGATTAAGCAAAAAAGTACAATCTTTATGTTTGTATGTAATTCCGGCAGAACAATGTGAAGCTCGAAGCTTTTATATTACTGCAGAATGTAGCGTCTTGTATTACTGAGGTTTCCGTTACAATAAATGAAGAATGGAGTCTCTTCTCTTTTAACTCTCATTCCAACTTCTAGATTCAGTTCCCGTGTTTGCATGATTGAAAGCTACAGATGGTACATTTTCTAGCTACATGATGATCCAAGGTAGCAATACAACAACTACATCTAGGTAAAGTTACTTACTTTCCCTTTCTACCAATGCAGGCCATAGCTCGAAGCCTGCATCAAGGGGTGAGCAAAATATGCACCTAATGTCAGCGCCGTGATGGTCAGATAAGGCAGCCTCAAGAACTCTTTGTAGTAATCTTTGGGTAGCTTCTGCCGACCATCCAAGATTGCTGCAAATGGAACTACACTTGTCCTGCCCTTCACTGCTTCAAATGCTTCCCCGTATCTCGCAGCTAATCTCCTATCTCCATTCCAAACACCGAACAAGTGATGTGCAATCAGACCAACCGATGCAGCTAGTACCACCGAGTTCCCTATCCACACCGTGTGAGCTACGCACCACATCACCTGACCAACCATCTTCCCCCACCGGAGAAACCAAAACACCCAAATTAGTAAGCTTTTCGATAGCATTCACCTCATTTCCTACTAGGGGCGTGAGACAGATAAGCAAACATTATCCATACATACATACATACACACCTGAGGATGCCTTGTGATTCTCATGATTCCACTCTCCCAGAGATGCATCTTCGGCTTGTCCACGGCTGCAACCTCCAGCAGATTGAACGTCGAAGGGTAGAGCAAGAAGAAGGAAATGAAGTTGGACAGCCACACGACTTCGTGCAACCCGGAGATAGATTGCAGCTGCCATAGCTGAGTCCCATCGTACCTGTGATTGATGAAGTAAACCTGAAAGAGCACAACAGTAGTGGTAGAGGCAGAATCAAAACAATTGGATCGGACCAACTTCTCATTCTCCAAATAAAGACTGTTACTTGCATCTCAGAAGCTACTTACCACTGTACTAACAGCTAAAGGAAGAGACAATCCTGCAAAAACAACACGGAAGGCTCGTTCTCCGACCAGCTTCTCCCCTGCGTCTCTCACGCTAGCCAAACCACTGTGGACAGTTGCGAAAGCCAGTATGAGCAAAAGCATTACAACCTGCAACAAAATGCAACGTTAGCAGCTTCAATTGGACAGAGTTCAAGCAGGGAGTCCGCCATGTACTAAACCTAACAGTGTTGCGTGAATCGGGAAACAAACCCTTGTTCCTCATAAGGAAAAGACCTGAATTCCCATTATAGAACTGGACTGCTTGAACTATAATTCAATTACCTCGTGGCTGTCGGAGACGGCGGAGAGAGAGTCGACGAAGGCCTTGCCGTATCCGGTGGAATTGTCGATCCAGAGGAGGTCGAGCAGGAATAAGACGACGCCGAGGATGACGGAGAAGTAGAGCCAAGATGAGAGCTTCTGATTCTCCAATTGAAACAGAGCAGAGTCCTCACCAATGGGCGTCGGTTCATCCGCCGGAGATTCGACATTCCGAGGAGAAGAACTCCGGACCAAGGAATTGGTAGATGAGCGAAGACTACAGTTCGCGGCGCGGCGGCGGAGGGAGACAGAGCTTGGAAACAGAGTTGCTACGGAGATGGGTGTGTGAAATCTCGCCGCAGGGACGGCGATTAAGCGGCGACGACGGAGGGTGGAGAGAGGATTGCAGAGGAGAACGGAAGACGTAGCCATGGTTGACGGCGGGAGGAATACGATCGTCACTGCTACTAGTAGTGGTTGGTCGTTAAGGGTTTCAATGAGTCGACATTTTTGGAGGGGAGAGAGAGAGAGGAAGAAGAAGAAGCTACCCGTGTCCGTATTGTGGCAGCAGTAATGGCGACAAGAATGGAGTTGGAGGAGAGTACAAGAATCTGGAGGGAAGGGATCAATTCATGGTGATTGATATGATGACAGAGTCCTCCGTTCCTCTGTTTGCCGTCCAACTCTCAGGCCGGCAAGGTTGTCAAACCGGTTTATACCGTTGTGCCGGTTTGGCAGGTGGAATGGTACGACCGGTGTTATAACTAGTTTGTGTCGGTTCATACCGATTAAAAAAATGTGAAAACAATTAATATCTAATGTATTTAATCATATATAAAACATATTTGTGGACAATTTAGTTACAATCCAATAAATATCATCAACTTTTAGCTATTACATTCATAAAATGAATAATAAATTAGTTTTTTATTTATTAAGTTCATTAAAATAATGTCATTTTACTTAAAATGCATGAGTCGATCATACCGGTCATACCGGTTGTGTCATACCGGTTTCATGACCAACACAGGTTGAACCAGGTTCAACCGGGTGGCATGCCACAGACATGACAACCATGCTGGTCGGCTTCCACTCACCAATCGGCAATCGCCGCCTGTAAACTGTTAATTGAAATCCCAAAAGGCCCAAATGAAGGGAAAATGCCGCCAGGTATTGGACCGGGGAAAACATGGGCTTCGATCAGACAAAGACTCAAGAAGCTTCCTCTCTATAATTGAAGCCCAATTGTAATAAATAATAGCCCAAACGCACTTGCGGGCTTTGGTCCATCAAATACGTAGTCATATAATTAGGAATTAAGATTTGGGCTTCTAATTTCATTACGAAAAAGAGAGTACTAGCGAAAAAATCCAATAAATGACGTCACCATAGTAAATTTGCTTTCGCAAAATTTAACTCCTTTATCGGTGGTAAAATCTATCCCTAAAAAATTTAAAGATGACGTCATCTGCAACACCAAGGTAAAAAAGGGGCTGCCCTGTTTTTTTTTTTTTTTTGGTACCCTTCATATATGGTAAAAAAACGTCCACTTCACAATCTATAATAGTCAAAAATAAAAAAAAAATGGGTGAAAATAAAAAAAAAAGATAGCAATTAAATTATTATTTCGAATAAATATATAAAATCCAAAAAGGGAAGAATAAAAACAGTTAGGAAGGAAGAATTTATATATTGAAACTCCCATTCTCTCAAATCATCCAAAAAAAAATAAAAAAAAGCTCTCTCTTCCCTTTCTCCTCCGTCTCTGCAAATCTCTTTTCCTTCTCACTTTCCTGCGGTGACCCCTACCCTTCCTTCCCAATTCCACCATAGGGGGTCGCCCATCTTCCCATTCTCCGCCTGTTCCTTTCAATTTCAATTTCAATTCCAATTCCCCCCAATTTCGATTTCAATTCGACTATCCAAAAAAAAAAATTTACAAAAAAGGAAGATAACAGCTCATTGTGGGGGAAAAAAAAGTGGATTCAATTCGGGCTCCGATTTGCATAAATTGATCCGTCCGATCGGGTTTGGTTTTTCCGCCGCAAAGTTGAGCAGCAGCAGCAAACCATGTCGGAGATGGCGAACATGGATCCCGAGGGGATCGACGGAGTCCGGATGTCGTGGAACTCGTGGCCGCGGACCAAGGTGGAAGCTAGCAAGTGCGTAATCCCGTTGGCGGCTTGCATCTCGCCGATCCGTCATCACCCGGATATCCAAACCCTACCTTACGCTCCCTTGCGATGCAAGACGTGCGCTTCCCCGCTCAACTGCTTCGCCCGGGTCGATTTTACCGCCAAGATCTGGATCTGCCCGTTCTGCTTCCAGCGCAACCATTTCCCGCCGCATTACGGGATGATCTCCGAGACCAATCTGCCCGCGGAGCTGTACCCTCAGTTCACAACCGTGCAGTACACCCTGCCGAACCCTAGCATTAATCCCCAGATGGGTGTTGATCCTAACGCATCTCCGGCCCTTTCTCCGTCGCCCGTTTTCGTGTTTGTGCTGGATACCTGCATGATCGAGGAGGAATTCGACTATGTTAGATCCGCTATGAAGCGGGCGATTGGGTTGTTGCCGGAGAATGCGCTTGTTGGGTTTGTTTCATTCGGGACGCAAGCTCATGTTCATGAGCTCGGGTTCTCGGATATGTCCAAGGTTTTTGTCTTCAGGGGAACCAAGGAGGTAACCAAGGATCAGGTTATGGAACAGTTGGGTTTAACCGTTCCTGGCCGTAGAGGCCCTGCTGCTTCTGCTGCGTACCAACAGAAAGGAATGATGCCCAATGGCTTCCCAAGTTCTGGTGTCACGAGGTTCTTGTTGCCTGCATCCGATTGCGAATTTACCCTCAATTCGGTGCGTGTCGTCTTAGTTCATTCCCCCTTTCGCTTATTCTAGTGCCAACTCGTGATTCTTTGCTGAAAGATGGAATTTTTTTTGGGTTTGGATTAGCTTCTGGATGAGTTGCAAACAGACCAATGGCCCGTCCAGCCAGGAACCCGGGCTTCAAGGTGTACCGGCGTGGCTTTGAGTGTCGCAGCTGGACTACTTGGAGCTTGTTTGCCTGGCACTGGTGCAAGAATCATAACTTTGGTTGGAGGTCCGTGCACCGAAGGTCCTGGCACGGTAATCATCAAAATTGATTTTGATTGGATGCCCTTTTATATTCTTCACATTTCTAAATTCAAGTCCATTGCTTTGCTCCCAATTGCTACCGCTTGACACAATTTACTTCATCTATTAAAAGAAAACTAATTGTAATTGAAAGTGAAAGAATCGAAGCTCCTTTATGCATGTAGCTAATGGCTGTATCACCGTCTTAGGAGGATGGGAGAAAGCTTCTAAAGCTATCTAATTTTATTTGACCACTGATTTTGATGGTTTTAGCATATTTTGGCTATGATCAGGGTAGTTCTTTTTATCCCAAGAGAACCTTTCTGGAATTTAGATGTTAATCAAACATGAATCAAATTGATCTTTACACTGGCTAATGTCACTTGTAAAGAAGATGTGAGCCAGCGGTATGATTTCCTAATTATAATTATTATCTAACTTGTTTTCAAATGTACTGTGCCCTCTGTTGTGTTTAGCTTTACCTGGCATTTTATGAGGTTGTGCCGATCCACCCTGGTTAGATCAATGAGACATTTGTGCAAGTGGAACATCAAGTCTACGATCTTTTCTGCAATAGACATTGCAGCTATTTCTAGGATCTCCATAAATTATAACAAGATGGTAAATCTTTGCAGATTATATCCAAGGATTTGTCGGATCCTGTACGTTCTCATAAGGACCTTGACAAGGATGCAGCTCCATACTTCAAGAAAGCAGTCAAGTTTTATGATGGTCTGGCAAAACAGCTTGTCAGCCAAGGCCATGTGTTGGATGTCTTTGCCTCGGCTCTTGATCAGGTGATATTTCTGGGCATTTGACTTCTGTTGAAGTTCTGTTAGTGAGTAAGGTTGGAGTGTGGAGTGGATCCACCAATAGGGTGAAAAACTGGGATGGAACTAGAAGTTAAGGTGGTGGAATTCGCCAATTTAGAATGGAATGCTATGTAGAGTAGAATTAGATGGTGTGCACTGAAGTGTGTCGCCATAAGATTGTCTCTTTACTGTATGTTGGAAATTTTCAGCTATAAATTTATCTGCCAACCTTTTATTTGAATATGTCACGGTAAAATAAAGGAGCATATGTCTGCTTGGCTTTATTGAAGTCTAAAGTGGCTGTTGCTCTAAGTTGTCACTGTGTCTGGTTGTATCTCTACTGGGTTTCGTGGTTGTATGTGCTTGTTTGAAGACTTCAAATTTTTATTAAGTTGGTTCTTGGTGATAGCGAATGCTATATGTGGTTCTTATACGAAGTTGTCACTGTGTCTGTTCATATCTCTACTAGATTTCATTGTTGTATGCTTTAGCTTGAGTACTGCAATAACCTTTTTTGTTGAATTATAAACTTTAATATTATTTTTTATCCAATTTGCTCCCGGAGTTTTCATTTGTCTTGTACGTGGCTTCCCATATTACTATGTAGATATTTCATCCTTTAGGCAGAATCATTTTTCTAGATAGTTGTTTCTCTTGGGATGCTCCAACCCTAATCAGATAGGCAATGCTAATTGCCCGAAAATGCCTAGAAAGTAGTTAGGGTGTAACGTGAGTCAGGTTTGAACTTGTTATACACTTTGAATATTTTTTAATTGCTCTTATCTTTGTTTATTTCTTTAAGAGCAACAAGTAAAAATTAGATATTTTTAAGTTTTGGAGTGGACAAGCCCTATGCTCTTCTGTGATGGAAACTGAGTTGTTTGGCTGTATCTCTTAGGTTGGGGTTGCCGAAATGAAAGTTGCAGTTGAGAGAACTGGGGGACTTGCAGTTCTAGCAGAGAGTTTTGGGCACTCTGTTTTCAAGGACTCCTTCAAGCGTGTTTTCGAAGATGGGGAACATTCTCTTGGCCTCTGTTTTAAGTGAGTTATCTACAATAATTGTCTCCATTGGCTCGATAGTGTTAAGATAGACTCATCTTGTGACTACATTCTTTCTTTTGCTTGATCAAGACTCACTCTGGAGAAGTTTTTTTCTTAGACGTAGTAGGTTACATTGTTATTATAAGCTATGGAACTGATGTGGTGTGCTCATTTGTGATACGTTAAACTCTTGGATCTTAAGTGCAAGTCGGTTAACATAACATTTACATGGAGTTTAACAGTTTTATCGTGAGGGCTAATTTCTCCTTGGGTAAGTTGTATGATGGTAATTTGTTTTTTTATCTTTGCAGTGGAACACTTGAAGTTAATTGTTCAAAGGACATCAAAATTCAGGGAATAATTGGACCTTGCACGTCGATGGAAAAGGTTGGAACATCAACTTTAATATCTGCTGTTTTCCCCTAATATGTTTTTGGTTGGAGACCAGTTTGTGGTCCCCACCCCCATCGTCGTTCTCTTTGTGCATTTTCTTACACAGTCATTCTTTGGAATCATGGGTGTGGTTGCTGTCATCCTTGCAGAAAGGGCCGAATGTTGCTGATACTGTCATAGGGGAGGGCAACACTTCAGCCTGGAAGATGTGTGGCCTTGACAAGAGTACTTGCTTGACAGTGTTTTTTGATCTTTCATCCACCGATAGATCAAATACTCCTGGCACTGTAAATCCACAGTTATACCTGCAGTTTCTCACTAGGTATGCATGGAGAACTTCTGTTTCTCAATTGCCTTTTGTTCATATTCTACATGCACATTTCTGTTGGTATTTGGTAACTCCATGCTGGACTTCTAATGTTTGTTCTTTTGCTTTGTATCACCAATTGGTGATATGAATATAGCTATCAGACGCCTGAAGGCCAATCCCTGCTTCGGGTTACAACTGTAACTAGGCAATGGGTAGATAGTACTGTTAGCTCAGAGGTTAGTTATGCTTCATTCTGATAAAATTTCATTTAAAAATTTCACTTAATTATATTTTATTATATTTCTTGTTTGTGTGCGTTGATGTGTGTTTTTTTATCTTTCCTTTTTATGTTGTCCTCGAACTTTAATCCTTAACCATTTGGTTTGCGACTCTTTTAGTATGGAACATCATAGAAACATATTTAGCATTTTAAATGTCGTGAAACTTTTTATGCTCGACTTTGAATCATCATGTGCTACAGTGTGGTCGGGGTTCCATTTGGCTGTTTCTAAGGGGGTTTGGTTGGTGCTGTATATAAGTATCTCTGACCAGATGGTAACATCTGTGGGTGGCGTTGCCTTATCGTGGTTATTTAATTTTCTTTTAATTTGTCGGAGGTGTCTGAATTTGAATAATATTCTTACTGTCATGTCTCATTGTGCATCAAGTTCTGACTTTCAACTATTTCAGGAATTAGTTCAAGGTTTTGATCAAGAGACAGCAGCTGTTGTAATGGGAAGACTAGCATCCTTAAAAATGGAGATAGAGGTACTTTGAAGTGGCCTAGTTTTGCTACTGTGCTTTTCCAACTTCCTTGAGTCTTTGTGTCTTGGTGAATAATTTTACTTCTGCATATCTTTCGCTTAATTTTGGTTTCTCTCCGCTCAAAATTTTCCCTTTATCCCTTTGATTCTCTCGAGTCACCGGTCTATTTTTTTTTTCTTTTGCATGTCCTTGTCCATGCTGAACTTTCCTGACCTATACCCTATGGTGTAATTAAACAGGAAGGATTTGATGCAACTCGTTGGCTGGACCGGAATCTAATTCGTTTATGTTCCAAATTTGGAGACTATCGGAAGGATGACCCATCATCCTTTACATTGAACCCCTGCTTTTCATTGTTCCCGCAATTCATGTTCAATCTCCGGCGGTCCCAATTTGTACAGGTGACTATCATGAGCAAATTCTTTGCAACTTGTGCAATATATATCTCTCAGTTATACTTATTCTAGTTTTGTTGATTGATATTTCTTGTGAGCAGGTTTTCAATAACAGCCCGGATGAGACTGCTTATTTCCGCATGTTGTTAAACAAAGAAAACATTACCAATGCTGCTGTCATGCTTCAGCCGTCGTTAATATCTTATTCCTTCAATACATTACCTCAACCGGCACTTCTAGATGTTGCGTCTATTGCTGCTGACCGAATCCTCTTGCTAGATTCTTACTTCAGTGTTGTCATTTTCCATGGCATGACAATAGCACAGTGGCGTAACATGGGTTACCAGAATCAGACAGAACACCAGGTATGGTTTAACTTGTGCCTAATCCTTCTTTTATACAACTTAGTAAATATCCGTAAGCCATTGATCAGCCTTTTTATGCATTTATGCACGATGAGTATGTGGTCCTGTATAGTTAGTTGAAAATAAGCTGCCATTTGGTCGTTTCTTCTCATAAGGTAGACACAAATGAGCTTTTCTACCTAAGAAAGACATATGTCATAAGCTGGTAACCGATTCGGGCTATAGTTCTTGAAATTAGATGTAGGTTCTTTTAGAACAGTTTCCATAAAAAGCCTACCACAATCTGTTGGTTGGTTAGTTGTCTGGTGTTTTCAAGTCAACTAAGGGCTTTTCTGTTTTTCCCCTTCTGGTTCTTTGAGTTAATACATGTTTTTTCTTCTGCAGGCGTTTGCACAGCTTTTGCAAGCTCCTCAAGATGACGCTCAGATGATAATCCGAGAGCGTTTCCCAGTCCCTAGGCTTGTGGTGTGCGATCAGCACGGGTCCCAGGTTAGTTCTTTTTTCAATTTCTAATGTTATTGCTGGAACTGAACAACAGCCGGAACTTGACCTTTGTGGTTGTGAATGTGATGATGAAATGAACAGGCTAGGTTTTTGTTGGCAAAATTGAACCCATCAGCGACGTACAACAATGCACATGAGATGGCAGCTGGGTCTGATGTGATATTCACAGATGATGTCAGCCTTCAAGTCTTCTTCGAGCATCTACAGAGGCTAGCCGTGCAGTCTTGATTGTAAGGGAGGGGTTTCTAATGGCTGACGAAGTCTCAGCTAGCTGCGACCCACCACTGATGCTCTGTCCCTCTTGTTCCTTCCGTCGATCTTGGGTTTTCCCTTGTTTAAGTTTGCCTGTCTTTTTCTCTCCCATGTTTCCGAGAAGAGAGATGGTACCCCCACTCGGAGATCATGTTCAAAAAATAACTGAGCAGGTCCATGACATTCTGTAGGAGAGGGAGGGAAGAAGACTGGCCTGCAGAGCGAGGGGGACGAAAAGAAGTATGTTTAAAAGAGTTGAACAGAGTCGTGTGTTACCATTTGTGGAAGGAACTGTGTCATGAAGGGAAATTCATGGAGTTTAGAAGAGGAAACCTAGCTAGCTGCCGTGGTCAGGTGTTCTATTTGTGTATTAAGTTAAGGGTTTTCTCCTTTTGGAAGTTTTCCTTCTTTTTTACCCTTTGGATAGATACATGAGAATTGAAATTGTTGATGATGGTCTTAGGATAATTATCTGAGGTAGTACTTGAGGAAGAGCTGAGTTTGGGGGTAATACTTGGAATCTTCTTTTTGTTTTGTCTACTTGATAGACCATATGAATATACATGCTTATGCTTCTCGCTTTCGTTGCTGTTGTGTTCCCTTATCGTTTTAGTTCGAATGGGACAGTGTATGGCGGAGTGACCAATCGGTGGTCGTGATATAGGTCGAAACAGGGCTTTGGGGTTCAGGTGTTTGCCTTTTATCTGCCCCTACGATAGATGCCGCAGCCAGTGCCATGCATTCTTGATGTGAAATTACAGTACTGTGAGCAGGCTTTGTTCGACTCCATAGCGGCAAGCATACCATCAAGCCTGATGAGATCAAGGCAATGGCTTGTGGCAGTTGACTTATAGTAGTGGATACAAGATTGTATCCACGTAAAGCAAAACGAGATCAAATAGAGATGACTTATAGTAGTGCTTTTGGAATCTACAGTGGATGGAAAATCCATGTAAAGCCTGTGCTTTTGGAATCCCGAAATGCACATTTTCTCAATCTGAAACAACTATTCAGCTCTTCCTCACTTGTAATTTCATAAAAAGGAAAGAAAAATGGTTTGCACACAAATTGACGTATTATCAAACACACATCTAACATCCATCAATTATCCTTTTACTACCTAAAATCAACTCTACCAAAACAGCCTAATAACAAACTCGAAGTAACTACAGCTAGGGGCATAGTATGAGCTAGCTTGGTCGAATAACAAACTCGAATTACAGGCCTCGTCGATACTCTAGTTGCTTGGTGTTTTCGAGCAATACCTGTACCCAAAAAAAAAAAAAAACTCCGGAGTGTAAGTAATTACTCGTCTGATGAAGAACACCAAAGAGAACTTTGTGACGAAGAGAGAGAGAGAGCCCCAGTTAATTGAAAGCTAACTATTACCTCCCGTATATAAGTTGCAATGGCCTTGCAGCCTTCAATTGCAAGCTGCATAACGTTTTCAACAATATCAACTGGCAACTTGGCATCCATCTGCGCAGAAATAATTGAAGGAATTGAGTAGTGAAGAACTAAACACCAATCAGACATCCACATTGTTTTATTTAAATTGAATTAACGATTAATGAAAACCAATCTCCCGATCCTAACCTGAAGAAGAGTCACTTTGTCTAGCTTCGGTAGAAACCCAACAGTGACATCAGGACCCCCAGCACTATCTTCCAGATAATTAAGATCTGTAGCAAATGCAGTAGGATTAGTGCGAGCTTTGATGGTTAACAGCTAACTGGAAAAGAGAAGGTACAAGCATACCTAGCAAAGGAGTGCTATTGAGGTAACCAGCACTACAGGAAGTCACAAGGTCACGCATAGGGATCCCAGCATCAGCTAGGGCCAAAGTTGCAGCATTTATACATGCAGATCTAGTTCCTGCAAGCAGATGCAGCCATGTGATGATAAGATAAGAACCTCTTTTACCAGGAAAGGTTTACGTACTAGTAACACAAAGAACCACGTGGACACGATTATGTACATGATTAGTCATCAAGCAACTCCAAAAAGGCCAAACGACTCACCTCCATCAGCTTGGAGGACTTGCACGTAGATGTCTATCTGTAGGATTCACAAACAACACTATCCTTTAGGAAATGTAACAAGTGTTATCCTTCCTGATAAAATAAGGACAAAGCAGTAAGAAAATAACCTGAGAGCGTGGCATTAGGTGAGTCAATATGCAAGCTTCCATTGTCTGGCGGATGACTAAAGATATCTCTGTTGATCGCCTGAGAATAATATGCAGGTGCCAAAAGAGTTAACAAGATCCCCCATTCTAGGATATGGCACAGGAATTTTACCAAGCCAAGCTTATGATAATAAAGATAAGGAAAGCTTGTCATGCAAACAATTTGGCCCACATCATTGCAAATGCTGATTATCTATATCTAATCCAGATCCCCGGTTCAAATCTATACTCTCTAATTAATATCACACCTTAATAAACTATTAACTTTATAAGAACTATAAGAAACTAAAAAACTCAGAGAAAGGCAGAAACAGGTTGCATCATCTAGCATATCGAAACCATCTGGAAGCATTATGATTACCTATCGCCCTTTGGTTTACGCTTGCGGTCACCGGTGCTGAAATTGGCCATGGTGTACTCACACCTCACCTGCGGTTTACATGAGCAAAAAGTTAAGAGGCTGATCTCATAGCTAGGCAACTCAACATAAAAATGTCAAGATCAACAATACCAATGCCTGGTCGTTACTCAGCTGGCTCTTGTTCTGGACCTGAACAATAAAAACCAGGCAGTCTCAGATAAGCAGTAAAAGCTGTAACTTGACGTAATTCCAAAAAAGAAATTAGCACCCTTGGAGCTCAAACAAAGAACAATACATACCTCTCTAGGACCATAGACAGCAGCAATTACTTTGGTGTTGCCCATTTCAAAAACAGCAGAACTGCAAGTGTTCGGGATTTTAACTTGTTAATTCATACTAAAATCGAAGAAATATAAAAAAAAATGCATTAGGGTTTTGAAGATACCCGTCAGCTCTGGCAACCGCGCCAATCTCTGCTCGAAGCTGCCTCATCTGAGACACAGACAGGGAGTTTCATATTAAACTGAGACACACGAAATGAAAATTCGGTTTAAACAAAACCCAGATAATCTAAAAGGAGGAAACTGAAACTGAAAGCATCATACTTCCATCGGACGGCGACCGTCCAGACGGAGTCCTTCTGGGTTAACGAACTCCATAGCTGAGGAAGAAATACTGTGGAAGAAGAAATACTTCTACGGTATACCCAGTTGCCGTTCGCCGGTGAAGGAGAAAGATAGCAGTTCGGTTTTAGCAGCAGTTTCTTTTCTGCTTCTTCTTCTTCTGAAGCTTCGGAAGCCCAGCCCAGAATCACCAGGCCCAAAAGATAAAAATCTCAAGCAGGTAGGGCCCAAAACCAGATGGGATTAGAAACTCCAATTAACTTGGGGCTCAAGGCAAAGCAAGGTTAGAGTACAGGGAAAGATTATCAATTTTGGTTTAATCACAAGTGTTCCAAAACAATGAATTGGATTGGGACATTAACGTCGAATTATTAACAGTTCCTTCCAACTGTTACAGATTATATACAGTAGTATAGTATATTTGTGACAATGATATGTACAAGTGAATGAAAGGTTAAAAACATGGCCAATTTTTTTAGGTGAACCAACTTTTTTCTATTTACAGGAAATCCCACTGCCAATAAACCTTCTCCACTATCCCACCGCCGCTCCTAACCGCCAGGCGAAGCGTCTCCGAAGCCGGTGGCACCCCCCAGAGATATGGTACAGCCACCGTCATCTTCAACTTCTCATGCAACCCGCCTTTCACTGCTTTCTCTGCAGCAACCACCTGAAAGGAAGCAAAATGATTACAGGGTCGTCCTCCTCCTTTTTAGCTCATTGTCATGAGCTGATAATCAGGCAGATGTATGAAGATAAGAGCCTGCGGTTTATAGATACAGCGATGAACTAAGCTTTTTGGGGTAACCACAGGGCAGACAAACAGAGCACATTTTATAAAAAATGGTCTATTTGTTTTCCAGTTGTAAGAGGGAAGGTAGATTCACAAAGTATTGAGCACAACCAAAGGGCAGGATTCATGGCAATGTGTGCAAAGCCTAACACGCAGCATCAAATGCTGTTTTTTCTTTCCTGGGTAGTAAGAGGAATCATGAACTGTACCTATAAACTGGGAACAACCGAGGTTTGCGCAAGTATGTTGGACAAATTTCAGATACACACAAACAACACCCTACCTCTCCACCATGTTCCAAAACAGTGTCCTCCACAACATCACTGAGCATCTCAATGGAGCGGCAGAATCCAAGTATACACAGCCTTCTTCCCATATCGAGCCCCTGGAATAGCACCGGAAACACATGAGCTGCTAATGACCACGTCATATTTTGAGGACCCGCCTGGCCACAGTAGTAATTACAACTTACATTGGTCGCAGCAATGTCAAACAATGCACCCAAACACAATCCCTGATCGGGATCCATGTAGTTACTCTCTTGAAACCGTTGGAGTCTCTGAGAAGTTTTAGGTTTCCCTTGCTTCTTCTGTAAAACAAACCCATCAGAAGAAAGCTGTTGAATAAGCTTCTTGCAAGAAAGACAATCATGCAGCAAAGTTTTAAGAGGCATTTAAAGGAAACAGACGCAGAATGTGCACCCAATAAGCAAAACTAGAACTAACTGGGGAACCATGAAAAGAAGTTAAAACGAGGGAGCTTATCATCAGTGCTTTTATAATAAACACAGCATACATCAGCAGAGGTGGCACGTCGAGGAACAATGTTGCCACCAATCTGAATGAGCCCATCAGCAGTGAACAATGTGACCTTCTCCTGCTGGACCCATTCTATGGCTGCAAGCAAAGGGGAACAAATTACCCCATCATCATTACACTAATCAACCACAACCATAAGAAACTACGGGAAATGAAAGAACTCCTATCAAACAACTGGAAACCCGGGCCCGTGTCAATTAATCCAATTAGCAGGTTGAGACGATTAAATTGTAATTCTATTGAGGAATAATAAACAAGAATCATACGATTGGGAAATGATAAAGTGATGGGGAATTAGGACGTGGAATTGAGATGCATTAGGATTTATCATTACCGTTATTGTCACCGGACCAGGGGAAGAAGCTGAGGGAATCGTCCCCAAGGAAGTCACCGGGATCAGATGCTTTACAGGTGAGCCGCAGGCAATGACGATGCGGCCGAGGATTTTTCACACCTTTCAACGGAAAGAACTTTGACTGCAGAGAAGAGGAAGGAACTTGAAGGAAGCAATCTAAAGCCTGATGAATCTCAAAATTAATCAGAAAATAACACCCATAGAGGAACAAACCCAACCCAAAAGGCAGAAGATGATACCGCTTGATGGGACGAAATGATGGAGGCAACGGTTTTTCTTTGGTGAAGAAGGACGTAAGGAGTGCTGCAGCGTGCACAGTTACCTGCAGTGGCAGCTGGGGAAATGCGACTCGAGCCAAACATTGCTACTCCGCAAGCGAAATTTTTGGAAACACCAGTTTGCAGCTTCGAAAGGCACACTAGAGGCAGAATTGCTGAACTTCTGCAGTGTGAAGGCAGGGGGCAGAAGGGGTACGTTTAAAAACCAAACCAGATGGTGAACCAAAATGAGAGCACTACACCTGTATGCACTAATTAAAGGAAGCTAAAATATATTGCAGAGTTGTGGCAACACAGTTTCATGATATTGGTTAACGAGAATAATACACAAATTTGAGGGATAACTCCTAACCAGACTCTGGTGGTAACTAACCCAATCCCAATAATGTAGATCATTTGGCAAATAAGTTCTCAAGCATTCTCAACCCACTAGTGCAAATCGAAACTCACAAAAGTACGCATACACAAAATTCCTTTCCGCCATTGACACACACTGATTTGTTTAGAAAAAACAATGTACACTGATACAACTATTCTAGAGGCAGGAAAGCAACCAGATTCAACTAACATCAATTCAGAATGCTTGATCTGTCTACAAACAACAACTATCCTATCATCAACCAATCGATTCTCCGCCAAGGGGCCTAACTCACACAGTGTACCAATCAGACAAACTCCATAACACAAAAAATCAGAAACCCAACTTAACCAAAGCGGATTCTCACATACACAGGGCAGCCCAGCAAGCAACTCTGACAATAATTTGCCACAGAATGAAAGGACACCTCAATTTGCTTAAAGTCGTCAAGTTCTAAACTTACTGCCATGCAACAACTCAGCAAACCAAAACCCAACAGAAGATCGACTACAGTAAATGCCCAAGTCAAGCCACCAAAGACACCTTGTGGCAATCGAAACGAAAAAAAACCCCACTGAGCAGAAAACAGAAAACTACACATATTCCCCCTTCCTTTCTCTTAGCCTCTCCATTCACATACAACCCACATTTACCCAGTTCGGACCCATATGGAATTGAGGGTTCAAACACATCAAATACGATAGAGAGAGAGGAAGAGAAACGACTGAGAGAACTGGAGATCTAAGGAGAAATCTCTCCTGCAACTTCCTATAGAACAAAAATTGAACGAATAAAAAAAAACGGAGTTTCTAAAAATTTTACCTTTGGGAGTGCTGGCTTTGACCAAATCGAGCGGAAACGAGCGGTTTCTCAGCCGGCGCCGTAGAGAGCGCCTCCAGCGGATGAATCAATCCTCGTCGGGAACTTCTTCAGCAGGAATCCAATCGGATCTCGAGATCACAAATTGATCATCCTCTTCTGCCCACAACACAACCTCTTCTTCCACTACAGAATCACCACCACCATTCACCGTCTTTATGATTATGGACCGCGAGCGGAGGGTTCGGATTCTGTGGATGGTAACAAGAAGGCGCGAAGGCCATTCCCGTCCCGAGATGCCAACCATATCTCCTTTCTACGAACACGTGGATAAGTGGGTTTCCTTTTTTCTTACAATCCACGACTCCACGTGGTTCGTTGTCGGAGAGCACGAAAAGAAAGATAGGGTCTGGATAATTTGGGGAATTTCTGGGTTTTTTTTCTTTCTCAAGGCAGGTCGTTTCGGCTCAAAAGGTGATCCAGCCCAATCTTCCGAGCGGGCCGGACCAGGTCAGTGAGTATCCAATATTTAGCTTTCACCGCCCATGTAACGTTGTAAAACTTTTAAACCAGAATTCGGATAATTTGGTTTTGTTAATTAACTTGGTTTGCATAATTAATTGAGTTTGGTTTGGTTAAACTTTTATCTTATTTGGTTCATGTGATTTGGTTTGATTTGCAGACACAGCTAATCAATCAACAATTTAATCAATTAGTCATATTACACATATTACTTACTACTTTGCATAACCACTCGAGAATCAACCGTTCCTCCGTTTTGGACCTATCAAAAAAATAAAAACTCATATTTATTCTTATACTATATTTGTTCTTGTAGAGTGTAAGCGACAACGTCTGAGTTCCTAATTTAGATAAAAACGTACACATTATTGTTGAATAGAAACCCGAAATTAAAAAACTTGTTTAGTTTATGATAATAGCTAACCGACTAAAACAATTCACACAGACATATACAATTCATTATCCACATATCATTGGTTGTTAGGTAGCACTATTTCTAATTATTGCTAGTGAAAGAACACGGATCTAGGTGTGCGATTTAGGGTTTAGGATTGATATGTAAATTGGGGATTTGAATGAGAAAGAACAGGGATTTAGGTGAGGGAGAAGCAGATGTCGGTCTCCGGGAATGAGGGGGCCGACGGCTAGGGTGAGGGAGAGGGGTTTCGGCTAAGGTTGAGGGAGAAATAGACTTATGGAATAATTGTTGTGTTATTGCTTGCCTCTATCCTTCTCCTAACACAATATATATAATCCGACGAATTCCCTCTAACTATTCCAATAATTAACCTAACCGAATAACCCACAATAGTCCCGAAATACCCAATATAATATCAAATGCCCCGAATAATAATAATTAACGACAAATAAACCCTCAAATAATATGTTTCTGACAGCTAGATAATTATATTGGTGGTATATATTTTTATTAGATGGCTTGCGTATTATTATTTCATATTTCTGATGAAGTACATCAGTTCCATATATGTATTATGTTTAAGGGTTTAAAAGGTTGCTACATAATTTGTATATGACAACATGTTCCTAATGAATCAGCAATCAAACATGTGGAAGTGATGGAGGAGCATCAACATGACAACAAATTGCTCTACTCATGCTTCAATGTGCTTGCTGTTTACCTTCACAAGTTCACTTCCCTCTATAGTCTATACTACACATCTCCAACCACACAAACACATGACACGATACGAAAGTGCTAAAACTGTCAAACAGCAAACTTCCAGTTGCAGCATATTCACGAACCAAAAGCCACATTCACTATACATATAGCTGTATCAGACGCATCATCATCTATTCTCATTTGACAGATGCACAGCAGACCAAATGAGCCCAGTAAGGCCTTCCCTTCTCTTTCCTCTTCTCCCTCTTAATCTCTGCCGGGAACCTCGCTGGAGAGTTCCACTCTTTCCTCCCAGCACCTTCCTCCTGAATGGTAGTAGAACTCCTGACCCCATTGTCACTTCCTTTGCTGACGACCCCTGCAGCATTTTCCTTGACATGGGTTGGGGACGACCTCGATTTCGTTTCCTGGTTCGCCTCGCCTAGCAGGCTCTTCAAGGGAGTGTGCTGCTTCCCACCAGTATGGCTCCGATTCGTCACCTTCGCAATGATCTCTTCGTTCTTTTTCCTTCCCTGTGACTCGTTTACCACGTTAGTGATGGAGGGGAACCATCCAGCTTGAGCTTTTGACTGTTGCGGGTTCTGTGCTGACTGGATTTCTGAAGACGCACCAGCAGCTTTTCGTTCACCTGCAGCTCTTGGCTCGACAAGGGTCATGAAAGATGGGGCCTCAAACATATCCGTCTTGTCGGAGTCTTGTGGAGCATTTGTCTGCGCTGTGCTGACTGGCATATCTGATTGGGCGGAGAGTACTGCTTTTACACATAAAAACACTTGGAAAACTGAGTGCATGCATGACAAATAAACCAAACTACACATCTCTCCCTGGGAATAAACACAAGAAGAACCAATAATTAAACCATTTCGGGTTGGATTCTAACCAGCAAAAAATAAGTGGGTGTTCATGAATGTACCTGAAGCAGAACCCCAGTGGGCTTCCAGAATATCAGTTTGGCTATTTGATTTGACCAAAAAATCTGCTGCAGATGTACCAAGCTGCTCAGTAGAGGAGTCACCTTCTTTACCGTATGGTTCGGGTTTGTCATGAGATGCATCTGCGACCAAGTCTCTGGTGCAGTCATCTTTAGCTACTAAAGGATTTAATGAATCAAAATCTGAAGAAGTTACACTGTCCTTTGCTACAGGGTCTTGTGAAGACTTCTGTGGAAATTCAGCATCTTCACTTTTAACCAATTCGGGTGTCCCACCAACTGCAAGAGTAGACTCGGTCTCAAGTTTATCTAAGTTTGCCTCAATGTGAGACACTTCACCCATATTTATGCAAGCAGATTCTTCTTTCAATTGTCTCTCTGATGCATTTACTAACTTGTCTGCTATAGCACTGGATTCGTGAACATCTGTAGATTCGAGCATCGCTTTGGATTCAACTGAAGATTTTTCCATCACCGACCCTGACTGTGAGCCCCCAGTTTCTGCTGCAGGTGCAAGGTATCTGTCAATTGTGTCCTCTTGACAATCAGTAGCACTCACACATTCAAGGAAATTACTTTCTATGCTTTTGGCTTTTTGTATACCTTGTTCAGAGACACCTGTTTGTGTGTACTCGATTTCAGGTTCAACAGTTTCCTCGATCTTCATTGAAACATTCTGGTCCACCAAGCTTGATGGAGCTGAATTATCAGCCCCAGTCACATCAGGCCTATCAAGCTGAGCATGAAGTCTTATATTCTCAAAGATGATATTATCAGGCTCTGAAGTTGCTTGGTTGTCATCCTGATCCACCAAGCTTGATGGAGCTGAATTTTCGGCCCCACTCACATCAGGCCTATCAAGCTGACCATGAAGTCTTTCTTTGTCAAAAATGATATTATCAGGCTCTGAATCTGCTTGGTTGTCTTCTTTGTGAGGCTCCATAATGGCTATTTTGCTGTTGTCACCTACATCAGACACTTCATTATTTGGCACTTCATAAGTACCAGAATGAGTGTCGGCAGGTCTTTTAAGTTGTTCAGCTTCTCTATCTGCTGAGGAAACCTGCTGACTCATATCCGATAAGACTTCTGCACTTAAACCTGGAGAAACTTCAATCAATGTAGTATCGGCAGGTCTTTTAAGCTGTTCAGCTTCTCTATCTGCAGATGGAACCTGCGGATTCATATCCGATAAGACCTCTGCACATGAACCTGGATAACTTTCAATCAACCTACTGCTTTCACCTTTCACTTCAGGGCTATCACCTTTCACTTCAGGGCTATCTCCAAGAACCTGAACTTCGGATGCAGTTGAAAGTGTTTCCTCCACCAATTGCCTAATTGGATTACTGGAACAATTATCATCAATTGAAGAGCCAGAGTCCTTGGCTTCATTTGTTATTCCATCTGAGCCTAAATTGACAGTTTGAAGAATTTTACTCCCTTCACCTTTGAAGCCCTCAATCATGGCCTCAGCATTGCCCACATATTTTATATCACCAAGGACTGAAATAACATGTGCATTCTCATCCTCCATACTATTCACACCCTCTACTGACTCACTGGAAATTGCAGATGCAGGTGCTAACGGAGCATCCATGTTAACCTCTGCAGTATCATCAGAAGTATCATTAGATTTCACATCATCGAAGGAACTTCTAGTTTCTAACTTTCCATGACACTCTTCTTTTAACTGAGGGACCTCGTCCATCTTTGCAGTGTGCACTTCCTCCAGTTGAGAGATGCCAAAGTTTGGTCCAGTACTTGAACTCACAGCCACTGCCTTCTCTATATTAGACATACCTTCTGATGAATTGACAGTAGCATTATCAGCAGACAAAACACCATCTGCCACCTGAACTTCGGGAGTGGCTTGTTCATTTCCTTTTTGATAGGTCCCGTTCAGATCATTAATGTTGTTCTTCGCCACCTCTCCAGAATCATTCATCTGATTTCCAGATATCATTGGATTTAAGTCACTCATCAATACTCCTCCTGTATGAGCAGACTCATCCCCGTGTTCTCTTTCAGTCAAGTCAGTTGTAGCAATTGGAACATATTCTGCAGATGCTGGTGCAACTCTATCTGCCTGAACCTCTGTGATTTGCATTTGTGTTTTCTTGTCTGAAGTACCTGGACCTAATACAAGAGCAGCAAGTTACAGTACGTGATCGTAGTAAACGAAAAACCAAAGAGCATATAAGAATTCGTCAACTGTAGAGCACTAAATTAGTCCACGGGTATTAGGAAATCAATCTCAAAATAACTACTTCGGCACAAACTTGTCATATGAGAAAGACAAAATGTTGTCATCCCAGCATGCAGAATAGGGCTGTTTTTTTCTTTATCACAGATGTAATGAACAGTACATTTAAGGAGCTGATGTAACCTTCAAAGAAGTTCAGTTAAACCTTACCACCACCAATTGCCGCCTCAGGGGATTCAACATTTGCTGTATCTTTTTTGTTGATAGTTCCTTTAAAGCCCTCCTCCAAGCGCTGTTGGAACCCCGCAGCGGATCCAGTATCAACAAAGTCATCAACAGCATCCGAGAAAACATCATCTTCTGATCTATTCGATCTCCCCCCTGTTCCGCCACTGCTCATCTCGAATTGACTTCTCGCCAAAGCTTTCGGACCTTGGACAATGAACACACACAGAGCACCATGGATTCATTAAGTAACACAAACCCTGTGCTTCAAACAAGCAACGGAAGGTAATGATGTCTTTTATCAGCTTAAAGCATATACAAGTAAGCAGTAGCTTTGGGTACGAAGGGCAAAACTCAAAACTAACATGGCCAAAAACAGCGCTGGCTTCGGAAATGTATGTTCCCCTGACACATTGCTTACAAGACTAGCAGAGATCACAATAATGATACAAGCATATAGAAAGAGAAGATGAGGTGGAATGGAATGAGGGGAAGGAGAAAAGGTTCTGCTCACTAGGGGTCTTGAGATCTCCATCAGAGTGCTGATCATCATCATCAGAAACAGGGGAATGGCCAGTCTGAAGCTGTGGGAGAAGGCTGTAGCCTGAAATTGTTCCACATATCTTCCTGTGAGCACGCCGGTGCCTTGCGTTCGGATGTGGGTTGGGAAACGGCCACCCACATTTTTGACAGACGTGGACTCCTCCATGGCTCTCGTGCCCTGTTACCCACGCAAATTCACACCATATTTCACAAAACCCTATATTTCACAAAACCCACAACGCACGGCAAGGATAAACAGCAAAAGAAACGAGATGGTAATCAACCAAGCAGTAGAGGCAATGCGCGATCGAGAAGGGTTCAAACTTTTGGAAGTAAGACGAAAAGGAAAAAGGGCGGAAAGGGGTCGCGAGAAAGAAATCAAAGCCGGGAGAGAGTTGAACTGCGGCGGCCGAGAAATTAAGAAATGGGAAAGAAAAGATGGTGACGGGACCAAATCCATGGCGGAAAACGAACCTGGTGCTGCAGCAAGAGTGACATTGATTCCGTGATCTGCTCGGCTTCCACTCTCCATCTCTTTTAAACGAAAACCCAAGATAGCTAGAGAGAAAGAGCGAGAGAAGAGAGTCCGGGTTGATCGACTGACTGAGGTCCGGGAGAAGGAGAAAAATGGGGGGACAGAGAGAGAAATTGGTAACAAAGATTTGGGGAGAGGTATCAAAAAACCCAAAAAGGCGAGACTTTTCACACGTATCAAAGAGCAAGAAAACAAGTCTACGGCAAAAGAAATGGAGAAGGAAGAAAACGGGGAAACGGGTCTTTCTCTCTTCCCTGTCCGTTTTTTTCCTTTTTACTGTCTCTACCCTTTCGGATTCCCGAGACCGTACGGATCCAACGGTATCGGCGGCCGCCGGCGTTTACCCGGAGCCCGGCCTCTCTATTTCAGTATTTCTCGCTCTCCATTGTGCAAATTACATTTTGATCCCTATACTGTTATCCTTTAGCAAAGCACTCCTTCCGTCTATTTCTCCATCCTATCTCCCGTTTCCTGTGGGTGCTAAGTCTCTAAAAGCCCTTAACCCCAGCTAGCTCGTAGAAGAGAGTCTTCTTCTTCCCCTGACTATCTTTTTCCCTACCTCTCCGACGAAATGAGCTCTTCCTCCGACCGCCGGCGGAACCCGACGGAGCTCGTCCTCCGGCAGGCCTTCACGAATCTCCAACACAATTGTTCAGCCTTCCTTCAAAACTTCGCTCAGCTCCCTCTCCTCAATCCGAACTCCCATTCTTCCTTCCAAACCCACCTCCAAGCCTCCCTTTCCCACCTGCAGAACCACTCCAAAGTAGCAATTGATGCTGCCGTTTCTCGCTTCAACCCACTCCCTCCTTCGTCTTCCAGAAACCCGCTCTGGGCTCGGATTCCGTCCGACCCGGTTCTCCTATCCAATTCCACGCCTGCAGCTGCTACTCCGCCCTTGACTCCTCAGGCCATCGAGGAGCGCTTGGCTGGCGTCCCCGTCTACGCCTTGTGCAACTCCCGCGATGAATTCGTTCTGGTCTCTGGAGTTTCAACGGGGAAGTCGCTTGGATTGATGTGCTTCAAGAAGGAGGATGCAGATGCGCTCCTTCACCAGATGAAGAGCATGGACCCTGAGATGCGTAAGGATGGGTCTAAGGTTGTTGCCGTTGCTTTGAACAAGGTTAGTCTCTCTTTTTTTTTTTTCTGATTCTCTTCTTTAGGCTTTGATACCCTTTTTCCCTTGTTCAATTTTGGTGTTGATATCGTGGCTTCTGGGCAGGTTTTTCAACTCAAGGTCGATGGAGTTTCGTTCAGATTGATACCGGAGTCTGCCCAAGTGAAGAATGCTCTTACAGTAAGTGTGTTACTGGTTCAAGTTAAAGACTAAAACCTCACTGCTGATAAGTTGCAGTTTTGAAATGCTGTTTTGGTGTTTGTTGTGATCCCTGAGGTTGGTGTTAGTTATTCCATTGCTATGTTTATGTGCATAATAATTCATGATCGGTGTGAGTGACAATGTGGTTCAAGCTGAGGAGCTCTATTCGACTCTGCATAACTCGTGTATCTAAGCATAGTGTGGAACAAGCTCTATAGATGGGACATGTCAATCCTCGTTATTTCTATAGTTAGAGCTCTTGCTTCACATTGCACCTGGTAATCAGAGGCATGGACCAATGATCATGGTCTAATAAGTGAGTACAGAGGCCCTACTGCTGCAATCGAGTATTAATCTTACATCTACTACATCGTCTGATTGTTTTCGGGATATTCAATTATTAGGATATGCATCTTGGTCTGTTTCCCCACTCATGAAAACTAACAAATCCATTATGTTGCTATATGATAATCGTGCTTCCCTGAATATGAACCACTTTTGGAAGTTGCTCTTGTCCATGATTGCCTGTTAAACTTGGCGCCTCTGTTTTCTAGAAGCAGCACGCATGATTTCATCATAATTCAAATAATGCAAAACTAAGTTAGGGTTATTCATAAGGCTCATTGTTTGGAGGATGTAATTTCCTATACCTAATGTAATGTCATCACTCGTACTTCTTCATGCTATGATTATCTCGATCCATCAACAAAGTTGCTTACTTTCAGTCATTCACATGCAGGAGCAGGAAAAGGCTGGACTCTCTGATGGAGGTTTCCCTGGGGTTCCAGTTTTCCAGGTTTAGTACACATTTAGGCATTTCACAATGGGTTGTGCTTTCTGGTTCTTTCTGTTTTCTGCTGCCAGTTGTAACACATGCTGAGCTTAATGATTACACTTGCTACTTGCCAGCGATAATGGATAGATGAATCCTCATAATCCTTATTTTGAGTTCAAAGAACTAATAAGTATTAAGTTATTTGTGTCATGCAATATATATGTTCAATAACTAAATTCCCTGTTTTACTCAGTTGGGCAGCGCAGCCTTTTTGCTCTATTTCCGTTCTTCTTCTTTCTCATTGTCTTTTCACATTCTTGATATTTCAGTCAAGAAGCCTGGTGTTAAGAAGCCAAACCAAGAGCTATCGCCCTGTATTCTTTAGAAAGGTCAGTTAAGGAGGTAACAGCCTTCCCTACATGCAGTAGTTTCTTTAGAAAGGAAAGTAACTCTTTTCCCTTGGTAATTGTAGGAGGACTTGGAAAAGTCTCTCTACCGAGCTTCACGTGAACAGAAGAAACTGAACCCTCTCTTCAGGGATGGGGATATTCAGGTTTATAGATTTTGATATTCCCTGTTGCCTGTTGGTTTCAAGTTTCATCTGTCTAACCTACCTTTTTCTTTCTGTAGGTGGCTGTTTTTGAAGAAGTAATCAAGTCCATGAAGGTAAACCTCCGTAACCCTTCTTTGGATAAAAACTGTTTGATAATGTTTCATGTATGAGGGGTGAATCCAAGGTTGAGCTTGGCTTCATGGGGTGCATGATGCACCCTTTTCCTTGCATTTAACGCAAGGTTTCGAGTTTAGGGAGGAGAAGGTAAAGTAAGATAAACTTTCGATTTTGTTGCAGGAGAATTCGGGTTCAACGTGGAACGATGTAGTCTTCATCCCACCTGGGTTTGATGTCTCAACTAATCCTACCGCCGAGGAACAGGAGTGAAAGCTGCAATTTGCTAGATCAGACGTTCTGAGTTTCGACACCCAGCATATATAGTGTGTGTAATGGTTTGTTAAAGCCTTGATTAGGAATAGTCATTTGCTTCATGAACATGCTAAAAGTTCATAGCTAGTTTTCCTCTTATTTAACTGTGGTTACGGTGTTGATGTCGTCGGATCATATGATCCCATCCGTCATCTCAATTGTTAGATGCACGCAATGACATTGTTGTAAAAGTAAAACGCTTGAACATGCATGCGTCTTAGACATTGTCGCGCCTCCATCAACGTGCTAATCGGTTTGTAACAAGAGGAGAAAAATAGTCTCATGTGGCGAGATCACCGTGTTTACAGTAACTTGGGGGTGAAAAGAGACTCCATGAGAATCGGATCTGATGGCAGGGAGGTTCAACCAGTGAATCGTCCACCTTCCACGCCAATTCAATCCCATTTCCTCCATTTCTGTTGCAGTCTCCCATCGCCCTATTGACCCAATCAACCTCTGTAAAAATCAGTCTCCCATGTACATTTTTTACCATTTACCATAAACCTTGTTGGGTATATATGCTCCATCCCAACATCGACTACATATCCATTCCTCAATCAATCGATTCCACAATCACTAGCGTTACCACACAACTAATCTTCATCATTAGCTCCCGTCGCTCTTTGTCGTTCATACATCGATATCGAATTTATCAATATTTGATAATGGGCTCCCTACTTTGTTACCGGTGGTTAAAGTCACCATATCGTGGCCACTATCACGAAGCATTTGGGATGGTGGCGATTGGAGTAATGATGATCATGTTGATTGCAGGGCCCCAGCAGGCTATTGCGGCACAGAATTTCTTTCAGGACGTAGACATCACGTGGGGCGGCGGCCGTGGCAAGATCCTCGACGGAGGCAACATGATCTCTCTTTCTCTTGACAGGGACTCCGGCTCGGGGTTCCAGTCCAAACTCGACTACATGTACGCCAGAATCGACACCCAGATCAAGCTCGTCCCCGGGAACTCCGCCGGCACCGTCGTCGCTTACTACGTATGTCTCGTGTTGGCTCCATCCATCTTACGTAATTACTCTACTTAACGATTTATTACCGTAATGCGAATGATTAACTAATTTAACATTGTATCAAAACGAAAGATGTCGTCGCAAGGCCCCGTCCACGACGAAATCGACTTCGAGTTTCTGGGCAACGTGAGCGGACAACCCTATATACTTCACACGAACGTGTACACGCACGGACAGGGCAGCAGGGAGATGCAGTTCTACCTCTGGTTCGACCCTACGCGAAACTTCCACACCTACACCATCATCTGGAAGCCCCAACACATCATGTAATTACACCCCACAAGATAAATGGTCGTTTCTTCTCTTAATTAGCATGATAATAATCAATCATAATTTCTTAATCTAATGATCTATGCAGCTTCATGGTGGACGAAATTCCAATCAGGGTGTTCAAGAACCTTGTGAAGTACGGGATCCCCTACCCAAGGAAGCAGCCCATGAAGCTGTACAGCAGCCTGTGGGACGCCGAGGATTGGGCCACGAGAGGTGGGCTCGTGAAGACCGACTGGACCATGGCCCCGTTCACGGCCTACTTCCGCAACCTGGCGGCCCATCAGTACAAGAACTTCACCCACAACGGGAGAGGGTCCTTCAGGCAATTGGGCCACGATGACTTGGGCCCCTACGCCAGGAAGAGGCTGAGGTGGGCCCAGATGCACTTCATGATCTATGACTACTGCACCGACTTCAACCGGTTCCCGCAAGGCCCACCTCCCGAGTGCAAACACGCCCGGATTTGATCCATCTTTCTTCTTAGCAATTGTTACATCGTTTTTTCATACATTTTTCGGTGTATTGTCGACGCATTTATCGTTCGACAACAATGACTGACCTCAATAACGTTGTTGTTTTTTTGTCTAGTTAGTCTGGTTATAGTTTTATAAATTTATTCCGATCCCGAGTGATCATCAATTGTTGCACCGATCAATTAATGTTGTTGTTCTTCTTCATCGCCATCGTCAGTGTCTTGATCTGGAGTCGTAGAAATTCATGTTATTTGATTCAAAATAGATAATTTGATCCTATGTAAAATTTAGTTCTCGAGTAATCAAAAACCACATATGTGCCGGTTTTGATTGCTGAAATGGGACGAATTCGTGGAAAAAAAAACCGAGCAATTCGAAGTATTAAACGAACCGAAATCCGCTCTAACTAAACTTGGAAAAATGAACTTAGCCCCTAATCCAAAAGACAAACAATACCTAAACCAATAAACCATTAAGCCCTGGTTGGTTCAGTATGTTTCTTCGGCGCGAGAACCCATAGAACTTTGAGTTAAATATTTCCGGGAGAAGAAAATGGCGTTTGTAAACTCGGAGTTCAAATTATTCTCGGGAGGGACTGGGTTTTCTGGCAATCCTTCTTCTGAGCCCCCTCCTCGTCCCCTACCTCCGCCAGTTGAAGTTCTTGCTTCTGAGGTATTTGTCTTTGTACTTTTCGAATCTCTCTTACCGTGAGCTCGTTTCCCCTTACTGGTCGCGTATTGATCTGTTGAAAACTTGGTCACCATTTTGTGTTTCAAAGGTTTCCTCAACTGTGAAATGCTTGCTGGAGGCTGTGAACTTGGATGACCTCACTTTGCTCAAGGTGCGTGTTTCTTTTTTTTTTTTTTTTTTTTGTCCAAAAACTTTACTCTCTTTGTTTTGGTCTTGAAGAGGAATGAGAAAGGGTATGGAAGAATGTAATATGCGGGATTGAAAGATTGTAACTTTGGATCAGTTGAATTGAATTATTTGCATCGATTTCGTTGTTGTTTCACTAGGGCCGGGTGAGTACAGAAGAGGTTTTGGGAGTTCCTGACTCTGATTTGGTCCCTGGTGTATACGAAGGTTATAAGGCTTTTCCCATCACATATGTATTATGGACTTTTGGTTAGCTTGTTTGTTGAATTTTGCCTGCTTAAACTGCCATTGACAAACTTTGATTTGTTTCTGCATTGGAAAACTAGGGGGACTGAAACTTTGGGAGGGTTCGCTGGACCTTGTTAAAGCCCTCCGGTCCGAGATTCATAAGGGGGAATTGTCATTTAGAGGGAAGAAAGTACTAGAGGTGTGTGTATTCTGGGTTTTTCCTGTTTGAAATTCATGACCAGAGAAGGGATTTAATGATTAGTGACTCTGTTTGGACACTAGTTAAACCTTATTAACTTCCCTTCAGGTTTTGAAATGATCGTTATTGTACAGCTTATGATGTGAACTAGGTTGAGCAGAAGTAGGTTTCAGAGTTTCATTTAGTCGATTGTAAGAGATGATTCTGTGAATTTGAAAAGTTCCTAGTGTAGAAGCTTGAACCTGACAAGACCATGTAACTTCTTAGGTTGCATTTTGTATTGGACGAAGAAAGATTGTTGGGAAGGAGATTGAAAATGACCTACTGATTTTGATGTCAGGTCTTTCAACAGTGATTAGATTTGCAAAGAAAAGGTCTAGCGACTGGCAGGAATGCTGAACTTGCATTTTAATAAGTGACTATATGATGTTGGTATTAGTAGTTTGTCATTAGAGATTGCAAAACCAGATATCTATGCATGCAGCATGCATCATGGTTTTGTCATGATTCATCTTTTGTGCTTGTACATTGTCTGACTGGTTAAATAATAGCACTAACACAAATAAAAAGAATGTATTTTCTTGTCCTTATTTTCTGTTCTATACTCATCAATAAATTTCCTTCATGATTCTCAGCTTGGATGCGGCCATGGACTTCCTGGGATTTTTGCCTGCCTAGAGGTAAACAAATGCACATCATTCTTCTAGCTCTGATGGTGTGTAGAAATTCACACCCCTAGTAACCTATTTGGGCCCTATTGCATCAGGGTGCAACAGCTGTCCACTTTCAAGATTTCAATGCCGAGGTCCTGCGGTGTCTCACTATTCCAAATGTAAATGCCAATCTTACACAAACTTCACAATCTACAGCATCCAAGGACACCATCCCCATTTTTGAAACCGAAGTAAGATACTTTGCTGGTGACTGGAGCCAAGTCCATCAGTGTCTTCCTCACGAACACAACGATGTAAAGGACACAGACAGTAGCTCAGGGAAGAATCTAGTTTACGAGTACGATATAATACTAATGGCTGAGACAATTTATGTGATCTCCGCCCAACAAAGTCTCTACAAACTCATAAAGAAGGTGTGGTGCAACTTATTCGATTGTTGATTAAATTGTCACATTCTGTTGCATAACTACCGATTGCTTGTCTCGTGGATTTCGAACTGCAGTGCATGAAACGTCCTGGTGGAGTTACATACATGGCAGCCAAAAAGCACTATTTTGGAGTTGGTGGAGGAACCCACCAGTTTCTGTCTATGGTGAAGAAAGACGGTGAGCTGGCTCTTGGGGGATCATCATTCTACTGAAACTCTGATATCATTTGGTGTTTCTTCTCCATGCAATGCAAGCAAGACCGAGTGACATGATTGCTGATGTGTGTCGCAGGTGTTATGGATGCAAGCCTAGTTGCTGAAGTTGCTGATGGCTCTTCGAATGTCAGAGAAGTTTGGAAGCTCTCTGTGAAGAGTGGCTTAAAATCTTAGCATACTTTGCTTCGTAAGTCGTCAGCTGTATCATCATCTGCTGATGAATTTGCAGCAAGCGCTTCTATGCAACTTAATATCATCCAAGATAGTGGCATATGGTGCACAGATTTAGACAAGGTATGGTCTCCCGTTTTGATAGGTCAAATTTTTACACTAAGCGGGAACAATTTTGTTGCAAAATAGTGGCTTGAACTTGTATAGTTGTAACTATTTTCGCCGGAGTAGAGGATTTAACATGCCTGGAATTGACATGTTTACTGTCCTGCAACAAATTGGCTGGTTCATGCCCTTAATGTTTGGACCATTGCACTATTCTCAAGTCTCATCCCACTTGCCATTTATTATTGCAAAGCATTACTACCTTAGTACTCTCAAGTCCCAATCCACCTACCTTAGTACTAAACAATTAGTTGTGTGACAGAATGATGTTGAGAAACCGGGAAGCAACCACAAGCAATAATCGAATGCACAAGACACACGATTTTTACGTGGAAAACCCAAATCGGGAAACACCACGGGACCTTTGTCCAAGTCACAACTCCACTAGATTTTGGTGGGATTACAAGTCCTCTCTCGACTGGCTAGAGGATTACAAATGGGGAGGTGCGTTTAATATCCAAAAACTGCTCAGCAACAGTCGGACAAGTAGGGAATGCTGGGGTGAACCAGAAAAGTTTGGGTAGAGCCGGATCTAAATGTTGGCTAGGCAAGCGTCCTGTAGTAAGAGGAGTAGTTATGAACCCTGTAGACCATCCCCATGGGGGTGGTGAAGGGAGGGCCCCAATTGGTAGAAAAAAACCCGCAACCCCTTGGGGTTATCCTGCACTTGGAAGAAGAAGTAGAAAAAGGAATAAATATAGTGATAATGTGATTCTTCGTCGTCGTAGTAAATAGGAGAGAAAATCGAATTTGTTTCTTCCTCTTTTCAAAAAAAAAAAATAGGAGAAATTCACTGTGACACGTTCGTTAAAAAAAAATCCTTTTGTAGCAAATCCTTTATTAATAAAAATAAATAAGCTTAACATAAAGGCAGAAAAAGAAATCATAGTAACTTTAACCTATCTTAATTCTCTTTTTTTACTGATCTAGAGTTGTGGGCGAATGACGGGAATTGAACCCGCGCATGGTGGATTCACAATCCACTGCCTTGATCCACTTGGCTACATCCGCCCCTAGAAGGCCCCGCTGACCCGAAGTGATTTAGAAAGATTCTTCTTTATCGATGGTGATCGGTCATGGTATCCATAGCGTTGCTTCTTTTTCGGCCAAATCCTGATTTCGTTTTCCTTCTCCCGGTCGTCGAGCCTGATCGACTCGATTCTTTTCCCTGCCCCCCGGCCTCTCACTTCGTTTCGTTCTTCTTCTGTATTGTCGCTTGAATGAAGACACCTGATCGGCCCGACTTTCCCGAATGTCCACCGCCGGCCCTTCTCCTTTCCGGGTCTGCTTTTTTCGTGTCGTTTCAGTCGTCGTGGTCGACGGGGAATAAAGAAATTAATGAATGTTCTTTTGGGAAAATGTATAATAATACACCTACCGAGACGAAAGCCAAAGGTGAGTCTCGTAGGTGGACGTATCGAATCGAAATAAGATCTCAGATTGACATCTTGATACACTGATTTACCATAATAATAAATAGAGTCAATGGTTACTCCGCCGTGGAAGGAGCCGCTTCTTTCTTGCTTGATAGGGGGGCATTTACCAGCGCAGACTAAAAGTGCTCTCCGAACCGTGCTGGATAGTCACCCATCACACGGCTCTCGCTCAAACCCAACCTGTGGTGGATCCCGGGGGACAAAGTAAAAGCGCTTGATCTTTTGCCCCATACTTTGAGATGCTCCTCCCCGTCGATCAAGCAGCGACGCTGCTCGTGATAGTCTTAGCTTTAAGCCGCTATCGTTCGCTTCGGATAAGTCAAGTCTCTTCGGTCGGTTTGCTCAGGTGGTCTTCCCTTATCTTCCCTAACGTTTAGAGTTGTTCTGGTTTGAGAAAGGAGCACCGGCCGAGCACCCTGAATGAATAAGAAATGGACAGCAGAGGGAATCAATGATTCTTATTCAACCGAGTTGAAGCTAGCAACATGTCGATTACACACCGGAGGTTGGTAAGAACTGAGGGACAATGCCCCCTAACCTAAGTAGGCCTACCAGCAAAGCAACTGTTGATCGGGCGGGGGGCGCTTTGCTTTCGTGCAACGCCCTCGCAGCGGGAGGAGGCTGTTTTTGAAAGGAAAGGCCCTTTCTATGTTATTAGTAAAGCCTAAATGTCCTTATTGAAAAATAAAGCGCTAACGCGCCTTATTTTGAAATAATTTATATCCTTCTAAAAGCCCTGATATGAAAGAAGCTTACTTACTAATAAAGCGGCAACACCTTCTTTCTCAAAGTCGACGTTTCGCGCTTGTTACTTTAGAAAGATTGCAGGGGCGCGTTAGCGCTTTATAAAAAAAATAGAAAGTAAAGGCTCTTCTCCTTTTCTACGAATCTACAACTCTCTTTACTGAGCGAGACTCCATCCATACCCCTTCCCTACTAGTGGGTTATTCTTTATTTTCCATTCTATCATTTGTTTGACAGCTTAAACTAGGCTCCATTTTCTATAGGTTTTCGGTCTTAATCAAGATAGGTCAGGGGCGTGTCGGAACGGTCGGTGGCTGCTTAGTCTCATCCGAGAGTTTGTACTGCTCTTTTTCTTTGAAAAAAAAAGAAGGGGTCGATTTAGGCTCCTTCCCTTCCACTGCGTAGCCGCGCTAGCAGGTACTATGAGCCCTCTGTCCCACGCATCTAACCAGCTCGCGTGGTTCACCGGTTCCACCGAAAACTCTCATTTGTTGAAGCGGAGCATAGTGCGCTTTAGGCGCCGAGCGAGAAACGTCTCTTCTTTCGTTTCGGTTTATTCACTGATCTGAAACTTAGCACTTGTTTTCTTATTGATTCCAGGGGCGGCGGCGTTCTTGAATGAAGTCTATCCAAACCGAATTAGCACTTCTCAGATCAGGCTAGGCTTCTCCAGCTGAGCTAGGCGCCGGGGCCCTAGATGCGCTAGCGATCGGCACATAGGGGGTGGTTGCCCGGGTTTCTCGGCCTGGTATCCTGCACCTCGCGTTCATGATATCTACATTCAACTGTGCCCCGGAGACACGGTCGAAGCACGCCCGCCCAGTGTGCTTCTTTCACGACATGCTCTGGTCCCGGGTGTTTTCCAGTGGTCTTCTAGCATTAGAAGAAGTCGTGTCCGTCCCCGACATCTGCAACGTCCTCCCACGCTTTTGTTTTTTAATATAGGACAAACTGAAGGAAAAGACTGACCCATTCGGTGACTTTCACGGTCGCCCTCACTGAACCGACTTGAATCTGAACTACGATTCTGAAAGAGTCTGACCGAAATCGGATTTCCTTTTCGTGCCATATGCGCTTAGATGTGACTTTTTTTTTCCCCTGTCTTTTCCCGGTCTAATGTGTAAAAACTCTCCAAATTGTTGACCAAAAGAAAGACCTTTCTATCTTTCTCAGGCCTAAATGCTACTTGTTTGCAAGGCAGAGCTATCGATGCTATGATCACCTCATTGAAATAAAGATCTTTATTGAGATTAAAAAAAAAATCCTTCTTACTTCGCCCTTCGGGCTCACATATTCCCCTCCTCTCCTTTCAGTCGAGCAACTTCGTTCCTTCGCCCTTCGGGCTCACTACTTCGTTCCTTCGCCCTTCGGGCTCATAATAAACCTTCGGTCGAGCAGGAGCTAAAGCACTCTCTCTTACTTCAAGACTGGAAGTTCTTCCCCAGGGTGTATATTCCTTAGATTGAAGAGATTGAAAGCAGATTATGCTTTCTCTCCTCTCCAACCAGTCGAGTCACTTCCTACCTCGGAATCTTCTCAGTCGGCTCTTCCTCTCCCCTACAGTCGAGTGACTTCGTACCTTCTTATTATACGTAATTCTTTCTGTCTGCAGTCGTCCTTGACAAATGAGACTCGGCTAGCTTTGAAGAGAAGACAGATGAAATAGAATAGGAGGTGTGATTGAGGAAAATGAGAAGATAAGCGCCGGTGTCTTTTCGATTGACGGCTTTGTCTGCAAGGCAAAGCGCGGATTAACCGTGCAGCCTGTCACACGTGTCTTGAAAGCATCTCAGGTGAGATAATGGGCTTTATTTCCGCTTTTGCCGGAGCGATTGCAGGAGCAATCAGCGCAGTATCCTCGTTCCTTGGCAGACTGGGTGCTTTCGGCCAGATTCTTGTCGGCGTCGGCTTGCAGCTTGTTGCTCGCAAAATCCAGAAAAAGAAAAGGTAATGCGTCAAGGTAGCCCAGCTTCTTACTATTTCTTATAGGAATGGGATTCATGCATCGAAGCATTATTGGGAATTTTCTAACTAATGCCGCATCTGATCTGCTAATTGAATCAGATATTCTTGAACTTCCTCGAAGAGGTGAATCAGAAATAGGATCTCCATGTCCAGAATCGGAGGAAGAATACATGGTCTAAGAAGAGGCTTAATCATTTCATCCCCTGCATGTTTTCTGTGTTTGAATGCCTTGTTAGGGAGGGGGATGCTAATCTTTGAAAGGATCGGTCGATGACCTGACTTGACTTCCCCTGGTTGCCTATCACCAAGAGCCAACCCAGACAAAGGCTTGAGTAGACCGAAAGCATTGGCACCGGCAGTGGCATTTACAGATCTGGGAGTAGGTGGTGAAAGATAAATCCGAATTCTTTGACTATAGCTTACCAGCGGGAGTAGATTGACCCAGCTATTGCTGCTGCGATTGATGGGGAATCTAAAAACTATTTCAACTGGGAGAGAAAGGATGATGAAGGGAAAGGCCTATTTGCCAACTAATGCCGCTTTTCGGACGAAGAAAGAAAGTCATAAGCAGCTGGTGTGGACACAAGAGAAGACGAAGGATGAAGAGAGGCTAAACTATTAAGGGATTTCCCATATCGGTTGCTACTAGTGTTATCTCTTTACTCGGAAAACTACCTTTAGCTTTCGATTTCGACGAATCTGCACTTGGCCTGAAAGTCCCATCCCTGGGACCTGTAGTGACACGAGAACAAGAAAGCTTGACCCGATCTAAGGACCTGAAAGCTTCGACACAGGACAGAGAAGTTAGGGGTAGGGGTCTTTCCTCTCCGTTACCTTGTTGGGTCAACCAATTGCATTACTTCTTACTTCTTTCGGAAGCTTATGCGGGATTCTTTCTGAAAAAGCATGATAGTTGTGCTCTACCTTTCTCCGCCTTTCCCGTCCTTGTCTGTCTTCTCAGAAATAGCAGCATTCCATTGCAGAATTATCCGGAGCTTAACCAGATGTCACGCAAGAACAAGAAGAAAGCGCCCGCCCCTGTTCTGTGGCCTATAAAATATATGGCCGGGAAGAAAGAGTTTGAGGTTGCAAGAATAAGCTCTTTGATAGAATCCCAGAAAGAGAGAATAGCCAACCAAGAAAGATGGGCTCAGCCCGAACCAGCTTCTTCCTTGTTCCCAAAGTAGGAGTAGGTTTCCTGCTTCGGGCAAAAGGAAGAGTCTTGACTTGTCGTTAAATGCTATTCCAGAAGAGAAAAATAATATAGAATGAGGTGGGGATCAAATCAAATAAATACGTTCAAAAGCCCTCTTCTGATTCGATATCTGGTCCCCTACCTGCTTTTTCAATGAGATTCGATGGAGTTCGATAGGTGCCAAGTAGATGCATAAAGAGGTGTGTTGGGATCTTGGGGGAGATGAATAAAAATGGAATTGGATAGTCGGATGGCTAGGGACGAATTGCTTCCTCAGAGCCGGTTCGGTAGACCTGGAAAGAGTTATAGATTGGTTTACCGGCTTTGACATCTAGGGTAATGATAGCAATTGGTACCTGAGCTACTAGTTGAATCAAGGTCTTGGTACCGTACTGGCATGAAAGCATTTTCCCTTACTCCCTTCGCCCTTCGCCCTTCTCCCTCTCAGTTTCTATATGCGAACTCTCCCCCTCTCCTTTCAGTCGAGCTACTTTGTTCCTCGCCTTACAGTCGAGCATATTCTAACCTCGCCGAATGCAGGTAACTGCCATGGGTCCACAGAGATCGGTATGAATCAGTTCCAAAGGCCTTGATGCTCGTCACTTGCATTCTTTTGGAAGAGGGGTACGGTCTTGCTTGCCTAGCATACACCCTTCGCTCCTCTCGCTTTGCTCGAGTGGCTTTCGCACCTTGAGGAGTGCGGTGATAAATGAGGTAGAACCCTAACCAAGTCTGTCTTACTTAACTTCACTAAGCTGTTGAAGTTAAGATGCACCAATACAATCTCTAATGCCATAAAAGATTAGGCTCCGTACCTATTTTATTTGCCTGAGACTCAATAGACTTTCCCTAGAAGATCCATATTACTTAATTGTGAATCCTGACGCTAAATCCTCGCATTGCACCGCAGTAAGTTTCCTAGGTAAAGCTTTGCTTACCTAGGCACCTCAAGGACACCCTTCTTGGATCAACAATCAACCACAATAGCTCTCACCAACATGGTGGATAACAAGAACAAGAGCAAGGCAAAGAGAGGTTTAGAGATACCAAAAAACATATTCGTACACCTTCTGTCCAGCAGCTATTCCCGACAAACTAGAGCTCCAAACGACGATCCCTCCGGTCAGATTGAAGCCCAGTTATTTGCGAATCCACTGTCCAAATTTCAGGACGATCCAACGGTTCAATTTTCCAGAACGCTCACTTGAACAAGCTGCCCTGCTGTAGAAACGAAAAAACTGCAGTTCTTTCTCTCTTCTCTCTTTTTCCTTATCTCTTCTCTTTTCTGATTCTCTATCTCTCTCTCAAAAAATGAAAGGCTGTCACCTCTTTTTACTTTTGAGTAGACAATAACTCTCTATTTTGAAAATAGAGGATCTTCTAGAAACGAACCAAAACTCAAACTCAAATCAGTTAATCCAACCACCATATGAGTTGGACCAACCCAACAAATGATAAAGAGGTTGGTTGGAAAGGAAACTTTATTTATAATATTGGTCACTTTCTTGATTCTTCAATGCTATTGGTTTTAATTGGTGGAAATGGAGATTGAGATGGTGTGTTTGATTTGATATGATTGTCACCATGGTGGGTGACCCATTTACTAGCTACATGATAAAGGGGCGATGCACATTATTGATTTGAGAATTAGATATATTAATTGGCCAGTTTACTTAAGGGGTTCAGTAAAAGAAGGTAGGGTACACCGTGACTATTCTGCACCCGCTTTCTCCAATTACCCAACCCGTATTCTCCCTCTGGCGATTGGCTTGGCGGCTGCCCAAGTTTTATAATATGATTCGATGGTGAATGGCTCGGTCTCCCTCCGACGATTGCCTGGCGGCTGCTCAACTCTGGATCTCCCTTCCCCTTCCAGAAACCCTACACTACCCACGTTTGAGTGCAGCATAGACCCTTTTTCTCCCCGCTTCTTCCTCTTTTTTAGACTTACATGGCGGCTGCCCAAGATCAAGATGTGCTATCTAGTGATATGTTATCGGCGAAGTGAGGATTTAGAGCGAGAAGAGGATGAAAATAACAAGTGATTTTTACTATTGAGCTTAACTGTTGAATATATGTTAAACGAATTTAATACAAAATTAATGTTGGGATGAACCGCTATAATAGTGGAATGGAATCCATATAACTAGCAATCTTTGTTGGACTAGGTTTCTTTCGAGGATTTGGATACTATGCCTTATGTGACATAGTGAAGGGGATTTCCATTGTTTGGACATGGAATCCATGTTCTTAGTAGGATCATAAAAGCGCCCATGTTTAATTTAAAATCCTGGTTGGCTTAGGATTAGTTTTCATCAATGGATTAGGAAATTCTAATTACGAATGGATTGATAATCGTAAATCACGTTAAAAAACTATTTGGCTCTATGAGACTTTTCCTAAATGAAGTTGTTGCGGGTGTTGCAAAGATGGGCCCAAGGCGCCCAATAAGGAAGAAGAAAGTACATCATGGGCCCGGTCCGCGGGTTGGTCCGCAAGGCCCAACTCAGGATGGTATAGGAAGCTAGGAGATGAGGCGAAGAAGACCCCAAAAGAGTACAGTCTGGGCGCCTCGTACTTGTTAGAGGCCTGATAGGTTGGTTGGGGCGCCCAGCCAACCTGTCAGGCGTATGGAGTATTAAATGCGATGCTGACGTGGAGCTAAGGAGGGGAAGTTTGATTCAGGGTTGGGTAAGTATAAATAGTGCCAGTGGGTAGCATTTACTCAGGTTGGACTCTCTCACAAAACTCTGGAGCTTACCACTTCTCTATCTAAGACTCAAACTGACTTGATCGTCGGAGGACTAACGGGCCCGGGCGCCCTCCTCCATGTGCGTGTGTACAGGTTAGGCGCCTTGGACATATAGAGTGGGGATAAGTTTGGTGTGAAGTTGGGCTCCAAAGTATCCAGCTCAAACAGAGGCAATCGAACGATGTTACAATTTGATTCAAACGATGAATTTTGTTCCTCGATAATGAATGTGAGATGTTTCGAAATTAGTTACACATGAGACCTAGAGACGTAGCTGGCCACACTTATGTACTCACCCTTCCTTGAGATGTGGTAGTTAGGAATGACAATGGGGCAGGTCCGGGGGCGGGGATTATGATACTCATACCCGCCTCGTGGGAGGTCGGATCCAGGTCGGGTAATTTATTATGGGTCGCGGGTCAGGGCAGGTCGATCCAATGGGTATGCAATTTATATGGAAACATTAGAAATATTCGTTAATTTTATTATAAGAACAAGAAAACAAACCATATTATGATAGATGTAGTACAATTATTGGAGAAATTGATGTTTTCACTAATTTACAACTTTGTTATAGCTAAAATATGATGCAATAAAAGGAAAATCCTAAGTAGTTTGACTAATATTACATGTAATTTAGACAAAAACGGGTCGAGAATGAGGTGGGTCAGGACAGGTCGGATCGTTAAGAGTATCCATATCCGCGTCATACCCGCCCAAAACAAGTTAAACAGGTCAGATAAAATGTGTCAAATGGCTAGTCACATTTATATAGGTGATTAGGTATTTTAGCCTTTTGTGCGGGCTCACCTATTATTACCATCATTGTACTGCGCCATTATGAGATAACTTTTTACAACTACCGTTCACCGGAGGAATTCTTTTTATACCTCCATTTCCCCCCAATTTTACTGCAAATGGTACACTCTGTACGCTGTAGGGTATTGCCAACCGAGCCACCTACCCGTGCGACTTCCCGTTACGGTTCGCACAGTCAGCCGAACGAATCTCCGGTCGGGGAATCTATGAACCCGCAGGCGGAGACGACGAAGTCGTCAAGTCACTGATTCTCAATTTTTTTAAAGATATCGAGTTCCCGCTTTCGACAAACAATCTTATCGTCCTTCCTCGGGCTCCGTTCTCTCGCTTTCCTCGCTCTTTCCCCTTTCATCTCTTTCAGCGCCCGCAACTGTCAGCTTATTCCTGGCTGGTGTGTTGCTCGTTCCGTTCGTGCCCTTGAGCTCCAATGGATGTCGTAATGGCCTGTCCTTCCAAGCTTCTGTCTAATTCCGCTTCCTATTCGTCGTCGTCCCTCGGCCGTGCGGTGGGGCTATTAACGAATTGTCAGGGTTCAGCCGTTGCTTTGGGCTCATGGGATCGCAGTTCCCGGCTGATGCAGTTTTTATCCCCTTCTGGGTCTCTTTCGCTCCGTCGAGCTGCGGTTCGCTGCGAATTGAAGGTAATTTTAGTTGGATTCAGACTGTTGCTTTCGTGAAGTTCACTGGTTGTTTAGATTTTTCCTATTCCTGTGCAAGTCAACGCAGGATTGCACAGGGTTTTAAGTAGAGCCCAATTGAAGCAAGTATTTGAAGTGAGAGAATGTTTTGCCAACGTTATGAGCAGTATAGATTGTCTGACCTAACATGGGAATGGAAGTTTTGGTTTGGCAGCATTGATGTAGCTCTAGTTTTCAATTCCATGCATTCCATACCATTCCTGGAAAGGCTTGAGACTCCTTGATGTAGCTAAAAAGTGGTGTAGTCATTCATTCCAATTCCTTTCAGGTGGAATTTTAATGAGTTGCATTTTCCCCTCTTTAATGACATTTTGCAGAAAGAAGAAACGAAGATTAGGAGATGTTCACCATTTCTGGAAAGGACGCTGCTATCAGGATCGGGGTTGGAGTCTAATGAATGGAGAGTTGTCCCTGACATTTGGAGGTCGTGTGCGGAGAAATATGGAGATAGTATCGCACTGGTAGACCCATACCATCAGCCACCGAGAAATATGACTTATAAGGAGGTCAGATGTTACCATGTGATGACTATGTTTTTCTTTTCACAGGATTTGTAGATTTCAACTTTAGTTTTTCATTTTGCTTTCCATTTATGATAACCAAGTTCACTCCAAATATTTTTCATGTGTGGGTGGTTGTACTTAGTGTCCTAGGTACATCATGTGGCTTTTGCGACATTGCTGAATTTTCCCTTGTAAATGCTAAAGGATAAGCCTTAAAAGTATCAACTTGTTTCTTGGTGTATGGTGTAGAAAGATATGACCTTTTCTTAGAGTAGGGAGCCCTGACCTTTTCTGCCAAGTCAGTTTTTGTTAGTGACTCTTTCTAGTAAATTCTCATCGTATTTTTTTCCTTCTAGGAGCATGCGTGCTTGAGTACAACCATAAATAATAACCTATCTCGGTGAATGAGCTTGATTTTTCAGCATCTTTGTTTTCCTTAATGGGAGTTTTACTAGGGCTTCAAACATCGGCAGGTGCTTTAGACTTGGTATGATACAAATTCCAGGATGGTACAGAAGATCGTATTTGAGTTGATAATCTGGATTCTTATAGAAAGACAGGATAGAAATTTGCTGTGTGATGTTTGAGATAAGTTATGAAGTTTGTTGGAACACACTAAAGCTGAAAATTTGCAGTGCACAAACCAAAATATTTGTTTCTCAAGTGTTCATTTACAGTTGGATTTTGTTGTCAAGCTTTACCCTTCTCTCCAAAATTGCAGCTGGAGCAAGAGATTTTATATTTCGCGGAAGGACTGAGGATTGTCGGAGTAATGCCTCGTGAGAAGCTCGCACTTTTTGCTGATAATTCATGCAGGTGGCTTGTTGCGGACCAAGGTATGGTGAACTCTTCTTATACTTTGCAGTTTGCTCTATTGTCTCTCTCAAGATGAATTATGCTGGTTATCTTGCCATGTAGAGGTAATTGTTATTGAAAAATATTAAGAGAAACGTAAACCATTATTCATTTGCGTACTCTGGGTGAGAATTGCAATTGGGAATGTTGATGATACTAGTTCGATATTCATTTAGTTCACTTATTTCTGAGTGTTACGTAGGATGCAAATTGCAGAATATTTACATTTTTGTCAACGAGAAAGGCTAATAGGGCACCGGTGAAAAAAGACAACAAGAGACTAGATTGCTGTTCAGATGTGGATTTATCAACTCAAAAATAAGACCCTGAAATTTTGAAAATCTTACCATGATTAGGGAATTAAGTATCAGGACTCATTGTGTACTGATACTTTTCATTGGTTGACTTGATGATCCTGCATTCAGGGTATTGAAGCTTAATTAGTGTGGTGTGAACTTTCTACCCAGGCACAATGGCCATGGGAGCAATTAATGTCGTGAGGGGGTCAAGATCGACTAGTGAGGAGCTACTGCAAATATACAACCACTCTGACAGGTTGGAATGTATTTCCATGCTATATCTGCTTCGATGCTAAAATTAGCTCCTGAGCTTTGTATGAGTTGTAACTTGTAAGTTCCTGTTCACAATTTTCCTCTACAGAGGCAGATACTTTTACTCTGTGTCTCATATCTTCTGTTCTGGCTTGAAGTCACAGGCTTGGAATGCTAAGTTTTGACATGATAGGGTTAGGCTTATGAGAATCGGTGCGAAGTTTCTGGACAGGAAGAAACTATTTCACATGCTCTAGGACTCTTAAATTCGAAAAACAAATGACAGAAAAGAAGATCTGAGCTTGAGAAAAGCCATCTTATGATGATATCAAACTTTTGAGCTTTAGTTGCTCAACTATTTGCTTGGATGATTGATGGTATGGGAATTATGATGAACCGCTTGTTGGCATGAAAGTTGCTCTGGGCCAACATTTTGTCCCCACTCTTTATTTGATCTTGTCTGCTCTCAACTCCAATTAATAACTGATCATTCCGACAGGGCAAAACCATTTGTATGATTAATTTGGTTGGGTAGCATTAAGCTAATGCAACCACAGTCACGAATTCTTATTGACTACTATCATTTCCATTTCTAGATTCAGATTTCATAGGCTCCTAAGAAAAGCATCTCGCAACCTTTATGCTGCAGACTAACTTGGTACCGCTACCAATAAATATCATATAACCATTGACCTGGTAAATGAGTTTAAGATTCATTTAGTGAAGTTTGAATGCAAGATTATCCTAGTTACAATCAAGCTATAGATTGAAGTTGATAATACCCTCTTGAATAACAAGGAATAAGATACTTTAGCCTATTCAGTTGAAATCCTATGACAAGTAAACTTTGGGTATTCATCCGCTCTACTCTTTAGTCCACTGAAGATACCACAACACTTAGTAGATATGTAATTTTTTTATTTGTTAACATGGTAAAATTTTACTCTCACTTGTACTTGTGTTAGCCAGATTTTTACCCAAACTGGTTCTCATTGGGGCTGCAACCCATATCTTAGAGTATTACCCATGTGGTGTTTTCTTTTATCATTTCCTTCTATGATATGATGATAACCCTGAATTGCTGCTCTTACATTTACTGCAGTATTGCACTTGCAGTGGATAACCCTGAATTGTTCAATCGGATTGCTGGAACATTCCATTCCAAGGCAACTCTCAGATTTGTCATTCTGCTGTGGGGCGAGAAATCAAGCCTGAATTTTTCAGGAATAGAGGAGTTACCTGTTTTTAGTTACCAAGAAATAATTGATTTGGGACAAGAAAGCTACAGAGCATTTTTTGGTGCCCCTGATTCAAGTAAGTATCACTAGTATCAATGTGTTCCTGATGTGTATGTAGAGTAACAGCAGAGTGAGGGGACAAGATGGTAAAATATGATGGATTTAACTTCTAGTGAGTGAAGTACGGACCATTCTGGTGAAACTGTAACGTTTTCATATATTATCTTATGTATAAAATTAAGATGTCTTAGGACTAATTGTAAGCTGCTTATGAATCCTTCAATTGAATATGTGAATCCTTTTCCTCCTAACGACAGATCAGTAATGGTTACTCTGGGTGTTCTACATTTCTGCTTAAAACAAGTGCGGCACTAAATTCTCCAACAACTGGGTTGCAGGGTCTATGCATCTATTTGAAACCATTAGCTCTGATGATATAGCTACGCTTATGTATACGAGTGGAACTACTGGAAATCCAAAAGGTGTTATGCTTACACATAAAAATCTATTACACCAGGTTTGTTTATTGCTGCAATCCTGTTTTTTCATCATTGTTTATTACATTGTTTAATTGGGATCCAGTGCATAATCAGCCAAATATACTACATACATGTCTTACATTTGATGCATTTTATTCAAAACAAATGAAAGGTATATTGCTAGGGGAAAAGTTGGATGCATATATAGAATAGTTGTATTTTCTATATTATGGTCAGTTGGAGTTTTCCATCTTGGTCAACATAAAATTTTACGTCTATACTCATCTGATATGATGCTTACTCTTACATTTTATTCATATTTTATTAATGTTACACTTGTTACTGTTGAAATATCCCAATTTGTCTGACTAGTGGGGGATGTTTCTCTGTTTGGATCCATGATCTTGAGATATAGTGGAATGATCTTTTGATGACAGTGAGGCTTAGCCTTCAATGCTCAGAATCATAATCTTAAAGACACCATAATTGCTAGTTTAGGTGTAGCACTTGCATTGATATGAACTCATGACATTGGTAACCAACTTTCTATTGACCTTCTCTAATTATGAATTGTACAATTGTTGGGACTAGTCTTTGGACATGGTATAATGCATCCCTCCAAATTTTAAGATTGGATCTATTACTGTCCCATGTTTGTAAGAAATCCTAAGCGTATGCAGAAGTCAAAAATTGTATGAGTGAGGTTAAACTTCTGGACCTTGGTGGCTCAGGCTTATTGTAAAAGGCATCCAGAGCTGGAGAATGTGAACAGTATGCAAATATATTAGTTCCAAAAGGTTTCACTGCTTTCTCTAAATTCCACTAACTTCTTTGATTTCCTTGAATTAAGTTTTCCTACAAACTCACTCAGGTGTCCCTTTGTGTGTTTAGGAATGCACTTGGTGCTTAATCAATTAGTTTTTTGCCTTGTCAAATGTGGTGTTCTTGTTGCTTACTTCTCTCGAGTTGTGGGCTTGTGGCCCCTACAATATAAATCTTTTAGTCCTGCCCGATTGCAGCATGAAAGGCACAAAATGTTAAACCATTTTTGAGGCCCTGAACAGTTGTCAGTATCTTATGTTTTCCAGATAAAGAATTTGTGGGACATTGTACCTGCTATACCTGGGGATAGATTTGTAAGCATGCTTCCATCGTGGCATGCATACGAACGAGCTTGTGAGTACTTCATTTTTACATGTGGTGTTGAGCAAGTATACACAACTGTGAGAAACTTAAAGGTAATTAGCCATTCACAAGATCTTTTTTGGAGGGATACTGTAATCTGATGGAGATCCGTGCTTCCTTTTACTTAAATATAAATAACTAATATGCTTTCATTGCATGATCTCATTGGTAGGATGATCTGCGGCATTACCAACCCCATTACATAATCTCTGTTCCTTTAGTATTTGAGACGCTTTACAGGTGTGTTTCATGTCCATAGAAATATATAAAGATGAAGTTTATATCTATTTGATCAGTTTGCATATTACTTATTATTATTCTTGCAGTTCTTTGTTTCATTTTTATTATGTCTGACAATTGACCTGATATAGTGCCTAGAATTTAATTATATTCTGCCCTTTTTCATAAAGTGGACTCCCACACGTGCGTGGTTTGTTAATATTTATAGATTGATTCATTTTACAGAATAAACAGACACCCACAATCAAGACCATAGAGCTAACCTTTATTGTCCATGGAACTGCAACTGATGCAATCAGTATTTTGGAAGCCTATTAACCGTCTAGTGTTTTTCTTAGATCGCGAAGCTAATGGTAACATGTATTTCAAAGTCTGGATGAAGCATTGAAGCCATGAGTAACAGAAATGGAACCATGGGAAATTTGCTCTTGTTAAGTTAAATTAGGAAATAAAGCCCTATAAGAAACACTGAGTTTATATTCAGTACTGCTAGACATTCAATGCAACCCTGAATCATTTGATGCATTGACTAGCCGTACTGGGTGCAGATAAAAAGTAAGGAAGCCTAGTAGATGAAAGATTGATTACTTTTTACTGGCTAGGCTTCTCCAATCACTCTCTATACTATTTACTTCGTCTGGGAGGGATTTCACTGTATATTTTTAACTGTTTGTGCAGTGGGATTCAGAAACAGATTTCTTCGAGCTCAATGCTTCGTAAGGCTCTTGCACGGTTTCTCATAAGGGTCAGCTTAACTTACATGGAGATGAAGAGAATCTATAAAGTATGGGATAGAGAGCTGTGCTCTTTCAAATTCTATTTCTCAGTCTTTTGCGTGTGGACTTTCATGGACACTTAATAATTAATATACATAAGTTTTTTCGTGAATAATGTGATCTGTGGATCATGATAGGTTGGTTCTCTGTTTATTTCACCAAATCGATGATCCAGATGAAGGGTTAGAACGTTCGAAAAAGAATATCAAGGGCTAGTGTAGGATTTAAGCGAATATTGCCCAGTATCCTGTTTCATAAGTTTAGAATATTAAATATGTATGATTCATTAATTTTTGGAATTACATTGAAATTGAACTTGTCCAGAACTTGCTTTTTCAGTTTCCCCTACTCCACCAATTGTCCATGGCCTTCGTCAGGTCCCCTCTGAGTTTCTGAAGATAGTAGTTTTAGGCTTTAGTTCTTCTATATTTGTTCTATTCTTGTTATACGGTTTAGTTGACTCATAGGACTTTCACATATGCATGGGTAATACTGTTAATATCTTTTTCTGCCTTACATTTTCCACGCCCACTATTATGTAGTATATACATACACCGAGGAACCATTCTGTCAAAGGACATCAGTGGGATCTTATTCCACTACTTGACGATTATAACTTTCCAGACATTATTATATCAACCTTGTTATTATTCTGCCTTGATTGAACTGTAATGTCAGGTTTCAGACAGCCTTCTGATTTTATTGCCGAGGTCTTAAACTTAGTTGTCCTTACTAGTTCAATGCTATATGCAGGGTATGTATCTAACGTCAAAAGAGCAGCAGCAGCCGTCATATCTTACTGCTATGTTTGACTGGCTATGGGCAAGAGTGATTGCTGCAATATTGCTGCCAGTCCATATGCTGGCTAAGGTGCTTGTCTACCGGAAGATCCGCTCTGCGATCGGAATTAGCAAGGTATGTCCCTGTCTATTGGATTATTTGTTAAAAGAATAGTGTCCGTTAGACCGTTGTCTGCCTGTGATCTTTGGTATTTAACCAGTTCTCTCAAAATCATGAATGGACTATTTCTTTGATGAAATAGATTAGTCGGCACTTGGGCCTTCGAGAGTAGCATCAACCCATCTTGCAGTCTGTCGTGGAGTGTGAAATGATGCTTCCTTACTGACAAGTAGACTGGAAATGTTGAATGCTTCTTCTTTCTTCTCTTAATTGCTTGCTTAGTCAACAACCTCTCTACTACAAGATCATTGTGCGCGGGTGGGATAGTTTGTGGGGATGAGGTGGATATGAAGTTATTCTTTCAAGGAAAAAAAAGGGAAATGTGGAGGAATATATGTTGTGTAGTCTTATATCTTCAGAGCAAGTAATTTCTGTTTTTTTTGGTAGAAAGAGCAAGTAATTTCTACTGGATCTTTACTCCAGTGAAAATTGTGTTTAGGATAGATATCCTTGTGCTAATGAACATGGAATCTAGCATTCCAGAAACGTAAATGGAAGCTATTTATTTATACCCATTGCTCATAGACGGACGGTTTAGAGTGCCTGCTCTGTATTCTCCCTCTTTTCTTTTTCCATTTATTCATTTTTTTTTTGGTTTGAACAGAAATTAACTGCCAATGCTTCCTGTAACTTGCAGGCTGGCATTAGTGGAGGTGGAAGTTTGCCTTCCTATGTTGACAGATTTTTTGAGGTGAGTTCCTTTTGTGTTTTTCTCCAGTGTCTTCAGATCACATTTGTCGTTTTCTCAATGATCATTGTTTGGAATATATGCAGGCAATTGGGATAAATGTACAGAACGGTTACGGGATGACAGAGACAGCTCCAGTTACAGCTGCTCGACGACTTAACCTTAATGTGAGACAACATTTTATGTATTAGCGCTTCTTTTGAAATTACATCTAGCCAAATTGAAAAATGTTCCTTTATTAGCTATAGTTTCAACTGTATAGTAGATCTTCTTAAGAGTGGCCATAAACTATACTTTGATGCTACTGCCTCTCTAATAGGTATTCATGAAAGACTATAAAAAATGAGGCCGCTGCAGACAATATGCCGGCTCCACCTGCTTTAAGGAATATTTGAATGCCAAGTCTTTTTCTCTACTAAGAAGCACTAGTTTTCCTTGTATGGGTGAATCACCTATCACACTTTATGACTTAAAACATTAGCCACTTTCTGCCAATGGGGCAACTTAAACCTCCAGCATCGAACTTTTTCCCTTCTGTGTAATTCATACACATTCAGAATCCCTTTAATTTGTCGTAACTATACAAGGAATCAACTCTTTTACTGCACGCACATTCTATGAACTCCATTTATCACTAACTACTTGAATAGGTTATTAAGCCCTATCTGGTAGTCTTCTAAGCCTGGTTTTGTTTGCCTCATCATGTCCTTTTGTTCAGTTGACATATCATGTAATCATACATTTAACTTTGAAGGTTCTCGGCTCAATTGGACATCCGATTCGTCACACAGAGTTCAAGATAGTAGAACATGAGACTAATGAAACGCTTCCACCCGGAACCAAGGGGGTTGTGAAGGTCAGGGGGCCACAAGTGATGAAAGGTTACTACAAGGTACTTTGATTCTCTTGTATCAAGTACCCTTTTAGATACTTATGTCCTTTCATGTACCCTTATTTCTCCATTATCTGAATCATCTGGGAAAGAGTGTAGAAAATCTTGAATTTATTCCTCTAATGATCACACAATCTAAGCTATCTTGTTAAATGTGTGACATTTTAACTAACTGGGGTTGGCTCCATGATGAAGGTTTCACATGCGCATTTATTAGTCTATTGGATCCTCGTTGGTTCTCATAGCATTTGTGTTTCAGTACCCTCTCATCAGAACTAGTGACACATTTTGTTTGATGGGGATCTATGTTTCACTGACAGAGAAATCATATTCAATATGTATATGTGTAAGAACTGTGGATATCTAGGGCTTCAGAATGATATCAATTATCCGAATTAGGAGATTGGTTTGGGACAAGAATGGATGAAGTAGAAGAATAGAAGAAGCAGAGGGTTAGGGAAAAGAGTTGGGCAGTAGAGGGAAGGGAGGAGAGCCGTAGCTCTTGAGAGGGGAAGGGGGTCGGATGTGGGAATAGTGGAAGAGAGGAGAGATTAGGTTTTAGGGTTTTCTGAATAATCACTGCTTAATGAAAATAATCCCGGTTTACAGAATATAAACCCAAACTAATTACCCTTTGCTACCCAAAGAATAATCCCTAACCCGAATAGGTCAATAATGCCTAAAATCCCCAAAAGAACCCCACAATCTCAAACTTAATTAAAACGACAAATAGGGCCACGATCCCTAATTAACCAAATCCCTAATAAAACCCAAAAATCCCCAATGTTTCTAACAATATGTGCGTATAAAAATACAATTGCCTACATGCAAGCATCTGTTAGCTATCCATTTAAGGATCTGCGTTTGCTCCTTGATCAGCTGTTTTCAGTTTGTGCTCATAATTTTTATTACTTTAACTACTATATACATTGTCAAGACAGTCTAAAGCTCATCTTGGCGCTATCATATTTTCCTTATGTGGAACCAGAATCCGTGGGCCACAGAACAGGTCCTGGACAAGGATGGTTGGCTAAATACTGGTGATATAGGTTGGATTGCCCCTCATCATTCGATAGGGCGGAGCAGAAACTGTGGAGGCATTATTGTCCTTGAAGGGCGAGCCAAAGATACTATTGTTCTTTCAACAGGTTTGATACAACTTGATTTATTGTAATGCAATGAAATACCGAATGGTATCTTAGTCATGGGTCTATCAGTTGAACTTGTTTTCTTAGTGCACTTCTGCACCTGCATTTTCTTTTTCAGTCGAATCTTAGTTACAGTGGGTTTAACGATTTCATCTACCTGAACCATGAGACCTTCTGCTAGAATATTGTTGATTAGGTGAAACTTGGAAGCTCGAGAGATTACTGGATGTTTATGTTACTCGAGTTTATTGAGCTCTTATACTATTTCTTTTTGTTCTTTCTCTTAGTCTTCACCAATGAAACTCAATTTCATGAAAATTCTGATAGTTCATTTATGTTAGCCTGAACTTTTCTGAAGTTAAGCCGCATATATTTGGTACCTACACATATGCGGCTTTCTGAAAATTCAACTATATATAGTCTTATTCGAACTCTGTTTTTACTCATAGTTGTTTGCTTTGTTAGAATTGTCCTTTACCATTTACACCTGCCGATTCTGTGGAAATGCATCATTACTTATAACTAGCCAAACTCTCGAATGAAACATAGGTGAAAATGTAGAGCCCTTAGAGCTTGAAGAAGCAGCCATGAAGAGCAATCTTATCCAGCAAATTGTTGTTATCGGTCAGGTACGGTTCAATCCTTACATGCCCTATACATGGAAAATGGTTTTTGAATGGATGAACAGCTTCCAATGTTGCCTGAGTTGATGTTTAGTTTAGATGAGAAACAATTGACTTATGCAGGATCAGCGCCGTTTAGGAGCTTTAGTTGTTCCAAACGAAGAAGAGGTGTTGTTGGCTGCTAAAAAGGCCTCCATTGTGGATGATCATGCAACTGCAATCAGTCAGGATCAAGTGAACAGGTTGCTGTATGATGAGCTGCGCTCTAGGTACTTGTTCTTACCTTTGTTGTCATGAATTATGAGAGACTCGGGAGGTTTTTGTTATTCCGGTACAAATACTGCAACTCAAAGAAATTGCATCTAGGAGTGGGCATATGCGGTTGGTTTCGGTTCAAACTGCACCGAACCACAAGTCACCCCCATACTCTGCAATGTGAGTCACACCGCCAGTAAAATTGGTGCGGTTTGACCCAAAGGGGAAGTTATTCAGTTTTTGGTGCAGTTTGGGTTTCATGTTGGTAGGGGTGGGCAACCGATGCGATTTAGACCATCCAGAATTGGACCAAAATCAGTTCTGTGTGATAATGAACATAACCAGAACACATCCCCTACTTTCCAGAGCGAGCAGCTAGATTGTGATGCTTGACTTGCTTGCACAATGTTGGGGTTATATGCTTGTTATCCATCTAACAACCTTTACAATATAATGCAGGACGGCAGCCTGTTCATTTCAGATAGGCCCGATTCTCGTGGTTGACGAGCCTTTCACGGTACAAAATCACTAGTCTTTTCTTCTCCCCATTCATGCTGTAATTCAATCGCGACGCAAGTCAGACTGGGCAGCTCTGGTATCATATCCATGACTGGGAGGCTTTGGTTTCGCATTTGTTTGCAGATTGACAATGGTATGATGACTCCAACCATGAAAATCCGAAGGGACAAAGTGGCAGCTAAGTACAAACAACAGATTGCTGATCTCTACAAGTAAAAATTGTGTTCTTATTGAATGGTTCGATGGGTTGGACAACTCAAATCTACTGGAAATATTGAAGAAAGGAACCAACCCATTAGGGGTTGGCCAATAATTATAGAATACTAGGATTTTAACAATACATGTGCTATATACTGTGGAAATGTATGTGATTCTGAAAGGATGTCTATTCTTAATATGTACTATTTGGTTTATGATTCAGAAATAAAATCTCATATTAGTTTTGGAGAATTCTTAAACGAAGAATCCTTACTTTGCAGTAGCCACTTTGGTGATGCTGAATCCTGCAGGCATTGCCATACTCCGAGTGTTTAATGGACGAGAGATGTGCTACAGAAGAAGCAACACCAACGAATTGGGAAAACGTTGGAACCTGAAATGATTATTGCTAGATATGATTATTGCTAGACTACGTCCTATTTTTAAAAAAAAATAGTAATAACAAAAAATAGAATAAATTCTAAAGTGAGTGATAATGATGCAACTTAACTAGGGGTGTGCAATAGGTTGGTCTATATCAGACTGCACCTGATCGAACCGAATGTTTGGATCAGATTATACCAAATAGAATATAACGTGGTCCGGTCCTTGATCCCATGAAATTTATAAATACTGATAAAATTAACCGAATTGATATGTATATCGTACCAAAGCAAACCGGAAACAATGTTGATCCGGTCTTTGATCTTATAATATTTTTCATGTTAGACGGGAGTTCTCATAAGTTCGGTATGCTTGCACATCCCTAAATTTAGGTGTTGTTCGCTAATGGGATTTGGATGTTTTTGGACAAAGCCATTGGTATGCAAATCTATGGATCCCACGTATTTGTAAATACAACATTTCATTTGGTATTTGGTTATGCAAGGCAAAATTTTGAGACCCAAATACCAAATCAACTAAATCCACGATAAAAAATTCACTAAACAAACAATGTTATCTTTCAAATACAAAATGCAACAAATTCATCGTAAATTCAAAACTTTTCAAAATTCAAAATCTTCATTTTCAAATCCAACAAGCAAACCGACTCTTAATCAATAAATAAAAATCTATTGATACCTCTGTGGGCCGCAGAAGAGAGGATATTGAATATAATACAAAGCCCAAGCCCAACCCTTTTCGATGTCGGTCTTTTCTGCGGATGCGGAGAAATAGGGACAACATTACCGCTCTAGCAGCGCCATTGCTGTAACTTAGCTTAGTCCACTTTTGCTGCTCTCTCGTCTCGATTAGGTTTACGTTATCTTCCGTCTACCGCAGTTGAAACTTGATCGGAATCTGTTGGCTATTTGACATCGGAAGTAGGGCGTTGAATCTTCGAAGCTCAAGCAACCATGGCTCGTAACGAAGAGAAAGCGCAGTCCATGCTGAATCGTTTCATAACCCTAAAAGAGCAAGAGAAGAAGAAGCCCAAGGAGCGCCGCCCGTTCCTCGCCTCCGAATGTCGGGATCTCGCCGAAGCCGACAAGTGGCGGCAGCAGATCATGCGAGAAATTGGCCGTAAGGTCGCCGAGATCCAGAACGAAGGCCTCGGCGAGCATCTGCTGCGGGACCTGAACGACGAGATCAACAAGCTCATACGGGAGAAGTCGCACTGGGAGCGGCGTATCGTCGATCTCGGCGGCGCTAATTATGCCAAACACTCGGCCAAAATGACCGACTTGGACGGGAACATTGTAGACGTTCCCAATCCCAGCGGCCGTGGACCTGGGTACCGGTACTTCGGCGCGGCGAAGAAGCTTCCCGGAGTGAAGGAGCTGTTTGAGAAACCGCCGGAGCTCAGGAAGCGGCGGACGAGGTACGATATCTACAAGAGAATTGACTCGAGTTACTACGGGTATAGAGATGAGGAAGATGGGGTTCTGAAGAAAGTAGAGAAGCCGGCTGAAGAGAAGATGAGATTAAGGGCGGTTGAAGAGTGGCGGAGGATGGAGGAGATTAGGAAGGAGGCGAGGAGAGGAGCGACGGAGGTTGTGAGCGTTGGAGTTGGGGCGGCAGCTCAGGAGGTCTTGTTTGAAGAAGAGGAAGATGTGGTGGAGGAGGAAAGGTTGAAAGAGAAGGAAGAGAGGGAGAAGATGGATAAGCAAAAAGAGTTTGTGGTTCATGTGCCGCTGCCTGATGAAAAGGAGATTGAGAAGATGGTGCTGGAGAAGAAGAAGAAGGATCTCTTGAGTAAATATGCCAGTGATACGTTGATGGAGGAGCAGAGTGAGGCCAAGTCCATGCTCAATATTAAGCGCTAGGCGTAACGGTATGCGGGTTGCAAATTAGTTCTCAGAGGCTAGACGTTTTCCCTTTCTGTAGTTCCTTTTTTGAATGTTATGCTTTTTAATGGCTATTGATGTGAAATGAATGAAACTATCAACCTTTTGCAATTTTGGGGGTACCATATCATATACTGGTACACGAATGAATGGCCTAAGAAGCATGAGCTTTAATTGTTGCTGCTCCATTAATTATAGGCTGTGCTGCTTTGAGTTGAAACTTCAGCTTTGTTGTCACATCTTGATAGTTTCTGGAAAGTAAAGAGGGGCTTGTCATTCTGGCTGCCGCTGGTTTGAAACTTTCTAGTCAACAAATCAGAGGAGAGTTTATTGTGCTTGGTATTATGATGCTTGTGTGGACACCCATCCTCTATGCTTAAGTAATCGAGAATTTTTTCTTATTTGCTTTATCGTTGTAGGTGATTCTCACAGAGTCACAGTCTGATCTTAGAATTGACATGTACTATTAGTGAACTTTAGTTTGCAATTGTATCATTATAGTGAAAGAGGTAGGTTCAGTATGTTTTTGTTGCCTTGGAGACTAGGACCCTCACTAAGATGTTTGTTCGTGCTTATTTATAAGAGCTGCGTCTTAACTGGTTCAGATGCTGACCAGGGTGTAAATTGATAAATCATTTCTGCAAACCTGTTGCTTGCTAGGGATCATGACTCGTTGTTTCCAATCGAAAAGGGCTTTGGTACCTTCGTTTCCTTTCGTTACCTAGTCGGCTTTTGTGGCTGAAAATTATTGTGTTTTATGCTCTACTTGTCTATTTAATTGAGCAAAATCTGCTGCTACCTTCTGTGTTGTGTGAAATAATAGTCTGTCCATGGTTATGTTGGTGTCTGGTTGCTTGGAATCGAGACTTTATTACTTAGAGCGGTCTGAATAACAAATGCCCAATTATCTTTTCAGCTATTGAAGAAGCTAAGGGTTGAAAAATCTGCATACAACCCAATTTCTCTACTGTTTTCTTCCATTAGTCTACAGTTTGCTAACTTTGATAGCAAGGGAATGTTTTGCAGTGTTTGTGGATTTTAATGCGACTGTAAGGAGGTAGTGTATCTGAAGACAATTTAACATTGTTTAATATTAAGGCCTGAGTGGAGATACAGTGGAGCTGTATATTATACATGTCTGCATTTGGCCAATGAATGGTGGCAGATATCTTAATATATATCCATAATATAGGTTTCATACCAGCATTTGGTCAAGGATGGGGAAGTTCTTCATTTTTTGTTAGAACAAGCAGTGTCAAAACAGAAGTCAATTGGAGGGGCAGTATAAATGTTTTACATTGTGAAGAGATGAGCTTATCCGTCTGTCAGACAATTTCTTGTGTCTTATTTCCTTGGTCATAGGTAAGTATGCACCTACAATTCCTTTTTGTAAAACTAAATACACAAATGATAGTGAAGAAGATGAGATGAGGGAATACTGATGCCTGCCCTTTTAGTGAGTGTGGAGCCTCTTCTAGTCGTGCTGCTTCCTTTCAGCTCCTCTCCCCTGATATGGTAATCTTTAAAGCGTCACGCTGGGAAACTTGCAAGATTCACTACCTGCGTAATGAAGGCAATTGTAAGTATGTGCATGTGAAGTTTTATCCCAACTCCTTAAAAGCAATGCATGCATGCTTATTAGCCATTAAAATGTTTCTTCTCACCAGGATTCCGTGTGGTCTGCACAGCAAGTCCATTGAAGTAACAGGTAGCACCTTGGCTCCTAAATTGCTTCCAGTAACTGCTGAATGCATAACTTGCATGCCAAATCAGTGAGACTGGTTCATAGCATTCCTTCCCAGGTGCCAGTGCGTCACATGTCCCATTCCCTTGGTTGCAGGCATACCTCAGTTCCCTCCCCAGCCCTCTCATGTCAGCTCCTCTCGCAGCAATACACCATATCTTCCCCTTGTAGGCCTCATTATTATGCCCTTCAGGTAACGCCTTGTACTCTGAATCTGCTCTACTTCCAGTCAGGTCTATGTCAAATACGGGCCTCCCGTCAGAATGCAGCAAGCCCCAGTGCCTTTCTGTTCCAGGCCCATCCTTCTGGTTTTCATCATACAGTGAGAAGATGAACGTTGGTATAACCACTCCCGGCCTAGCTGGCGTACCAATCGGTGGCTTGGCAGTCATCCTTCTAACCAAATTCCGGTTGTATATAGCTGCATTATAGATGTTAGCACCCGGTTGATCTATATCTCCTCCGTGTGGCCATCCGGTTTCTGATATGAAGAGGCGGATATCCGGATACCCGAGCTTGGTCATGGCAAAGATGACCGAGTCAAGCATCTCATCTAAGAAGTTACTGTAAACCAACCCACTTCCAGGGTCGGTGTAGTTTCTTTGTGATTTGAACAGTGCATAATCAAGGGATGCATTTGTGGGGTTTGCAGACCAAGGGAAGTAAGGATAAGCATCTATGAAGAAGTAGGATTTAGTGCTATTCAAAAATCTGAGCAGCTGAGGCATCACTGTTAGGGCGACGTCACGTCTAAATGTGGCGTTGGAAGGTGGGGATGTGGTTTGCAAGATGTCCATGGCTAATGGCGTCCCTACTTTGATGTTCTGGATGTTGTTTGCTCGGAGGATGTTCTTGATCTTGTACATTGCTGGGACAAGGTGGTTCCAAATCTGCATATCCTCTGCTGAAGCGTTATGGCTGAGAATCTCGTTGCCAACCATGATGAGCCGGATCATTGTTTGCGGGTAGTAGGCCAGGACGTTATCCTGCACCCATCTGACTGCCAAGCTATGGTTAGTGTTGATGTTGACGATCTCTTGGTTTGGGACCATGACCGTTACGTAGATCTTGCTCCCAGCTAAGAGCCTCATGACTTCTGGGTTCGGGTCATAGAGCTTCACGCTGGTTACCTGCATTGATTTGATGAGCTCGATCGATCTGTAAGGAGATGGCAAGTCGTCCCCCAGCTGGCCATAGTTGATGCCTATGGCAGGAATGTCTGCCCCTCTTACCAGAGCGATATACGCTGCAACAACAAACGAGAATCAGACACAGTGAGTATTGCAGGAAACCAGCCACGTGGTACGAAATGCGATATACGCTGCAACAACAAACGAGAAGCAGACACAGTGAATATTGCAGGAAACCAGCTACGTGGTTAGAAATGCGATATGCGCTGCAGCAACAAACGAGAAGCAGACGACTGTGAATATTGCAGGAAACCAGGTACGGGGTAAGAAATAAAAAGCACTGCAGTTATTTGACGAATAAGCGAAGCGAGTACTCACGAGATACGACAGCGAGAGGGAGCAGCAGAAAACGGAAAGCTGCTGCAGCCGCCGCAGCAGAGCCCATTCTCGTCTGGTTCGTCGCAAGTGGTTTCGTGTGTTGGAAAGAGATGGGAGTGAGGTAATTAGTTTCCGTGTTTCTGCTTATTTATACATGGTTAGTGAATGGAGATGGGTAGCATGTGATATTTGCCATTTACCAAGAGTGGCAGTTAATCCTTTGCTGGGTACAGTCGTAAAGGTTGTGATTTTGTGAATGCAGGGAAAAAGAAAATGGTTTAGGACTCGGGATCTTGGTTGGCTGTGAGCAAAGGGGGAAGGTGAAATGGGTATTTTTAAACCTGGCCCAGTGATTTTGCAGGTTGAAATGAACACATTGTACATATTAGATTCGCTTATCAATTTGTATTTGATATTTCCCTTATTGACTCAAGGTTTATCACGTATTAATCTGTGTGTATAGACTAGTGATTGCAGAGAAATGAAATGCAAGCAGGTGCAGGATTTTTATATGGCATGTAGCATTTGCCTCTTGCGTGGTCGTTTTTAATGCTTTGTATTCTCACAAAGACAAGGAGGAAGCAATATATTTCAAGGATTGCTAAATCTTACCTTATGGTTGAAAGCCAAACTCACGCCGGCCGGCGTGCCACCGGTTTTACCTGGTTCAACCTGTACCGGTTTTAAAATCGGCGTGACGCCACCGGTATGACCGGTATGATCGATATACGAATCTTTAAGTAAAATAATCTTATTTTAGTGACTTTAATTGTTAAAAATTATTTTATTATTTATTTTATGAGTATAAATGTTAAATATTGATGTTATTTGTTGGATTCAAGTATAAATGTTTAGGTATTGACGTTAATTGTCATGTTTAAAATGAGTATTATAATTTTATTTGTAATATTGACCGGCATGAACCGGCACAAACCGGTATGTGCCACCGATCGAACTATTCCACTTGCTAAACCGGCACACTGACATAAACCGGTTTGACAACCTTGCTCTCACAATCCACTCCATGGAGAACGATGACTTGTCGTACAGATGCTCCAGCCACATGAATGGAGAGTTCATAGTAAATTTTGGTCAAAAAGAATGTCATGATTATATTAGATAATGTTTATCTAAAGAGGTCTTTAGATTACATGGCAGGAACACAACAAAAAATCGCTTACAAAAAGTATTTCCCCCCTACTAGAGTTGAGAATCCTTTGGATTTGGTTTCACTAGAATTATCTTCAAAGTGCACACTTTATTTATAAAAATGTCATCAAATCGATTTAACAACTAATGAGCGAGATTACAATCGAATCACATTAGTCCATACACAAACTATCTAGCTAGTATATTGGCTTTTGAAGTCCATAATATTTGTCTTTGAAGTAGTTTACTAATCGGATTTTTCTCCTCTTTCGAAAACACATATCGAAAATTCGTGGCACTAGATTGTTAGATAAGTACAGCCACATATTCAAATAGTTATTATTAGGAAAAACTGATGCCTATTCTTTTAAACTAAAAATAATGGTGAAACTTATCTCTTTTCTAATTCCCCATTTTGGAACATAACAACTCTCTTGTTGAAATCTATGTGAAATAATGAACGATGGAGAAAAGCGTAATGGAAGAGAAGTTCTCGAGAGTCAATAACGTCAAGGACATCCAAATGCCTCCAAAGATATCAATGGCAACAGAGTTCAGCATCGAAGGATTCAAGCATACGGCCGACAACCATTCGCCGGACACCTACTCGTCGGAGTCGCCCCATAAGTTGCAACAAACTTTGACGACGAACATGAAAACAGCAACGCCGGGAAAGTGGAATTGCCTTTGCTCGCCGACGACTCACGTCGGTTCGTTTAGGTGTCGATTGCATCGAGGTCCTGGAAAGGGAATGATCCGTGGTGGCTCCGTCGGCTCCAATCTCTCAGAGTTGGGCTCTAAATCACGCCCTCTTGCTGAATTGATTTAGATTAGTATATACATATAATGACAGTGGTAATGATCATACCAGTAATTAAGACTACATCTATTCATCCATCCATTGATTGTAACCAGTTTTTGTCATGTGTGAGCCTTAATTGTACTTATAATCTCTAATGTTTGCTGAAATGCAAGTTATGTATTAAGATGTTGCATTGTGTCAGTCCATCAATGATTTTGTGGTATAGTTGGTTATCACGTCAATTTAACACATTGAAGGTCTTCGATTCAAACCCGGACAAAGCCATTTTTTGTTCCTTTTCATATTTTCATGCATTTAGCATGTTTCCTTATGTAAAACTGTTTTCTCTTTCATAGATGTTGCATGAAAATTGAGAAGTCCTATGCGTGACTTTTGCCATGAAGATTGTGTTTTGCTCACTTATATAACCCTTGTGGTAGCCATACAAATTTTCATTTTACTGCTATGCCTACAATTTTTCTCAAAAAACTAGTAAGACATTGAATGAAGTCGATTGAATTTGAACTAATTATTTGTGTTGTCAACACAAAAAAGAAAAACAAATTCTAATTTGTCTTCAACTCTTTCCCCTTTTCATTTAATTCTTTCGATTGCATATTTGGTCGCTTTCAAAGTTTTATGTCTAGTGAGGTCAGATATATATATATGCTAGCTAGTTTGATTATATAAGAAGTTAATTTGATGGGTCTACACAAACATAAGACATAAAATGCCAAAACAAATGTGTTTATTGATGAATTCACAACGCAACAATTAGCTTAGTCAGAGAAACTCAAATCTAATTAAATGCCAAGGCAACCAAGCATACTGTTGTATTGGAAGAAACAATATGGTTATACCAAATACTGAAAACGACCATAGTTAGTATTGTAATGAAAAGGTGTTTACCAGTTAATGCTTTTGTAACGTAGTTTTGTAGCTGATATTTGTAACCCCCAAAAGTCAGTATTGTTAGTTAATGGAGATGATTATTAGGCGAGGAAACATATTTCAGGTGTTTGGTTGTTGGTTGATGTACTAGAGGTTCAAGATTTTGGATTATCTAGCTAATCATCCTTCACATGCATTTAAGATCATGCAAATTGAAGGAATTATCAGGCGAGGAAACATAGTTCAGATGTTTGGTTGTTGGTTGATGGACCAGAGGTTCAAGAACTTGGATTTTCCAGCTAATCATCCTTCACATGCATTTAAGATCGTGCAAATCGAAGAAGGAACTAGAGTTGCCGAGTTCAAGGTACATACTATCTTACGACTTGATTCCCGTGGTTGTGGTCACCCATCTAGCCACTCTCACAAACATTGAAGCAGTAATGAAGGTTAATCAATAGATTAACAAATCAACCAATATTTGGCTCTTCATTGTCTATTGGGTTGGTTCGTTCATTCATTTTCACTAGTTGCAATGTAATGTCACTCGCCAAACAAACCAACAAACTCTTTCTTGCTTTGTCTGAGATTCACGTATCTGGTGTTTATGATAAACAAATTTTTTGGGGAAGAATCTTTGGGGATTTCTATGCTTGTTTCAATTGATAACTTAATGGCACTCATCATACGAGTAATTAAAAATAAAATGCATAACATATTAATACACATAACGGTCTTCCATGGATTTCAATGTATTATTAACATTAATTACTATATAGATTGATTTTATTCTGTGTAACCATTTTAGGCATATATATGTGTCTTCAATCGTACTTACAATATCTTGATTTTTCAGGTTTCATAGTATTGGTGTAAGATGTTTCATTATTTATGCATGAATGGTTTCATGGTGTAGTTGGTTATGGCTGGTTTATGATCTGTTACTCTGGTTAATGGTTATCCCTCCATTGATGCGATTGAAGAGAGACTCCCCTGCCAAGTGCCAACAACCCGAATCTTCGAGGTGATCGATGTTACCAAGTCCAGGCTGGAAGGCATATGCAAAGGGGAGCATCTATCGAGCTCGTAACTATCGGACTATAGTAAGTTGATTGTTGACTCCAATGTTCAAGTTGTCGTGGTGCCAGTTCCATCGATGATTGCTCGCGAACATATTGATAACAAAGTGGAGGGCTTGACTCTACGACATTCCATGGGGAAAAAGAGATGGCAGAACTTCAGTGTCCTCAGTAGCCTCATCAAACTTGCCTACACAGGGAGATTGCGTTTAGTGCAATGGTGTTTAAACCTTGAACTAATTCATTCTTCAGTTTAGACTAGATGCATTACAGAAGCTAGTATTCGTTCAAGTCCTTCGATAATTAACTGAACAAGAGGGCAGTTCAAATGAATGCTGATCAAGGCAACATGGTGGCAGATAGATGATTCAAAAGCACGTAATGTCAAGAACCAATTCGTACCAATAAACTCGACAGGAGCAATTCTAAACTACAACCGGAGAAATAAAAAAAAAGCAGCAGTCACTTGCTTGCTGAATAGTGGATAGTGCAGTCTCTAAGTGGTGATGTGAGTTCCATGATGGCATTGAAAATGTCGCCGCTGTGGGTCTTGAGAGCCTTGCAGGCCATAGCCCTTGAAACTCCCACCTGTGTCATGACCAGATCGATATCTCGAGGATCGATTCCATTCTCGTCGACCTCTTCATCATCTTCATCCTCGTCATCATCATCTTCTTCAGCATCATCGCCATCATCCACCGCAGTAGCAACTGCAGCAGGGTAGGATAATCTCTGCAGCTGGTAGCTCAAGTCTTCGATCTTGGCCTCGCCGAATATGACATATGTATCCGAGCTGGGGCTCTTGAACACATCTGGCTTCGAGATGAAAAATAGTATCTGCGAGACATTGGTGAAGTTAACAATTTTTTCACTTGAACCTTATCATCATCACCCCCAATTCATGGAAATCGAAACCAGAAGGCAGAAGAAAAGATTCCGAAAAAAACGAACGCAGCTTACGTTCGTGGTTGTCTTGAAGGTGACCCTGCAAACACCTGTAACAGGCTCCATGCCGAGCTTCAGCATCGCCTTGCGGCTCTGCTTCTCGCTTCTGCTCTGCTCAGAGCTCCCGTTAGCACCTGCAAGGTAAGTCAAACACCACAAATTCATTATGTCCAGTGCGGCGGAGCCAGAAATCTGAACAATATGGAGTTAAAATTTTACGTTCAAGGAGTTCGTGAATTGAAGAGGGAAGGCTAAAGCCTTACCACATACATGATACATAATCTATTTTGTAATAGATTACGTTCAAGGAGTTCGAATTGGGTAGGGCAGGCTAAAGTCTTGCCACCTACATAATTTAATTTTCAAATCTATTGCAAAATATACACGTAAATTTACACAATTTTGAGAGTTGAGGGGACTATAGTCCCTCCTAACTGTAACGTGGCTCCATTATTGTGATCTGAACTCAAAACCAAAGATTGAAAATCATACCGTATCGACGGTTTGACCAGGAAAACATTCTACCAGAAGCTAAACCAGTAGAGGGTATGAAGCAGCTGAACCACTATTTCAATATAAAATACCCTACCAACGGACACTCTGAACCACGATTTCAACATAAAATACACTACGGACGCAGATACGGCATTTCAATAACGTCAATAGTTCACTAAAACCGAAGAAAGGATGGGTAACGAGCCTGGGGAGCAGTCTTCCTCCTCGTCGTCGTCGTCGTCCTCATCATCTTCATAATCGTCGTCCTCGTCATCTTCATCGTCGTCTTCCGATTGTGAATTGACCGAATCGATATTATTTCAACTTTCTTTAAGTATCCTATACGGTAATCGATATTATTTCAATTTTAGTGTAACAAGCCTAATTGGTTGTTGTATTTGCGAATTATTTGGATAGTGAGTTAGTTGGATCACGAGTCAATCATGTAAAGGTATAGAGTAATTGAGTAACGAGCAGGATGAACTGAATAGTAAGTTGATTAATTATGAGTCAGATAGGTTACAGATCATATCTTCACTATTTGACGGGTTTGTCAGCTTTTTGTAGCGTTCGTTCTTGAATATGTTTATGTCAACTGGCAAGGTCTGATCACTAATTTTGAACAATTTGACTTAGGGGTCGTTTGGAAGTTGCGAATGTTAAATCGTTGCATTGTAATGAATCACCATAATATAAATGCATGTATTGATACAATGGATGCATTTTAACAATACATTGTTTGGTTGTTGAGATTCTACTATATGCATTGATTTACATAAAGTTACTTTTATGGGGAAATGTCACATTTACCCTCAACTTTTAGAATAAGACAAAAACTATTGGGATATAAATGGAAAGAAAAAGTTGACACAAATCTAAACCAACAATTACAATAATCTCAACTTTTAGGGGTTGTTTGGAAGTTGTGATTCTTCAAATTGATGTACTAGACAATTAGTCTATTATCATTTGATGGATTGAATCAATTGATGTATTAGGTAAATATCTTGTTTGGAGGTTTAGATTGTGTTTGTTCCAAAGGTACAAAAAGTTAGTATTGAGTGATTGTGAAGAATCTCACCAAAAAGTAGAGATTGTAAATCTCTCAATATTGAGTGATTGTGGTGGGGCCTCCAAAAAGTCAATGCATGTATTCTAGTTCTATATAAACCAAAAAAACGATTTAATCTCACAAATACATGAATTAGATCAATACACCATTTGAAATCACAACTTCCAAACGACCGCTTAGTTGAAATTATATAATGTATCATTTTTTGTGATACATACAGTAATAAAGATAACTTACCAAGACATCCCACTCAAAAATTGGCCGATCCAATGCAATTTGACACACAGATGATATTAAAGATATGACACATAATGCCGTCTATAACTCGGTTCCAGTCTCTACCCAAAAAACTTAACGGAAAGATACCAAGTTCTTCGCAAATGAAGAAACAAATAGATAACTCTTGTCACAAGAGGAGCAATTCTAAACTAGATCCCAAAAAAAAAAAAAAACAGAGTCACTTGCTTGCTGGATAGTTCAGAGTCTCTCTAAGTGGTGAGTTCCATGATGGCGCTGACAATGTCGCCGCTGTGGGTCTTGAGGGCCTTGCAAGCCTTGGCCCTTGAAACTCCCGCCTGTGTCATGACCAGATCGATATCCCGGGGCTCGATTCCGGTCTCGTCGATCTCTTCATCTTCCTCATCCGCCTGCGTCGCCGCAGCAGCGATTGCAGCAGGGTCGGATTTCGGTAGCATGGAAGACATGTCGGGCATCCTGAACTGCTGGGCTGCCTGTGTCTGCAGCTGGGAGCTCAAGTCTTCAATCTTGGCCTCACCGAATATGACATAGGTGTCAGAGTTCGGGCTCTTGAACACATCTGGCTTCGAGATGAAAAATAGTATCTGCAAAGTCGACGAAGTAACAGTTTTTTTTCAGTTGAGTGCTACCATCCCAAGTCATTGAAGTGAGTGGCAGAAAAAGAGAATGCAGCTTACGTTCTTGGTTCTCTTAATGGTGACCCTGCTAACACCAGTGACAGGCTTCATGCCAAGCTTCAGCATCGCCTTACGGCTCTTCTTCTCACTTCTGCTTTGCTTCGAGCTGCCATTAGCACCTGCAAGTAAGGCAACATCACGATTTGTTACAACCGATAACTCTGCTTCGAGGCCCTGAGACGAATCAAAGCTTAAAGAAAATCATCCATTCCCATCTAAAGAATGAGTTACTACGACATGGAAAGAACTCCAACAAAATTACAGAGCAAACGCCACGATTATCGAATGTCCAAGGAAAAGCTCAGTTCTTTCTCCATAGACTAATCAAAGCTTAAAGAAAATCATCAATTCCAATCTAAAGAACGAGTTACTACGACATGGAAAGAACTCAAGACAAAATCACAGAGCAAAGACCACTATTATCGAAGTGGTCCTAAAGCAAATGAGCAATTGCGGGCGCGAAATAAAGGAAACTACAACTCCATAATCCTATCAAATCTAAGCTAATCCAAGCAAATCCCTTGAACAACAAATGAACAGTAAATCCCTAGATTCACAAAAAGAGAACGAGTCCTTTCAAATTGCTCAACAGAAGAAAAAAAACTTCAGCTCGAAAGATCAATAGTTCACTAAAAAAGAAAGAAAATATAAGTAACGAACCAGGGGAGTCGTCTTCCTTGTCATCGTCATCGTCGTCGTCATCTTCATCGTCGTCGTCGTCCTTATCGTCTTCTTCCTTCACGTCCTCCACGATGGGCTCATCGCTCTGCGGGGGGAAATCGAATTGATTCAGGGAAAAGGATTTATGAGTCTATTTCAAAGATGGGGAAATAGGAGAAAATGGATATACAAATTTGACCTGAGAAGGAGCGAGCTTCTTCTTCTCTTCGACGGCGACGACCTGCTCGGTGGTCTCAGGCTCAACGGCTTCGATGACGGGACCCGGCGGTGACATGGCTGCGGGAGTAGTCGAGGAGAGACTGATGAAGAGGAGAATGGAAGATTAGGGATAGGAAGAAGATAGGGGAAAGTTGCTTCTCTCGGTGCCATTTTGTCAGTTTTCTTGGGTGGGCCAAGGTTTTCCTGCTGAGTTGTTGGGCTTTTTGTTTTGGGCCCGCTCTCTTTACCTCCCTCATTGGCCCACCGCTTTCTCTTACCAAAGTACATTATCATATACAAACTACACGCTATTTAGTATGGTTATTCGATAGTGTGTTTTGTGATTAACGATAATTATAGGACGCACTAAGTTCTAACTACTAACACCACTAATTATAGGATTGCGGCGTGGTGGTAGTTATATCCCATTCACTAATCACGTTCGAATGAAAGTAGGTTCAACGTTCTAACTTCTAATGAGACTTGAGTGCCAAGCTAGAGGAGTCAGTTTATAACAATTGGGGGTTTTGGTATATCACAGAATTGGTGTAAGGAGAACTCTAAAGAGATGATTATTTTGCAGGCAGAAAGTGGTTTGATGGTACAGTAGAAAGTTAAAAGACTATGAGCTGTCCACTGGAAAGCAGAAGCTCAGTAGTTTTTGCCAACTATCAATGATCTCAATGTTGCAGACATTTCCACTCGACTAACCACTTGAAACCAAGGTGAATGTCTTGTCTTACTGCAATCGCCATGTTTGGATGTCAGAAACCAAGTGGATCTTATTAGTTCGGGGGGGGGGGGGGGAAGTTTGTGTTTGTAAACTGTAGCCAAGGCGAGAGGAAAAACCAGTAGCCAGTAGCCATTCGAAGCCAAATGTATAGAGGAAAAACACCTCAAGAGCCTGCAATTTTATGAACAAAGCATGGAAGTACCTTAAAACAGAAGGACCATCGTATCTTCGACTGGCTGCAAGTAGCAGATACAAAAAAGGACAGACGAATATCCATTACCAAAACAAGCTTTCCCTTAACTAGAGACAGAGCCAGATTGACAATGCCACGGCTGGGTGATCTCAAAATTCTCATCATGAAACCATCTGCTGCTGGCTAGAGGAAACCAACAGAAACAAAAAGGGTGAAGTCAAATTCTACCATGAGACCCAGCCGGCCTTCCATTTAAGTCAGAGCTCTGGATGAAGCTACTCAAAAGCAGTGATCTTTGAACAACAGGAGTGAACCAAAATCACCAGCGTCCTTTCTAACTAACAAAGCAATCGATTATTGGAGCCCAAGATTCGTCGATGTCGCATCTTGTCTCTTTCCACCTGCCAAGCAGCGACCTGGCCCATGGCATGGCAATGCGGCGATTTCCCCACTTCCCATAACGCGCAGGGAGCAGCCGTATCACAAACGTAGCAGTAACACTGTAACAATCAAAAACCCACAACCCCAAATTGAAGAAAGATTCCTACTTTGTTAAGTAATTGGAAGAGGAAAACGAAAAACCCACAAACCCTGGAGCAGTATTTCTGGTGTGGGGTCTTGTTGAAGGGGAACTCTGCACATAGATGCCTGGCATGGGGATAATCTCTACAAGCCACCTTGAACAAAGATTCAAACCCCAAAAACACCCAATTCAGAATTGAGCAAATCAAATTGGGGAAACAGAGGGATACGATCAGAGAGAGAGGGCGAAAGGGGGAAAACCCACCTGACCCTTTTCGGAAATCAGTGCGATGTCGGCGTCCGGGGTGAAGTTCTTGACTTTCTGATCGGAGGCGGGTTGATCGTAAGGGTCGAAATCGAGGATGAAGCAGTCCTCAATGGCGTCGAACTTGCGCAAGTCCGTGCCGTTCTTGACGTTGAGGCAGAATACGGGTCGTACTGGAGTTCCACCGTCGCTCTCCGAATCGGAAAGAATGATGATCTCCTTCTCCGGCGGCGGTTTGGTGATGGTCTTCTTTCCGGCTTTCCGTTGCTTCGCCGACATCTCTGCTGTACCGGAGTTTTTCCGTTGAGGACCTAATTCAACTCGCAGTCCAAAGGGGATTAATTAGAGATGGGCAGAGGAACAGGCGGGGCACGAAATTAGCGAAGAAACTCAAATTTTGAAAAGTGCCATAGAAGGAAGATGAGTATTGGGCTTCGGGTTGAGTTAGACTTCCATCAAACATGATTAGCCCACCGAGGCCCAGTCATGCCGGGTGCTTTCCTCTTCTAAGCCCAATCTAAATTACTCGGTTAGATAATTTCCCTACGGTTAGCTTAACCAACAAAAATAGGTTAATTCCACTAGCACAGAACCCGGCCCGTTGGCCGGAAGAATTTTATCGAGAAATATGATATATAATAATGGATATATAATAGAGGATTTGAAATTCACAAAATGATTGTTTTCTAACTTAGTTATCCACATAACATTTTTAAAGTAATCTAGCTACGCATAATATGTCTAGACCTCCATGAAAAGAGAAAAATATAATATAAGTATTACTTATAATTATTGAATAAAAAAAGAAATTAATATAACTAATTGTCATCCATTACTTAATTAAACCATATAATTTAATATTAGAGTTGTTTCTCATAATACATACATAATCAACCTTTAAGATGAAAGAAAATGTCTCTCATAGAGTTTAGTATGTCCTTTAAGTTTTTCCCAATAGAGAGCATTCTTTTTTACCACACCATTGGTAATGAATCTGAAGTTGCTTTATTTGAAATATATAGGACATGATGCTAAATTGTCGCTAATAGTTGGTTTGAGAATGTGTCGTGTATGGATTTCCAAAATTATTCTCAGATCGCAGACATGTTTAACAACAATATAGTAATTTTCATGCAACAAATATTTTTTTCATGAAATAATTCAATAAATAAAAACCTATGAAAATCATATTACATGAAATATATAGTACTCATTAAGTTGATGAATGAGCAAGGGTATAAGTAACATACATCTATTTTAAAAATATAGAAGTTGCAAAGTGTCTTTTGGGTTGAATGAGATCGCATATTCTCATTATCGCTAACTGACTTATGTTTTTTAGCAATAGATAGTTCAAAATGTGCCTTAAAACTTATGTTTCCACCAGTGTAAAAGAATTGTTTGAACCAAATGATTACAATAGTATAAAAAAATTTGACAGTAGAGTATTTTATACTGAAATCAAAATTTAACTGTGGTTCAACTGTTTCATATTGCTAAATATCACCTATCGATTTAGCCTATGGTGTGAAGTTTTATGGTCGAACCGCCAATATGTACGATCTTTCAATTCAAACTTTAAATAAAAAACCACTAAAATATTGACATGATCAAATACCCTTAAATCTCATAAATTATCATAATCGTATTAAGGAAAAAATCATCCAAATGATAATACTGATTTAGGATTTTATGGGGTCATTTGGAAGTTGCGATTGTTAAATAGATATTGTGTTGTGAATGCATGTATAATATTATATATGTATTGTCGGATTAGATGCATTGTGTATGGCACATAAGCTAAAAGCTTAGACAAAACAATCCCAACTCGACTATCTCAACAATAACAACTAAAATTTGAGATTTAACAATACACATTTTGATTGATAGTTTCGGTCACATCACAGATGTAATCCATGTATTGGTTCTACTAAAAAATATAAAAAATGATGAATTCTAAACAATACATGTATAGTAAATCTCAACAAAACAATCGCAACTTTCAAACGACCCCTTAATCGAAATGAAAAAATTCTATCAAATATAATGGCATCTCCTAAAATAAATCGAAACTCAACAGGGCAAAGAATACCCACTAAGCAAAGCAGAAGGGCAATTATTTCACACTACCTCATTTCCCCCCCCCCCCTCGTTTAAGTATGTTCTCTCACTCTCTCTTATGTCTCGTTCACTTGCCATTTTGTTTTCTGTTTTCTGATGTGACAACAAAAATAAAAAAAACAAATTGTAAGAAATGTGTTCAATTTCAATTTCATTATCGTTGAAAAAAATAAAGGGGAATAAAAGAGGCAGTTGAGCGGAAACAATAAAACATCATATGCTGGAAAATGAGAGACGAATTTCCTCTCGTTGCCCATTGGGTTATGCCCCCATTCCTTTTAATGAGCCCAGCGTTCGAATCCCTTTGCCACATTTTTTTCTCCTTTTGTTCACTTAGACCAACGACGTCGTTTTGCTAACCCCAGCTCCCATCGTTCTTCTCTCAGCCTCCCCCAAACTCGACCTCCCCATCGAACGAAGTTGCTACAGTTTGCCTCTTCTTCCTCTAGTAGATGGAGAGAAGATCAATCCGACGAACTCCTTCTCTAGTTGGCAAAGCTCCAGCGGCGAAGGACGGGTTTTCTTTGAGATGCCAGCATGTATTACCCTTCCACCGCTAAGTTAATCATTCTCAAAGGCTTAGATCCTCGAGGTCATATCAACAGTGGTGTGGATTAGGATGGATGAGACAGTGATGGCTACACTTGCCCAGCGGATCATCGATAATCCTCTTTGTTTTTCCATCTCTCTCTCTCTCTCTCTCTCTCTCTCTCTCTCTCTCTCTCTCTCTCTCTTTGAGCTTTGTATCTCACCACTCTCCCCCTTTCCTTCCTCTTTCTTCCCACCGCCTGGAAATGAGGGAAACCTAGAAACATCCCAATCACTTATCCAATTTTGCATTCGAAATGCTTCTTCTCCATTCACAATCGAAAGTGTGAATCAGAGGACCTGAAACCTGGGGACCAAATGGCCGCTTATTCCTCTCAAATGGCGCATTTCTCCATAAAACATGAGTTCACCAATATAGACTATGTGGTGCTCGCACTTGTGCGCGAGCGCTTGAAGTTTAAGTCAGGTATGACCCATGAAGCATTCATACTTGTATAGGGTCGATCCATATACATTGTCTTCATGGTATGCTCTAACTGTGTCATGCTAGCTCGATCATGTGTCTGTGTACAGTTACATGCATTCTAATAATTAAGTTTTTACATATTCACAACACCAAGATAAAAACAATCATAAATGCTAAAATACTACATTTGAACCAACTACCACTGATGCCACAAATAATAAGTATATCTCTAAATCATACATAAAATATTTCAAACATCACAAATATTAAGATTAAATTAATTATTATAAAGAGTAAAAATTATATAATGAGGTTAATTATGACTCATTTATATGTTAATGCTCTTAAATTGATCAACACACCCAAAAATGGCAAAATGAACATCACATTAAACCTAATATCTTCTCATTATTGTCGGCTCCATTCATGCTAGATTAGCCAAAGGTTTAATGTTTAGCAATTAACCATGCTAAAATTTTAGAGAACCAGTCACATATAGTTTGTACAAAATATTATTGCTTCGTAGTAGTTCTGTAAATTTATATTAATTAAAGAATTCTACATCTCTGTTGCATATTCAATACTGCAATTCGATATGCAATTCAAGCATTGAATTTGTGTTGCAATTTTAAGATTACCCGTCATTTTATAGGTTATAAAAAAATTATAAATCACGTATTAAACTTTGCTTTTTAGAATATTTAATAGGCTAGCTAAACGTGAGGGAAAGTTCCTATGCTTTTCAAATCTTCGCTAAGTGTATGCTTACAATTCAAGAAGATAAAACAAATTTGTTTAGTGTAATTGGTTGTGATTTTTTTTTAAGAGACCATGGTTCAAATCTAGATGTTAATACCTCTTTATAAGAAGTAGATAAATAATTGCGATGAAAAAAATACTCTTCCTACATTCAGTCTCGTTTCACGAAATTGGAAATGAAAAATCTTAAAACATTGAATATATCTTATAAAAAGAGCTTCTTCAACCAGGTAAGAAGGGCATTTTACCTTAAATTATTATATCTTATAGAAATGATTAATTGTGAAATCGGAACTCAAGTAACATTTTTTCAAACATTAAATATTAAATTGTATGTGTGGTACAGTTTAGATAAAATACATGTGTGTAGCCAAAACATGGGTCTTCGTGACATATATAGTAACTTTTTGTGACAAATCTACACATAAAATAAAGTTATATTTGGCACTATGATGAAAAAAGAGGTTCGTAGAATCACTCTCAGGCCACGAATTTAAAAGAAGACTCTCATTTTCCAAGTTTATCATTATATTATGTATAGATTTGTCACAAAAAAATGCTATACTCGTTACAAAGGTCCATGTTTTGGTTACACTTCTATAGTTTGTCTAAACTAAACTAAACTACACATACAATTTAATATTAATTTTTGAATCAATACTAATTGAGTTCCGATTTCAGAACTAATCTCATTCTATAAAATATAAATAACTTAAAGATAAAATATAAATATAGAAGCATCATCACAAACATATTCCTAGAGTTTAATCAAAGAAATAACAATAGATATAATGTAGCCTAGTTGGTTATAATGATCTTTCTTCATTTAATTGATCCAGGTTCGAACTCCAATGATAACATTTTTAATATATAAAGATAAAGTGGGCGCAATGACAAAAATGCCCTTCCTACAATCACTCTCAGGCCACGAAATTTGAAATGGGAGAATTCCAACCCATGTTTTGCCTTTATATATCTTGTAGATTAGTGAAACTTCTAAAGAGATTATAGTACTATGGATTTTTGTGTAGGAGTGTGGAAAGGGTTGGTCCTTATCAGACCGTATCATATCAATTGGACATTTGGATCGAATATAATGTATTATCGTGTTTGATCTTATGAATTTTTCGAATGGTGAAAAAAAATTGGGCCGAATTGATATTTTGACCGTACCAAACCCGAATAAATGCACTGATGGTTGAATTATGATCCTCAAATTTTCTTTACTTCTTGGAACATGGTGTGTTTCGATCCGAACCAAACCGTCGCACATCACTGTTGTTTGTCAGTGCTGGACTACTCGGGTTTCAACTGTTATTTGATCCATAAATCAACTCGAGACACTCAAAACTGTAACAAAGAGTTATTATTGGTGATGAAATATGGCTATCTTACTGAATGGGTTACGCACAGGCACCATGGCCACACATTTTGAGTCATTCGATTCGTTATCGTATGGTTATTGTGTACCCATGACACGAACGAAAGAGAGTCTGATTCTGATATCTTCACGGTTCACACACATCACAAATAGTCCAATCACAAATCTAACGACTCGAGAAGGTTTCAAGTCCTGCTTTTTTTCAGGTGGAAGAAAGAGTGATGCTTTGGGTGGCAATAGGTAGAAAGTATCGCGCACTGACGTACTCTTCAATCACTTGATTCGACATCAAATTATTTTTTTAGTACACATCGCAACACGAACAAAAAAATTACTAAGCGAATTATTATTATTTTTTTTTTTTGTATTCACATTTCGTATACACCACAATTATCCAATCACGGATCCAGAGCAACCGAAGAGATGTAAACACGTGCTTGCAAGATTTGCGTCATCGCGGTGATTGGATGAACAATATATAACGTCATTGTCAAGCAAGCTAGATTTGAAGTACGCCGCCGGCCGTGTGGAAGGTGGACGAACTGTTGACCAAATCAAGATGCCATGGAATGTGATTGGCAATCGGCGCATACCATCTCTTACCAGAGCTACAAAGTCCGCGGTTGGTGAGGATTTGATTTTTCTCCTTTAATTCGTACCTATAGGGCTTACAAGGACTAGCTACCCCACCGGAAAATATGGTCGGATCCATCAACCCGGCCACCTTTCATCAATAAATATATTTAGTTTTAGTGACGTATATTGACTAATCTGCCGGCAGATTATCACTACAGCGGGCTAGTCAACCTCACCGGGAATATATGCCGGCGCCGGATCCATCCATGCAAATGCAATGCAAGACAATACAAATACATAAAAACATTTCATTTTCTCCTTTTTTGTGGTGATTAGATTAAGATTTAGGACCATTTCGTCATTAAAGAGGACTAATTAGCTGGAATTGAGGCCCCTTTCGAACACATATGAGATCATATAAGCATTTACTTAATTTGTGCGTTTTTTCTATTCCTTCCACATCCATCTCTGTTTAGTATAATTTTGTTGATGTGTGGTTGTACTAGAGATGTAATAATAGGGTAAAAATAGAAAACAAAACTTATTTAGTTGCCCAATATTGGATAAATCATGAAAGTTGACAAAATTAGGAATAGAGAAGCGTTTCGTTGCTTCTTTAGACATTTCTTTGCTTCTTTAGGCCCTGTGTTAGTATCGATGTTTTTTCCCCCTTAGGAATGTGAAGAAAGAAACAACAGTCCAGAAGAACACCCTACTAGTAGGGGTGTACATGGGTCGGGTGGTTCGGGTTTAACCATTTTAATCACCCGACCCATGTACTACGGTTTAGAAATTATCAAACCCAAACCCACCCAAAAAAATTAAAACCCTACGGTTTGTTTCTAATTGGGTTGGGTCGGGTTGGCGATATTTTTAAGTAAAAACCCAACCCAACATAAAAATATATAATTATTATACATCATAAAAATATTTTATAACTAATTAAAATTTCAAATGAATAAACCGAGGTGAAAGCTATCAAAATTCAAAAATGTTGTTTGAATTTTAATAAAATGTGATTTACTTCAACATATGTCTAGTTTTTTTCACGATATTTGTTGAAATAGGCTAAAAAGGTTTTTAACAAACGCATCCATAATATGTTATTCTATTAAAATTGTACACAAGAAAAAGGATTACGTGAATCATAACTATACTCAATTTATGTCTAAACTTTAAGTCGAAGAATGCATTAGATTAGGGAGACCATGATAGAAAAACATGGCGAAATATCTTAATTTTCTCATAAGTATTGCTATATACGACATAAATATTTTTTAGATACGAACTCATACTAACAATTGGAACACGGGTTGGGTCGGGTTCTACGGGTTGTGTAATCCAAAATCCAAACCCAACCCAAAAGAGGCGGGTTGTACAAAAGAAAACCTTCACCCAACCCAAAACCTTCGTTTTAGCGATAAATACGGGTGGGTTGGGTCGGGTTGGACGGGTGGGTCGGTTTGCGGGTGTGTTTGTTCACCCCTACCTACTAGGGGTGAACAAAATGACTCGTAAACTTAGGAATGTTGAGATAGAAACCGCACCCCACAGGTGCGTTTTATATATAAACCGCACTTTAGGGGTGTGTTCCAGGCCACGTCAGCACGCGAACCGCACTAGAAAGGTGCGGTGTGCTTTCTCTGCGAAGCGGTCTTCAAGACCGTTGGATGGAGGAGCGATCGGAGGGCGGACCGCGCGCCAGCAGAGCAATTCGCGCCATGGATCGGGGACTATGAGCCTTTTCGTGTTGGAATGAGTTGTGTGTCATTCAAAATGCCGAGTCATTGCTTCAGTATCAATGGCGTGCCACACCTCCTTCTTTTTTTTTTGGTAGAAACCGCACCTCCTTCTTCGAGCCAAATTGTTGGCCCTTCATAAACCCAGTGAGTGGACCCCATATTGGAACCTCCGGCGGTTCCATATCGTTGTCGACCATGGTTGTCATGCCGGCCGGCGTGCCACTGGTTGAACCTGGTTCAACCTGTACCGGTCATAAAACCGGTATGACACCACCGGTATGACCGGCATGATCGATATACGAATCTCTAAGTAAAATGATCTTATATTAGTGAATTTATTTGATAAAAAGTAATTTATTATTTATTTTATGTGTTAAAAAGTTAAATGTTGATGTTATTTGTTGGATTCAAGTACAAATATTTAGGTATTGACGTTAAATGTCATGCTTAAATATGAGTATTTGTAAATTATTTGTAATATTAATCGGCATGAACCGGCACAAACCGGTATGTACCACCGGTCGAACCATTCCACTTGCTAAACCGGCACACTGGCACAATCCGGTTTGACAACCTTGTTGTCGACCAACCAATTGTCGTCTGGATTGTGATTGTAGTAGAAGACTGGTACACGGTCATGAGCCACCTCATCATCATTATCTGAGTCTGACTCTGGTCCTGAATCATCAGCACCTTCAAGAGGGTCGGAGTTGTCTGCACTGACATTGTTCTCTCCTTCTTCATCGGAGGGGTCACTGACTGGTGCTGACATGGCATCTTCCATCTGATCCAGCTCATGAAAGGCACCTTTATCAGCTCCATAATGGTAGTTGTGAAAACTACCACTGCTTGAGTGGAAGTTGTACTGGGGTTGGTTGGCATGGTCCGGTTGAACTTCTTCTTCATATGACGGGTAAGATTGATGATGACCTTCACCTTGCTCTTGGTACTGAAAATAGGAATGAGGATCATGGTAACTTTGGTAGGGATGATCTCCATACTCATCACCTCCACCATGGATACTAGATGTTTGACCGTCTCCAGAATGACCTCCAACACCTACGACCGGCTCGGTGTAAATGAACATCTCGGCTTTGGAAAGTTTGTTGGACCTCAAGAATTCGAGCATGGCATCTACCTCATCCTGAGTGGTTATGAGATATTCCTCGTGCCACAACGACCCACCTTCTCTGTTTGGATATTGGTACACCATACGATCAACTCTTCTCGTGCCATCCATGCAAGTAACGTTAGTACACATTTGATAGAGGTCTTCAAGCATCGGTCTGGTAGCGACCTTTATTTTCTGAAAATTGCCAACGACGTAGGTGACCCCCTTTCCGCTCTCTTCTGTGTAACCATTCCACCGTAACCCAAGTGTGAACTTTTGGAATGCCATCTGCAAAAAAAAAAAAAAAAAAAACAGTAGTTCAACTAATATCATAAAAATAGTAAAATCACAATTCACAATAAAAAGTAATAAAAAAAACTTACGAGTTAACGTTAACCGCAAAAACACTAGAGAAATATGGAGCTACAATAGAAAATTGAAAAGGGAGAAGGAGAGGTGTGAAGAGAAGAAGATTTCTCGGCTGCCTTTTATAGGCAAAATCATCAATGAAAACCGCACCTTAGAGGTGCGTTTTTCATCTGCCATGCAGCCCCACGTATGTGAATCTGCATGACTGCTTGTTTGGTGTCGGAAAATAATTGATACACAAACCGCACTTGGGGGTGCGGTTTTGCTTTGGAGAAACAAACCGCATCTCCAAGGTGCGGTTTTGGTAGACTGGGCCATAACCGCACCTCGGCCAAGCGGTTTGTGTAGGTCAGACCTGAAACCGCTTGGCCAAGATGCGGTTTTGGCCCAGGAATATGGACCGCACTTTAGAGATGCGGTTTATATATAAACCTCTAAGATGCGGTCCATAAAAAAAGATGTTATTTTTGTAAATATTTTCGGCTAAGTGATATTTTTGTAATTTCTTTTTTAAAAGGTGAAGAAATCTTCTCTCTCTATTAGAAGCTTGGTTCTAAATGTGAAGGAAAATTTTAATAGCGATTAAAGTTACAGAGAAAGGTCAACGGTCGCATTTAGCGGTAGCAGCAGGCAGTGACTACTGACTAGTATACACAGAGCAAGAGCCAGAGCAGGAGAGAGAGAGACTGAGAGAGAGAGAGAGAGCGCGGTTGTTGAGATAGAAACAAGCTCCGGCGGGACCCATCCGCCATCTCCATCTCCCCCAATCCTCCATATAAATCTCTCACATTCCGCCATTGATCTTCACCATCACCACCACCACTACCAATTCTCTCCCACTTCCTACTACCCAATTCCCCTTATCCTTCTAGAAACAATGGGTTCGACGCCGGAAACCCAGATGACTCCGACCCAGGTCTCCGACGAGGAAGCCAACCTGTTCGCGATGCAGCTGGCCAGCGCCTCCGTCCTCCCCATGGTGCTCAAATCGGCGCTCGAGCTCGACCTTCTCGAGATCATTACCAAAGCTGGGGCTGGAGCTTACCTTTCCCCTGCCGAAATCGCCGCCCAGCTCCCCACCAAGAACCCAGAAGCTCCCGCCGTGCTCGACCGCATCTGCCGCCTCCTCGCTTCTTACTCTGTCCTCACCTGCTCCCTCCGCACCCTCCCTGACGGCGCCGTCGAGAGGCTCTACGGCGCAGCACCCGTCTGCAAGTTCCTCACCAAGAACGAGGACGGCGTCTCCATCGCCGCGCTCGCACTCATGAACCAGGACAAGGTCCTCATGGAGAGCTGGTAACTGAAGTTTCTCCCCCTGATTCTGAGTTCGATTAGCTACTGGGTTTTGCTTGTTTTGCTGAAGATTCTGAATTTCTGCATTTGGAAAATTCGTTGTAGCTCCATTGATGGATTCATTTAGAAGTAGCAGGTTCTGTCATGGTGAACCTTCTCTGATTCAATTCTCACTGTTTACAGATCAATTTGACCTAATTGTTTGGATTATGAATTCAAACCGATCAATTTGACCCAATTGTTTCGTTTTGAGACAATCTGGCCAAATTGATCCGTTTTGAGACAAATACAATTGTTCAGGGTAGGGCACCCAATTCAAATTGGCTTGATACATTTTGTAAAATGAAACAACAAATTATCTTCGTTTATTCAATCGATCCATCCAAACGACCGTTTTGGAAAATCGATTGTAGCCCCAATTGGTTGATGGATTTAGCAGTAGCAACACTTGTTCTGGCTATCTAAGGGTTGAATTGAATCACATTCTTTGATGACCACATTGACAGGAATTATACGCTCCAATTGCTCTTGTCAGAACTTCTCTTTTGAATGTTTGGGAACTGGATTTATTTGCAGGTATCACTTGAAAGATGCGGTACTGGATGGAGGGATCCCGTTCAACAAGGCATACGGGATGACAGCCTTCGAGTACCACGGCACCGACCCGAGATTCAACAAGGTGTTCAACAAGGGGATGTCTGATCACTCCACCATCACCATGAAGAAGCTCTTGGAGACCTACACCGGTTTCGATGGCCTGAAATCGCTGGTGGATGTTGGTGGTGGCACTGGAGCTGTGCTCAGCATGATCCTTTCCAAGCACCCTTCCATCAAGGGGATCAACTTCGATCTCCCCCATGTTATTGCAGACGCTCCTCCACTGCCTGGCGTCCAGCACGTTGGTGGCGACATGTTCGCCAGTGTCCCCTCTGGTCATGACGCCATTTTCATGAAGGTACGCTTGTGAATTGAAGCTGGTGAATGTGACATAGTGGTATAGACTGGTATAGCGTAAGAACATAGAGTCAGGGATGTGTTCTTAGAGTATTGTTCATTTCAACTACTCGAGTTATTGATAGTAATCTGACAACGAATATGATGAACCAAACTTATGACGTAGTGTATAGACTGGTGTATCGTAACTCGTAAGTACATGAATCAGGGGATGTGTTCTTCTTAATGTCTAGGATCTGTTCATTTCAACAACTCGAGTTATTGATAGAACTCTCCATAGTGGACCATTAGCTAATTATTGAGACTTAAAGTATGGAAGAGTGGAAGTTGAATGGGGTAATGGTGGTGGTTTGTTGCAGTGGATATGTCACGATTGGAGCGACGAGCACTGCCTGAAGTTCCTGAAGAACTGCTACGAGGCGCTGCCGGCGAACGGGAAAGTGATCGTGTGCGAGTGCATCCTGCCCGTGGCACCGGATGCTAGCCTGGCGACGAAGAACGTGGTGCACATCGACTGCATCATGCTGGCGCACAACCCAGGAGGGAAAGAGAGGACCCAGTCGGAGTTCGAGTCGCTGTGCAAGGGCGCCGGATTCAAGGGATTCAGGGTGCTCTGCTCTGCTTTCAACACCTATGTCATGGAGTTCCTCAAGACTGCTGCTTAGACCGAATCTCCTCCGCCATTGATACTTCTCAGTCGTTTCTTTCTTGTTTTGGGTTGCTCTGTTCTGTGAATTTGATTGTTGTTGGGTTTTTTTTTTTACTTTTACTTTCACCTCTCCACGATTAGGTAAAGGGAAGATAGAGCGAATTGAAGAGTAGTAAAACGGTAAAAAGAAGAGGGAATGCAGTGAAAAATAATGGTAACTTGTTGGTTACCTCTGCATGCAGCTGCATCAAACGGAAACTCATCCCATTCACATATTTGGTGAACTGAAAGTGAATGAAATGCAGAGTTATTATGAGCAAGATCTTTCAACGATTAATACACCGAATCTCGTCAGAACTCCGAATACCAACGATCAATACACCAAATCTCATCCGAACTCCGAATACTAACGATTAATACACTGAATCTCATCAGAACTCCGAAGCTAATGTTGAATGGTGCTGAGTCGCAACACAGTTTGAATGATGATTCATTGCATGACAAGCAAGTGGGAACCAACATTTTCAACCCTGGTTTCCTTACAATTGCAAGTTACAACGACGCTTTCAACATCCAAGATTTGGCCACCAGCTACCACCTAACCCATCACAGATACATCCAAAGTTCCCACTGAAAAAACTAACGATAAAATCGAGTGACGAGGCATGGTAGGTGGAATTTGATACTTCGTTGGAATATATTTTTTTTCTTGCTAATTTCAAGGAATTTTTAATACTAAAGAGCATTCGTATCAAATGTAACCATTACATCTTACAATTTATGCAATCCATTTCATGTTAATTTCGTTGCATCAATGTTATATGTAGTGAGCGCAAGTGACCCATTTCATCAACATGAAAATTATAAAAACGAGGAAGGTTCGACTTCTAGGATTGGAGCATCATTCGTTTTACGCAACATATTTTCTCACGGCTCAAAGTTTTAAACATTATATATATGGTGAGATATATAATCTAACAGAGCTATGAATTCGTTAGCAAATTGTATGGTTCTCATAATTGAAGTTCTTCCAACAACTCAAGTTCGTTAGGACAAACTAATTCTTGACATGGTATCAGAACGTTCGATGTTCGATAGGTCTTGTGTTCGAATCCCGTCAACCCTCATTTTTAGGCACATGTTATATTCACACTTGTGCAAACTTCGTTGAATTATCTAGTTAAAATTCTATTTGTTAGTAAACGAGTCTAGTATCGGCGGATCTTTTCTTGAGCCAAACGTCGAACTGCTCGACTCGTATGCAGCACAACTACCACACTACAAGAAAAACTGCCTTCCGTGACCACTATAATTTGTCGCTGAAAGTGCTAAATTGGTTGCAGATACTTTTCTACGACCAAATAATTTTGGTAGCAGAAATGGTCGCTATAGGCGCGTTACCATTTCCTATGGTGACCAAAAAGGAGATTGGTAGCGGATAGAATGGCTATTGCAACCAATATTATCAATGGTAAAAATCTGGAATATATAGTTACCAACTTTTTTGGTTGTAATAGTTCCGACTACAACCAATTTATTTGGTTACAAATTTTACTTTCAGTTACCAATTTTATTTTTAGCTACCAATCCTTTTGGTAGTGAACGATATACACAACGAACAATTATGGTCATGAAAGATACATACGCCGACCAATTAAATCATTAAAGACGACCATTTTCATGGTTATGAAAGTTTAACCCAACCATAAAATTTGGTCGTGAAAAACATATATGTCAACCAATTTTGTCATATTAAAGAGTTTAAGGCAACTATAAAATTTGGTCATGAAATGTACATACACCAACCAATAAAAACCGTTAAAATGACTAATATTTTTGGTTGCCAACATTTATCACAACCACCAAATTTGGTCTTAAGGTTCATATCCTAACCAATTAATTAATTATTTTAAAGGCCCAGTATTGTTTCGATGCACAATGGTATTGAAAATGTGTCATGTTCAAACTTGAGCTAATTAATAGATAAAAACGGTAGAAACTATTATTCCATACAAATATAATTTTGCATCTCATATATATAACATAGAGTGAGGATTAGCAGTAACAGAACATCTCAAAAAGAACAATCTCTAAGTGTCTAATTTCACATAGATATTAGATACCTTCATAACCCAATCCATAATTCTACAACTGTTCACTTCTTCTTGTTCTTGTTAACCTTCCAGCTTTCAGCTCACTTCTTCCACATTGGATTCCCAGATTCATCATTCACTTCTGCAGCATTTCAAAGTATAAAATATAAAAGTAATTAGGTGACAGTTCATTAACAAAGATTGAAAATAGGAAAATAAGAGAAATAGTAACGATGTGCTAGCATGAGTCCTAACTTCCCGATCCTGACTACAAAAAAGACACAGTAATCTTGTCTCATTTTCAATGACTTCAATTCAAGTCCCAACTTTAAAGAGCATCAGCAACTTAGAATAAGAACATAGAACAAATGGATACCTTTATCTGGTGCCATAAAATAAAATAAAAAGATTCCCCTGCAACAACGAGGGAAGTAAATGGTATAACAGGGGAGGGAGGAAAAGGGTAACTAAAACTTAACTAACTGAGGGAGTTCAGCGAAATCGAAATCAAAATCAGGTTGAACTGTAGCTAATGAAGCTCAGGGTGCAGTGTGATGGTAAGTAAAATTGCAGAAGGCATTGCAGGTTCACTTTGAAACCTCTTCGCTGCAACATGGACAACAAAATAGCTATATTCCACCATCCTAGGAGTCGAAGAATTCGCATAACTAGCTTTATGAGAGCAAAATCAAAACACTTGAACTAATAAAGTTTATCTATGGTATCATGAGATTCTCTAAATCTACTTCCGAGAACATTCCAACTAATTGAAGTAATCTAGACACAACGTTCTATCGTCAATTACCATCATCAAATTTAAACCAAATTCTGCACGAAGACTAAACAGAACTGGCATGCATAAAGTGGCTTCAGTCATCAATACCACCAGAATAAGAAAACGAATGAAAATCAAGTAAAAACAAAGGACACCAATTGTAGACACGGTAGTTTAGCATTCTGCATATATCAACAAAGCAGGGGAACTATGAACGAAACATTACCAACGATAGTGGTTACGTGCACAAATCTATTTACTATGGCAGTATAGTAGTGTCACAGAAATCATCCCATGAAACCAATCAAATCAATTTAGGTCTTAGTAGGTAAAGTAGTGGCAGACCTGTATGGAGTGTGCTCATGAGTTCAGCTATCCTGATAAGAAGAAAAATTAAACCAAAGAAAAAGACAATAATACAATTAGATCAGGCGAGAACAAAAGCAGAAAAGCTAACAATGTATATACTGGAAACAAAATTGACAGAGAGAATTTCCAATCTCTTGGACGAATTAAACATGAATTTATTTATCATATGCACGACTTAGAAACAGAAAATATTATGTGAATTTTGTACGTTACTACCTTAGTAACTTAGTAATATATGCTTTCAGCATCTATGACCTACCCATGGTCAAGAAAATGGCAGAAGCTGCAACAACTGATGGAGGGTAGCAAAGCATGTTGTACTCCAGCAGAGATAGTTCACTGATGTAATTTACTAAGAAGCATTCGAACTGCATCGATGGGACCTCGTCGATTACTTGAGCAGATCTCACAAATCGTCTTCATAACAAGGGCCATACAACGATAACAAGAAGTCAGCACACAGAAGCCAAGAAAAAGCAGAACTGCAGTAGGCAGTGCAATGGATGGATGCAAGTTACCAGTAAAGGAATGTCACTCAACAAGAAACCTGGAAACTTGTTACTTATACAGTAATCATCATGGAGGCAACACCAAGCAATTGCAAACTTTGCTTGTTCATCACATTGCCGGAGAGATATCGATCAATGTATTTAACGGGCAGATACAAGGTATCTAGTACAAGTCTACTTTTCTGCAACCTCCACGAACCAATCTATCTTTATAGCACATATACTGGCATTTATATACTTCTGAGTTTTTTCCCATGAAATCTGTTGCTAGTCATTTCTTAACCTGCAGCCACAAAAATGATAAGTACCGTAACAATGTTAGAGGTTAAACCCACTACAAAGTCCACAACAAGTTACAGTTTAATTCATATACATATTAGGGACTCGAACAAACCTCACAAGCTCGCAAGTTCTTGTAAATATCAGAAGCAATAATTGCACAAAGCTGAGGATCCTCAAAATTGGTATCCAGGTTTATAACCTTGTCATCTGTATCCATATCAATGACACTGAATCCATCTCTGACACACTGCAAGCACTCCAATTCAAAACTCAATTTAGAAGAGCCATGTATAGCATCAACGTGGTTGATCATCTTCAGCAACCCAGAAAAAGACAGATGACTGGACAAATTGAGGTTTTGTCAAAGTAATTCACCTGCTGCTAGTTCATTATCAGTAATATAGAGCTTGTTCAATGCCTTCTTGTTGATAGAATCAATCACATGCAAGTCATTATTGTTCACGTACTCAATATCACGGCTTTTGAAGGAATCACAAGAAGTTTCATCTCATTTAGTTGGGGCCACATTCATCTCACAGCAAGCAGGAGGCTTGAAAATGCTTGAGTCAACTTCATGGCTTCTTCGTGCAGATGTGACCTCAATCTTAGTCGGTTTCACCACTGCCATAATTGAAAGCTCCAAGTATCAATAATCATGTTCACCTAGTGCTGCAATCAAGAACTAACACCAAAGACTGGCCAACTAGAGCAAAGAACGAAGAAGTTAGATTTTAGAAAACTCAAAATCCCTAACCTGATTTCTACGGTGCCTGCTGAAGCACTCAAACAACCTCCTCGAACTCATTTTCCATTAAACCTTTGTTATGCAGAAAAACCACAACAAAAAGTCACACCAAAGCATCACAACAAAGTAAGAATTAGAACATTAACCTCAATAGATAACTATCAGTTCTTACTTGATGCAAAGACTAATTCACCTGCGGAGAAGGAATTTGCCAGAGTTGGAGGCGGGATTATTCGCGATCAATTCCCCTGCGACAAGAGCTTCCAGAACCCTAGCTCAGCAAAGAGAAATCAGAGAGACAAAGGAGAAGGCCTCACAGTTCCGAGGCGGTGACCGTGCTCGCGATCAAAATCACATCGGCGCTGGTGAGGGATTGCTCTCCATGGCTAGGGATTGGAGCGACACTCGTGCTCCAGCGTATTCGGCTTGCGTGTTCTCTCGACGATGCCAGGGACGACTCGAACTATAGGCCGTCTTTCGTGATCTCGCAATGACGCCAGGGATGACCCCTCGTGCTCCTTCGCCTCCATGACTTTCTCAATGACGGCGGTGACGAGAGTACCAATCCTGTCATCGGGGATCAAGATGACGGCGCCTGGAGCTATCTTTGGGAAACTGGAATTGCCGGATCTCAACGAAGCAAATAAGGAATGTAAATTAAGAGGAGACGAGAGAAGATGAGAAATTGGAGTTAGAATCGGAATTGAGAAGAGGAGGAGGAGGAGACTGAAGAAGAAAATTCCGGTTTAGCGGAAGAAGGAAGGAGATAGAGGAGAAAAAAAGCGTAAAGACTAAAGATGGATTCTTATGCATAACTACTACTACAGCCACTAAGTTTCAGTAATAGTTACATACAGTACCGACATTTTTATACAACGGCAACACAATGATAACCAAATAATTTAGTTGTTTAATTTTCTTATTGGATTTGCAACCAAATTATTTAGTTATCTAAAATTTTGAAAATTCTTTATTCAAACTCATAACCAATTATATTTGGTTGGATAAAAGTAAAAATTATTATATTACCAAATTTTTTGGTTGGAAATGCTAAAAATAATTTTGCTACCAAATAATTTGGTTGGAAAAAAGTATAAATTCTTTTGCTACCAAATTATTTGGTCTCTTCTGATTTTATTTGGTTATCGATACTTTGGTTTTAATAAGCAACCAAATTATTAATATTTTGGCTACCAAAACTTAATTGGCTGTAAATATTAACCTTTTCTCAACCAAATTTAGTTTGGTTGTAAAACTTTTGGTTGCGAAACCTACTTTTTGTTGTAGTGCCAGTACCAAAAGTTGGACAATAGATCGTATAACTCGTAAAGCTTGAGCCTCTCCACTCAGCAATTAACGTGGTTCAAATCCCTTAAGACTTACGGTTTTTCCAAGTCGAGATGAGGTAAATGATATATTGATAGAAGAGCTCCTCGATCTCATCTTCTTTTTTTTTTTTTTATGTACACGTCCCTTACGATTCTTCCAAACCAAACCAATTCGGATTCATCCATGAAAAAAAAAAAAAAAAAAAAACAGGACAAAAACAAACAGAGCAAAATCCATGCATGCATCGTCTCCCCCGCTACCAAGCATATAAGCCGACCCTAATCACAGAGCCGGTAGAAGCACGTCGTCCAGGAAACAAGAACAAGTGAGAAGATATTCCAGTCTCGAGCACCCTTGATACAATGAAAATAGCACTGACGATTCTGATTCGTCGGAATATTACTAGAATACATATCATAAGTATGAACGATATATGCGCTGGACATACGCTAACTTTTGCCATATATATAGAGGTATAAGCAACTGGTGTTGCTCATCAAACGTGCAAAACTCATAGGAGAAGAAAAGGGAAGTTCTAATAATTGATTAGGATCGGAATACATAGCTATAGCCTATAGCAGCCATGGCGATGCCGGGTATTTCTAGGTTGGCCGTCTTGCTTCCGCTGGCAATAATATGGGCCGTCGTCCTCCCACGTACGTATAATATCTTTCCCCTCCATCGTTTCACTTATAGTCTCTTCTTCTTCTTCGTTGTATATCGATATATCGATAGTGTTGAATGTTTGTATACATACGCGCGCGCAGATGTTCTGCCTTCCAGAGTAGTTAGCCCGCAGTGGAGAAATGTCGACGATGCTCCGACTAACGTCAGGTATGGTTTATCGTAATGCAGTTGGCCGGTTTAAAAACCAATGAAATACAATCCATAAATACTGTTAAGTACGCTTTTAGATCACCAAAACGCTTCTACACATCAATCATGCAGCAGCAACAGCCGGAAGTTGGCCTCCCAGCTGCTGCCTGAAAGAGGAGTCGTCGTCGTACCTCAAGCATCCAACAACAATACGGCTTCGGTGCTGGAATGGTGCAATCCTTTTTGCAACAACGTTGCGTGCCGTAACTATTACCCACATCTGTGTGAAGGTCAAGATAAAAACTATTGCAGGCCGAGTTGCGACTGCGAGGCCATTAGTTGTTATTGCTTGTGCAGTTCATGAATATGTGTTTTTCTCTTTTCGGTCGACGGAAGATCCATCGCGAGGTGGGTGCGTGCATGCATGCAGCGTCGCCGTCAGTCGGGAAACCGGCCGGAACAATTGGTATCTCTACCACTAATTTGCTTCTCTTTTCCGTGTACCTTTTTCCTCCTTTGTTGTCTTATGGTGGGATTCCGGTTGCTTCTCTTTTTCTTTCATTTCCTCCATGCAGTTTTCCTCCCTCCTAGTGATGGATTGAGACAACTCTGTATGGGTTCATGAATAAAATAATAAAAAATGATCGATCTTGTTTTTCTTCATAGTATAGTACAATATTTCTAATTAGGAAGTCGTTAAAAGTATCATACATACATCTTCCAACAATTCGATTTATTGGGACAAGTTGGTTCACAACATGGTAACAGAGCGCTGGTTCGTCTTTGAGGTTAATTACGTGTTCAACTCCTCACCATCCCCAATATTTAGGGGTCGTTTGGTTTTGGTGATAGTTAAATAGATGCATTGTTATCAATGCATGCATAATAATATACATGCATATAAGAAAATTGATGTATTGTAGTTTACATCGTTTGGTTTCTGTGATAGTTATTCTAGAATTAAAATAAGATATATTACTTTCTGAGTGGAATGCCACTTTTACCCTTTGTTTTTTAATATAAAAAAGCAAAACACATCAAAAGGTAGGGACATAATTTGAAGAAGTAAACACTCCAACAATCTCAAACAAACAATCTCAACATAAATTTGAGATATTACTATCACTCATTTTGAGTAGTTTCCATCACATCAAGCAAAGAATGCATGTATAGTTTGTGCATAAAATTCAAAAAAATAATGCATTGTGGACAATACATACATCATACATACATATGATATGATCGACTTGTATAAACTCGAAACTTATGAGTTGACTTTCATTTAATTTAAAGAGACGTGTAAGGATCGAGATGGTTAAGTACAACATATGAACCTCTCCCAACAGTTTGAAATTATTCGCACCCATGACATTGATGTTCCTTGCACAATGTTTCCCAAGTGCTCTAGAGAAAGGACTCGATTCAATTGCTCCTGAAGAGTTCCAAGCAGTGTTTCTGGTCCAGATTCCTGCTCCAGAACTTCTTGTAGTACTCTGCATACGTGAATCCCCTGTACATCGCCCCTGAAGATCCATCGTCCCCTCGAGTCAGCTCCGGCGTTGGGCTGATCAACGCATCATCCCGAGGGCAAAGGAAGGAAGAAACCGACAACCTGGTCGTTTTCGTGTTCGTGATCGCCCTGTGCCACACGCTCATGTACCTCCCGTTGCTCAGAGCCTGTGCCGCGACACAAGAAAGGTAAAAATGGTTTTGCAACCGAACTAGTTTGACCGACGACGACCTGTACAAACTTCAAGCCCGCGTACTTACGTACCTGGATCTGGTCGCCGATGTTAACGACCAGGGCGCCCGGGTGCGGATTGACGGCGACCCACCTGCCGTCGTTGAGGACCTGTAGGCCGGCGACGAGCTGGTCCTGAAGCAGGATGGTGAGGGCGTTGGGGTCGGTGTGGCTGGGCAAGCCGTAGGTGAGCTCCGGCTGTGGGCATGGTGGGTAGAAGTTGACGGCCATGTGCTGGCCTTGTTGATGATCTCCCAACACCTTTTTGATGTAGTCTTTTTCAAGGCCCAGGCTCTCCGATATCAGCTCTTCCAGTAGGAACCCTAGCTCTCGAATTTCTTGGCAGTAATTGCTCACGGTTTCCCTGCAAAGTTTGTCCCCATTTGAATTCGAGATGATCATATGATCTAATGGTTAAGGAATCACACTTCCATCAAGAAAGTTAACGTTTCAATTCGAGACTATATGATTAATTTATGATAAATTCGAATCGAAATTCATATCTATCCTAAACTCAAATTACTATTGAGAAGTCAATACCTTTTCCACCGAAAATTATAGGGTTGTCCGTAACAGACCAGGGATCCACCGATGATTACAATACATCAACTTGACAACGTGTGAGAAACCGCTCCCTCCTAGGGATAGCAATTTCGATCTGACCCGTTTAAACAGACCTGTTTTGAATGGGTAATAGCCGTCCTATAAACAGGACCGAGGGCATAGGAAATTTTCTCCACCCGACCTGGCCTTATACTTCCCATTCTTGACCCGTTTTTAATCATGCATTATTAGATAGTTGTCGTGGCCAACGGGCGGGTTGGGTGGGTTTTGGTCTCAAATTGACCCACCCGCTTACTAGTTGGAATAATTGTGACCCGCAATTCACCCACATACTTCTGCGGGTTGGGTTGGATTGGGTGGCGAATTGGTGCGGTTGGGTCAAGGGTCAACCCGCAAAAGCGATTCTCCATTTAGCCATTAAGAAAATTGATTAACATTTATAATAAGTTCATAGCAAATTAGTAAGACTATATCAATAATTTATGATTTTGATACAATTAATAATTTATAGTTTGCATCCCAATATTTAATGGTTATTAACAATAATCTGCATACCAATTTCAATATCTAATGGATATTGCACAACACAATGACCAATAGTAGTAGTCAAAATTATTATTTATTCTCCACCTTTTGAAGTATATGGTCAGACTGTAGTGCAGTTCACAAATATGATGAATATTCGATACTATAAGAAACCACATTTTACATGTAAAAATGGGATGCGGGTCATATGGGTGACCCGCAATCCACCCACCACCCACCCACATAAGTGCGGGTGGCAGATTTATCAATCCGCAATCCACCCATATCAATCACCCACTACGTACGAGTCGGGTTATTTGCGGGTGGATAAATATCAATCCGCGGATTAACCACTCACGTGTCCACCTCTATTAGATAGATGACAATTTTAGGTTCGATAGGAAAGGAACAAGTGAGTGACAAACTCACGTATATATGTCTCTGATTTTTCAACCGTTCATTATTATTTCGTTCTGTTTTACAAAAGAAAGAAGAAGGGGAAAAAACGTTAACGGCTGATAATGAAAGTGGACCAATTCGTTGGATAATATAATATATGATTTATAGGAAGAGCACTTCTACTATGCTATATAGTATTGGTGCTTTAATGTACAACTTAAAGTTGTACCATAACATTAAATGTACAAGTTTAGGTTGTACCATAAAGCAATTTGTACCATTATGTTATGGTACAACTTTACAACTTGAAGTTGTACCATCACATAAATGTACAAGTTCAAGTTGTACCCTAAAAGAATTTGTACAAAAAGTATAGGTACAATCTGAAGTTGTACCATAACATAAATGTACAATTTTAAGTTGTACCATAAAGGCAAAAACCTATAGCACCAATACTATATAGCATTGTAAAATTTCTCTTATAGGAATACATATTCGTTCAACAAGAAAAATTGATTCTTATAGTAGATAGTAGTATGAAATCAAACCTTCAAGAATATGATATTTATGTTATGAGAATATGATATTTTTGAAGGCTTTGATGATATTTACGGTATGAGAATATGAAGATTTGATTTCATACAACTATCTATTATTAGAATACATTTCTTGTTGGACAACTATGTATTCCTGTAAATCATATACTATATTATCATTACACTAAATATTATATTCTCGTTTGGAAGAACGACCTCCCAACAATAGGTGGGAGGACGATATCCGATCCGGAAGTGAATTGGTACCTTAAAAATCAATCGTCTGCACCACAAAAACTGGAAAGTAATATTGCAGGTGTACAAAAATGAAAGATAATATGCATGCATGTGACCGATTCGTAGGTGATGTCACCTGACTGACGTAGGCCTACGTGCATTACGAATTCATCATAGGCAGATTGCATGGTGGAGTTTCGAATTTCAGTATTAATAAAGTCTTTAACTTGTTAAACTTAAATGGGATCTATGGAGATTGGAGCTTAAGTCAATAACCCGAGTTGTTGGAGAAGATTATGTTGGATTTTAGATAATTCTCTAACACGTCTTCTGAAACGAAAGTCAATCCATGGGCTTGAAGTTTGCACAGGCCCACCATACGTTGTGTTTTAACAAATTGTTATATTGGGGGTTGTGAAGATCCGAACACACAAACACTTAGCCAACACCAGCTCTGGTACCATGTCATAAACCAGTTGATCCCAATAATAACTTGAGTTATTGGGAGTTATTGGGAGAAGGTTATGTTGGATCTTATACCATTCTCTAACACCTTGCATACGTACGTGAGGCGACCGCCATCTGAAGCAGGGGCAGTGGCAGAGGGAAGTGTCAAGGAGAGGGGTCCTAATATGACCCCACTTGGGCAAAAATTGTGTAACAAAACCCTTTAGATACTAGGGTTTTGTACGATTGCTCAAATTTAGGATCTCATAATCTCACCGATCTTACCTCACATAAGGACCCCCAATCAACTCAAAATCCAATAAATACGTAGACGTTAGTATTAGCAAATTTTTAAAGACCCAAATGAATACAGAAAGTCTAGCTACGCCCACTGAGCAGGGTCTTCTAGAAGTTGTTGACTGTTCCCCTCCGATATGTTTTCTTTAATATGCGAACGACAACTCCCGTTGATTAGTAGCGTCAACTCCCGTTTTTTTTTCCTATGTTTTCTTTAATATAGCAGTTAGCACCACGTTATAAAAAATAAAAAATAAAAAACTTGTAAGAAAAATACGAATACTTCAAGACGAGATTCCACGCCGAACAAAGAAATCCTTAATTACGAAATTAGACACAATTTAGAAGAGAAATTATGAGACGATAAACGTAACTTAATTAACGTACCTGAAAGAAGGGGGATTGGAAGGCCACTCAGGTGCGTACTTAGGAAGTGGATAACAGTGGAGCCTCAAGTAATCCCTCCAATTATGCACTTTCTCCTTCTTCACATTAAAGCTCGTCGACAGCCTCGTCGTCTTCGCCGGGTCGTCGGAGTAGAGCTTCATCTTCTCCTCCGCCGGCAGCTCGAAGAATTCCGCGGCCACCCTCAGCATCTCCTCCGCCGCACCCGACCCAACCCCATGGTTAATCACCTGACCACCGATGACACCATGCAACCCAAAGCAACAATTCTCAATCATAAGCCAATTGGTTGCAACAATTCGAATTGTTGAGCAAAACTCAGATCCTAAACCACTTTCATATACATGTCTGTCACTTCCATACGCCCATGTGCTTAAAACAATGGTTAATATTGGGTTCGCAAAGATTCGCACGCACACGTGATGACCTCACGAATGACAAACCAATTCTGATACTGTGTTATAAAGCTGTCGTCACTACTAAGTCTGGATGGTTGAAAGAGAACTGTGTATGGATCTTAACTACTTCCTTATCGATTAGTGAAGGGTACGTATACCTGGAAGATGCCGAAATTGGTGCAGGCGTCGCCGACCAGAGACACGAGCCGGGACCTGTCGACGGCAACGGAGAGGTCGATGACGGGAATGTCGAGGCCATCGACGACTTCGGAGAGGCGGGGGCGGTCGGATTCGGGCCGGACGTAGCTCGGCGGGAGGGAGGAGAAGGGGACGCCTGATGAGGTTAGTAGTTTTATGTCCATGGCTATAGCTCCGCGCAAGGGAAGGAAAGTCGAGAGATGGAGAGCTAGGGAGGGGAATGAAGAGATGGGAAGGCATGTGCTTATTTTATAAGGCCACAATTAGTGATTTGAAATCACTAATATGTCGTTGGTAAAATTTTAAAAGTTTAGGTACTATAATAGTACCACAACAAAATTTATGAATCTATTTGTAAAAAGATTAACGGTAGGTCCTAGATAGCAAAAAAAAGGATAGTGAACCGAAAGTCGCGAACTAATTCGGAAACAATTTTTTTTTAAAAAATATGATTTTCGGTATCTTTTTTTTTTTACTATTTAGGACCTACTCTTAAAAATTTAGTGGTTTGCAGTTTAATTCAGAAGCTAATGTTGTGATTACTACGTATATGTGTTAGTTATCACGATTTTTGTTACGGATAGTGAACCGAAAGTCACGAAATCTAATTCAGAAACTTCAGCACGGGTTGCTAACAATGACCTAGTACTGCACTCCTGGCTGTCAAAATAAACGAAACCGAATCGCATCATCGCAAGAAACCAAAAAGTCAGAGTGTTACAGGTTGCTAACTAGCTAGCTAGATGTTGGATGGAAGACTTGACTACGTAAAAGCTTATCATCACGATGTTGTTGTGGCCACATTCAAAAACATCAAGCATCCACATCCACAAAACCTAACTCCAAGATAAACTTGTACGCCGGTCACTCATGGAAGAAATGCTGCCATTGGAAAATATGTGCAATTCTGACGAATGACAACCTTACGTGCGCTGATGGGCATGAATGATGATCATGAGAAAAAATTTGCTAACAGAAACAAAATTAGACTATACGTATATCGATTATTGGGGCGGAACATTTGCTTTCTGTGTTGTCTCTGTCTTTGGTTCAAGTTTCCACTAATAAAGCAAATCGGTAGTGACTTGATGCCTATAGCTCTTTGATAATTTATGAGTTTCTGTCTTTGTACAAGTCAACCGGCTACATGCAATTCACACAATTATTTGCAATTGCCCTCGTGTAGGGTATATGCATGCATATTGCATAGTAAACCCATGAAGTCTTACACTTCATACTAGGGTGGCTATACAGTCCGATCCAGTTAAATTGGACCAAATTGATCCGGTCCCAGTCCGGTCTTTTTGGGAATATAAGGACCAAAGATTGGATTGGATACACTCCGGTCTTGACCCGGTCCGGTCCCAATTTGATTTTGATTTTAGATTGAGCTTGTGGGGATTTGAGTGTTGGGGTCTCTTATCTGGTCTTTATCCGGGTTTTTTTACCTCAAATCTAAGCCCGAATATGAGATTGGATTGTTTGCTATCCGGTCCCAGTATGGTTTTGGTCCGGGTTATACGGTCCAGTTTCGGGTAAAACCAAACAGTCATGGACCAAATTGCCAGCCCTACTTGAGACAAGAGAAAAAAACAGACATAAAAACGAGATGGACAGGACGAGGCAAGACGAAAATAATATTCATATTTGGCTCACGCAGCTGTGGATCTGATATTATCCTCCCATCACAGGTCAAGTCGGTTAATACGAAATAGAGCGGGTTCAAATTATTATCACTACACCCCCACTATCTACCATGTTAAAGAAAGAAACCATACTTGGGTGAAAAATAGTGTTCGACTTTGTGTTCAAATCAATATCCTGTGGACTGGACTGAATTGAATCGCATTGAGTCAGAACTTGCTTCTTCTTGGGCAGCAGAAGAGAAATATTGGAGACAACGGTCACGGGTCTAGTGGTTGACTGAGGGTGATCAGAACTCAGGCTATTTTCATGCTGTTACGCCTGCGAAGCGTCGCCGAAATAGGATTGAAGGCATTTTTAACACGGCTGGCCAATGGATTACGGATGAGGATGGTAAACATTCTGTTCTTGTTGATTTTTATAAGAATCTCTTTTCCTCTGATGTTTTGGATGATGGTTTTGCGGTGAGAGTGGCTGCAAGAGTGAATAGTTTGCCTATAGCTCGCTTGGTGACAGGGAGTATGAATGAGGCGCTTATTGCCCCTGTTACTCCATCTGAAATTAAGGACACTATCTTTCACATGGGTGCTACTAAGACTCCTGGTTCGGATGGGTTTACGGGCTGCTTTTTTCGTTCTTTTTGGCATATAGTTGGAGATAGTGTTGTCAAGGCTATCTCTTCTTTTTTCACTACGGGAAAGCTCCTGAAGAATTTTAACCATACCTGGTTAACTTTAATCCCCAAAGTTGATGTAGTGGAACAAGTCTCTCAGTTACGGCCCATCAGTTTGTGTCAGTTCTTGTATAAGGTTATCACCAAGATTATGGCTACTCGGCTAGGTCGAATTTTACCACAACTTGTTTCCCCGGAGCAAAATGGATTTGTTCAGGAGCGTCAGATCATTGACAATGTTCTTATTTCCCATGAAGTGATGCATTAAATTAAGCATAAACGGCTTGGTCGGGCCAAGTACATGGCACTTAAGCTAGATATGGAGAAAGCGTATGATCGCATTGAATGGCCCTTCCTTTTTGCTATTCTTCGGAAACTGGGTTTTTCTTCTGATTGGATTAATTGGGTTAAAGAGTGCGTTTGTACTGCCACTTTTTCCATTATGGTCAACGGTACTCCGGCTGGTTATTTTTCTTCGACTAGGGGCCTCCGTCAAGGGGATCCGCTTTCCCCGCTTCTGTTTGCTCTTTGTACAGAAGGTTTTACTGCCATGATCAAGGAGAAGATAAGTTCTAAGGAATTGCAAGGTGTTCGTGTTTCGCCATCAGCTCCTGCAGTCTCTCATTTGCTCTTTGCCGATGATTCTTTTCTCTTTCTTCGTGCTTCTCGTCGTGAATGTCAGCTTCTAATGGCTCTTCTTCGTGAGTATGAAGGAATCAGTGGTCAACGGTTGAATTTAGCAAAATCTGCTGCTTTTTTCAGTCCTAATTTGGATTCCTCTGCTCAGAGTGAGTTAGGCACGTTGCTTGGGGTTGGATCTATTGGCCTCCTTGATCGGTATCTGGGTCTTCCTTCACTTGTTCAGCGATCAAAAAAGGAAACTTTTAGGTTCGTGGAGGAGAAGCTCATGTCTGTTTTGCAGGGTTGGAAAATCAGGACACTGTCTATTGCTGCGAGGGAAGTGTTACTTAAATCTGTGGTTGCGGCTCTTCCTATATATACTATGTCTTGCTTTTGGTTACCTGCAGATCTCATCCGACGCTTGAATTCCCATATGGCTCGTTTCTGGTGGGGGGCGGTTCAAGGTCAGCGTAGAGTTCATTGGATAGCATGGAAATCTCTTTGTGGCAGTAAACATGAAGGTGGATTGGGATTCCGGGATTTTGGGTGCTTCAATCAGACGTTATTGGCTAAAGTTGCATGGCGTATCCTCACTGAGCCGGCCTCTCTTTTGGCTCGTATTCTTAAAGGGCGATATTTTGTTGGTCATCATAATTTGCTGGATGCCTCGTGTGGCTCAAATTCGTCGTGGGGCTGGCGAAGTATCCTCCATGGTCGAGATTTACTTTCTCGTGGGTTGCGTTGGCAGGTAGGTAATGACTTTTCCGTACGGGTGTTTGAAGATGCTTGGTTACCCACATCTCCGCCGTCGATTCCTTCTCGTAGACCTGGTGCCCCTGTTTCTTCCCCGTTTGTTTCGGCGTTGATTGATCCGGGATCTTGCACTTGGAATATGGCAGCCTTGCGTCTGTTTTTCAATGCTGATACTGTCAAGCTCATCTCTTCAATTCCTCTTCCGCAAGTCCAAATCCCGGATAAGTTGATATGGCATTTTGAGCCATCAGGTGTTTTCCAGGTTCGGTCTGCTTATCATCTTGCTTTTCAATGCTATCGTTCTGGAGTTGGTAGGCCTCGTGTAAATCAAATGGATCATGATATGTGGCTTTGGTTGTGGAATTTGAAATTGCCACCAAAGCTTAAATTTTTTGTTTGGCAGTGTCTTAATCGGATACTGCCAACTAGGGAGGCCTTATCTCTCCGGGGTCTTGATATAATCCCGATTTGTCCGGTTTGTGGACGGAAGGTGGAATCGTTAGAACATCTGTTTTTTAATTGTTCATTTGCTCGAAAATTGTGGAGCTTGGTTGGTTTTCGTTCTCAGCTTGCAGGTTGGGATAAGCGTTCATTTGCAGGTATGGTTCGGGAGGTGCTTTTTCATAAGAGCGGGAGGGTGAATAATTCTTATTTTAACCTGCAAGTTATAGCCATGTTTTGGCGTATTTGGAAGAACATGTGTATGGTTCTTTTTGATCAGCAACAGGTCTGCTTGGAGTCCAGGGCGGCGGAGTGGCGTCATCAGGTGAATGAAATTGAGTATGCCTTCTTGTCCGCATCTCTTTCCCCGGCCATCCCGCTACCATCTTCTGTTCCTACGGGATCAGCGTTTCCGCATGATGTTCATCAATTTCATGCTTCTTTCGACGGTGCCACTAGGAGGGGGGATGCAGGTGCGGCAGCGTATGTGATTGGGGACGGTTCGTCTGATGCAGGGATGGTGTTTTCAATTGCAGCTGCGGCAACCATTTATGCAGGGATCAAAGATGCTCATGTTTTGGAGACCCTAGCTCTTCGGGATTGTCTCAAGGAATGCAGCACAAGACAACTCACATCGCTTCTTATTACGAGCGATGCGAAGGTTATCCTGGATAAATGTTTGGCTGGGGATTTCAATGATTCTAAGGTTGGCGCAATTTTGCGTGAGATCAAAGCCTTGTTGGCTGGTTTTGGGGGGTATTGTGATCTACGTTTCGTAGGTCGTCATAGGAACAGGGAGGCTCATTTAGTGGCCAAAAAGTCCCTGAGTTTGTCGCCTCGGGTCCTGTCGAGGTTCGACTATGTGTCTTGGTTACGTAGCTTGTAATTGACGTGTGTGGATCTTATCTCCATCTCGTTTGAGATCGGTTGAATGGCAACAACAAAAAATACACAATAGTCCCAGCTACTAAACTGAGAAGCAGCCTACAGCTTTTCACCTTTTCCGCATAGGAAACGGAATCCTTTTCCATCAAATTACAGGCTCGAAAACCATCTTATACATTCAAACTTCGAGAAATTTTACAATGCTATATAGTATTGGTGCTATAGGATTTTGCCTTTATGGTACAACTTAAAATTGTACATTTACGTTATGATACAACTTCAGATTGTACCTATACTTTTTGTACAAATTCTTTTATGGTACAACTTGAACTTGTACTTTTATGTGATGGTACAACTTCAAGTTGTAAAGTTGTACCATAACATAATGGTACAAATTGCTTTATGATACAACCTAAACTTATACATTTAATGTTATGGTACAACTTTAAGTTGTACATTAAAGCACCAATACTATATAGCATAGTAGAAGTGCTCTCAAACTTCATGTAATGTTAGAATAATATCTGGGTAATCCCAAAGATTTCACGAATGCACCGCAATTTTCTTTTGCAAACAAGATATCGTATTACGACTCTGCATAAATTCTTGGGGACTGCCCTGCAAAATACATAGTTCTTGTAGTTCATCTATTTTACATTACAGCAGTAGTGACAGACATGAAAACAACATCTGACATTGGTATTTTCGATCATCAAATCAATGATATGGTATGTAGTCCCATAATCAATCACTCTTGAGCCACAGCCACAACTTGCTCCCGAATAAGAACCTACAGACACTGAACTAGATTCCAGCAACCAGAAATGCTAAACATCAGTAAGATCATGCCTTACAATCGCGGCTGAAACAGCGATAGCTTGAGTGACTAGACTATCCAGAAAGCTATTACAGCGGGTAGAGCCCCTCCAACGATACTCAATTCAATGCTTAAGACAACTACAGCAAATGTATATACCAATGCAACCATCACCATCCATTCATGATCGACAGAACACTCTCAAACTTTCAGGAGCTGTAACTACAGCTATGGTATCCACCCCTCTTAACTCCAGATTCTAGTAGAGTACCAAATACCAATGCAACAACCACCACCCATTCACGATCAACGGAACACTCTCAAACTTTCAGGAGCTGCATTTTGTTAGCAAATGCAACAGCAATCCAATCGGGCTGCGCGGAAGACCACTGCAGCTGGTTAATCTCCGAACCAGCAGAATACATCGACATGGGATCGATCCCATTCGGCCCAGCCACCGTCGGCAGCTCCCAAATGAGAGCCAGCGAGTCATCCCCACCGGAGCAAATGTGCTTACTGCTCTGCGGAGCCCAAGCAATGGCATTCACACACCCCTGGTGCCTCTCCAATTCAGCAACCGGCATGGTCGGCGATCGAATATCAAGTATCACAACCTTGTTACTATCCATCAGAATCGTGGCCATGTACCTAAGATCCTGTTTGTTCCAAGCTAGCCTAAGCAGAGGTGTATCAGGCTGCGGGTTCTCATAGATAATGGTGGAATGCTCTTTATCCCTCAAATCGAAAATCCTTACCGACCCATCAGCGGAAACCGAAGAGAACACCCTGGCTTCCCCCCAGGCGATGTCGTACACCTCCTTATCGTGCGCAATCAGCTGCGTCTCCACTACCGATTTCTCGATGTCCCAAATCGTGCAGGTGGTGTCGATTGATGAAGTGCCGATTCGCTTGGGCTCGATCTCGTTCCAATCGAAGGAGGTGAGTGGGGCGCAGAACTCGCTGGTCTTGCTGTTGTTGAGGACGGAGATGGGCTCGACGGAGCCGCCGTCGTCGTCGCGGAGGTCCCAGAGGCGGAGGTAGTCGCCGGAGGAGGCGAGGATGTCGCCGCCGGAGGAGGGAGGGGAGGGGTGGAACATGAGCTTTGTGGGCGGGTACGGGTGGTCGAAGGAGAGGGTAGGGTTTGGGGTTATGGAGAGGGAATCCGGGTCGAAGGAGAGGATGTCGACCCGGTTCGTGTAGTCCTCGATGAAGCTGCCGGCGGCGATTCGGTGGCGGTGGGTTGGGGAGAAGGCCAGGGAGTAGAGTGGGTATGGGGAATTGTAGGTGGCGGAGGTTTCCGATGTGAGGTTGGATTCTTGCCCCGAGTTCTCCATTGCTGTAGGGGATTTCGATGGCGGTTGATACAAAGGTTGAAGGTGGGAGATTGGGGAAGAAGAAGAAGGAAATGGAGTGGGGGAACGGGGAGACTGGTGACTTGGCTGGCAGAGAGAGAGAGAGAGAATTGAAGGAGTCGACGGAGAAGGAAGAAGGAATGAAGGATTTTCTCTACTTTTCTATCTTCCAGGTAGGTAGCACGCGTGGGCACGAGGGGTGACAATTGGGGACGACGACGACGACTCCGAGTTTTTTTTTTTTTTTTTTTGGGTACGGAAATTTTTTTTGGGCTGTTTCAGTTTGGGCCCCGAAGAGAGACTGGCCCGGTGGGCTTCTGGTTTTGGCGTTTTGGGCTCGTCAGTAATTGTTGTTAATATTTTTTCTTACATAGTGTTTCAATAATCAATAGCATGGTTTGTGCTATCACATGATAATACAACCAATGCCGTTAAAAGTGTTGGTGACTTAAAAGGTAAAAGCGTAAGCTTTTAATTTTTAAAATGCGATTTTGACTGCATTGAATACTTAAAATGTGATTTTGACTGCATTGAATACAACCGAATTATAAGAGGTTAAGTAGTATTAGGTACATTGGTATTGTGCAATATTTTATTTTGTTAATAATGTACCATTTCATTAAAAATCAAACACAATTGTTACCAAAGAATTATATAATCAATACAATGTAATGAAAATAATATTATCATAAAATATAATTACACGGACCTGTCAAAATCTCTATTACAGATTTACAGTTTCACAAACAATGCTAATAGGCAGTATTGTAAATGAAAGTAAGAGTAGTAAGAAAGATTATTGATAACATTTTCATTTTGTTTTACCTAAGGCTAAAATGCATAAGAAAAACACTTATGGGAAGAAGTTTAATTTGTAGATTTAGATTCTTTATATCACCAGGAAATATAATAATTATTTAATTTTATATAAAAATATTTTATAATATTCTTTCCCAAAAATAAATATATTGTTAATTTTCATGATTTAATTCATTAAATGTGTTACCATTTGTTCCCTATGATCCCTTATTATATAAACCAAAGCTAGGAGAGGGCTATAGCTCATCACTAACAATCTTTTCACAACTACTAGTGCAAAGAAGAGATCATCCACAACCTCTAGTAATTTCAGCAAAAACTTTCCAAAAAAAAAAACATTCTTAAGACATGGAGTATACATCAAAGAAGTTGGTTTTCCTCGTAGTTCTCCTGGTTTTCGCCGCGGGTATGTTTTACGTTTCAAGTAGAACTAGAAAGCAAATACTTAAACCGAAACACAATACTCACTCGCACAACGGTCAAACAACTCTAGTGTATTTGTCGTATGGAGATGTTAATTAATCTGTCGTCAAGTATTGTCAGTTTAGAGTTTTCATGATCGCGGGTTTGAGTCTTTCATAATGATTTTTTCAATATCTTTGACTGGTTGCATGCAGGCATGACGAACATTGGAGCAGAAGAAGGCAGCAAAGCGAGCATCCAGCTGGTGAATCCGCCTGTATGCAAAACTCCATGCCAGGCTCCAAGGTGCCACTGCTACTTCGGCGGTTGCATTTGCGGGCGCGGTCCCCCGCCGCCGACGCCTTCCGATTGCTTGGCGCCGCCGCTGATAAGCACCTCGTATGATCAAAAAAAGAAGAAGCAAAGGAGAGAAAAAAACAGTTGTTCCGATGTTGATTTTGTTGTTTAGTTTGTTTTACAGTATAGATTATTATAGTAATAAGGATCAATATGTAGCGATCTATTAGCGTAAAGAGTTCCATAACAGAGTAGAACAGTATACAACATGATGATTGGGGAGACCAACCATTATGTGTCGGCGTTCTTAATTCAATATAGTTGCTGTCTGTTGGTTGATGAAGCTTGAAGCAAGTTAATATGGTAAGAGATTAAAAGGCTTAACTATTTTTTTTTCAATAATTTGAGTTATTGGTACCAAGTGGTTAGTTCGCCAACATGGTATTAATTAGAGTGTAGAACCGAAAGTTCGCGTGCAACTCTAAACCTGAACCAAGAGTTTTCATCAAATTAATGAATATAATCCCTGAATCAACACCTCCCGCTATCTCTGATGAGTCACCACTTCTAAATCTTCTTTTAGCGAGACATCCAGGAGTTGTCGATTGCACACCGGGAGCAACACTTCTCTAGCACTACTCATTTTTTGTAATATTCTGACATTTTCTAATCAAAATATTGTCCGGTTTAGGTCTATCCCACACGATATTGCTTTTTGGACATATCATGATGACTTCTTGGGAGATTATTTATCTTTGCACTAATGAAAGTCAACTACATACAGTTCCACAATAAGCACCTTTAAGTTCTTAATTCTTAAAAGAATTCATTTGTTTCCCTTCAAAACTCATACGGTTATTTAAAGTTGAATGTTCCTTGTGAATTATAGATCTCTAACGTATTTGGTCCTTATTGAATTTGGCTAAAGTTTCACAAGGTATAATTATAAGGAAGAAGTGCTATAGGTTTTTGTCTTTATGGTACAACTTGAAATTGTACATTTAACGTTATGGTACAACTTCAGATTGTACCTATACTTTTGTACAAATTTTTTTTTATGGTACAACTTAAACTTGTACCTTATGTGATGATACAACTTCAAATTGTAAAATCGTACCATAACATAATGATACAAATTCCTTTATGGTACAACCTAAACTTATACATTTAATATTATGCTACAACTTCAGGTTGTACATTAAAGCACCAATGTTATATAGCATAGTAGAAGTGCTCTTATTAGAAAAACTGTTGATCATTATTTTTACGGCGAATTATGATCAAGTCCAATTGTACCGTTTTTCTTATTTTCATCTACACAAAAAAAAACAAAAAAAAATTAGACTTAATAGATAATTGTACTTCTTATTGCCCTTTTCTATTGATACAATTCTCCATATTTTTCTATTATAAAAAAACTCCATATTTCCTTCTTCTTTCTTAATCCAAAAAGGGTTGATTTTGTTATCATGGAATGTCTTAATAGTAGCAGAAAAGAACATGCTTAGCATTTCATTTCTTATCGGAAAATAGTCTGAATACATAGTATCAAAAAAGAATATACATTGGTAGCATTTCATTTCTTGCCCAACAAATTTTTAAAAAAAACAAACAATTATGGGAATGAGCTTTAAATTGAGATTATATTTCTTATGGCACATGGAAATACAATAATTATTTCTTTATGGGTCAAACAACAAATAATTATTTTAATTCCTATAGATTTTCTTAAAGAATATTCTTTTGACCAAATAAATACATTCTCTATAGTTTATCACCACGCTCCCCCTATTATATAAACCCACCTTTGGAGAGAACCATAGCCCTCATCAACAAACAAATTCCAAAAAAAAATCATATACCGAAACAACAACCTTTTCGGGATTATGGAATACGCCTCGATGAAGTTGGTTTTCTTGGTCGCGCTCTTGATTTTCACCGCTGGTGGTATGTTTTATATTTCAAATAAACGATTATTTAAGATCGTACAATATACCTGCATATTCCGGGAATTATGTTTAATTTTTACGGTATTCTGGGAATTCTTCCGCATTTTTAGGTGTTACGAAAATTGGAGCAGAAGAAGAAGGTAACAACAACGGCGTCGTCGGCGTCGGGGCGGAATTGAAGAAAGTGATTCCATGCGACAGATTCAAGGCGTGTAGTTGCACGGGCAAACTTTGCGTTTGCACGCTGCGCAAAAAAGCTCAGCTGTCTACCCAATCAGGCGGCGGCGCAGAAGGTGAAAACGGCGTCGTGGGGGCGCCGGCGGCTGCGTACCAGGTTAGATGCGGGCAACTGAAGACGTGCAGTTGTATTTTCCGACTTTGCTTCTGCACGGTGCGTGGCTAGCCGGCGATCAGCGCCTAATCTGGAAATTGCAGCTTAATTAGTTTGATGATGAGAAAATTCCGTTGTTTAGTTGGCTATAGCTAGCATTACAGAGATTAATAAAAGAGATTACGTATAAGAAGTTCACAGCTTGTTATTAGAGTTATAAATACAGAGCGTGAGGAAAACTTAACTATCATCCATATATTGCACCAAAGAATGAACAAAAAAATTATTTTCAAACTCAAGGAAAATGACTTTTCAAAAAAAATCGCCTGAAATCTGTGATGGTATCCCTTTGCAGTCTGCCAAAAATGGACTCAGGAAAAAACATTCAAAATTAGTGTTTAATCGACTTAATCATCGTCGAAAATTAGGCTCAGACCGAATCAATGATATGTGGCCTTCAAAATCCAAGCAAAATGGTATTACGAAAAAATCTCATGAAATTTGTGATATAATACCTCTTTAAAATCTGTCATAAAATAGTTAATAGGCTTTTGGACAATTGGCTATTGGTATTGGTCGAGAGTACCACGTCATCAATCCCACGTGGTACTCCCGGTATTTATAGGCAATAATTTCTCTAAAATATGAGTTTGAAAGTCGTTGATGCTCCTTCATTTCCATCATATTAATAATATTAATTTGTAGAAGTTATTAGGACACCATGTTTCATAATAATCCATTTTTTACCTCTATAAAATAAGGATTTTTTTATGGAGACCTACTAATCTTATTAATGAGCTAGCAAAGTTAATTCCTATAATAAAAAAAAAAGCTAGCAAAGTTAATTACATGGTCCTGTTGCAACTGATCAATAAGAAAAATTAAAGGCCCGTCAACCCAAACTTCACTCGAATCCCAATCTGTATTACCTCTATAAAATAAAGATGTTATGACGAGATCGAGAGAATATTTAAATTTCCAGTGGTAGAAAAACTGAGTTTAAGGAAAATACAATCGCATTATATGGCAACTTTAAATCTTGGAAATCTTCTTAATAATTTCTAAGATTTTATATTTTTATTACACATAGGAAAGTAATAGTTATTATTCTTAATAAATCCTTTCTAATATTCTTTCCCCAAATAAACATATGTGGATATACACCTTACCACTAGGATCCACTATTATATAAACCAGGCTTTCACAATTATAACAGCACAGAGCTCAATCTTATCCACACAAACAACCAAAAAATCCCAAAAAAAATAATAATATGGAATTTTTTTTTTTTTTTTTACCAATAGATAGCTAGCTTTTATTACCAAAACCAAAATCAAAAGAGAACACTGTTTACATCACAAAAAAGTACCAACGATCAAAATCAAAACTCTCCACACTAGCAGGCAACAAAGAAAGGGTCTTCCTGGCCACCTCATGAGCCACCCGATTGCTACTCCTGCCAACAAAAGCAATGTCAAAACTCACAAACCTCCGCCGTATCCCACCAATCTCTTCCAAAATCCTTCCCCCGCGCAAATCCCTCGTATCCGACCTCTGAATCTTGTCAATGACTACCTTTGCATCCCCATAAAACTTCACTTCAGTAATACCCTTCATAGAGCACCACTGAATCGCATCACGGAAGGCTATCAACTCAACTAAGAAGGGATCCACCAGACCTGCATAGGAGAAACCTTTAACAAAGCAAACACTGCCCATCGCATCTCGGACCACCAAACCCCCCGCACCATGAGACCCCGGTGCCACCGCACCATCCACAAAACAGGAAAATCGTAAACCATCCGGCCCCTGCCTAGACCAGCCACCACCAGTCACCTCCCCACCCAAACGACCTGACTCTTGCTGTCGCTGGGCGGGTTGCACAACTGCCAGCCATTCCCTCACCTGACTTTCATACTGTCGCACCAGCCGCGGAATGGCATACTGCACATGATCAAAAACTACCCAATTTCGACTCTTCCAGATTCTCCATAACAGCGCCACTATCCGTACAATCCTCTCAGTACTAGAGTTCTGCTCAACCAATCGACGAAAGAACAAAGCGAAGTTACCAGTTTCAGGAAAGCTTACCCCTCCGCCAATGCTCGAGCTATCCCAAAGCGCCCTAGCCACTGTACACGAAAGATACTAGCCACTGTACCCAAAAAAAATAATAATATGGAATACGCCTCGAGGAAGTTGGTTTTCGTTGTTGCTCTCCTGATTTTCGCTGCCGGTACGTGTGTTATTTTGAATATATATATTAATTAAGTTCATCGTCAGAATATATATTAATTTATCTTGTTAATTTTGCTGATTTGAATTTAGGTATTACGAACATTGGAGCAGAAGAAGGCACCGGCGGCAACAACGACGTCGTCGAAATCGAGGTGCCGACATGCAAGCTTACATGCCTACATCCGTGTCATTGTCAAAACGAACGCTGCGTTTGCAACGGCGGCCCGCTGCCGCGTCGGGCAGGTTCCCGATCGTCATTTGTCGCCGCCGATCAGCACCTCGTCTGAAAGATATAGTTTGGTTTGATGACATCATTCCGGTGTTTGGTTTCTTCGTTATATAAAGATTCGGAATTTTTTACCAAAAAAAAAAAAATTCGGAATAAATTGCGAATGTATTTGGTGTATTGCTAAAGAGATTACGTAGTAGTACACATTCTGTGTAGATATGAAAAATGCTATTCGAAATAAAATCAAATGAGTGATGAAGTTCTGATGGACTAATTGGTACGACATATATGGATTGGAGAGTTCTATCCTGAATAATTTTAAAAATTGATGTGTTTTAAAATCCCCCACCCCAATCTAGGGCTGGAAAATCGCGGTTACGGTCATAATAGAATATGGTGGTTATCGGTTAATTGATAATTGTAAAATTGAAGGAATAGAACTGTTGCGATTATGGATTTGGGTCATCTTTCGATATTCGGTATAACCGCAAATTAAATCGCAAAACAAAACAAAACAAAAACATAGATAACTGCAAAATTAAACAGTCTCAAACCCCAACGACACCGCCCCACTTTGGTAACACAAACCAAAAAGAACGACGAATGAGTTATTAGTTGATTGAACGCGATTAATGATACCAGAATCGGAAGCCGTAATTTTCGATTCTAGGATAACCTCGAACCACAAAAATATCAGCTATGCTTTGCTGAAATGACATCAAGTCGGATTTGGGTGTCCTACCAATTCGGTTCTGTTAACCAAAATCGAACCGAAATCCAGCCGCACCGTTCAGATTAGGCCCATACTCCGAAAGTAGATGTGGTAAGCAGCCCATCCCCGGTTAAGCAGATAGAGCATGGACCAGCCCATCCACGGCCCATTTCCCGGCCCGGCCACGACCATCAGACGAATCGTTGACCCGTTTCCCGGGGAAAAAAGCCAAGTTAGGTATAGCCGCTTGTTGCCATTCGCCGAAGAACATCCACGTCACCGCCACCGCCGCCGCCGCCGCGTCCACCTGCTCCGCCGCTACAGGCCCAACAACATCAACGTCCCTGACTTCTTCCTAACAACTCTCTCCATCCTCTTCTCTTCTTCTTTTTCCTCTGCCTCCCTCAAACCCTATTTCCCGAAAATCCCCTTCTACCAAATCCCATCCATGTCGGTCTCAAACCCAAACAACCGGCGCCGTTTCGCTAACCCTGATTCCCTCTCCGATTGGCTGAAGCCCCGATTGCCCTCCGATTCCTTCGCCTCCTGGGGGGTCAAGCCGGGGACGAAGAACGTCCACAACCTCTGGCTCGAGATCTCTCAAGGCGAGACCTCCCTCGCCGATTCTACCCCTCCGATTCGCACCGTCAACGTCGTCACCGTGAAAGTGATCGGGAAGAACAATCGGGTCTTAATCGAATCGCATCAGGAGCTTTCTGACGGGACGGTGAGGAGCCGGCACCGGCCCTTGTCGGAGAAGATGAAGCCCGACGAGAGCCCTGATTCTGCTGTCCTGAGAGCGATTCGAGAGGAGCTCGGGTCGATTGCCGGTGGGGAAGTGAGGATTGTGCCGGGTTCGTACAGGGAGAAGGTGGAGGAGAGGTGTTCGGCTTCGTACCCTGGTTTGCCGGCGAGATATGTGTTGTACTCGGTGGACGCGATTGTGGACGGGCTGCCGGACGGCGGTTTTGTGACGGAGGAAGGGGAGGCGTATGGGGATTCGGAGGAGAAGAAGGTTGCCGATCAAGCTGTTACTGTTAGAAAGCATTTCTGGAAATGGGTTAGTCCTGATGCCGTTGAGTTGTGAATCATTTTGTTGGGGGCAATTGAGAGATAGGGTCACCTCCATCGTTCTGTCCCGCCATGTTTGTTACTGTTAGGACAGAGCACTTGATTTCTCAGATGGGTGATCGCACCCCTCTATACACATTACATACATACCGTTCTGTTTGCTCGAGAGGTGTAAAAAGTTTTTGTACAACAGGGCTGCCCACTTAGTGGCTTCTTATGTCCTTTCATCAACAGTTCGATATTGTGTCAATTGTCGCGTCTGGTTGTCTAGCGTCCTGTAATATCTATAACCTTCCCGATCTATGACGACGACGACAACAAAAAAAAAGTTTTAGTCTTTGTGTTCTCGAGTGCATTAGTCCTGCTGCCTTTGTGAAATCAATTGCTCTGTTTGTCTGAGTTCTGTTGGTTGCCGAGCTAGGATACCGTTGCTGCCTTGTTTATAATCTACTCTTGAGATGCTTGGCAGCATTGTCACTGCAGATTCATTGCATCATGAATAGTGGGTTGAGTTGAGACTGTCAATAATTGGAATGGACTATGGACAATTAGGAATGCTTGTGCTAGCATACATGTTACTGGAATTAATGATATGGATACTTGGGTAGTTGGGTTAATGAACTTGTATGATCTGCCCTTCCGCTTTCTGAACTGTGACCCATCTTTTTTCACTTCAAACCTAGCCGACGGATGCTGCTACCCGTAGCAGCACCAGCATTTGCTCTCAGATGAGCTTTTCGTCTTCCATGGCGATTTGGAAAGTTTCTTATTATTGCCTCTGTATATTTTAGGGTTGGGGACTGCCTGCTGCTGTATGGCATGGTGGCAAGATTGAAGGTGTTATTAATGACGACCAAAGAATTTTCCCAAAATGAGAATTGAACTTAGAAATGCACTGATTTCTATTTCAACTATGCATAAAAAGGTTTTAGAAGAAAAGTAAAAAGGAGAAGAAGACATGGAGAATCTGTAAATAAAGCTTTGTCTCATTGTATTCATTGCAAAATCCAACGAAATTCGAACTTCTCTTCATTGTGTTTGCAGACGTTTGATTTCACTCTGAGAAAACCAAGTTTTGATTCATCAAAAAAATAAAAAAACGAAGTGTTCGAGGTTGCTTCTGCGTCAAGACAACCAAGCTCATGATCAGTGACCAACTGATCCAAGGTTCGAGTACTGATATATCATTCTTCTCCATCATGCAAGTACCTTAGAAAATGAGATGGGATTGATACAAGAAAATGTGATTTGATGATTGATGGTCTCGTCTTTTTAATTATGTGTTTAACAATTCTATACTAATTGAAGAAAGTAAAACCTCTATACGATCACTAGAGGCAACGAAGATCAACAATCGACATACTAAATTCGTCTCTCTAATTGGACTTTTTTGAAGCTATATCTTTCAAAAGGACAACTATTAGGAAAAATCACATGCCACCACTGCTCTTGCATCCGCAATAAATTCAGCAATGGAAGCCGACGAAGAGCCATCATCCATCAGCGCCTTCTTGATATCCTCGCTAAACTTCTTCAGCCTCTCCTCCCTCGAGCAATCTCTCTCCATCAACCTCCTGACACCTCTCTCGATTTCTTCCGCCGCCACGATTTCTCCGTTACGATAATCTATCTTAATCTCAGTGGCTATCTCCAGCTCGTACACCAATAGGTACGCGTTCAGCTTCTGCTCTGCGTACATCGGCCACGTCGCCATCGGCACCCCGAACCACAGGCTCTCCAGCGTCGAGTTCCACCCGCAGTGCGACACGAACCCTCCCACAGCCTTATGAGCCAAAATGATCGTCTGTGGGGCCCATCCCGTCACCCTCCCAACCTCTGCGGTCCGATCCACAAACCCCTTCGGCAGAACTTCCCTGACGTCCTCGTAGTCCGTTGGGCCGGCCCGCGTCCCCTCCGGCCCAGGCCTGCGCAGGACCCACAGAAACCTCAGCCCACTGGCCTCCAGCCCATTGGCGATCTCTAACACTTGTTCCTCGCGGAACGCCCCCATGCTCCCGAAGCAGAGGAACACCACCGACGACTCCGGTTGCCGGTCCAGCCACTCAATCGCCTCCTCCTTCTTCTTCGTTCCTCCGCCGCCGGCGTCGGCCTTCAAGTTCAGAATGGGTCCCACCGGATACACTTTAGGGAAGGCCAGAGAATCCACCGCGCAGGATTCCAGCTCCCTCACCGTATTGACCAAAATGCCCCTGGCTCGCCGGAAAACTCGGGCGATTCGGTACAGCAGTTGGAGCCATTCCTTGTTGACGATGTTGGACGGGAAAGCCCAGCGCGGAATCGGGCGGGCCCAACTCGGGACCGCCAGCTCGGTCCCCTCGAACTCAGCGATTTCGAAACCCTCCTCGTCGTGCAATTGCTGGATGTGGCTGATGAAGCCGAGATCGGAGGCGGCGGAGGTGAAGAAAATGTAGTAGGGGACGCCGAACTCGTCGGCCAATTCGGCCATCGAGGTGCAGAACATGTCTAGGACGAGCCCGGCGAGTCGGGCGCCTTCGGGGGAGCGGCCGATTGCGGCGGAGACGGCTTCTCTGATTTGGGGCTTTCGTGCTTCGATCTTGGCGAAAACGCTGCCGGCGGCGGCGGCGGGGGGTGGGTTCTCGTCGGTGAGGTGGATAAGCGTGATGCGAGGGGCGGCGGGGTGGGGGACGGCGGCGGTGGAGGTGGTGGTGATGATTAGGACGGAGATGGAGAGGGCGGCGTGGCGGTCGGCGAGGAGGTTGGCGAGCTCGACCATGGCGGAGAGGTGGCCGGCGCCTGGGGATGGTATGAAGACGAGGTGGATCTGCTGCGGTTTCTCTGCCATGTTTAAGCGGTGGAGCTTGTGATGATGTTGATACGCTTCCGGCGACGGCGAAATCGCGGTGTTTGGTTGTGGGGAGCTAAATATAGGAAGGGAGATTTGGTTGTTGCCTGTGGGGATCTAAATATTGTTAAAAAAGATTTGGTTGTTGTGTGATTATTTGTTCTACGTTTTTTTTTTATTTACAAGAGACTCTGCATTAACCCAAAATCCACCAAATGTTATAGAAGCAGATGATTTTTTGGCCTGAGATATGGCCATCCAGTTATTCTTTGTTCTACGTCACGTGTAAGTTTTTTCGTGTTGCCTAAATAGTGTTTTCCAATTCGTGACTCAAAATACTCTTGAAACGATAGTATATTTATCATGGTTATGTTCATATTTTGTAACTTTTGTGGGTACTTCTATGGTTTGAAAAATATAGGTGTGGTCTACTCAATATTATCAAGAAGTTTTCCAAAATACAATTTATACTCGCAACTTTGGGGTTAATTGCATGGTTGGTTACTGAGATTACAAAAAACGTTAAAGTTTAGTCACTCGAAATATTTAAATTCATTGGTGATACTTATTATTAAATTGCCACGTCACACATTCAACGGTCAACTCTTAACAACATTGTATATGTATCAGTGACTCCACTGCCTCCACCATTAGTAGGGTCTTTGTTATTTTCCTCATTTCATTGCTAACAAATTTGAAGGCAAAACTAATGTAAATATGAAACACATTATCATGCAAAATAGTTTACCTTATCCAAATCATTTGCAATAATTGTTGGAGATGTGAACTTTCCATCTTTGATTATCTTTCAAACTATGAATTTACTCATGAGATTAGTAATTTTCCCTTGTCAATTATGTGATTTTCAATATATTAGCTCAATTTTTAGAAAAAAAGAAGGTGGATTACTTCTTCCACCACTATTTTGGAATAGTTTCTCAGTATCATGTAACTTAATAAAAATCTTAGTCCTGTGCAGTTCAAAATTACAAAGTCAGGTTCAACTTTTTCTTTCACAACATGAAGTTAGATTGAGCTTCCCTATTCAATCAATAGTATAATTACATATGTCCCAAACCTTCCACCAATGCAATATTACTTGTCTTCCACTTTATAATTGTAACACGTCTTTTTGTACTCCCATGCCTAAATAACTCCATTATTTTGCTCAATGTAGTCAAAATCGCGCTTTAAAACTTAAAAACTTACGATTTTACGTTTTTACATCACTAAAACACTTTTACACAAAATCTCAGTTTTATAACTTATGTAGTTAAAAACTCCGCTTTAAAACTTAAAAACTTACGATTTTACGCTTCTAGATCACCAAAACGTTTCTACATAGAAACTCGCTTTTGACTACATTAATTTTGCTACCATATAACCCATATAATTAAATAAGTTAATTTACTGCCTTATAATTTAACAATAATAAAGTTGTAAATAGTTTCTCAGCATCATGCCTCCACCATCAAAAGTGTCTTGCTCATTCTCCTCATTTCATTGCTATCAAACTTGAAGGCAAAACTTATGCAAATATGAAACAACATTATCATCATGCAAAACAAATTTACCTCATCTCAGTCATTTGCAATAATTAGTGGAGATGTGTTCTTTCTCATCTTTTATTATCTTTCAAACTATGAATTTACTCATGATATTTGTAATTTTTCACTGTCATTTATGTGATTTTCATTCCATTAACTCAATTTTTAGAAAAAGAGGTGGAGGATGTGCTCTTCTACCAGTATTTTGTAAATAGTTTCTTAGCATCATGAAACTCCAAATAAATTCTTAGGCCTTTGTATTTCAAAATTACAAAGGTCGGTTCAACTTATTTCTTCACAACATGAAGTTAGATTGAGATTCACTATTCAATTCAATAGTATAATTACATATGTCCAAAACCTCCACTCTTGCAACAATAGTTGCCCTCCAGTTATAATTGTAACACGTCTTTTCGTACTCTCATGAATAATACCCTATTATTTTCCTACCATATTACCCTTATAATTAAAGAAGTTAATTAAGTTTCATGTAAAAGATGTTATTTTAGGTAATGTGTGTTGAAAATTCTTACACAAGCCATTACAAAAATGTCATGAAAGAGGGACGACAATTTTGACATAACTCATATTATCCGATCTATTTGACATGTGTTAAAGTGGGCAATACATACCCCTTATGGGGCGGGCGGGTGTGATTACTCTTCTCGACCTCATTGATCCTGACATCCTCCATGATCAACCCATTTTTTTCTAAATTTTATATAGTTTTACTTAGATTGCTTAGGGTTGTGTTTTTATTGCCTTATAATTTAGCAATAATAGTGTCTCAGCATCATTCCTTCACCATCAAAAAGGTTTTTTTCATTCTCATTTCATTGCTAACAAATTTAAAAGCAAAACTTATACAAATATGAAACATCATTATCATCCAAAATAAAGTTACCTCATCCAAGCCGTTTGCAATAATTGTTGGAGATGTGTTCTTTCCCATCTTACGATTTACACGAAAACCGCCACCCCACCTTACGATTTACACGAAAATCGCTGGGTGGAGGCGTGGTTTTCGACAAAAACCGCTAGGTTACGGGGCATTTTTTGTTTAAACCGCGGGGTGGGGTGGCGGTTTTTGAAAAAGGGTGATATTTTAGGAATTTTTTTGGGTTGGGTGGTATTTTTGTAATTTTTTTAAACATTGCTATTTCGGGAAAAAGTCCAATTTTTTTTTTGTAGATAACGAAAAAGAGAGCAAGAGCAAACTTACTCGAGTGATGTAGTCACTTTGGACAGCCAATCATCATTCGTGATCAATCTTTTTAAGATCTTTGTTGGGTCCTTACAATCTTTTACCTTCGACCCCTTACGTTCTCCCAATCCCATGAACCTCACCTTGACTTTAGTAGGGTCGTTTGAATTCTGAACGACCACATTTAGCTGTCCCTTAGGATCCTTCTTGCTCCAACTCAGATTGTCGTGTGACTCAAGGTGTGACACATGAAGCTCATGGAGAGCCTTCAATGTGAGCCTACACAGCGGAAAGATACAAGACAATACATTAGGTATGAGTATAATTTGAGTATATAACATATTAAAAGGAGAAATAGTTACCTGATCGCCCGTATGAAGTTTTGATTTGCAGTAAGCAGCTGTCCATCCACTACTAGCTTCTCCAAATATTCATCTAAATTAGAATCATATTCGTGATAGATGTAGAGCCATCTCTTATCTTCCTCTATCCTGAATAAACTGAAAACAAGTTGTTGGTTTTCAAAATCTCTCGACCTTGCCAGAGCAAGATCCTCTGTGAACAAGATAAATATTATCTTTGGGTACGTTTCGAACTCGAACATGCCCAATGTTACGCATATAAGCCCTGAAACACTGAAGTCCAGTAGGAAATGGTGTGATGGTTTCTCTAGATTCCCGCGGGAGCTGGACCAATGATAAACCATGTTGCGGCTAACGGAGAGGGGTGGAAATGCTACCTCTTATCGTAGCATTTGCATATGATCTCCCCAATGCCCGCAAACACAACAATTATTGAATTTGAAAACTATGCAGAACTATCATTGAAAACAAAGAGATAGTAACTAAACTATCAGGACACAACTTTGGATGTAACCAGTGTATTGATAACCTTATCAATTCATTCTGAATGCACACAAGTCTGACCAGACATTTTTTAAATTTCATACACCATACACTGTTTATTGGGCCATCAACTAAGAATTACCAATAACAAACTCTTATATATCGCATAGTGCCAATAACCAAACCAAATGAGAAACTTTGCAATCTAATCATACAACAAGCTTAAAAAATGCAGACGCAATTAAATATCTTAATATCTGAATCAAGTACACAAATCATCTCATAGTACCAAAAAACTACTCAAATAATCAAACCACATGATCAAACTTCAAATCGCAATCGGTAGCAAAATACAAGACATTTGTGTCATACGCTATACCTGGGGCTCTGGCGGGTTCATTCACAATCTGGACACGGAATCTCAAATTAGCTACGTGGAATGAGCGTCAATATGACCTGATACGAATTAAAAAATAGTCAAACAACGGGGGTGCATAAAGTAATCTAACATATACGCTATACCATTATAACTAACCCACAAAGCCTTAAGCTTATAAAAAGAACCCATCTCTACAAAGTTCCAGGACACATGCAATTGAGGTACAAATAAAATTGAGGTACAAAAAGAACCCATCTCTACAAAGTTCCAGGACACATGCAATTGAGGTACAAATAAATATGATTTGATGGAGGTTCTACATGAGAACTCCCACAATTCAATTTTTCCTATTTTCACCGCACAGTACGAAAAGACTATTTAGTCTTTTATATATTTGGGTTGTTCTGCTAGTAATTGATGGTTTAATAAACAAATAAAATTGAGGTACATATAAATAGCTGTTTAATGGTTAATGCTACAAAAAACAATAGCAGCTTAATAAAAATCGCATTATTTTTTTTATTCAACCTCCACTATTTAATTTTAGCTGCCTATCCTTGCATCAATCCTCTAGGAATGGCAATTGGGATAACATGATAAAATATAGTTAATCTAGATTCTCAATTATTTATAACTTTGTTATTGTTAAATTATAACACATTTTAAATAAAATCCTAATTAATCCGAGTAAAATTTTATATGATTTAGACAAAACAAGTCAAGGATGTCAGGATGGGTGAGGCCGAGAAGAGTATTCATACCCGCCCGCCATCATGAGGGGTAGGTGTTGTCCACTTTTAAACACACAAAATAGATTAGACAATATGAGTTAGGTTAAAATTTCATCCCTATTTCATGAGATTTTTGTAATGGCTTATGTAAGAATTTTACCATCTTTTACATGAAACTTATGTAACTTCTATAATTATAGAGATTATATGGTAGCAAAATAATGAGGTTATTTATACATGGGAGTACAAAAAGACGTGTTACAATTATAAAGTGGAGGGAAAGTATGTTGTAAGGGTGGAGGATTTTGGGCAAATGTAATTATACAATTGAATTAAATAGTGAATATCAATCTAACTTCATGTTGTGAAGAAAAAAGTGGAACCGGACTTTGTAATTTTGAAGTGCAAAGGACAATATTTTCTTTTGGAGTTGCATCATGCTGGGAATCTATTTCAAATTAGTGGTAGAAGAGGACATCCTCCTCTTTTTCTTAAAATTGAGGTTAGTGAAAAACACATAAATGACAATGGAAATTACAAATCTCATAAGTGAATTCATAGTTTGAAAGATCATCACAGATGGGAAAGAACACATCTCCAACAATTATTGCAAACGGCTTGGATGAGGTAACTTTATTTTGCATGATAATGATGTTTCATATTTGTATAAGTTTTGCTTTCAAATTTGTTAGCAATGAAATGAGAATGACAAAAACCTTTTTGATGGTGAAGGAATGAAGCTGAGAAACTATTATTGCTAAATTATAAGGCAATAAAAACAAAATCCTAAGCAATCTAAGTAAAACTATATAAAATTTAGAAAAAAATGGGTTGAGCATGGAGGATGTCAGGATCAATGAGGTCGAGAAGAGTTATCACACCCGCCCGCCCCCATAAGGGGTATGTATTGCCCACTTTAACACATGTCAAATAGATCGGATAATATGAGTTATGTCAAAATTGTCATCCCTCTTTCATGACATTTTTGTGTAAGAATTTTCAATACACATTACCTAAAATAACATCTTTTACATGAAACTTAATTAACTTCTTTAATTATAAGGGTAATATGGTAGCAAAATAACGGGGGTATTATTCATTAGAGTACAAAAAGACGTATTGCAATTATAACTGGAGGGCAACTATTGTTGCAAGGGTGGAGGTTTTGGACATATGGAAATATACTATTGAATTGAATAGTGAATCTCAATCTAACTTCATGTTGTGAAGAAATAAGTTGAATCGGTCTTTGTAATTTTGAAATACAAAGGCTTAAGAATTTATTTGGAGTTTCATGATGCTAAGAAACTATTTACAAAATACTGGTAGAAGAGGACATCCTCCACCTCTTTTTTTAAAAAAATGAGTTAATGGAATGAAAATCATGAGTAAATTCATAGTTTGAAAGATAATAAAAGATGAGAAAGAACAGATCTCCACTAATTATTGCAAATGACTGAGATGAGGTAAATTTTTTTTGCATGATGATATTGTTGTTTCATATTTGCATAAGTTTTGCCTTCAAGTTTGATAGCAATGAAATGAGGAGAATGAGCAAGACCTTTTTGATGGTGGAGGCATGATGCTGAGAAACTATTTACAACTTTATTATTGTTAAATTATAAGGCAGTAAAAATAAAATCCTAAACAATATATCTTAGTAAGTTATATATAATTTAGACAAAAACGGGTAAAGAAGAGTACTCATACCCTCCCTCCCTAATCCCTATAAGGGGTAGGTATTGTCCAATTTAAACCAGGTCAAATAAACCGGATAATATGGGCTAGGTCAAAATTATCATTTCTATTTCATGAGATTTTTGTAATAGCTTATGTAAGAATTTTAAATGCACATTACCTAAAATACCATCTTTTACATGAAACTTATGTAACTTATTTAATTATATTGGTTATATGGTAGCAAAATAATGGAGTTATTTAGGCATGGGAGTACAAAAAGACGTGTTACAATTATAAAGTGGAGGACAAGTAATATTGCATGGGTGGAAGGTTTTGGACATATGTAATTATACTATTGATTGAATAGGGAATCTCAATCTATCTTCATGTTGTTGAAAGAAAAATTCAAACATAACAAGAAATCAGATTCCATTTCAACCAAAATCAAACTCCAAAGCTAGTTCTAACAACTTAGGCACTCAACATCTCAATCCAAAATTCCAAATACACATAAATCTTAGGAGTTTCAAGATTCAAACAAAACAGAAAAGACACAGCATGAATTGATAGCAATTCTGCAACAAGTCTAAAATCTTCCAAAAACAGCAGCCAACTTCAATTTTTTTTGTAAACCTTGCACTTGCAGCAACTCAATATTCAGCAATCAGCGACACTCCTCCTAGTCCTCGAATTCAAGCCTGGCAAAGGGACAATGTATTAAAACATGATGTCAGATTGATCATCCAATCATCCTCCAATGTATCCATTTTTTTACTAGGCTAAAATAGTGTTCTCGGACGTACCTTATCCATCTCATGCACCTCATCATCTGAAGAATCAGATTCATCATCCTCCAAATGATCCACTGTTTAATAAGTAAGCATATTGCACTTAACAAGTAACAATGATGAACTTTGACAAGCAGTAGCAATTCCGTTAACAAACAAGCACAAACACATTCGCATTATAATTCAACCTAAGAGCAAGAATTCCATATCCTAAACAGATTCACAATAGTACAAATTGCTGACAAATATAAGTGTAAAGAGTAAGAAAAGTTACCAACTGAACCATCTAACAACCAGCTTTGGGCACACATTAAGGCTTCAACAGTCTCCGGGCTAAGCCTATTGCGTTGAGGACTAATGATCCTCCCACTTGTACTGAAGGGTGACTCTGAAGCCACTGTTGAAGCCGGAATAGCCAGAATATCTCTAGCAAATTTGTGCAGAATAGGATATTTTCCCTTATTGGACTTTCACCAAGACAAGAGATCAAAATCAGCAACACTCTTAATGAGCTCGTCCTCCAAATATGCATCAAGCTCTGATCTGGATGGCCGTTTCCTTTTCTTGCTAGACGCATACGAGTGAAACTCCAAAGCAAAACTGTCTTCACAATCATTTGCTTCAGAGCCGCCCCCATTAACACCATTCCCTTGTTCCTCCTCTCTTTCTTTCTCCTCATACTCAACAACCCGTTGGTGGCATAATCCAAGAATGCGCTCTACCTCATGCCCATTGTGCTTATCATAAATTTTAGGAAAATAGAACTGCAGCACCTCATGCTTAAATCTTGGATCAAGAACGACAGCCACTCCCATCAAATCATTCACATCCAACCAATACTTGTTGAACTTCTCTATCATATTTAAGGCCATCAATTCAATGGTTGTAATACCACAAACAGACCACTTGTTCAAAGCTAGTTTAATCTCACAAATGACAGGGAAAAATAGGTTTGCAGTAGGATATTGACTGTCTGAGAACAGATTAGTAGCTCAGATTTTCAACCTACTGCAAATTTCCCTTGTCATTTCCCAGTCTTGTTCAGTAGGCACATTTTTATACTTTGGCTCTCGGCGTTTCAAACGATAAAAGACATCTTTGTATCCCATTGCAGTATCAAGCATCAAGTAAGTCGAATTCCAGCGAGTATCACAATCGAGAATCAGTTTCTTACCATTCACAATGTTAAGTTGGGCGGCTGTCTCTGCAAACTTTTCGACCCTCTTTGGTGTTGCCAACCAGAACTGACAGCTACTACGTATGCTCTCAATTGAATCTCCAATGACTTTAAGCCCTTCCTTCACAATCAGATTGAGGATGTGTGCACAACAACGCATGTGGATCATAGAACCACCAAGCAAAAAGGAATCTGTGGCTGTTGGAAGCTTCTCCAAAAGTAAGGCCATCATTGCATCATTGGCTGAGCAATTATCTACGGTGATTGACGATAATTTCCTGTCTAGGTTCCAATCCAACAGACACTTCACCAAAGCTTCGCAAAGAGCTTCGCTAGTATGGGGGGGCGGGCACATAAATGAATCTACAAAAATTGAAAAGAGTAAACCGAGTAAGCAAACAGAATAAGACAGCAAGCAAACAAAAATTAAACTACAACTCTACAAGATACCTGATAATCCGGCTATGTAGATTCCACTGGTTGTCGATGAAATGAGATGTGATTGCCATAAATCCCTTCTTTTGGTGAGTAGATGTCCACATGTATGTGGCAAATGCCAGCCGGCCTTCATTCTTATCAATGATCTTCTTCGTATCTGCCTTCTCAAGGTCAAAAATGTTCAAGCAATCCTTTTTAATGGTTTTTCTGCAGACCATCTTAAAGCAAGGATTCAAACTATTACAAAAGCTTTTGAACCCTTCATGATGGACGATGGAAAGAGAGTACCCATGCTTTAGAATGGCCTTTGCAAGTTCTTGTCGAGAGTTTCGCTGATCGAAGTTGTAAGGCGAGAGTTGAAACCCTTTGTCCTTGTTCAAGTTGGCTTGAAGTAGTTGTTGCCTTAAATCTGGGACATTTTTCTTGGGACATCTTTGGACATGCTTTTTGAGGTGACTAGTCCCATGCCTTTGTTCTCCAAGGAGCAGTTTCTTGCACAACTTGCACTTGGCCTTTTTCAAGCCTCCAACAGTTACTCTATCAAAATATCCCCACCATTGAGAGTAAGTCTTGTTGTTTCCACCTTTGGCATCTTCCTCCCCTTGTGCAGTCTCATTTGGATTGGGTTGTACTTGAACTTGTACAACCTCATTCGAATTTGGTGCAACTTCGACAACATTTGGAGTTGTAGAAACTTGTGGGTTCTGAGATGCAATAGGGGCAACAACAGCTGATGGAGAACCACCATGGGAAGAAGTATTCCTACTGGAATTTCCTTGGACTCCCATAGTTTTTACTGCAACAAAATACGACTGCTATTGTTAGCGTGATAGTGTAATTGATTTGGAAAAACTATAAAAGCCTCATGAGAGTTTGAGAGAGGTAAGTAAACTTGTGAATCATGATCAATTACCTGCCCTTGACCGAGATTTGAGAAGATGATTAGAACAGCTTCAAGCAACTGACGAGAAGTACTGAACGCCTATGGCTCTGAGTGACTCGAGCAAAGACAGCTTTAACAAAGCAATCCTCAACTAGTTGGCTTAGAGTTACAGGGAAGAGCAATCAGAGATTCTATTTATCTATGGAAACTGACATTGGAATGGGGATGGAGGAAACAAAACGGTAACCTATGAATAGGAGATGGAGAAGGAAATCGAAATCTGATAGGTTGAATTCATGATGAATTTTCTTCGGGAAGCCAAACATCTCGCTGGCTGAATGAATTCTTCTTGGTGTTGAGGATGGAGGGTTAATGATGGAGTAAATGGAAGAGGAGAGGGGAAGAGTCGGATGCCTGCAGAGGTTGCTGGGGATTGGGATTTTGGATTGGTTGTTAATGGGAAAGGGAAGGGGAAGATCGATAGACGAAAGGGCTAAGGAACGGGGCGGGGCAGGGGTTATACTTATACCCAAGCCCGGACTGGCCTGTGAGCGGGTCGGGTCAAGACCCGCCCCATCTCAAACGGGCCAGGTTTTATCCGTCCCTATGCGGGCTCGGCCGGGTTAGGCTCAAAGTCCCTAGCCTAGCTGTGGAGGAGGTGAACCCTACTAGGGTTCTATAGGCCAAACGACAACAGTAGACGCGTTTGGTTACGCCCAGCTGCCTACTAGGGTTCAAGATAAAAATTTAGGGTAAATTGCAAGTTTGATCACTGAAATTACTATGAAATTTTACTTTTGCCACTAAAATTAGTTCATTCTATTTATGGTCACTAAAATTAGTTTAACATTTCTAGTTTGATCACTTTTCGTTAGTCTCCATTAAGTTTATATGATGTGGCAGTCAACACTGAAGGTTAACTGTTAAATAAGTGACGTGATAATTAAAAAAATAAAATAAAATATTTTAAAATTCCACCTCATTCTCCCAATAAATTGCAATGATTTTATAAATATAAACTTTAATTATATTGATTTTTTGTTTTATGTATTTTGTAGTTTCCTATCCGCCAATAATAACCAAATTAAAAAGCCACCATCGTCCTCAATCCCATTCCAATCCCCAATCTTCTCCCATCCACCTTCGTTCCCAGAGGCCAGAACCAGCTTTTCCCACCATCGTCTTCAACTCTCCTCAAGATCGCCGACACCATGAGCTAGCTCTCAAGGACCACAAATTCGTTCAGTCTCTCTTAGAAGCTCCGCGCCATCACAGAAGAAATGTTGCTTTTAGAAGAAGTAGCAAAACAAATCTCTATAATTCATACATTACAAGGTTTATACACCAAAAGTTTACAATAATCTGGCAGAAATCAAGCTTTGTTCAAGAGTGAAAAAATAAACAAACTGCAAACTAGCCACAAGCCCTACTCTAATGAACAAAATCTGCAGAAAGGTTTGAGCATATTTTTTTTCAATGATGAATTACAACATACAAGCCGCTCTATCCTAAAAGAAAATAAAGAACCCATCTACAACAAACCAGCCTCATGCTGAAAGGAAAGGCTGGTTGAGGATGTATGTCTAAATGTGTACCATATTTTATGGTTTCTTTGGTAAGAATGTTACACCATTGACATCTACCTAAGGAGGTTCTTGTTTCCACAACTAGCCAAATCCGCCTAATAAGAATCTGTAGATGGATCAAAACCAAATCAAACAGCTAAATGCATCCTGTACCACATTTACGAGTTGATATTATTGCTCGACTTCTAAACGAGGGGGCGCGGTTGGGACTCGGCGTACAAACTGCCCTTTCACCCTCGGGCGCTGCTCAGCAAGCATTTTCCTACTCTCATATCGAACCTGTATGAATGTACAAGCCTTGCATCAGCAAAAATGCTCTTTAAATGACACTTGATAGTTGATAGAGTAGAACCTCTAAAGAGTATCAATCAAGCTGGGAGGTGTTTATACCTTTTTATCAAAGCACCTTTCTTTACGCTTCAGCCGGAATTTGGCCAGAGCAGCTTCTCTTTGGACCGATCGAGTAGAGCTTTTGACATGTGTGAAGGAACCTGCTCCTCCTCCTTCATTGTTGTTGCACTCTGTTTCAGCCTTGATCATGGCGCCTTGGTCCACATCACTATTACTTCCACAAGTGCTTCCGTAGCCGCCCATGCTGTTGGTATAGCTTGCACCACCACCACCATCGCACAAACTGCTGCTTGAACTCTGGTCAGGCTTAGCGGTATGGCCCTGCTCTTCCTCTGAAGACCCCGACCTCTTGTCCTGATTTTGCGGGGTTTCATTGGTCGAGTCACTAGCCTGACTCGACTTAACAGGAGTTTCTAGGCGGTTGGGTGAGCATGGACTCTGTGGTGGTGATGCATCATCGACTGACTGTTCACGTTGAAAGGGAGGAAACATGGAACTAAAGCGATGGTCCTTTATGTCATGTTTCCTCATCCCACATACTAGATCTTGGGTTCGAAGTACATTCTGCTGATGAATTGCATTTTCTGTTGCAGGTTCTGTGACTTGAACATCTGGTGGAGAGATGCTCCTCCCAGGTGATGGACCATCGGTATCAGTAATTCCCGAACAGTTCCGGTCTAAATCAGCTGCAAGTTCCTTTGGGTTGGATACAGTAGCAGATTCTGAATGTTGGAGGTATAGTTGCTTGCCAGTATAACTGCAGAATCATAGTTTATTTCCATCAGTTAAAAAGAGTAAGCGCACTCACTCAAAAAGGGAATGAACAGACTGGTTGCAGGCTAACCGTGTGAAGGATGAGGCATTAGAATGCCCAAGACTGTTTTTTCCTTCTGCAGGCTGAATCTCGAACCCACCACGAAAAGAACTTCTTAAAGAGAGATCTAAACGCCCATATGTGTCAAACTCGCTTTTCATATGTGTTGAAGATATGTGCATTGGAGCTGCTCCCATGAAATCGATTTCCTCGCCAGTAACATTACCAACGCAAGCCTTGGAATCCATATCTACATTTGCAACGACATTGCCCAGTCTCATTCCATCAACATCCTCACATGCAGCTACTGTGAACGAAAATACAGAGAACATGAAACCATAATGTCAGTTTGTGCTTTTGAAACTGAATGGATATGATAAACCGCAGATGAAAATACACAAATGTTTATACCAGGCTGGTCCTCTTCAGAACCCACAGCATCCACATCCAGCATCGTGCAGGAGCTCTGCGACAGAAAGAAAATTACTTTTAAATAAGCAGCTAAGACATTTGATGACAGTAGATTGAATATTCTAAAAGGAGTCTGGCATAAGTGGGAGAATTTCGTTTACGCACAGAACACTACAACAGTTGCAGTTTTATCTAAACTTGAACAAGATTTGAAACCCTCTTAGCACTCAGTTCATGCACCAAGCAATTACAAGGTACATACATACTCATCCAGCATTAGTTCAATGTATCCAAATTCAACAACAAAACAGATAAAGTTGGATACTTTATCACAGTGAAGTACACAAAAAGAAAACCACCTATGAAATCAAGCAGCAAAAGCACCAACCTGTGTGTCACTGCCCTTCTCAGCACACTCCTTGTTTCTCTGAGAAAAAGCTCCATCACCACTCAAACATTTACTTGCAGCATTATGTTCACAAGCAGGCTCTAGCTTATCTTGGACAGCATCATTGTCCTTCATGCCGATCTCTCTCCCAAGCAACTGAATTCACAACCAGAAAATCAATCAATACATGTCTTGAGAAAAACACAAACAAACAAACCATGTCTAGCAACAACATGGAAGCATGAAACATCTCTTGCAAGATTTGTGAGCATCATTACCTTTTGTCTTCTCCACACATGCTGCCACAAATTTCCAAGCTCGTTTCTTCTTATAGGCTTGATAAGATAGTCAGCCGCACCTTTCATCATGCACTTGTATACCGTGTGAATCGAGTCCTCCGTCGACATCACTGCCAAATCGCACACTGCGTTTAAAGCTTGAATCGAAACACATCTAGTCATAAGAAAGCTTGAGTTTTCGAATTGACATACTTATGACCGGGATGTTCTTGCATATCTCATGATCCATTATTAGCGAAAGAAGAGCATATCCCGATACAGCAGGCAGATCAACTTCAGTCAAGATTAGGTCTATCTCATTTGGCTTTCCTTTCAGCACCTCCCACGCTTTCAACCCATTGGGAACTGCCGCAACTGCTCAATCAAGCAGAAAAGGGAACATCAGAGTCTGTTAATTAGAAAGCAGAACAAACGGATTGAACAGATTTCAAAACTGGATCCGCTACCGACACTGAAGAAACTGGCAATTGGCACAAAAAAAAAAAACTTTCAAGTGAAGGGAAGGAGAATAAAAAAATCACCTCTGAAACCGCACTTCCTGAGAAGAGCGGAGATGATCTGCCGAGTCGAATCGTCGGACTCCACCAGCAAAACTCTCAGCACCATCGGCGACAACTTCTTCTCCAATCCCGCCGCCGAATCGTTGCTCCTCCGATCACAACCTCCCTCGCTCTCGCTCTCAACCTCTACAATCTCTCCTTCTCCGTTTTCCTCCATCCTCTGCTTCTTCAAAACCACCTCTCCTTCTTCTCCTCCTCCACCGCCGCCGCTCCAGCTAGTACTGGTCGCCGATTCTTCCGTTCTGTCGATCTCCTTCCGGCTCCTCCGCTGCGCCATATCTCGCTCCGGTGGTCGTCGTTTGGTCAGATAAGGGGAAATGAAAAATATGAAATCCTTCCTTCCGAGTTTTCTCGGTTCTTAATAAGCTGCCTAAATTGAAGGGGGAACAAATGCGGATCGAGATAAAGATCTTCAAAAACCCACGGGATCGGACGGTGGAGACCGCGTCTGCCTGCTTTACAACGGACGGCTGTGGGCGATTTGGCGCGGGGAAAATATCTAGGATTCGCGAGAGGGACCAGAGCGTGCCACGTGGTGTATTTGGGTTGGGCAGGTGTGGGGCCCGGTGACTCATTTGGTGGCTCTCCTTTGCTCTCATTTGTGGTCGGAATTTGAGACTTTGTAGAATAAAATATGCATTTTAATGAATTTTAAAATGTAAATATCAAAGGCCAGAAAGTCAGAAAATAATAAAATAATACCTAATTGGGATTTGTCGTTTCGCGGTCCAGCTGGATGACACGTTTGATTTTATATTGGGAGGTCGAGAGAGAGTCTCGCAGGTTCAAGAAAGAAATCTCAAGGGTGGGTTTGGAACTTTGGATATTTTTTTGTAAGCAATAGGAAAGCAAGGGAAAAAGATCTTTTAAGCCACTTGGTAACATAGGCCTCATCATTGATACTAAATCTTATCATTTTGACATGAAAAAAATTACAGTCTTAATATTTAATATGATACATATCAAGGTGGTCGGATTTCGTATTAGCGTGACTTTGGTCAAAATAATATTCCAATTCAAAAGTAATTTTCTAATTCAAAATTACTGTCGCAACGATCTATCGGGATTATGAGTCAATGACCCACCTAACATTTCGTTTCATTCTTTTATAAATGTCTTGACAAGAAACTACGAGAATAACAAACATATATGATCAGACGATGGTAATGTAAGACTTGAAATTTGCAAATAAAGATGATGATTGAGATGATGATTTTAGAGAGGACAGGTTAATTATGAAATTTGATTAGTAAAATTATAACACGGTAATATAGGAGAAAATTTTTCATTTATGAAAAAACTTTTCGGTCTACATTTTGATACAAAACTCCGATCATATCACCGCTCGATCCTCTATATCTATCTCTCAAAGAGCATCACAAGGATCCTACCACTAATCATATCAAAGAGTCAGCATCTACGATCAGATTGATGATCACTTCCAAAAAGATTAACAAATGAAATTTGTGTACATATATATATATATATATATAATTTATCTAAGCTAAGCTAAGCTGTTAGATGCAATGAGAAGCTACGGCGTATGAATATAAAGCACACGGCAGAGTAAGGCTCTCTATCATTACTGAGAATCGCTCACGTCAGTTAGTAGCAGACTAGCAGGCAAGCCAATTATCTGGACACAGTCCTCACTCGGGTTCCAATGGCGCAGCCTCAACTGGCGCCTGACGAACAAACTGCCCTTTCACTCTAGGACGCTGCTCGGCCAGCTTTTTCCTGCTCTCATACCGGACCTGCAAGTAAACATCACCATATTAGCTTCTGAGCACTGAGCAGAATCTAATGGTGTCCACATGAATAGAGGGAGGCAGTATTAGTGTGTACCTTCTTCTCAAAGCATCTTTCTTTGCGCTTCAATCGGAATTTGTTAAGGGCGGCTTCCCTCAGCATCGACCGATGATGGGAGTTTGGGATGTGGGTGAAAAGCCCTTCTACATTTTGGCTATCCGCTGCTGCTCCTCCGTTCACCATCCCAACTTGATCAGCATTGCTCATGCTCCCGGAAGTGCTTCCATAGCCCATGCTGCTGTACATGCTGCTGTTGAAATGATTCACAGCACCATTGCAGAAGCTGCTGCTTCCGCTTTGATCGGTCGCAGAAGACACGTGCCTCCAATCCTCCTGTTTGTGGTCCTGCTTTTGCAAAGTTGTAAGGTGGGGTTCCTGGTGACTTGCTGAACATGGACTTGGCAGTTGTTGTGATGGAACTGACTGTTGCTTGGAGATGAAAGGAGGGAACATGAAGCCTGGGTTTGAATCACTGTTCCTAACATCGTTAGGTGGAGTTTGGACTTGAAATAATACTCGTTGTTGAGGCATTGAGCTTCCAACTTCAGAATCTTTAGCCTGGGAAATAGGTTGAGATGCAGTCCTATCAAGACCTGCTGAGGCCGGAGTAGGAGAGGTAGATGTGTTGCCAACTACAACGCTGGAAAAGTTTCTTTCTGGATCGATTCCAAGTTCTTTCTGATTGCAGGCACTGGTTGAATGTTGGGTTTGCAATGACCTAGCGATGTACCTGCATCACCATTATTATCATCAGATCATAGGAAATTAAAAACAAAAACAAAGATTTTTACATAATAACACCTGCAAAAGAAGACATATAAGTGAAGGCTCAACTTACCGTGTAAAGGCTGAGGTAGTAGACTGTCTGAGCGAGTGTCTTTCTTCTGAAAGTTGAAGTGCCAGCTCACAAGAATGAGTACTTTTCAAGGAGAGATCCAAGTCTGGATAAGTTTCAAAATTGCTTCTCATGTTCTCCTGCGAGGATTTGTCAAGCGTAACTGCTCCCATGAAATCAATGCCTTCTCTATGAAAGTTGGCGCCATCAGTATCACAGGCCTCGGTATTGGCATCAGTACGTGTCCTCTCTGCGAAAGTGAAACCATGAATTTCAGTTCTGCTTCGCCAAACTGAATGGAGATAACTAGGCGAGACAAAATTGAGAAAATATTCATACCCTGGGCCTGGTTCTCATGGACAAGTAACCTCTGATTTGAACCTGCGCAGGCCTCATGTCTCTGGCAGCTAGTATCATCAAGGACCTGTTCAGCTCCAACTGGCTGTAAGAAGTCCTGCACCTTTCCACTACTCCCAGCTTCCGCACCTGGTTTTGTACAAGAGCTCTGCAAGAGAAAATAGAGAATTCAGTCTCCACAACAAAACCTGAATTCATTTAGTCAATGGATCATTCTTAGATTAGGTGTGATATTGTCCTTGCAGTGATTTAACATAGATCTAATGCTATTAATTGTCTCACAAACAAAAACCAACCTGTGCCTCACTCCCTTTCTCGACGAAATCCTTGTTCTTCTGGACACAAGGTACATCGCCAGTTGAATGGTTAACATTATTTTCAGATGTAGCCTCAGCCCTATCTTGGCCCACACTTTCATCCTGGGGCAAATTCTCTCTTGAAAGTTGCTGAAAAAAGAAAAAAAAAAAAAAAAAAGATTATTGATGCCTTGAAACAACTAGCCAGAGTTCCCAATCGAAAAACCATAAAAAAGAAAAAACTAGAACAATGTTGTGAGTTGGGAATTACAGTTTGTCTTCTCCATACATGCTGCCACAAATTTCTCAGTTCGTTTCTCCTGATAGGTTTAACAAGGTAGTCAGCTGCACCTCTCATCATGCATTTGTAAACCGTGCTGACCGAATCCTCCTTTGACATCACTGCCAAATCACACATACAATTTACCAAGTCAGCTTCTTTAGCCGGACACAAAAAGGTTATGCCATGTCAACAAACTTAGAGAGCCAGAATCGAGATTAGCTGTCATACTTATAACAGGAATGTTTTTGCAGATCTCATGCTCCGTCATTAGAGTGAGGAGAGCATATCCTGATATTGAAGGCAAGTCCACTTCTGTCAGAAGCAGGTCTATGTTATGGGGCCTCTCCTTTAGTAACTTCCATGCCTTCAATCCATCAGAAACCGCAGCAACTGCTCAAACAGAAACCAAAAGAAGCCTGCAGCGTTAAGCATTGGAGCATAGCAAACTATGCATTATGTGTACCAATTACATTTTTTCCCATTTCCAGGGTTTGCTTGTAGCTTCTTCTTCACCATAGTTGCAGCTAAACTTCTACATTTCCACCTCGCTCTTAGCTTTTAATTCCTCTTAAATGCTAGGCCTCGACAAATTATGATTTACCCTAATCTCCAAATGAAATTGATTCTACATCGGCTCCTCGGAATCAGTAGTAGCCGGAATCGCGAAACAGATAGCTTTGATTGGTATTAAGATCATTCAAATTAACAAATCAAATTATCACAGATAATCAATCTCGCATCAAACAAGAGGGGAATTCCCTCCGAGCTCGGAGGAGAGCTTGTTAGCTAAAGCATGAACCTAATTGAGTGAATCTAGAACAGTAATCACAGAGAGGGAAAGAGAGATAGACCAAACAGACAGACTGACTGACCTCTGTAACTGCATTTCCTGAGCAAGGCGGCAATAATCTGCCGCGTAGAGTCATCAGATTCAACCAGCAATACTCTCAACACCATCCTCGGCAGAAGCCTCTCCCATCTCACCATCAAACCATTATTACTCCTCGACTCGCCGCCGCCGCCGCCGCCATCATCAACTTCATTCATCGAGTTCTCGCCATTCATCATCTGCTGTTGCTGCTGCTTCTTCCTCCTCCTCTTCGACATCTGATTCCGATGCTGGTTTTCACTCTGAGTATCCTCCTCCTCCTCGGTACCTACTTCCTCCTGATTACCACCACTCCTGTTACTCTGCTTCTCCAACAATCCTCCTCCTCTTCCTCGTTCCATCTCTTCTTCCGCAGCTCGACTGCTGCTGATGCTGCAACTGGTCTCCAGTTCTCCCATCCCGCCGCGGCCGCCGATTCAGCCGTCTTCTTCTCCGGAAATAAATCAGAAACCGGCGGAGGGTTTTTTTTTTCTTCTTTTCCTTCTAATTCTCTTTTTTTCTTTTGTGGAGGTTCGTTTGAGCTTTGGCGTTTGGGGGAACATCATCTGCTTGGCCAAAAAGTAAAGGTTGGGAAGAAAAATATCTGGAAAAATATCCAGGGCCTCTAGAAATGAAGCGGAATCCGACGGCGGAGATCGGCTCAGCTCCAATCGCCCGCCTACTGCCCAATGGATGGCCGACAGCGTGCCACGCGAGCATCTGTTATTCTTTTTTCTTTTTTTGGCGGGGAAGGTTATTTTTTCTGGATAATTAAAGAAGAATTAGGAGGAATCGCTTCTTTTTTAATTAAAAAGATATTGTTTGGGCCGATGGTAATGGACTAATGGTGGACATGGACGTATGGTAGTAGCCCACGGCTTTCTCTTTTTTTTCTTTTCCGTTTATTCCTTTTGGTCTTTTATTTGTGAACAATGCTCAATCAACCACTAATAAATTATGTTTAATAGTCAATTAACCATCCAAAATCCAGAATATGCACAAGAAGTTAAGATTTAAGAATCAAGATCGACAATCTTTTCGGGAGCTAAAAATATGGTATTTAACAAATGACCTTATCGATGTTGATTTGGAACATGTCATTTATCTTTGTACCGTTAATTTGTCAAACTTGATATGAAATAGATGCAATGAGGTTGATCCATACTTAATAACCACATATACATGTGATGTATGTTAGACAATTCCAGTTATATCATTTAATTATGCCACTTGTTTTCCTATAATGCATGCGTCCTTTGGGGCATAAGATGACCACAACGAAAGGAAACATAATGTGGATGAATTCGGTCACTGGTTGTATTCCTGAATCTATCGGCCTGACTAGTAATGCAGTCTAATGAAGTCTTCATTAGAGGGGGCACGTAAAGGGTCGGAGGAACAGCTCGGTCTACCCTACAAGGAATTATACATAATCGTTATTTCGACTGAATCTGATCAACCATATATAAATTGAGTTGATTTTCGACTCTTGTAATCATACTGGAGTCGGTCCAAGTTGAACCAGATGAAACTTTTGACCTCTAGACGCATATTTTCACATAAATCCAACAATAATGTGCGTAGTTAAACATCGTGGGGCTGATTTGTTGAAACAAGATAGTACAAGGACTAATTCTACTAATAACCGCAAAAGCAAAATATAAATATCTTAAAGGAAAAAGGTGGGTCCGGAAGGCGATGAATGCCATGTCAGAAGGATATATACGCAAGTAAAGAGAATCAAAAGGTAGAGCCTCATTGGGTGGTTCTCCTTTCTTCTCCATCTGACTTTTGGCAACGAGCGAGTGGTCGTTATTTAAATCGTCATTACTATTCCTATCCCCCAACCATAAGCACAACCACTTTTCTTTCCATTTTAAAGAAAAAAATTAAATCAGGAGGATATCATGCTTATCAGCAGATAACCGTACGTGCTAATATTGTTGGATAATACGTCGTTGTGTTTTCGATTTTAAAATACACGTGAAATATGTAAATACATAAAATTATAATTGTATGCATTTTCGACATTTGAGATCTCAGAGTTTTTTAATCCAGTTACATCTCGATGCCTTGCCTCGCCAACGAAGCAATGAAGTTATGTTAATACGGCGAAGGATAGAATTCCCTATGTTGACATATGAAATCCAACATCAATAAGTAGAAGAGATTTTGATTGGACACTAAACTAACAAACAAAAGGCGGGTAAATGCCATATTTGGTCGTTGAGATTACTAAATCATGTCGTATTTAATCACTAGAAAAAATTAATATCGATTTTGCTCACTCGAATTACTGAAACGTGTCACATTTAGTCACTCGGAGAATGACTAAATGTGACGGGTTTCAGTCATTCGAGTGACATTCATAAAAAAAAAAGTAATTCGAGTGACCGCAGTTGGGCGGAGGCTAACAGGAGAGTGACTAAATGTGACATGTTTTAGTAATTCGATTAACCAAAATTGATGTTAATTTTTTCTAGTAACTAAACATAATACTATCCAGTAATCCCAGTAACCAAATGTTGCAGCCAAACAGTTGCTGCAAAAGTTACTCTTGTTGATTAAATGAAACTTCAGGACGAGACTGGCATGCCGCCATTAAGTAGGTTCTTCTTCAATCACCCGAAGAGCAACAGTTAACGAATCAAAATGAATGTGAAATCTTGTTACCTTCCAAATATTTTTTAGACCAATTACAACCCAACATTTTAAGTGGTCACTAAATACTTTTCGATATATACTTTCAGAAGATCTTTTCTCACTTTATGCAGCAAGTGGCAAGTTGAGAAGTAGGAGATATTTGTTTTTTGTTTGGTTTTCTGGCTGAGTGGGAGCTGGAGATATTCTATTGATATTTCTGAGAGGAGAGTGGGTGGTTGAGATGGGCAAAAAGTCAAATGAGTTGGCTCATTTTCACTGTGCTAGATATTTTGGGAGAGCTGGTGGCCTCCAGCAATGTAAAAAAAGGAAAGAAAAAACCACGCGTAAATCAACTCGATTATGATATTCACACTCACTGGAACGTTATGTGATATTCGGCTTTAATATATCGGATTTTTGGACTTTATGTGATTATCCGTGGTATGTTTTAGTCAATTGGTGCTATTTTAGGGCTCGCTAACACGGAAATGGTTGAAAAACCATTACTACCTAGTGCCATGAGTTTGATATGATGCAGGTGGAGAAAACACGAAAAAAAAAAGTTGCACCGGCAAACATTTCTCGAAAGCTGGGCTTAAAGCCCAGCTGGCTTGGGATTAATTTGTTGGGCCAAAGAAAGGAGCGGAACTCTATTGTGTTTGGAGGAGTGGACTGGGCCAAATTAAATGGACCAAGGAAATTCTCCTGGGCTGGGGACGGAATCCAGAAGGAAAGGAAAAAGGAGGCGGTGATTTATTTGGAGGGGGAAGCTTGGAACAAAAAAAAAAAAGGCAATTACGAGAGGAAAAAAAAATTCTCGAGGCGGAATTTGATTCTTTGAGCGAGAGCAGCGAATTCTCGAGGGGAAAAGAACGGCGCGCAGAAAGCTTGGGGAGCGACCAGGCGATTCTCAATCGTAGATTGAGATTTCCAAGGCTACCTGAGCTGAGTTCAACGAGAGCGATTAGTTGGTTGGATTTTCTAAATCGAATTAGTTGTTTCTTGTTGATTTAGAACATGATGAACAAAACCCTATCGATTTATCTTAATTTCGTCATGAACTAAACCCCAATTTCTGAGGGAAATACCATAGGATGTAGCTAATTCTTGATTTGATGGATTGATTCATGATTCTTTTCTTCCAATCTCTATTGCATGAAATTGCTTAATGTTTTGTGTTGACTGGCCACCAATACAACGATTGGTAGTTAATTAGGTTATTAGCGACAGTGAAACCCTAATAACTGAACATATTTCATGTGACATAGTAACTTATCGAAGCGACAGTGGATTAAATAAGGTACTATGCGGTCTTAATTGGGATATCGGTCTTCAGGCTAAATAATTAAGTCATTGAGCTACGACAGTAGGATTTGAATTGATTATTTAGTACGTAGTAATTCCCGACAGGGATAGCTAGCACAGTAGTGATATCCTGGCTGTAGAGGTATGGATTAAATTGATTGGAGTATGTGAATTAATCTGGATAGGATAGGTAGTGAATCCCGGTGTTTCTCCCAGAACTTTTTCCCATTGAATTTTCCTCGACAAGTTTACTTTGCTTAATTAGTTTAATTATTTTGCTATTAGTTAATAATTTCATCTCTTAAACATTTTCACATATAGTTTGCTCGAAAGAATTGATAAATCATAAGGTTGTACCAGTCCCTGAAAGACGATACCCGGATTTCCGATATTACTACAAGATAGGATTAAGGCATACGCTTTTGCCCTATCATTATAAAAACACAGACGTATAGAGTTGTTGAACTGAATACGAACAATTTGCAACTGTTGAATCGAAAAAGTTCCATCGACGAACTCGGTTGCTTCAGAGTCACCTGATGTGAGTGAGAGATCATCGTAGTGTCATCCGTTTCACAACGCTTGCGAATTGTAGACTCAGAGTCTTTTGACCTGGTTCTCGTAAGCAGTAATAGTAGTCTGCCACTATCAAGCGATTGTAATGGTGGGCCTGGGCCTTGCAGGCCCCTTTTGAGCCGGGCTCTAAATTGGGTTATGGCGTAGTATATTCATTCAGTCCCAAGTGGGCCTACCAGTTACATTATTATCCAATTTATCGTCCGACGTGTCCTCATCGCCTTTGTTTCAGCTCTTTTCCCCCATTTTCCCACCGTCCAAACACCCCGACTGTTCAAGTTCAAGCTCAAGCTCGGGGAAACAAACTCTTCCTAGGGACCAAAAGAAACTCTTTCTCTTATGAGGAATTTTACAATGTTTTTTGTGCTTTAATTTTTGTCTTTATGGTACAACTTGAAATTATACATTTTAACGTTATGACTTGTGGTACAAATTGTAAAATTCATTTATGGTACAATCTAAAGTTGTATGTTTATGATATAAGTTGTACCACAACATAAATGTCAAATTCTCTCATTATACAACTTCAATTTGTAAGGTGAGTTTGGTAAAGGTCCAAGGATTCGGAGATGTGAGGTGACCAAACTGAATGAGACACTTTTTTTGCTGAATCCAATCCTTCTGGACTGTGCACCATTTGATGTGGGGGATTTTTGGCTGCGCAGGTGACTTTGTTTACTAAGAAACACGGGGTGATTCGAGCTGAAGAAGTTGGCGAGACCATGTTTGCAAGCATCGATTTGGTGTCATCAATCATGCAAAGAAAGCTGAGGAAGATAAAGGAGAAGGACTCGGATCATGGCCGCCACATGAAGGGTTTCAATCGTTCCACATTCAAGGAAGCAATGCCAGAGTCACCTGTAGAGTCATCTTGTTTTGCAACTTGACTTGTGCTGTGTTACTTTTCAGGTTGTTCGGACGAAGTATTTTGATATGCCACCTTTGACGGTTGCTGAGGCAATCGAGCAGCTCGAAAATCTTGACCATGATTTCTACGGGTTCAGGAATGAAGAAACTGGTAAGAACTTAAACACTTACGTGGTTAACACTTAACAGCTAACTGCTTTTGCTCGATCTGGGCCATTGATTCAGTAATGCTTCGTATCAGGTGAGGTAAACATTGTCTACAAAAGGAAAGCTGGTGGGTACGGTATTATCATACCCAAAGGGGATGGTAAATCAGAGAAACAAGAGCCACTGGAGATTGAATCAGCTAGAGAACCGTCCTTTGTTGAGTAAGAAAACCAGCCTACTCACAAGACTCTTTTTTGAAAGGTGGATTCCACCGAGTTTTGGTGAATGATGTACAGAGCTAAATCATGAAAGAAACACAGATGGACCATGTGCTGCAAACAGGGATCAAAATACTTTACCCAGGTTGATTTGCGCTGCCAAAATGTTGGTAATTTGATGCCGAATCAAGTGGCGATTTTTCTGATATTTTAGAACAAAAAAGATAGAGGCATGTTAATTGAAGTTGAATAGTTAATTCTAATTATAGTTCAATGTTTCACTTATTGTAAAGTATTATCATTACGATATTGTTGAGTTCAATCTCATTGGGCATATACTAAATACTCATACTCAAAGAGGTCGGCAATTTAAGTACTCTGCCTCCATTGGAGAATGGAGATGGATCATATTAGTTCGCTTTGGTTATTGGTGAATTACATGTTCCCACTTGTAACAATGCAGGAAGGATTTACTGAAATTTGCAACATTACACAAACAAGAATACAATAGAATACCAAACTTTATCATGATTATAATAGATAATAATAAAAAAATAGCTTGCTTTTACGGAAGATCCAATATCACGAGGTGTCAGAAATCAGAGCTGATTGCAGGTAATATCATTATTGTTGAGTGGAATGTCGCCAGTTGATTTCATCCGACTTCTACGTAGAAGGTCAAATATGCTTTCTAGACTAATTTATATTGATTAATAATCAGTCTTTTTTATTATCTTTTTTGTTGGAGCCAAAAAAAGGATTTGGAAATATGGTAATTTATCCATTGTAAAATGAAATATGTATCATTGATGAATCTTTTTGAAGAGACTTTTGCATGAGACATTTGTGACCAAATGTCTCAAAACTAGTCAAATTATCTAATTTGGAAAGGAAAAATTAGACAAGGTAATTGAAAAATTTTCAATCAAGCCAATAAGAAATGTCTCTTTTCAAAGAAATTTCCAAATTTATCATTTTCCCCACTTCAATATATATTTATACTATATTTGTTTGATTGAAACTCAATATTTTTTTTGATGAGGTTGAAACTGAATGTTAACACGGAGAGAAATAATGATTGACCTAATGTTCACACTCTCTCTTACTTTCTCTCATAGTTATTGGTGCGGTAAAATAAAATGAAGTTAACAAAAAAGAGGGAACGGGGAATGCTTTGAAAATGAGGGAAATTTTAGAGATTCAATTGATTTATTAATTATTGTTATCTACAATTTAATTTTCCTACTCTTTTTTTTTTGCAAAGGTATATCAAAATGGAGTACAGCAGATACGATATAATAGAGGAATTCAATAGGTAACTGCCCCAACCCTCTAGCAGCAACCCAAATTATGAGGGAGACAATCCAAGCGGAGAGACGTACGAAGGCGGTGAAGCTAGTTACAAGCAGTCGCACGATGGTGATGAAGCAAAAACCCAATCATGGGTGAAGCAACGGAGATGGTCCAGAGGGACTATTAATCTGCTGCGTTTGGAAGATATTATTGCCGCTATTCTTCATTAGCGCGACCCACACTAAAAACAAAACGGAAGAGAGACACCCACAGAGCGATGGGTGAAGGAAAACGTGAGAGAAAGTGTGTGTAAAAAAAGTGTGGTGCGGTGTGGAATGTTTCAAGAATTTGAGTATCATTCCAAGCTCTATTCTCCCTGATATTTAATCGAACACATCTCCATTCAAAAAGAGTATAATTTATTTTTTGTCTCAATATTTGATCATACCAAAAGAAGATAAAATAAGAAGGGATCAACGACAAATTTTAATGTCTTCCAATATCTCAACAAAAAGAAGGGATCAACCAAGACGATAAAACAATCCTTGTAAGAAAAGAAGATAAAATAACCATATACATATAAGTATGACCCCTTTAAGTTATGTGTAGCTTTCATGTAAAATAAGTTTTTATTTTAATAATTTCATGCAAATCATGTGGGGTTCTTATTCATGTATGGTGTGTTTTAGATTCGATAATGTAAAGAAGATGAATAAGTTTCAAAATCTTTTTATTCATTTGTTGTTTTTCTTCCTATTTATATATATTTTAGTTTCGAAGGACGAAAAGCGAGGGGAGTACGCCAATGTACATATCAGAGTAAGTCATTCCATTTTAATATGCAATTAAGAGAAAATAAGTGTATTCTCTTTATATTAAATGACTAAAAAGTAATAATAGCAACTAATTAAAGACGAAAGAAAATGTACAAAAGTTTGAAGGATGGACACTCAAACGAAACACGGGGAGGCTAGTCAATGTTAGAGAAAATCGAGAGGTAACACTAAGGGACCAAAATGGGTGACGGTTGGCAGCTTGGTAACAAGCACGATGACATGAGGCCATTGGAAGGCGAGGGATTGTTCGTGTTAGGGTTGCGGAGAGAGAAGTGAAAGAGAAATCGAGAGTTGAGTTATTTTCTTTGAAGTAAACCTTATTAGATCCAATTATACCCGAGACTCGACTAAGTTCTAATAAGTTTACATAGTTATAATGCTCATTGAAAATACAACATATACTAGCACACCTTTGGATTGTTGGATCACAAGTTCTATGATCCATGAACGCGAGTGTTATATCTTAACGCCAACAAACACAAGAACCATAACCAAGTTGAGTTCATTCAGTCGCATACTCGCATCCCCAAAGTTCCCTAGTGCTAGAGCCTTGGTTATTTTTTGAAAAGTGTAAAATGATGTATATAACGCAGACTTGGGAGTGCAAATTGTCGAATGCTCCATGCCTGCAATATATATTTGAAGAGCTAAAGAAATAATTCAAATCTAATAGAGTACGCTCACAAAATATAATAGAGATAAGTTACACAATTTCAAATCTATTCACTACGGGAGAAGTTTGAGATTGCTGCGAACGAAATTGTGTTAGTAAAATCGGATGGTTCAACTCCACCTTCATCAACGGAGTGTCAACCCAGCAAAACAGCTTTTTCCCAAAAAGGGAAACCAAACTGTAGTAATTTCTATCACACAATGTTGTATTCAAGAAAACTACACTTGATAAATACGCGAGAATGTAGGAGATAGGAGAATGTCTACGCATGGTGAAACCAAAGCGGATTGATTTCCTGTCGGTTCAGTTATCAGAAATGAATCGTACCCTTAAATCCTCCAAGGATCAAGCAAGCTCAGTATGGTCGGAACTTTCTTGCAGCCCTGAGTTGCTGAATCCTCTTCTTGTCCTCCTCGAATTTGCTCTGGAGTTGCAAGATTTCTGCAAAACCAGCAACACACGTTATTTATGACCATTATGAACAACAAAACAAATCAAAGGAATAACTAGGGGTTAGAGTTTCAAGAGCAGTAAAATCCATTTCACCTACCATTCATATGAGCTTCTCTCTTCTGAAACCGATAGAAATCTACTCCTACTTCTCTGCGCTTCTTCTTGGTTGTGATGTCATCGACTTTGGCAATTGGAACAGCGGAGCCCACAGCAATACCGCTTTCAGGATCCGTCGTCTTTTTCCTTCCTCTCTGATGTACAACAACTGTCCAACCACCATCTGCGGCTAGAGCTTCTCTTTCTTTCTTTTCCTGCATAAATTTCATGAGAAGTGTAAGAAGTTGAAAGGATCAGAGTGGCAGCTTGATATTGATAATCAGGAAACAAGCGATTAGACCCTATCTTCTATAATTAGGAGTCGGTAAACGGAATAATTCAGCCAAGGTTCCGAAGTTTAAGAAATGAAGGGCTGAATAAGTCGAAAGATCACTCAGTGAACAGATTACCTCTTCGAGCTTTTCTTCATGAGAGATTATGAAGTCATCTATTCGTTGTTGCAATACCTTCAAACCTGGTCTATTTTCGTGGTACTCTGTAAGCCATTCTGGGAAGCAAGTTTGTGAAAACCAAATGATTATTAAGAGTACTTTATTGTTCCCAGATATATCAGAAAGGAAACTAGTACTATATCATAGACATCAAGGGATAAGAATAAAAGAGGAATGAAGCAGCACCTCTTCTACCTCTTTAGAGGGAAGGGGTCAAATGGTGATTCTCAAAGCAAGCCCTAAGAAAATTAAGGGTTTGGTTCAAAGAGACTTCATTGATACAGGCAGGGGACAATGGCTTCACTCTATTTGCCTAATGATTACACAGCTTCAAGTGGATAAGAACCAATAGCTCAAAAAACCTTAGAGCAACCTGAGTGTATGGTAACGACAGTATGCTGTGGACTCGGCATTACAAATATGCACTAGCGAGGGAGTGCAAGGTGCTTACTTTTCATTCCCTTTGAGCAGTCTTCATCGCCTGATGACAGGCAGTAGGCATCCTCCTCCTGTTTTTCTGTTTCCACCTGTATGTCAACTCTTTCTGATGCAACCTCCTGCTTCATCCTGTTTTTCTTCTTGTCTTTCTTGGATTTGTTGGATTTACCTAAAACATGGAGAGCAACACAAAACAGCTTAACTCAGTTCTTGCAGAAGAAAACCAAACAAGACATTCGACTTCTTGCCTACGAGAATTCATTTGGCCAATCCAGGATTTTACACTGGTTCTGGCCTGATTCCTCATCATCTAGGACTGACTAAGATTAACTTAATGAAAATGTATGATGGATACAAGAAGAAAAGCATGACAGCGAGCACATATCAGGAATCTAACTGCTCCACCCCATTGGTATAAGCTCAAACCCCATTGTATCGATCAAGGAAATTCAGCCACACTATGCTGAAAGGGAGAAAGTCATTCACCATCTCAAAAATCACAAGAACATACCACTTTTTTGCCTGGAGGAGCCATCATCAAACTGATCAGACTCTTCAACAGGAGCGGTCTTTGCCACAATCTCTTTCCTTTGTCTCTTTTTCCTCTTCTTCACCTTCTCTACTTCCATCGACGTGTTCCCTGAAACGACGCAAACCCAATAGTGAACCAGAGAAGCTTAGTTATACAGAGGGACACAACAAAATCCAACGCCAATCCAGTGTGGCTAAATCAATTCACCTTCATTGACTCTCACCACTTCACCAGATTCATCATTGTTCTTCGTTTCCCTTCTTCTCTTTTTCTTCCCAGCCCCTGCATTCCTTTCATGACTCTCTTCTTCGTTCTTAACTTGGACCTCTAAAAGTAAAAGAAGTTAAAAAACAATACCAAGCTAGTTACAATCTCCCTCGTACCTTCAACACAGCTTCAAAATGAATGTAGTAAGAGGATTAATACCATTCTCGCGCCTCTTTTTCTTGCTCTTCATCCTCTTAATATCGAGTTCCGAATTTCTCATTTTTTTTTTATCGCAGCCCGTGAGAACCGGGGAGCGAACAGGGCAAACGGCGGAGGCGAGAAAGTCTGAGAAGGCCGTCGGCTGTCGCGGGAATCCGGCGCTGGCTTTCCTTCACAGTTCGCCGCAGTCAAAGATACGTCCGGCCGGACGGCAGAAAGCGGGAGGAGAAGAGCTCCGGCGAACTCGAAGGTCTGGAGACGGCGGCTAGGGTACTGCTTGCTTCTTGCTGAAGCTCAACTGATTGCGTTGCAGTTGCAGCCGTTGGCGATTTAGGGAAAGCCTTTTTTCCGGTTTCTGCGAGTACAAGAAAACGCAGCGTACAGGGCCCAGCTCGGACACCTAAAACCCGGCCCAAATGGTTCGGATGGACCTGCCGGTGCCGTACATTTGTTCATCCGAGCCATCAAATTTGAAAGTGTGCTAGAAACAACACGAGTAATTTTGGGATGAACATTTAAGGACACCTCAACTGTTCATGTCATAGCATTTCCAAGCAGCATCTGTAATTCTTTCCTAGTGAGTAAACACGAGATTACATAAGAAAATGAACATTGATAGCCAATGGTTCTGATACACAACAACAATGTCATGATTTGACTTTCTTTAGTTAGCAGTTTATTGATCTGATAATCCTTCGCCCAGAGTATACCTCTTGAACTCATACCTCAGCTTGATCCGGGCATAATAAAAACAGTTTCGAATTAGTTTCCCCCGAATCGAAAATATGGGATGCGTGATCCACTGCATGAATCAGGAAATCCCGGGTTGTCGAGCAGTTGAAATGTATGCTTTCATGGAGATAAGCCCGTCTTCTCTGCGAATTGCATCAACTGAGCGCATGGATCCGAAAAAGGTTAGGGGAAACAGACGAAATCCGTCAAGCCTTCTGTGGTCTTTGACGTTCCTTGAGTTGATTCTTGGGGACATTTTCCCCACTCTTCTTGCTGCTGGGCATAGCTTTGATAAGAACAACTGATGAGTTGCCTTTTTCTGATATTCTGGGGGATCTGGAACCATGGACCCTGAATAAAGTGTTCAGTGCAACAAAAATCGAATCGCGGTTATAGTCAGTGGCACATATTCAAACATTTTAAACAGAAGAGAAAAAGGGGCACAATGTGGTCCTCCCAAAGCATACACATGCCTGTTGATTCTAGGAACTTGGCTAAGCTCATCTCCTACTTCTCTGGGAACTTCTTCCATTGTTTCATCCTGCAGCTTCTGACCCTGGCATATGAAATCATATATATGGGTAACGAATCAGCGCTTCCTCGGTTTAACAAGAGAGGACCAGATAATAACCTGCATTTACCCAACTCTGCTATTTTTGGAATAAATGAAAACAGAACATCCACGAGTCAGTGCTATTTGTTATATTTTATATGGCTTTAAGAGGTGCTTCATTGGAACGGGAAATTATGCAGGATAGACAACCAAAGGGAAAGATAAATATTCCAGTTTCCAGCTACAGATGCGACCTTTCACAACCATGTTTGCCAGTTAAACAAGACACTCAAGACTATCTGAAATCTTGTAGCTGCTGCAGTTGTGCATCTCATTAGAAGCAACATTAGACAAAATGAACTTGAAGTTTGTACTTAATCGGGTTCATCAAACCAAAAATTAAGGAAACCCAGCATCTGACATGAATAATTGCCATGACAAATGAAATACAAGTTGAATTACAGGTTAGCACTGAACACATTGCAAGCACAGTCTATCGACAAGAATCTGCTAGGTTCCAAAATGACATAACCTCAGCAAGGTTACTAGTTTGGGACAAGCATATTTGCAACAATTTATGTCAAGTGCATCAATTAGTCTCCACAGAAGTTGGCCAACCACAAAAGTCTGCGAAAGGAAGTTGAAAACTTCTCATGGATGACAAATTGGCATATAGACTGCAAAATTCTACCATGGCAGCTTGTGGAGGATACTTGCATTTTGCTATGGATGACAAACAATAAGTTGAGCTAGTAAAAATAGTAAATTTCATATAGGAAACATTTCCAAAGCGATGAAAAGCTTCAGAAAGCTATCATCCATTACTCGCACTCGGCACTACAGCAAAACAAGCCAATCCATTTTATTCCCAAGCGAAGAAAACCCGAATTGAGCACTATCCACTACTGCAATCACCACCAGTTTCAGCAAGCACTTCTGTTAGAAGGCAACCCACTTGACACAGAAGTGCAAACCTGGACACAAGCTCACAGAAGCGAGCACAGAGTTGCATACAGGCACACACAAGATAATGCAGCGCGAGAAACTTACATCATCAGAAGGCGGCACACAGTTTCCGCCATTGGCAACCACAGTGGAGCAGAAATTCAAGACCTTAGCTTTCTTCTTAGCTCCACCGGATACACTCCCATGATCATACTCAGAGTCCAGCCCACCACTCCCCTTCTTCCTCTTCTTCTTCGCCGCCGCCGCAGCAGCAGCAGACATCCACGATTTCCCCTTCTTGTCCCTCACTTTCCAAACGTTCTTCTTCCTGAACACCAGCTTGTCAAACTTCCACACCTCGTAGCTGGTATCAATCACCGTCACTTCACTCCGCGAGTACCCTTTCAGCTCTCTATCGCCTCCACACCCCTCACCGTCGCCGCCACGGCGGCACTCGTCCTTCTCCTTCTCCTCATCTCCCTCATCCACGTCATCCCCGCCGCGCCGAGGCCGTACAATGTTCGAATTGCGGTTTGAATTGAGCGAAGCCGTTACCGTAGTCGCGCCCGCTGCCTTCTCTTCAGGAAGGGCGCAGAACTTAGGGTTCGTCTGCTTCCTGGCGCTCTTCTTCCTCGAGATTCCGGTGGTTCGGCCCATGTAGAAGAGATCGGAGAGGGCATTGGTCATCACGCCGAACCAGTACTCCCCTTCGACATCTCGGCCGGAAATCTCGGGGGCTTGCTCGACGACGGAGTTGGAATTGACGAGGGAATTGGAGGCGGCAGCATCATCGGATGTGGGGGAATCGGAAGTTTCGTCGTCGGCGTTAGGGTTGGTGAGAAGGAAGTCGTCTAGGCCGACGTCGCCGGCGATGGGGAAGCCTTTGGTGGACCGGAGTCGGTCCAGCCAATTTGAACTGGGCTTTCCGGCGGGGACTGAGCACAGCATTGGGGAGACTTCGAGGTGAGATTCAGATTGAGCCAATTGATGCGGCGGTTGGACGCGGCGAGGATGGAGCCACCGCCACGGCAGAGAGTGCTCGTCGGGATTTGCTCGACGAAAAACGTGAAATGAGCGTTTCGTTTTTCCTTTCCTTTTCAGTTTTCTGACAGACTCCTTTTTTCACAGTGAGGTCACTAGTAAAGTAATCATAATTAAGCCCAAGAACTGCAATAACAAAATTAAGCCCAAGATGAGTTGGGCAATAGCCCGTTAAGAAAGTTCAAAAGATGATGCCAAGGCCCATAACAAGGTGGTGAAAACAAACCTCTCCTCAAACTTTTGTTAATTACATTTCGATTTGGTTTAACGACTTTTTTCTTTGTAGTAAACGAACTAATCACAATAAATCTCTCTTTGTTAAACACTAATGTGAGTGATGACATGCTCTCTCTAGATTAAACGCTTCTCTCCTCCACACAATTTTGGAATGTCTGGAAGATTCATGATGTGTTGTTTTATTACCCATTTTGTGTCTAATATGGAGACATATGGAGGTATGATGTGAGATTGTTGGGTAATTTTCTTGTTCGTGTTGTTTCACTAACTTTTCCTATGTCAATTGAGGAAGCCTCATTCATGACCATGGTCGTTGTCCATTATTGAGTTTTTCTTCCCGTTCTGAGAGATTTATTGTGATAAATCATTCCTACATGAAAAAATGTGTGTCAAGAAAACTAACACTATCTTCTGGTTATCACTAATTGAAGTTGAAGCTAATACTCTTCTCAAATGGCATCACAAACGATTACAGTATCTGTCTTTTTACATATTTGGATTGTAAATCTATTGTATGTGAGGTTAAAGTGTATTCACAATCTAACTTTAATGAATTATGCGTTATTTTATTTTTTCACATGACGACAACCTCGTTCATATTACACCTGTTACTTTATTCGTCATCTTTTCATATGCGCTAAATCAAAATCTTGTTTTCCCTATGAGCTAAATCAAAAAAATCAAATCTTGATTTGATCGTCCTATATCTTAGCGTAAACAAATTTACTACCACAAACTCGAGAAGAAAATTGTAAATCCCCAAGGCCCAAAGACAAGACAAAAAATCAGCAAACCGGCAAAGGCATTAGAAATCCAACGGCGATGATTCCTTCTGCCTCCGCCTCGAGTGTTCTCCGCCACCAGAAGAGAAAAATTCTTCAAACGAAAAAAATCACCAACTCCCATTCCATGGTTCCAACCCCCGTTTTGCCGAAATTTTTTTTATATTCCCTCGTAATATATAACAGAATAATAATCAACAAATACCTCTCTCGCGATTCATGCTTCCCTCTCCTCGCCACTATTCCCGTTCTTCATGGTCACTTGAAGAAGAACCCTTAAACCTCCATCTAGTCGTGTGCCGCACTTTCCCCCCTTTCTCAACCGCTTTAACATGCCGCCATGGCTGTAATTCTTGAGGCTGTTGGTGTGTTTCTGGGGACCTCCCATTTTCTGGGAGCCATGGTGTTCCTAATTCTCATATGGGTTGCCTTCCTCGTTGGTGTAGCCATTGGTTGGGTGTGGAAGCCCAGTTGGGCACCCGGTTTATCCCAACTGGGTAGTTTGGTTTCTTCTTCTGCTGCTGCTGCTGCGCACAAATTGGTGGATTCTTCGCCTTCCCGGTGTCCGGCTTCTCCGTTGAAGGGTTTTGGGTCGGCCCCTTGCCTCACGTCCTTCTTGCTCAGCTCGCCTAATTTGGTGGGTACCAGCTCACTTGCCGTCACCCAATCTCAATTTGAAGATTCTCGGTAAACCTTCACTTAATCACTTCACAATCATTTACTCTCTTTTCTTGCGATGCTAGATGGTTGAGTGAAAGTTGCATGCTTTATCAATTGTATCTGGACCCAACTCAGGATTTCACTGTTGTATTGGATCTATGACTTGCCCTTCATTCTGATTACTCAGTTGGTTAGCTTGGGGGATGATTTATAATTGATTGATGTGATGTAAGTGACTAAGTATGGATGATGATGATGATGATGGCGAGTACTTTTTTCATTGATGAAACTCTTGTGTCCAGTGGAGGATCCCAGCTGGATGATGAACGGCCTAATGCTGCCGATCTGGTCACAGAAGAGGATTTGGTGTATCTCCATAACCTTGTGGAAATGAAAGATGGAGGTCCTTCATGGATACAGATGATGGATCGTTCCACACCAGGCATGACTTACCAAGCATGGAGGAGAGACATCAAGGTAGGGGTGTGTGTATGTGTGCATCTCACTCATTCTGATCAGTTGTGAGTCATCGACTAATCTAATTGCCTTCGATTCGAGTTACTGAAGATTAACCTTGTTTTCTGGTTCTGGTTCTTAATGTCTTGTTGTCTCTATTGTCTTGGCTATAGGATGGTCCACCTCAATATCGTACGAGAACTGTTTTCGAGGATGCCTCACCGGAGATAGTGAGAGACTTCTTCTGGGATGACGAGTTCCGGCTAAATTGGGACGATATGCTAGCCTGTGTGGCTGTTGTAGATGAGTGCCCCACAACAGGGTCCATGGTCGTGCATTGGTTAAGAAAAGTATGTATTTTCTTGCTATTGTTACATGGTGGATGATGATACGTGTTCGTTTTGTTCACTCGGCTAGCTCTTTACACTCTGCTGCCTTGTTCTGCAGTTTCCCTTCTTCTGTAGCGACAGAGAGTACACAATAGGCCGGCGAATCTGGGAGTCTGGAAGGTCTTATTACTGTGTTACAAAGGTATGCCAATCTGCCCTATTCTATTCCTGCACAAAGGGATTGCATCACATATGAAACAACTAGCCTTTTTTTTGTTTTCTTGAGCAAGAAGCTAAAGTTTGTTTTAACTATCAAGTTCATTACAAAAAGGAATTATAGCACTATCCATGATGTCGATTAGGACTAGAAATTCTTGGATTTGGCCTGCCAGCTTGTACTTCTTCCTTACCAAACATTTCCTTGGATTCTTCGATTTGTTATGCCTCCTCCATTGTAATCATCGTTTAAGTTCTGAGCATTTCTTTCTGCTGTTTGTGTTTCAGGGAGTACCTTATCCTTCCATCCCAAGGCGTGATAAACCAAGGCGTGTGGATTTGTACTACTCAAGCTGGTTTATTCGACCAGGTTCACTACGCCTTCTGTCATTTTCCCTAGTTGCTCTTTCAAACATCTCAAGAATTCCATTGGAATCATCTCTGAACTTTTGAAAATTTCCTCTTTGAGCAGTGGAATCTAGAAGAGGGGATGGCCAACTGACAGCATGCGAGGTTCTGCTCTTCCACTACGAAGACATGGGCATCCCATGGGAGCTCGCAAAGCTTGGGATTCGTCAGGGAATGTGGGGAACGGTCAAGAAGATTGAGCCTGGGTTGCTTGCTTACCAAACGGCAAGAGCATCGGGAACAGCACTCTCTCGCACTGCCTTCATGGCTCAGATCAACACGAAACTGAACCCCGAGTTACTGAAATCACCGCGAGGCAGCACCAAGGAGGTATCAATGGCAGAGGCCGAAGCAGAGAGCTCGTCTGATCAAAGTTCAGGCACGAACGTACCGAAGATGTTGCTTATAGGTGGACTTATCGCGGTTGCTTGCAGCATCGACCGAGGTCTCCTGACGAAAGCATGTGTGTTTGGGTTAGCTAGAAAGTTAGGGAATTTGGGGAAGAGACTCAGCTGAGGACAGAAGATGTTAGTAACTTAGTAGTAGTGATGGTTGTATATGTGTATGATATGGAAACCAGGAGCAATAATGTTTATTGTTGAATGAAGTAGCTGTTCGAGCTCTTGATCATCTTTTGTTCCCCATGTAAATTCCTTAAGTTTGTTTGTCATTTGGCATCGATTCTTCCTCATGCTTACTTCATTCTCACCCATCAGTTAAAAAGTAAAATGTCTGAAAATTTCTCAATCCCTTCTACACCAAGTAATCAATGTGTTCTATCTATATCATGTAAACATAATCTAATGGATCAAGTGCTACAAAGAGAAAGCAAATATGAAATGATCAACGACGAAAGTTTTCGATTAGTAACGAACCGAGTGCATCGAGATGGATCGCGCTAAACAATACAATTGTATTACATTGAGGGAGTACACTCCAGATCAAAATGTGTAGACCCTAAGAACATGATTAGCCTATACACTTAAAACACCTTAATAACACGAAGGAAACAAGAATGAATCAATGACCAAAAAACAGAACAACAAACGGCGCCAAAATCCATCCTGATTGGACACGGATCAATTCATCAGTAACGAACAAGGGTCTCGAAGCAGTGAACCCCATCCAACTCCACGGCGAACCTCGGACCGCCCGCCGCACGCCGTTTCCCACCCTCCTGATGAGAACCCTCGCTTTCCTGCCTCTTCTTCTCCACCGCCGGCGATGACGACTTCCCGCCGTCTACTTTCGTCGAATCGGCGCCGTTGGCTTGCCTGGACAGACCCGACGGCAGCTTGTTGACCTTCTGCCCGAAGAATTCCCCGGACAGAGCGTCGAACGAGCTGAAGATCGACATCATCATTTTCTCCCCCAACTGAATGTGAAAAACCTCTCTTGATTTGTTTGATTGCTCGATGAGATTAACTTGATCGGATTAGTAAGATCGAACTGGCTGTTTCTTCTTGTGTTTGAAGATTGAGGCAAAAGGGTATGTATTTATACAAACTGGTGATCAAAGAGGGGGAAAGGAAAAAGCCGAATTGGTTGAGGATTTCCTGGAAGCACCTGGAGACCTCGTCGGACTTGGAAAAAACGCGGCCGCCACCACGTCTGACTCTGCGTAAGGCGAAATGGACCGTCCAGATCTTTATTTCGCGGCAGTGCGTACGTGGACGGTCGGGATTGGTGACGCGCAATTTCGTCGTTGTGGAAGCAGTGGACCAAGACCAAGTGGATATGTTAGAGAAGTTTCTGGGCTCTCTCTCTCTCTCTGCGGGCCATGGTGAACCGGCCCAAAATGTTATTTTATAATGTTGAAAAAGTAAATGGGCCCGGTTGGGCGGAGGGAGGGCGTTGTCAGTTTGGAACCAAAATAATGAATAAGCCGCTGACCAAGTCTGTTGACTTTCACATTGTGGTATATTTGACTTGAATGACTTCTTCAACTTGGAAGTTTGGATTATCTATACAACTCAATTCTCAACTATAGGAAATTGTAAGAATAACCTAATTAAATACTAAGGGGTCGTTTGGAAGTTGCGATTGTTAAATAGATGTATTGTTGAGAATGCATGTATAATATTATACATGTATTGTCGAATTTGATGCATTGTAGAATACAACGTTTGGTATGTGTGATTGTGTATGTCGCATCAGCTAAAAGTTGAGACAAAACAATCTCAACTCAACTATCTCAACAATCACAACTAAAAGTTGAGATATAACAATCACTCAAAATGAGTGATAGTTTCTGTCACATCACAAAACCAATCCATGTATTGTTTCTGCCAAAAAAAACAAAAAAATGATGCATTGTAAACAATACATGCATAATGACAATCTCAACAAAACAATCGCAACTTCCAAACGACCCCTAAGTGAGTTGAATCTCTTCTCTCTCTCACCCACTCTCTCCTATCAACCATACAAATGAAGACCACTAGGCCCGTTATCGATTGTACATCTAATGCAGCTATGCAGGGTTGGATACTGTCATACGAGATTAACATAACCCAATACGATTTTCAAAGGGATTCGAAAAAAAAAAGAATAAACGAACTTAGAGGATTATAATTGAAAAATTAAAACTTAAGTAAGAAGAATTTAGGATAGGGAGACAAAGGACGTGAACAAAGAAGTAGTTGTCTTGGACTACAACATAAGACATAACATGATACATCTGCTATGAAATAAAACGATTTACAACAGTCACTCACTTGAGACACATGTTAATGTTAAAAGGTCATCACGATACCATATATAGGATTAATTCGTGAAGGTTTGGTTTAGAAATCTTAAATAGGATTGAAACCGGAATACTGATACTAGCTTGGTGTCTGACCAAAATAATAATATTATGTTTTAGCTTTTTTGGGTGTTAAATACATTTCTAGCATTTATACATGATGTTACATTTGGTTGATGTGATGCTAGGTTAACACTAACATAATTAGTTTTATAAAAGGTTTAATTATGGCAAAATACACATATGTTAGCGCTGCTTGCTGTTCTACTTTGCCAAACAACTAACGTAACATGTTTGAATTAAAACGATTTTCTATAGTCACGGCATACATGTATTAAGATTAAAGCTCTTCACAAGACCATATAGAATTAATTCGTTTCTAAAAAAATTAATTTGTGATAGTGCAAAATTTATTACTATTCAAGATTCAAATTCTTATGAAACCTATTCCTATGGAGCAAAAGAGGGAAGTGCAAAATACGGGGCGGGAAGAACGGGAGAAGACAATCAAAGAAGGAAAGGCAAGGAGCCATTGCAGGGGAGCGAGAAATGGAAGAAACATTCCTAAACGCAATGTGATGGCGCCATGTGGAAGTATGGCCATTCTCATTTCTCGTCCCCAACTGAATCTACAAAAATGGCGGCGAGTACATATAAGACACAGCTCACTCCCTAATCCCTATCTCTGTTTGAAAGCAAGCAGTTGCTTGATTCCTTGTTGGAACACTCATACACAGAGCTTACCTCTCTCTGTTTCCGTTTGTTCCGCCGGCGAATTAGTAAAAACCTGAAAATGGCAACAACGGTGAGCCACTCAACATTCACGGCCAGCCCTCGCCAGGTACCTGTCAGCTCCGGGCGGGAAAACACTCGCAGGAATTCCATCTCCTTCTGTGACTCCGTCACCCGACTGAACCTGAACAGATTTAACGTTATGAAACTGAGATCCAACGCCGCCGGCAGAACTTCCCGCAAATGCCGGCTCATTTCTCCCACCAGCGCCGCTTCCGCAGCCAGGCCGCTGTCTGTCCGATGCGAGGAGGAGGGCAGTGGCGGAATGAGATTGGTGTTCGTCGGAGCAGAGGTCGCTCCCTGGAGCAAAACCGGCGGGCTCGGCGACGTCCTTGGCGGCCTCCCGCCGGCCATGGCTGTAAGTTAGTAAAGCTAGCTAGTAACTACCTCCATAAACAATCCAAATCAATTTCATCTTTTTCCCTCATGATCAACTACAAAAACATAAATTCGTGGCGATGCAGGCGAAGGGGCACCGTGTGATGACGATCTCGCCGCGATACGACCAGTACAAGGACGCCTGGGATACAGGTGTGGAAGTGCAGGTGAAGGTTTTGGACACTGTGGAGACAGTTCGGTTCTTCCACTGCTACAACAAACGAGGCGTCGATCGGGTTTTCGTCGACCATCCCCTGTTTCTAGCCAGGGTACTCTGCCTCTCACTGTGATAGAATCAAATTAGTTTTCTGGGTTCCTTTTTTGAGGTGTGAACTATAAAGGAAATGAATTTATGTTTGTTTCCTGAATTCAGGTATGGGGGAAAACTGGTCCCCAAATCTATGGACCTCGAGCTGGAATCGACTACGACGACAACCAGCTTCGGTTCAGCTTGTTCTGCCAGGCAGCTCTCGAAGCGCCGAGGCTGTTGAATCTCGAGGGCAATGAATCCTTCTCTGGACCATACGGTAAATTAATTGGGGGGAAAAAAACTGAGAAAATGTACTACCTTTGCATCTCTGCAATGATTTATGACGAGACTAATTCATTGAGCGAATCTATGAATGCGCGCGCAACGATGCTTGCAGGGGAGGATGTGATCTTCGTCGCGAACGATTGGCACACTGCTCTGCTCCCTTGCTACATGAAAACAATGTACCAATCACAAGGTCATTACAGTAATGCCAAGGTCGCATTCTGCATTCACAACATTGCGTACCAAGGCAGATTCCCCTTCTCCGATTTCTCCGTGCTCAATCTCCCCAGCCAGTTTAAGGGATCCTTCGATTTCACTGATGGGTAAAAATCAACCCCAACTACAGCAACATACTAATCACAAATTATGCTCTTTTCGGTTTCTTACTGTTAGTGAATCTTGGGTGGTGGGTGAAATGCAGTTATGACAAACCAGTGATTGGAAGGAAGATCAACTGGATGAAGGCAGGGATCATAGAATCGGACACTGTGGTTACAGTGAGCCCTTACTACGCCGAGGAGCTGGCTTCTGGTGAAGACAAAGGCGTCGAGCTCGATAGCATCATTCGGGCTAAGGGTATCATTGGCATTGTCAATGGAATGGACGTTCAGGAGTGGAACCCTTCTACTGACAAGTACATCGATTTCAAATACGATTCGACCACAGTAAGATCTTTAAATTTGTTAAGTTTACCTGCAGTTTCATTTCTGGGTTCCTTTCATATGGTTTTATGGAGTTGTTTTTCTTACTGTGTGTTCTTCAGGTGATGGATGCAAAGCCATTGCTGAAGGAAGCATTGCAAGCCGAGGCAGGATTGCCAGTGGACAAGAACATCCCTGTGATTGGGTTCATTGGGAGGCTGGAAGAGCAGAAAGGTTCAGACATTCTTGTGGAAGCCATCCCACATTTCATTGACAAGAACAATGTCCAGATTATTATCCTTGTAACTAAGCCAAACCATTGTTCTTGACACTGCACCTAGTTACTGAAACTACTCTGTTTCTTCCCACATAATCATGCATTTATGTTCTTTGGTTGTAATTGGGTTTCTGTATGTGCAAAAAAGGGAACTGGAAAGAAAGAGATGGAGCGACAGATCATGAAGCTCGAGGCGTCGTATCCAGACAAGGCTCGTGGGATCGCCAAGTTCAGCCCTAGCCTAGCCCATCTGATCATAGCAGGTGCCGATTTCATGTTGATACCGAGTAGGTTCGAACCGTGTGGTCTGATCCAGCTGCACGCTATGCGCTATGGCACGGTGCATTTCTTTCGTCTAGTGTATGTCTCTATCTAGTGCACCTTGGAACTTCTATATGTTAATATGTTCTGTATGTAGGTGCCAATATGTGCCTCTACAGGCGGCCTTGTTAACACGGTGAGAGACGGTCGCACGGGCTTCCATATGGGAGATTTCAGTGTTGAGGTAAGTACGTCAGAGAGTTGAGGAACTTATACCATTTACTCATGGCGGTTACTGCAACTGACATATGTACGATAATGTTGTTGCAGTGTGATGAAGTTGATCCAGTGGATGTGAGCACGGTGACTAGAGGCGTCGAGAAGGCAGTTGCAACTTATGGGACTCCTGCACTCGCTGAAATGATCCAGAACTGCATGGCTCAAGATCTCTCATGGAAGGTAATGCATTTAAACATCCAATTGATTTAACTGAATAATCGGTGTAATGTCGAGGGAAGGTGACTGAAAGATGGGACCTTGGAATGGATGCAGGGGCCAGCAAAGAAGTGGGAGGAATTGTTGAGGAGCCTCGGCGTTGCTGGGAATACCGAGCCGGGATTTGATGGAGATGAGATTGCACCTCTTGCCAAGCACAATATCGCCATGCCGTGATCCGATCTACTCAGTAGAGTTAAATCTTAGTATAGAGTGCATCAAGGTTTTTGTTAGTTTTATGCAGAACTTAGAAGAGTAATAGTGAGTGTTTTTTTTTTTTTGGTTCTTCCGTTGCCTATGAGGATTTAACATATGTTCTTGTCAACCGTTTGAGTAACCGAGAATTGTTAGCTAGATCTAGGTTCATGTTACTATCTTGTCCTCTTGGAAATTAGACTTTTTTTCAAACGAAACACCAAAATAGTGTTTTACACCTAGATATCTAATTACATGCTACACCTCGACATACTTCATCCTCTTGAAAAATACACTTTCTTTCAAGCAAAACACCAAAATAGTGCTTTACTCTTGACGTCCACCTGCCTCGACATATTTCAGGGAGACTCGGCTAGCTCTAGGTTTGAGTGACGTATCACCCATAACCACAACTCATCTTCTAATTCTTCAACCATCAACTGTTTCTAGGTCCTCTAGGTTTTGGACATCGTAAGAACACAGTGTCTCTTACTCAAAGGGAGAGAAGAGAGATCCCAAATGGTGTTATATTGAAGTTTTGAGTATAACCATACAAGAGTGTTAAGAAGACTACTATTTTATCTTAAGACCAAAATTTTGGGGCGGGAAATTCAATAGTGCGAAAATTTCACCTCGACCGTCAATAAATCGAGCTAAGGCCATCATAACATAACCCAAAGAAGCCACACTTCCAATTTCGAGTATTTGACCAAATTTTCCTCTTGCTTATGGCTTATGGGAGTTTCGAGTCACGATAGTGGATTTGTGTATTACTCGTAGCTCCCACAAGTGATAGAAGAACCTTCACCAAGTATACTGTAAAAGGAATTAGTTCACGAAGGGAACGTATCTATCGATTACCAAACAACAAAGCACAAAGCTACGATTAAGCGCAAACAACTAAATCACATGTCAAATTGATACAACTGACGTCTCAGCACGGCCAAGCCAAACAATTATCCAATCACACTGGGACAGAAGTGTTCCAAGTAAGCGTAAGTGTCACGCCATCCATGAGCAACTACACATATTGATCCAACAAACCCAACTCTAGTTCATACATAATCCCGAAGCCAGCAACGACGAAACAATCAGTAGCATAGTACTTAAAGTGCAGCTAGTCTCAATGATTCAAAGCATTAAACCCTAACAGGTGGGTATAGGCAATGAAATGCTCTCAATTGGTTTCAATCACTCAGGCGCTTCCAGAACGAGCCTGCAGCAGATAAAAAATTGGATTTGGTCCATAAGACAGATAAATCCTCTGTACATTAACCTAAAGAGTAGAAAGAATGCTTCTGAAATTACCTTTTCAGGGGAAGCTGACCTCGACCTTGATCTAGCCCTGCAAACACAAGTGAACCGGAAGATAAATGGTGGGTCATTAACCCATTATGATGAAAGAGAATGAGCACAGAGAATGGGGAAGGAGGCAGAATTTAATAACCACCTTGGTGATTTAACAGGTGATGCTGATCTAGATCTCGACATGGACCTCGACACTGAGCGCCCCACAGATTTGCTGATTACAAGAAAACATATAAATGCCATTATAAGTGGAAACAAGAATAATAACCAACCAAGGGTTCATAATATGTTAAAGAGGAATTAGCACCTTCTGTCCCTTCTAGGACTTCTGCTTCTGCTTCTGCTGCGGCTTCTACTTCGGCTTCTTGATGGTGAGCTGTCATACCTCTTCACCTGAACAATTTGAAATGGAAGAAACTATGTAAACCAAGAATGACCATATGGTGCTGAAGCACAACTTTACATGACCAAAGGAGTGGTGAAGTAGAATGCATTTGTACCCGAATGTAGGATCTGGACCAAGGGTTTCTAAACTCAGTGTCATCAAGTTTCCGAATCTGGGGAAAAAACAATAAAAAGGGCTTGGTTAAGATAACACATGAAAAACAAGTGACTGAGGGACCAAGAAGGATGAGTTGGTGGTGCCATCATAGAAAATACTTACAGCATATTTCATGTCATCACTGTTGGTATAGTCAACAAGGCCAAATGTCCCTGAACAAACCAGATATGCCTTAGTAAATACATGGAATGTTATGAACATGCATTTGATGCTTAACACATGCTAGTTAAGCTTGAAGGTTATAGAGCATATGCCATAATGAATGTGCTTGTTTTGTAGTCCAGAAATAAAGCTGTCCTAAAAGCTACAGCAAACACACTTCAATCTAACTATTCAAAACAAACACAGGGAATGTAGATGTGAAGGATGTAACATGGTAATAATCACATACCATCACCATCACGAGAAACTTCAGCAAAGCAAACATCGCCAGCCTTCCGCATGTGGTCCTGTAAAACAAACGATAATTTAGTTTCACGTGATCGAACAACAAAAACAGTTTACAGGTTAATTAGAGAGCACAAGCACTTCAGACCTTCAAATCTTGCCAAGAAGCAGAAGAAGGGAGCCCACGGACAATTACTACAAAAAAAAAAAAAAAAGAACAATTGGATCAGCACAAACTTTATCATACAACTTTCACCCTGAATTAACACTGTTCCCACAACCAACCTCGAAATTCAGAATGGCGCGAAGCGCCATACCGGCCCCCGCCTCCACCACCACCACTACCACCATAGCTGCCACCGCCACCACCACGCCTATCACTTGAAGGAGGTCCCCTTCCACCATGAGCAAGTTCAACCTGCAGGGCCATATAACAGCTAAGACACAGACTTCATGTAGATGAAGAAGAATAATGGTAGGTAATGACTATTACCCTCAAACGACAGCCATCAAAATTGTATCCATCACGTCCCCTGATCGCATCTTCAGCATCCCGAGAAGTTTCAAACTGAAAGCAAATATAAAATTGGGATCAACATTATTTCATAGCAGTCATGCATAGCACTTGGGAAGGAAACAAAAAGGAGAATATTCATAGAATCAGAGAAAACCAGTTGGGCATTTAGAAATAGCAAACATCTTACCTCAACAAAACAATAACAAGGAGGGCGAGGAGGAATCTTCAGCTCTATATCCAGAATCCTGCCATACTGTATGCAAAGTATACACGATCATAAGCTACTTAAAAAGCGGCGCCACTAAAATAACTAAAAATACAATGAAGCTGTAAGAGACACCGGTCCTTTATATTTGTTTCTGGCAGCTATGGTTTCAAAGTGAATTTGTGAAGTTACAAAAAAGTATGAGAAGTGACGATACCACACCCATGGAAATTTTTATTCTTGCCAACAGTAACTTTCAAGTGTTATCGACATATTACATATATATTGCCTGGTTCCATTTCCACAGAATCCTACAGATGCATTAAGATTGTCAGCTCAAGCTAAATATTTCCTAGGACAGCAACAATGCACACGATAGGAAATGACTAGGTGCTTCATTTCTTGGGGTTTAGCAGCATATAGAGTTCAATGGCGATCTTATTAGCAGTTTACCCAAGTAATACAACTTATGATCAATCACTCAAAAAATAAAAACAAAAACCAGCTCAAAACACACCTTATAGAATATATCTTCAACTTCAGATTCTCTTATATCTGCTGGCAGGTTGCCACAGTAGATTGTTCGAGAAAAGCGGCCACTCATTCTGAAACCAGACTATTACTGCAAAGTTTTCACTGCAGAGACCAAGGAAATTGCATAATCACCAAGGACAGAATCGACAATTATAATGAAGTAGACTTCTTTACTTCTGATCTGTTTATCATCAGTGTGCATTCTGATGAAACAAATGCAGGATATAAACAAAACAAAAAACTATGAAGCAAACCAAGTGAGCAATCCTCCATGTGAGCCTTGCTCCATAAGCTCCATTGCTCAATTGCTCCAAGATGCTCCAAAGCAATAATAAGTTTGAAATTTAATTTGGTCTCCTCATTCTCCCATGAAATATTGCAGACGTATATTTCTTCAGAGCACAAGCAAGAACCTCCATAAAAAAAATAAGACCCATAACTCCACCCTGATTCTCCCACTCCCTCCCTATATCCCTATGTATGATCGCAAAGCTCAAATCCAAGTGCTTGCCATCTATCATCAAGAAAGCATTTGTGTCATGAAATTTGGTAATATTCACATATATTAATGCATTTACCTCAGCCATCTCTCTTTACAATACGAAAAATATAACCCTGGACAAAACATACAAAGCGTCCAGTTCCCCTAGCTTCAAACAATGAGAGCTTGCAAAATGCATCACCCATGAAACTAACTAGGTAGTTAAAACATGTAACTCACTCTAATGTCATGGCTTTTTCTCCGAAAAACTAATGAAGACGAATTACGAGCTGTACATGACATGCCACTGTGTTCCAACAAAACAAAGCTTAAAATGAAAAGGCAGTGTTGTGAAAGCTTCATGTTTCCAATTCTCAAAATGCCCCTAAAATCATCCTGCAACTCCTATGACTTATAACAGGAGATGGGGGCAAAGCAGAGAGATAAAATGGACATTCGTACTCAAACTTCTCAAAACACACTCCTCGTCCTACCCACCAAAAATAAAGAAGGGCAGCTTGCAAGTACGAGTCTTTCAGCTATTTCATTCTTTGGGTTCTTGAAACTTGTCACCAATAAGCAAGCAGCAATTCCAATTTTCCGCTCTCTGTAAACAAAACAACTAGCAATCGCGATCTGCCAGCATTGACTAAATTAGCAGGGGTAGAAGCTTTTACCCGAGGGCAGGAAGAAACCCAACACGATGGCAAAGCGGGAACTTTAACAGACGACGTTCGCAAATTCTGCAGCTTTCACCGGAAGAGCGTAGGAGAAATTGGCAGGCGGCGATGCGGTTGATTGCGACGAAAATTAATGGACGGCAGCAGAGTCGGGAAACAAAACGGAAAGCGAAAGTACACGAATTTGACACCGGCGAGGATGGAAGGCGGCGCGATGACGATGGCTAGCTGTTGAAGACGGCGGTAGGTGGCTGCAATCGAGGAACAAGCGCAGAAAGCCAGAAGCAGAGCTGGTCGTGAGAAAGGGGGGAGACAAATACAATGATGGAATTCGGCCATTAGGGTTCTTCTTTCCCATTCTCTTTCAATTTTTCTTTTTTCATCAAAACGGGCCTTTCGGGTTGGGCCTATCGTACTGTTTTGGGTTGGGCCAAACCCGATGAGCATCTTTTTCATTAGTACGTTACTCGGAAGTCAGAACCAGAGGTGTATTTTGGAATTATGTTAGGAAGACATTAACCGTTGCATGGACACACATGTCCAACATTCATAAGTGTTTTCATTGAGTAGATTACACATTTATGATGATAGATTTTTTCTCCTTTTAGACATTTATGATGATAGATTTTATTTCCTCCTTTTAATGATATAGATTAGAATCACGATAGACCGTTTAAAATCGGTATGTACGAACTCGCTATTAGATCACAGTCATTTTTCACATTTGACGTAGAAAGTTTTGTTGTCTACTTGACTACTTCTATCAACTCATACTTGTTGTGCGACACGCAACATCAACGGCAGGAAAGATAACACACATGTGCTAGTACAAGTATGATCTTAACACCATGATTGCTTATAGTTGGTCACTCCATCAACCATGAATATCATTATTTTATACACGCGCTTGTGTGAAGTTTAGCAGCCAACCGTACGGTCGATGCCAACTCGATACTTAGTTGACCACCCTTGGGTAGTCAGATATCAAATCAAAAATTTTACACATCAAACTCACACTTTCTAGTTTTTAGGGCATCTGGGGGTGCATCATTGTGTTGTGTAATACGTTGGTGTGCGCTCACCCTTATAAAAAGGAATCACATGTGTACGTTGTGTTCTTTGTAAGTTCCCCTCTAAAATCAGTATATACATCACTGACTATATCGTTCGTTTATTTGAAGTTATAGTTCATAGTGTTGCTACCTTAATAGATTCTTCATACGGTCTGGTCTCTAAAAGCTATGATTCTGAATGTCATGATAAATCATTTAAGACAAGTTTGTCATGAATCTCTTACTAAGTTCAAAGCCCATGTTGCAATGTACAAGGTTTACAAACCACATGCTCTATCAATTCGGACATTCAAGAACAAGAACGCTCTTTAAACAGACAACAACAACAAAAAAACCACTCGATGGACTCACCCAATCGCTGGCACATGCAAGCCAAAATTACCTTTTAATCCCCTAAATCATTCTAATTAACTTGAGATATCGATTTAGTTCATTTCCCTCCTGAATTTACCTACAACTTGATAGTAAATGGATCTAATTAACTTATACACTACTTACCAAATAGATAAAAATTTGGCAAATCCCCAACATCATTACCTTTTATCCGTAATCATGCAACATTGCTCTATGGTTTATTGCTCTGTAATCAGGACCTAAGTGGTTCAGGCTTTATGGTGAACAACATGCAGACATTGTCGGCTTGATCCAGGCTAACCCTAAAGTCTGCTCACCGAGTACATATGTGGCAGGTTGATATGGTACAGATTTGGCATCATATATTTGTCTGGTTTGATATTTGATCTGGTGATGGCGTAACCAGTAAAAAAAAGATCAAAAGGTGAAAGAGCAGAGAGTAAATAAGTCAGTCAATAAAAAAGTCTGTATTGCCCCTGCACAAACGGACGATCCGAAGAACAGCACAAACAACCCATCTCTCTCTGCATCGCTCTCTCAACTACTCCCGAGTAACGAGCTCTCCTTCCTCGCTTTCCTTCTCTGTGCAAAGAACCAAATCGACTTTTGTGATTATTAATTCAAAATACAATGGGAAGAATGCTCGTTTTGGTAAAGCAGAGTTAAAAAAATTTTACAAAAGAAAAAAAAAAAGTTGCTATCCGTTTTTACCATTTCCATCTCTCTTTGTGTCAGCAGCGATCAGGAAATTGTTTGCAGCTGGATTTTGTTTTTTCCGGCTCTGTCCTTCCCTAGCCTTCTGCTCTCTTCATAAAGAGACGATCTCTCTTTCTCAAGTGGGTTTTTCCTGTGTCTTCCCTCAGCCTGCTGTCGTGTCTTCTCTCTGGGAATCGTTTAGATAAGGCAAAGGTAAGAGTGAGCTCTTCAATCTTCAACAACTCTGTGAATTGCTTTTGATTTACTGCCGTTTCTCCTTTCTGGGTTCTTGAGGTTCTTCCATTTCTGTGGTAAAAATCGTTGCTTTTGGGTTGATCAATCGCCAGGAGCGAGTTACTAATGAAAGGGGTTTTCTTTTGACAACCAGGAAAAAAAGTTGGGTGCTTGGTGATCATGGCGATTGTTGCTGAGAATGCTGGGGCCAAAAACGGGGTCACCACCCAGAATTTCGACACCACTGTAGTGGCATCGGACCCGAAGGAGACTAATTATCTCGAGAAAACCAAACCCGTGGACGAATCTGTGGTGATGAACGGTAGAGACGCGAATTCTCACACCGAGAATGGTGATCGCGGGGTTGGTGACGGCAAGTACGACCAGCCACAGCGCGTGAATGGGATGACAGCTGCTGCTGGTTCAAGGATGGGCGAGAACGGCGGGACCCAGATGCCGAATGGGTTCGATAGCAGTCAGCAGCAGCAGCAGCAGCAGCCGATGATGGCTGTGGCGCAGTCTGATGGTGGGTTTGGAGGTGGTGGTGCCAATCAGATGAGTTTTGCTAAAGCTAATGGTGCTAATGATATGAATGAGCTGGTGGAGATGTTGTCCAACTTGAATCCCATGGCTCAAGAGTTTGTGCCTCCTTCTCTGGCTAACAACAATGGCTTTTGGGGGAACGGCTTTGGGTATGCTAACAATTTTGGAATGGTTAATCCTGTTGGGAATGGCAATGTAAATACTAAAAGGGTAATGTCCTGAATCTGCATATCTCCATTCCTTTGCTTACTGTGGGATATGAATGATTGTGATTGTTGGTGTTGATTTGCTTTATGTTTTCTTGTGTTGTAGAGGAACAATTTTAATCAGGGACGGAGAAGAAACAACAGTAGGAGAAGTATGGCTCAGCGTGAGGAGGTAATCAGGAGGACAGTATATGTGTCTGATATTGACCAGCAGGTGAGCAATTTGCATTTGGGCTCTCTTATGTTGTTTGATTTGTTGTTTGTATGTTGATTTTCATTTTTGTTTATTTCTCTTTGTATTTGTAGGTTACTGAAGAGCAGCTCGCGGGTCTATTTGTGCACTGTGGACAAGTAATACGAAATGTTTTGGCGTAATTATTACAATATCAATTTGCTAATAAATGTGCCTTTCATATGACTAATCTCGTGACGATGCTTATTTGGCGGAAAAGGTTGTTGATTGTCGTATATGCGGTGATCCTAATTCTGTTCTTCGATTCGCTTTCATCGAATTTACTGATGAAGGTATTACCAAAAAAGCATGCTTTCCATATTGCTGCATTACACTTGTCCTATAATTGCAACGAGAACTTTTAATGACACCGACCCGGTTCCTGCAGAAGGTGCAAGGATTGCTCTAAATTTGTCGGGGACTGTGCTTGGATATTACCCACTAAGAGTGCTGCCTTCCAAAACTGCGATTGCACCTGTTAACCCGACATTTTTGCCAAGGGTGAGAGTGACTTGTTGACTTATGTGTGATTATGGACTGCCTTTTAGATAACATTGAGACGTTATGAGTGTGGCAAAATTGTTCCAATTGTCCCTTGTCATGTTCTAATTCTTCTCACTCTGCTATGTTTCAGTCTGAAGATGAGCGGGAGATGTGTGCTAGGACAATATACTGTACGAATATAGATAAGAAGGTGATTCTGGAAGCGTTTTAGTTCCTTGAAGGCTTGTGGGGACATTCTCTCGTCATGATGTTATTCTTTTCCTTCAAATGCAGATATCTCAAGCAGATGTTAGACTGTTCTTTGAAACTTTCTGTGGAGAGGTTTGTATTAGATCATATAACTATTTGCAAAGTATCTTTCTTTTAGTCCTTTTTTTACAAATATCTTTCTTTATGTCTTGATGGTGTCTTATTTGCTACTTTATCCAAACAGGTTCAGTGCTTGAGGATCCTCGGAGACTATCATCATTCAACTCGTATTGCTTTTGTCGAGTTTGCAATGGTAAATATCAATAAGATTATGATACTTGTGTTTTCATTTCATGTATATATAATATGCCTTTTTTTATTTGGGTACTTCAGTTCAGTAGTCTGTTCTTGAGATATCTGTTACTTGCCATGTTCTGCTTCCTTTTGTTGTTGGACTTGGTGTTAAAATAAACTGATGTCAGCATTTTTATCACTTGCATTACCCGAATATCTTATTGAGGGCTCCTAAATACTCTTTTTTGTGGGCCGTATAGTTAGCAGGGTATACTCTATAACATTTCAACCACGAATTATAGATTGATACTTGGTCGGAATTTCATGTGCATCCTCTATAACACTTATTTTTTTTTTAACGAAAAGATATCTTGCATCCTCTATAACACTTCGGTTTCTAGTTTATGCAGCTTGATAATATAAATATAGATTTTGACGGCCGACTGATTTCCTGTCATGTCTACTTTAGAAAGTTAAAGAGATTAGATGCCCACTATAGTTATGTTCTTGAGTCAAACATTTTGGGCTGGTAGAGGTGTTTGGTTGGATTAGTTTTAATTTGCATGTTGGAAACTGGGTTGCAGATGGTTGCAGCTTCCGGGAATTGGCGCTATCTCTATTGGCCATAAAATAAGCTTTAAACTTTTTCACGTTAATGGTACCCTACTACCTGTAGGATGTGTGAGTAGCACCTTGTCTTCAGGTCTAATAAACTTAATCTCACTTTTTAAGCTCCTATCAATTGCATTTAAGCAGTGAAATTTTCTAATGCATGTCTCAATTTTTGTTGCCCTTTCACTAAAAAAAACCAGTGCGTTTGCACCCCGTTCTGAAATGTCGAGAGTCTATTAACTCTAGTTCTAGGAAGCTACAATGCTAATGATCTAGGACAGCAGGCATGTGCAGGTTGTAGCTGGAGTTATTGGATTCTTTATTAGCTGGTAGAGAAATTGTACGAGGTAGAAGTTAATGCATTGGTCGTTGTTTCATCTGACTGTTTTGGTGATAAGACTGAAACTTATTTCTATTGATTACTAATTTGTTTCGTTGATTGATATGTACAGCATCATAAACCATGAAACCTTAGGATGCTGTGTTAGGTTTTGGGTAATCTTTACTTGGCCTTATAGTACAGGTTATAAAACGTGGAGCTGTTGCTATGTTCTCATTAGATAGTGTTCGATTATATGTTTTTACCACTTATTGGAAACTAATTTAAGGCACACTAGCTGCTAAGAAGCTGATTTACCTCAGGTAATACAGTTCAATACACATGCAAATATGCGAGAGAAAATGACAAATGGAAGATTTTTTTCTTGTGTATTGGTTATCAAGCTAACTAGGACTAGCTAAGTTCGTTCGTTTTGAGCATCCCTTTTAACGATTTCCTGTTACAGGACCGTTACTGTATGGGAGTTGACAAACTTTTTTCACTGTAAAGCTGTTTCATTAATGGTTCAAAACTGAAAATTTGGACTTCCAGGTCATGACAGCCAAGTGCTTTAAAGTTTTGGCTGATTCTTAAAAGCTTCTAAGTTTTTTTTTTGTCCGACTTAAAAGCTTCTACGTTGTTTTCATATATCAAATACATGATGTGTTTTCTGGTTCGATCATTCTTGAGGATGTTGACTTCTATGTTAATGAATCTCTACCTTGCTGAATGATATGAGACTCAGCAGACTAAGATATTTTCTATTCGCATCAAACCCTTGTTGTAGAATATAGTAAAATAGTAGTTACTTAGCAAAGTTAGCATGGCTTTGATGTGTGATGACTGAAGGATAGTTAAATTGTATTCTGGATGACACAAAGATTTGATTTTGTTTATTTTAGCTTATGATCAGATTGTTGTGCATTATGTTTCGGGGATCTCACATCCTGTTGAATAAACTATCCCCGTTTAATGGCCTCTTTTGTTTTGCGTTTGGCAGGCTGACAGTGCAATTATTGCTCTGAACTGCAGTGGCGTTGTTCTGGGATCTCTGCCCATAAGGTAGCATTGGCCCAGTTATCATCATCTTTCATCTAAGATAACAAATTTTGTCATTAGTTATCTTGAACTTGATTGCGGCGAATCGCTTGTTTTGTGTGTAGGGTAAGCCCATCAAAGACCCCAGTGCGCCCTCGTACTCCTCGACCATCGATGCACTGATGCTGAGAGAGAATGAATCATCCCTCTGTGTGATGCAATGCCCTCTGGAAACTGATCAAGTTGCTCATAGAAGTATTTATAGACATCCTTATATATATATATATATAGAAAGCTGAAAACAGAACTTGGGTTTATTTTGCTCCTCCTTTTGTTGCTGCGGGTTGCATGCATCTCATCTCAAGCTGGTAACTTTCTCAGAAAACCCACAAGGGTGTTTGGCGGGAGAACAATTGTTTATTATGGGATGTTGAGATGTTGAGGTCATGTCATAGGTATTAGAGAGCTCTGGATGTGATTTTGAGGATGTGAATAGCCTTCGTTTTCCTTTTCCAACATTTGGGGGAAGTGCTGAAAGTCTTTTGATTATAGCTGCTTGTCAATTCATGCACAGTGGTTTGGCGGTTTATTAAGCTGCAAATTAGGCGCTGCTAATTGTGGTCTCTGGAACAGTTGACAGTCACTTAGGTGGTAATGAAAGTGACAGAATATTAAATTCGTGGACACAAAAGAATAGAATACAAGTGGAGAAAGCACAAACACGTTTAAGAATGAGGGAAATGGCGCTTTCTGTGATTAAGGGGTCGTTTGGTTTGGTTGTAGCTGTTGTTTATATGACTATGTTGCCCTGCTGAAAGGAGTTGAGATGATGTCTCCTTGACAGAGTAGAATCTATTGCGGCTATACGTCAAATTTCTTGCACATCACCACACCCACACCTACTATGTTACTTGCTTGTCAGATGCAACTGCACCCTACAGGTTCATGTATGATTCTTTAGTGATTATCACCCTGATTCGAAAGGTCGTCGATTAATCTCGTTATAGTAATGGTTATTCTGTTGCGAATGGCGAGCTAACAGTCTGCAATTAGTATTGCTACTACTTATGGCCATCACCTTTGTGAGCTGCTTTTGCACGGTTCTTCTGATACGAGCTTTCATGAATTTCCACCGTATCGTAGGAATGATCGGGTTCCTTCATGTTTACCAGAGTGGTCTGGGAAAACCCAGTTTGCATGACTGTAAAATGAAGGAATAGTATTTCAATCAGCAGAGGGTGGCACTTGTCTATGCCGGAGGTTGGACCGCTTGCTGTAAGTTATCCCCACAATCTCCATTAAACCAAAGTTATTCACATCCTCAAAATCCCATTCAACTCAATGACCAAAGCATCCCGACACGCATAAACAATCCATTCCCTCCCACCTCTCGTGGTGTCAAAAGATAGCAGCTAGCAATGCAGCTGATAAAATGAAGGATGATTGAGAAAGCAACTACCCAGACCAGTTTCAGCTTCTACATACTATGAAATATAAATACTTCTAGCAACAAGTTGGCCGCGCTTTGCACAAGCATTTGAGCTTTGCATACCGGAGGATGATTCTCTCAGGCGAACGGTGCTCGGGTCATGCGAGCACGAACTGGTGTCTTCGATGGGCTAACCCTGCAACAGTCAATCCATAACTTGATTTGTCATGAGAAAATGGCGAAAGAAGCTTACAAGGTCAATTAAATTCAATTGATGATAAATAACTTGCAGGGAGATAAAAGAGAATGGCCAGCAGCCAACACTACCTTATGGGCAAGGATCCCAGGATTGCACCGCTGCAGTTGAGCGCAGCGATTGCACTCTCAGCCTGCAGTATCATAAAGCTTATCAAATCAAGTTGCGAAGACGAAAAGTTCTATTCACTAGCAGCATAATGGAGAAAGAGAGCTCAAACCAACAGAAATATACACAACTTTATAGTGTGTTAGCAAGTCCCATATCATTCAGTTGGCAAACAGTTCTACTATAGATTCAAATAGCTTTGCTTTTTACCAGATCAAGGTCTACAAGTTAGGTAAAATTTATTTTCAGAAAGTGTCCTTCCCCACACTTTCTCACAGTAGCTATCTTACTTCTATAAGGAAGACACATTCTTCATTAGATGAACATAAAAGTCAAATTCCTCTAGGCTCAAGGCAACAGAAAACTCAAGTATTAGCATGGCCTCAAACCACAAGTGTAGACATTTACAGTAGTTACACACTCTGTAATGTTCAAAAAGTACAGATAGCTACAACCTCAACTATTAAAGCTAATGTAAAAAGGGCTCCAGTTATTCTGTTTTTAAGTCACCAATAAACAGCTATTGCAGACTTGCAGTGAAAAGTTTGTCAGTTCTGAATTCTCCAACAATTTGATAAAGATGATCAAGATATGTAAATGAAAAATGTCTCAGTGGCCGATAGACATAGCATCAATGCCTCAATACCTGACAGATTATAAATAGCTGACGCTTCTATTCTATTCAATGGTAGATAATCATGTTGATAAGATCAGTTACAGAAATCATGACTCTAGACTCTAGCTTAGCTATAAAAAAAATATGGACAACCCTAAATCTTGAACTCTAAGACATCAATTATATGCAAGTGACGAAATGGGTAGCATTCTCGGGTACAAACTGTTTGAAAGTGACCGGATGGGTAGCATTCCAAGGTGCAGTAAGAAGACTGAGTTGATAAACAACATATACGAGCGTCACATATCTTAAATGGCAAACAAAAGAAACATAACAAACAAACATTTTGACGCTGAAGGGTATTTACCACAGCAAATTCCACAAAAGCAATACGGGTTGAATGACGATAGTCTCCCAGAAGCCTCAAGCGCCGAACCTGATTGAAAAAAAGAAAATTCACACATCTTTACAGCCCGGAATACAAAAAGTAAATGACATCATATTGTGAAATCCAAATACAAACCTCTCCACAAGAGGACTCAAAGAATAGTCTCACATCTCCTAGGTTAACCTGCATTTGAAGGAAAACAGAAAACCATGACACAATGTTTTAATAGCCTTTGAAGGAATTAAAACTGTCGGGTAGCTTCTCATGTTACCTTCTTGTCTATATTTGTACAGTACACAGTCCTGGCACACATCTCACGTTCATCTTCAGACTGAGAACCATAGCAACCATTAGTTGAACAAGAAATGAACTCAATTCAAGACCGCGGGAACTCAGTCACAATGTTCAATATGTAGAAATAGACTCCCCAATCAGTCTCACCCTGGGCAAAAATGTTGGGTTAACAGGTGCAATAGCAGTTTTGGAAGGCAGCACTTTTAACGGGTAATACCCAAGCACAGTCCCAGACAAACTCAAAGCAGCAATTGCACCTTCTGCAGGAGGACACTAAACTAGCGTGACTAAAATTGCAGGAAATGGGAACTAGAGCAATAATCAAACACAAATGGTTTGTGGCAATACCTTCATCAGTAAATTCGACGAACGCAAATCGAAGAACAGAATTAGGATCACCACATATACGACAATCAACAACCTTTTGCACCAGATCAAGTATCAGCAGATCAGCCACATTACAAACCAAAATCCGGGTTTAATATTGTCACCAGCAAGCAAAATAGACACAAAACCTGTCCGCAATGAATAAACAGACCCGCAAGCTGCTCTTCGGTAACCTAAAATCCAAGATACAAGCTTCAATTGAACTGAATATTTCACTGGAAATTGTGAAAAAGCCGATCCCATTTGGAAAGTTGCTTGCTTTCTTACCTGTTGGTCAATGTCAGCCACATAAACAGTCCTCTTAATTACATCTTCCCGCTGAGCCATATTCCTCCTACCGTTGGTTCTTCTCCTTCCTTGGTTAAAATTAGGCTTACCCTGCAACACCAAACACGAAAAAAGTAAACCAAACAGCATCAAACACAATCCATTTTACTCAAATCAAGAACCGCTCTTCCACTTCTATCAATAGATTCCAATCTCAGCCAATGTCAAAGTTCAGAACATCAAAAGTACCAAAACGAAGAAGCAAGAATGAAACTTTAGGACATACCCTTTTCTCAGAATCCCCATTGCCATCAAAGAAATTACCAAACATCCCAAAATTGCGAGTATATCCGATCCGATCAACCCCATGGTTGTTGCCGGCGAGGGAAGGAGGTACGAACTCTTGAGCCATGGGATTCAATTTGGACAACATCTCGACCAAATTGTTCATATCTTTCACAAAGCCACCAGCTTTATCGAATGACATCTGATGCGGGCGATCTCCTGATAGCTCACCGGACTTGGCTACCGCCACCGCCGCCTGTTGGTTGCGATCGGACTCATTTGCCATCTGGGTCCCATCGATTACGCCATCAGTCTCGTTCGTGAGCGCTGGCTGCTCGTGGTGAGAATGAAACCTCGAGTCGCTGCCGTCGATCACCAAAGATTCGCTCATGGGTTTTTGTGCGTCTCTCTCACTACGGCGAAGTCCGTAGTCGGGCTAGACTCCGATGATAACTACAGCTTGTGTTGTGTCAAGAAATAGAATACAAATGTTGTCGATGAGAGCATTACTGCTTCAGTGCTTCCCCCTCCAAGTTCGTTGTCTCTTTCGCGACCGAGAAGAATAGTAATCAATTTGTTTAGGTAGGAGGTCAGATTGGGTTTTGGTATCCGAAATCAGAGTTTGGATTAATCGATCAATTTGTGAAACCGAGATTCGATTTTGGGTTAGGGTTTGGGTTAATTGAAATTTCAGCTTGATGTATGTTGGGATAGTGAAAGTAAAAATGTCTGAAATGAAGGTAAGAAAAAGTGAGAGATTGATTATTTTAGGGACCTTCAATGGTAATTATACAAACGTTTGTTTAGTTTGGTTTTGGCTTTTGGTTAATTGAAATAGATACAAATAAACCGTAAAATCGATCAATTAAGTTCATACGACTAATATAAAATTAAACATCGCCCAATATCAGAGTAGCTTTGAACCTAGGACGCCAATGCAAGTAGAGGAAAACTTCCAAAACCATTGTGTGTGTGTATCCATGACTGTAATAACCCGCACGATTACAAAAATTATCGTGTCCAGGAAAGATAAAAAAATGTGAAGTCTCCCTAGGTAGTTCATTTTGGACTTTGGAGCCTACCAAGCTGAACACGTCATCAATTTGTGCACTCCGTCAATATTTAGGTAGAAGGTAGTCGTACCAAGAGGAGGAAAACAAAAATTCACAACGACACCCACCATCTCGAAGCAACTTATGGAGCATCGAGCTCCAAAATCCTCGAATGCATCTTCGATAGCTAGCAATGTAGCGATGACGAATGGTGAGAATACGTAGATTGTAGCAACTGAAATGAGACTCGATGATAAAAAAACATGAGAGTGATTTCTCAACAAGCTAATCGATGGCGAGATTGCTCAAATGAGTACAAATCATAATGGTTGGTAGGTAGGGCTAACATGTAGAGGTAGTAAAAAAAATGAACTGTTACCAATAAGCAAGTATTAACTCAAGTTTATGAACAGCAACTCTAATAAGGTTTTTACAAAAACATAAATCAATGATAACAAATTCCAACAATGGCCCCATGGAAAATAAAATATTAATTGTTTGTGATTGCCTAAGAATTCTTGGTTCATATAAAAAGCACCAATAAATAACAAACAATTTTAACTGTTCCCTTGTTGTTGTTGTTGTTTTATTAAAAGTTAAACACGTGTAAACCTGGTCAAATAATCTACAGATGTTTTCTTTTATAAAACCGCTTCACTACGACGTCGAAATGTTCTGTCTCTACTCTCTATTAGAATTTAGAAGGGTGACGCTGACAAACAAATACAATAAGAACAATTCAAACATAAAATAAAATGTTCTTGTTTTTTTAAGGAATGGATAAATTTGACTTGTCCCTGGCACTGCTCTCTAGACAAAAAATTTATTATATATTAATAAAATTATTTAACATATAACAACTCAACAGAAAGTGATAAGTTATTTGATTATTTCATCCACTTTACATAATTTTTTAAGGTTAAAAATAATTAAATTCAAAGGTTCCAAAGTGGAAATGGGAAAAAGAAACAGAAAAGGGAACAAAGTGAAGAATAAATAAGAGAGTTGTCAAAAGGCTGTAGCAAAGCCCATCTCATCTCACAAACGGACGATCCGAAGAACATCACTAAACACACAGAAAAGAGAGAAGAGGGAAAAAAACCCCACTTTCATTTCTTTCTTTCTCCGTGCAAAGAATCAATCTTTTTTCGTTTCTCTGCATAAAGCTGATTACTTTTCTTATAATGATGGGAAGGGAAAACTCTTAGGGAGCAATCTGTTTGTCATCAATCAGAAAGTTGTTCGCAGCTGCTGGTGGTGGTGTTTGTTTTCGTTTTCGCTTTTTCTTTGCATCTCTATCTCTCTCTCTCTCTGATAAAGACGACTCCTTTAGTGGGAGGTTTTTGTTAATCGTTTCTCTGTTGGGGGGAATCCATTTTGATAAGGCAGGTACGAGTGAGCTGGTTTCTTTCAACAACTCTGTGCATTTGTTTTGATTTTATTACATCGATTTCTTTGTTTTTGCGTTTCTGGGTAGTAAGAGATTTCATTTCTGTGGTTTGGTGTGTTGATCAACAGGGGAAGGCGATCTTTTCATTTGATTAGAGGGGGAATCTGAGAGCTTGTGTGGCCATGGCGGTGGCTGAGAATGGTGGGGTCAAAGAAGGGGTGGCGGCGAGTCAGAATTTTGACGCTACTCTGGCGTCATCGGAGGCAAACGGTGGATCGAACACTGTGGAGAGCACAAAACCCATGAACGAATCTTTGGTCGGGGGAGCGAATTCTCAGTCTCAGAGCGATGATCGGGGGGCGATCGTTGGGAAGTGCGACCAAGAAGATCATACGGATGAGATGGCGGCGGCGGCGGCGGCTGGAAAAACCGCCGGGGAGAAAGGTGGGGCCCAGATGGGGAATGGGTTTGATGGTGGGTATGGAGGAAGTGGTGAGAATCAGATAAATTTTGGGAAATCTAATGGGAGTAATGAGATGAGGGAGTTAGTGGAGATGTTGTCCAAGCTGAATCCCATGGCTCAGGAGTTTGTACCTCCTTCTCTTGTCAACAATCATGGCAACGTTTTCGGCAACGGCGGATTCAAGAATCCGAACAATTTTGGAATGCTTAATCCCAATGGGAATCCTAATGGAATGATCAAAAGGGTTTGTGTGATAAAGCTTCTGTCTTTTTGCTGTTTTTATGTTTGTGGTGGCAGATATTGGGGGAAAGGGAGTTGTATAAGATCAGAACAATGATCATTTGGTCTAGTACCAAAATGGGTTGTGGTGTCTGCTGTTTGATTTAGTTGCCATTGTTTCTTGTGTTTCCAGAAGAACAATTTTAATCAGGGAAGGAGAAGAACCAATGGTGGCAGGAGGAGTATGGCTCAGAGGGAAGAAGTAATTAGGAGGACTGTATATGTGTCTGACATTGACCAGCAGGTCAGTAATTTGCATTTGGGTTCTGGTTCTGTAGCATCTTTGAGTGACATATTGCTGTCTGATTTATTAACTGTGTCTTTATATCTGTTTGAATGTAGGTTACTGAGGAGCAGCTGGCAGGTCTATTTCTTCATTGTGGACAAGTATATATTTCTTCTTTGGGCTTGGATATGACAATAATGATTTCCTTATGATGGATTTCCAATGGAACTGATTTGGTGATTACTTCTTTGGTGGAAAAAGGTTGTTGATTGTCGTATATGTGGTGATCCTAATTCAGTTCTTCGCTTTGCGTTCATTGAATTTACTGATGAAGGTACTGTCAAAATAGCCATGGACATGGTTGCCTTATTTCTATGAAATCCACTTCCTGCAATTTTAATAACTTTTACTAACTGAATGAGTGCCTGCAGAAGGTGCAAGGGCTGCTATAACTTTGTCTGGGACTGTGCTTGGATATTATCCACTAAGAGTGCTGCCTTCTAAAACTGCGATTGCACCTGTGAACCCAACATTTTTGCCAAGGGTAAGAGTTGAGAACGTTTGATTGTGGCTATGATATCCAATTGTCTTGAACTTCATTCACGTTTCTAGTTCTTCTAACACTGCTGTGGTTTTCAGTCTGAAGATGAACGAGAGATGTGTGCTAGAACAGTGTACTGTACTAATATAGATAAGAAGGTATATTGGAATCTACATTCTAGTTTAAGTTCCATCTGGCTATCTTGAACATTTTCCCCTTGACAACCTTGTTTCTCCTTCATAATGCAGATTACCCCAGGGGATGTGAGACTTTTCTTTGAATCTTTCTGTGGAGAGGTTTGTACTGGACCATGTGAATTTTCAAAATATATTTCTTGTTCACTTGGCAGCACCTTATTTGTAACTTTTTATTTTTGCAGGTTCAGTGTTTGAGGCTTCTTGGAGACTATCATCATTCAACTCGCATTGCTTTTGTTGAGTTTGCAATGGTAATATAGCTTTTTACGATATTGATCTCGTCATTTTAAGATATAATAACACATATCTAGTGTATATGGCAATTGAGTAGTTTTACATATTGCATTGCTTCAATACTTGAGGGATGTTTTGGATTAGATATGCTTCTGGAGCCTCTCGTTCCCATTTTTTTTTGTGCTTTGGTGACTGCCCATCTTTTGATATATACAACTGTTTGAGTCTTATGCTCTGTTCATAGTTGGAGTTTTTGAAAATTTACTTACTCTGGGTTACCAAGGTACTGAAATAAACTGGTTTTAGCATCGTTGTTGCTTGTGTTATAAGAATCTGAATGTTGGGATCTGAACCCACTTGCTTGTAGACACTTAGGTTCGTTTGGCATATCTGTGTTTATTTGGACGCTTCTTAGGTTGGTATCATGGCTAGGAAACTAGGATGCTTGTGTTCTGTGAAGCAAGAATAAGCTTGTTAATCCAGTGTATTAGGCTATCATACATCACTTTTGGAGCAGCAGGGTCTGTGTATTGCGGTGATAGAGAAACTGTGTTTATTCGGACGCTTCTTAGGTTGGTATCATGGCTAGGAAACTAGGATGCTTGTGTTCTGTGAAGCAAGAATAAGCTTGTTAATCCAGATGTATTAGGCTATCATACATCATTTTTGGAGCAGCAGGGTCTGTGTATTGCGGTGATAGAGAAACTGTGATGTTTCCTTTTTAACCTTACGTTTAGGAGACTGTTTCATTCTACTTTAGAGATAAGAACTGAATCTTCCGTCTGCTGCGTATTAATCGACTTGTGGAGCCATTGATTTATGATAAATGACTATTTGTCATAACACTTGCAAAAGAGGGTCATAGGTTTTTGGTATTTGGTGTGTTTGAGGAAAACAAAGCCGAGAATGAAGCTCGCTTGGTATTCCTTGTCTTGGTAGAGGACATATCCTATGAATTCGGAGTACATCTGCAGCCTTCTGAACGACATAATACTAGTTGCCTAATATACATACAATGCACAATAAAGCCTAGCTGTGGATCATTATGGTGAAAGCTATACTGACAGATGTGGTTTTTTTATAGCCGTCCTCTACGTTGTGCTAACAGTAAGTTCTTGTTATGTTATTATGCAGAGATATCTGCAATACCCTTTGGTTATGCAATGCTTTCATCTATCTTGACCAAATGTAGTCCAGTTACCACTGACATTCAGTCATCGTCTTTGTGTTGCCTTAGGATTGCATTTTGCCCATTTTGGCCACAGTTATCCGCCGAATAGACATTATTTGTCTGTAGTTTTCGATCTGAGTATCCTTTTTCTCGCGTCTTGCAGGCTGAGAGTGCAATTGCTGCTCTAAACTGCAGTGGTGCTCTTCTGGGAACCTTGCCCATAAGGTAGTGTGTTGGCAGCTGGTTGTTCCCTTCGCCAGGCTCGCAAACTATAAGATTGCTTTCGGTAATAGTTATTATGTCGACATTGATTCTGAATCGATGGTGGCAATGCAGGGTAAGCCCGTCGAAGACGCCAGTTCGCCCTCGCTTTCCCAGACCACCACCTCTGCACTGAAGAGGATTGAGATGGACTGTCTTCGTCGGAATTCGATGCTCTACTCAAGCTCATGATGGAGCTGGGTGATCCATAGAAAATATCTGTCTGGTTAAATTATAGGAGCTGAGAACATTTCAAAGATGATTTCTTTCTTTCCCTTCTCCTCCTCGATCTTTGATCTTTGTTTTTTTTTTTTATGTTGTTGGTTGGTATCTCAGACTAGACTGGCACTCTTTTCTCAAACAACCCACAAGGGTTGCGGAAATTCATGGGTTATTATGGTTGTTGAGATGCTGATATATGTCAATAGAGTTGGATGGGGATTTTGAGGATCCATGTGAATAGCTTCTTCTCTTTTCTCCTCTAATGATTAGGCTGCAGCAATCTAGAGTAAAGATATTTTGCTGAAAATTTGCAGGTTTATGTGAATCCTGTGGCATAATAGTATTCTAAGTTTTAAGTTCTAACTCATGATAATTTGACGAGGAGAGCTTTGGCCTTTACTTTTTTGGTTGTGCGGATTCTTTGATTCCATTGCATTGTTCTGTTACCTTTCTATTGGGTTGTGGCCCATATACGGCGAGTCCAAAGTAGTTTGTATAAACCGGACAAGGATGAATCCTCTCAGAGTAGAGTATATGATCCGTAACTAACCTTATTATAACAATCCGAGTTATTGAGATCATTCGATTTATGACAAGTTAGTACTGGTTTTAAATTACCAGTCAACCGCCACGACGATTACTAAGCAAGTCTATTCGTTTGTTTTCGCTTTGTTTTCTTCTCGGATGGCATCCCCAAATTGGTTTGGTTGTTTAGGCAAATCCATGGGGTATATACACTTGGACTTTGGAAGAACCGTAATAATAACGAGTAATATCTACCAAGAAGTGCATGGAACTCTTCTATCCCAACCATTCATCGAGCTTATTAGCTACCCTTGTGCACGTCGGTTAGGGAAGAAGGGGATCTAATGATCAGTATGAATAACTCTGAAATTGTTGGTTTACTTTTGACATTGTGATATTTTGCCACTCCATTAGAGTTGGTATCTACTTACTCCGAAATTTTTACTCTTAAAAAAACATTACAAAATAGATAGCATTGTATAAATATATCAATCTCAATCTCGTATATAACATAATTTGCCAACTAAAACTCATGATTCATATCCGTTGAAGAGTACCGTGCTTATTTTTGGGCGGCCAAGATAGAAAATACCCAACCCAAACAATGGCCCGGAAATTCAAAGAGCGGAAGAGATATACATAACAAATCTTGGTTTAACATTATTATTAGTTAACCAAAATGTTTCTATGCAGTACCGTGCTTTTCATGATTTGCATAATTGTAGTCAAAATCTACGATTGAAAGCTCAAAAGCTCACGTTTTCACGCTTTTGAATTACCCAGACGCGCATCTGCATAGAATCGCGATTTCGACTGCATGGAATATCGATCATTTAGGACTCCTCTTTACGACAAAGGCAGTAGCATTTACTATCTGCACACCAGCAACCCACCCAGCATGTATAATACTCATACTGATCATTATCGTCAACTCCAACACTGCTCTTATAATCATCTGATCTCGTCCTCATCCCACCAGGCTTCACTCCTTCACACATCTTAGGGTAAGCCTTGTTGCACTTTTTGTCGTTGCAGCGACCATCACAGTCGTAATCAATCCAAGCATCGCTGCAGAAGAAAAAACAACAGATTATTCACGAACGATTAATCTGATTTACGTGTTATCCCTGACGATTTGTCAGGACTAATTTACGGGGGGAGATCAGCTGGAGATAGTGTTCCAAAGAGATACCTGCCAATATTGAACTGTGTACCGTTGGCAGCAATTAGAACGACGTCGTCGTCGTCCCCCCATCGAGGAGCAATCGTTCTTGATTCGCCCCAAGGCAAACGACCTGATATACGCAGTGTTAGCTAATCCGCGGATAAGAGAGAGACCAGTTTTACTGTACTTGAAGAGACCAAGTAATTAAGTGGGAAAAGATGGTGGGGGGAGATTAATTACATGAAATAATTAGGAGGAACCATACAGTCGAGGGAAGCAAGACGGCGGCCAACTTAGAAATCGCCATGGCTAGCTAGCTCTCTGATTTCTGTTTGAGGGGCTTAATATTCAGCTATATATATATATATATATACACATATATGAAGTTATGAACGCTATGGTCATCAAGAGAGCTCGAGATTTGGGTTTCTTTTCATTATTTACACAGTCCGCGTTTTATTCATACTCATGGACTATTCGATCCTTTTCCTCCCCTAAAGGACGTACGCAAACAACGTATATGAATGATGGGTTGGATAGAAGAGTTTCACTTCTTGATATTACTCTTTATTATGTTCAGCAGAGTATTATTACAAATATTAAACATGATTTTGGCTATACCAAAACGGTCAATGACGGCAAAGCCGATGAAGCAAGAAAGCGTAATATAAAATGGGACTTTGTTGTTTATTCCTTTGTTTTTTTTAAGGATGGGATCCGAATTGCTTTGGTTGTTAGGTACTAGGTAGGGATGATGAACATATAAATAAGGAAGCCCGGCCGATTCGTTAATCCGAACCGATTCAACCGCGTGAGATCCTAGAGTTAAAAAACGGGCAATTAATAGCATTTTGTAACCCTCTAATATAGCAAATTAACAAACGTACTCCTCTACTAAATTTTCGCACTGCAAACATATCCTAATAAAATTAAATCGTACCCTCCCATTCAATTATCTGTTAAGTGACCGCTAAAGGAGCTGCGAAATGACTCAATTACTCCTTATTTGATTTTTCATGGTCGAATTTGGATTTTTTATTATCCAAACCAGTAATATAGTTCGGCTGACTATAAATGTCCAAAACATATCGACATAGTACACCCCTAATGTTAGACAATGGATAATATGAAATTGGACTTTGGAATAACCGGAAGAAAAAATTAAATATGAAGAAGAGGTTGCGTACGGTAAGTAGGATTGAATGTTAAATTTTTATTTTCTTGGCGGAAAATACAAGCTGTTATATATGATGACCGCACTCTATAATAGGTCAACTTGTCACCTTATTAACTTAGTTCACATATACACTTATCTAAGTTTGGGGGAGAAAGAGTTCAAACCGCAATGTTTTGGAAGGATATGTACATGTTTAATTATATGGTTGAAGTTAAATCCATTGATTGGATAACATTTCTTTGACATGTCACTCTAAGGACTTTGAATATGGTTATGGTAATTTCTGATTTGATCCGCGTGCGATACGATTTGTCTCTGCTTGTTTGGGACGGGGGAGCGTGAGACATGGTGTGTATGTATTGTTTCCGACTTGTTCCAGTGCACGGCTGTGTGGATCTCAATCCGTTCTGTTTTGAGTGATTAAATTTGCATTAGTAAAAAAAAATTTTAGAACCACTTATGGGACCATCATTTTATTATGTCGGTGTACAGTTCGGCTCAAATATCAATTTGATTATTTTTTTAAAATATTTATAAAACTTCATGGGGACCAAAAATGAGAATGAGGATGTTTGAGCTCTCACCATGGCCACACTCATTCCCCTTTTAAAATGGGAGGGCATGACTGTGGCCAATCAATTTCGGAGGTCCTCTTCCAAAAATAAGATGTTGTCTAAATTTTTTTAAAACATAATAAACTTTTTATGAACTATTCAATTCAAAATTGTCTTAATACAAAATAATATAAAATTCCGTTTATTAGAAGTTAAATTGACTCACTAGATGTTCAAGGACTAAAAAATTACGATTATCAATTCCAAAACTGTTTAGCGAATACCAAATTTTGATGTAACAAGAATCAAAGGATATAACTAATGTCTAAGAATCAAAACCGTCAAAATATTAAAGTAAGAATGATAACAAACAGAAGAAATACTCGTGTACGCTAAAAAAAAAATGAGCGCACCAAAAACAACAACACGTTTAGTTATAGAACCAACTCTTATTTGATAAGACGTGTATCGTAATTTTTTTCTTTCTTTCAAGACAAGCCCAAAGGAAATGGTACACCGATCGACTCGTGATTACAAGACTGACTCCAACCGAATATTGCGGTACAACGACTCGCGCGATTACAAAGACTAACTCCAAACCAAGTATGCGCGGTACAACGACGACGACTCAATTACGAGACTGATTCGAGACGCGGACAAAGCTGGTGATAATTTCATAGATGAGCCACTTACAACACCATTTTTTATTAGAACAAACCTTAATTAGCTAGCTCCTCCCGCAAGCTTGCTTGCAAAACTGTTACTTGATTCACACGTTAGGAGGCAGCAGGGAATAAAACGCCTAGTTCTATTACAAGGGTAAACACACGCAAGAATAACTGTATACGCATTCGCAATCCATGTAGTAATTCTTATCACACGAGGCGAAAACCTTAATGCAAATTGCCTGGGTGCAACCACCACAGTCTCTCTCAAGTCTCAACGGAAGCATTGCCGGAAGTTTTACGAGGTCGGCCGCCGGCGACAGGTACTGTTGTTGCTCGGTGATCACTGTTAGGTCGTCGATACAAATGATGGTTCCTGCGTATTGTTACATTATTGACCTTGGATTAAAGATGCTATATACCACAGATGTGTTGCAATTTTTAACTTTTGGAGGTGCGTCGGAGATAATCCTAGGTCGTGGTAAATGGATTGATCCATGAATTGGTGGATTGGATTGGTTGATCTATAGATCAAATGGATTGGATCCAATAGATTGGTGAATTATCCATGAATCCAAATGACATCCTCAACCAAGGTTCAATATGTAAAAATGTGAAAAGTTTAGGTACTAAAATGTCATAAGAAAAATTTTAGGTACCAAAACGTAATTTTCCAATAAGATTTTTCGCACAAAGATTAAATTTTGGGTACCAAAATATAAAATATAAAAAGTATAGGTACCAAACCATAATTTATCATTTAGATCCATGGATCAATCCACGAATCCACCAATCCAATTGGATTTGGATCAAATGGATTGGATTTAAATGGATTGAATTCAGGTGGATATTTTTAATGGGTTGGTGGATTGGCGATGTAAGAGTTTTCGTGACACCTAAAAAAGTCACCCTAAACGAGGGAAAATGTGACGGACTAGACCGTCACAAAATGAACAGATGTGTCATGCTAGTTCAGCTTTTAGGTGACATTAACTTCCACCGTCACCTCTAGGTGATTCATGGTGACGGTATTTTATCGTTGCAATAAGATTGTACAATATGTGACGACAACACAAAAAGTAAGATTTTTTTTTGTGACAGACATAACTTTAGGTTATGGATGTTCCCCACCGCATCACATATTGCTTTGGTGACGCGCTTGAGGTGACGGACCCCATGATGGTACAATACAGTCACAAAAACCTTTCGTGATGGTATTTTATACTTTCTGTAACGTTTTTAAGTGTTACGATAGGGGTAATTTCTTGTAGTGTCATGACCATCTCCAACTTGCCAACATAGTCCTTGAAGGAGAAGATCTCGTCCATATAATAGACTAAGCAAACCCCACAATGGATTGGACCCCACCCAAGCCTCAAGATGGACGAAGAACTAAACTACCAACCTTGATTATAAGCAGAGAGTCTA